GTAGCACAGTGGATTAATTCGATACTGTCAGATTAATCTTTTCACGTTATTCAAAGGGAGAAAATAACTTATTATGATTAAGCTTAAGTATCCAAAGCCAATATGTAAATATTATATAGAAATATTTATTACCGAATATAAAGAACTCTCCATAGGTCGACGACCATGCTTCAACCAATTAGAAGCATCACTTTGGTCCACGGCCCACGTCGAGTAGAAGATTTTTNCATTTAACATGGAAATGCCTATTTATTTATATATGCACATTATCAGAATGCCTCATTTATGGATTAACACAAACTTTAAATATAATTTGTGTCTTCATTTGATGATNTATTGTACCTATCAATATAGATAGGCCAGTACATCATCTGCAGACCTTCAAGGTCTGACAGAGTTCCCAGAGGAACTACTTAGTTTAGTTTATAGATTGAGTGCCGAAATATAATAAGATACCAATTTTTTCGCAGCCTTTCTGCGTAACGCAGGAAGTCTTTCTGACTCCTGCTTCTGCGATAGTCGAAAGTCTTGAACTTTTAGAAGGATCAGGTTTTTCTTTAAAAATTAAATTTTTGGAGGAGTGAATAATATTTTGATACGGTAAAGCCAAAGGGGAATGGTCTTCAACAAAGCGACTTCGTGGCCAAGTTGGCTAAGGCGTGAGACTGTTAATCTCAAGATCGAGAGTTCGAGCCTCTCCGAGGTCGTTTTATTTTTTCCTTTTTATTTATTTTTTTTTTTGCAACTACTCACACACTACTTTACATAAACTAAAAATAAATTAACAACTCAACAAGGACTGGTTCTTCATTTGATTCAACTCGTGGTCGATCAAAGGAGAATGGAGAGCAAAGCATTGGATCAATTTATAAGATTCTGAAAGAAAATGATCAAAATTTAGAAATAAAAGAGAATGATCCTGTTTAAATTTATTAAAATCCAAAATTTTACAACAGTCTTGGAAAATTTTCAAAACACATAAGATTTGGAAACATGAATTGGGATCGAGAATTTTCAATTCTTGTTTCGAAAACAATTTCAAGCTTTTAATGGTGAAAGTGATACATTTTTCAATAATTTTCAAGTGATCATTATTTGGAGGGATATTTTGTAATTTAATAATAAGAATATTACAACTAGTAATATAGGTTAGATAATACTTTAGTTTCAATAAATCAATTTCTAATTTATTTTGATCATTTAAGTTTTCAATTTGTATTAAATCATTATCCCAATTAAAGTTAAAAGGTAAAAAAATTTTCCAATTATTAATTTCAAGTTCGAAATTTTTCCAAATATTCCATATGTCTTCTAATTTATATAAATCCAAATTTTGTAAAATCGTGGAGGATTTATCGATAATATTTGATAAGAAAATATTTTGCATAAAACAAGTTGAATAAATACTATCATTATCAAATATTGACTTTTTAATAATATTTTCACAACCTTTTGGAATATTCATTTTTGATTGTAATTTTACTAAAGTTGAATATTTTTTCAATTGTCCCATATTTTTCAAATTTCTTTCTAAATGAAGAAATACCCAATATAATCGATATAATAAATCTCGTTCTTTATGTTTACTCCCTTCAAATTTTATGAATTTATATAATTGAGAAGATCCAATTAATAATTCATTTTGATAATCAGAAATTTGACCAATTTTAAAATAATAAAGTGCTGATAAAAATTGAATAACAATGGTTTCAAATCCAATATTAACACTAGCATTAATTCTACCAATAATCATTCTTGATAACCAAAAGTATTCATAACCTGGAGGTGCTTCAATTTTATTAATTTCTGATTTTTGATAATCATTTTTTTGCCAATAATCATGATTTTTTGAATATTTAATAATTTCTCCTAATGATAATACTAATAAAAAAGTACAAGTTTGAGAATTTGAAACTAATCCAGTTTGAAATATTTCATTTTTCAAGTTTATAATTGTTTTTTCACAAACTATTGGGTAAAAGGGATAAACATGATTCAAGAAACAATCTAATAATTCATTTATTGTTGAATCATTTAAATTCATTGATATTTCACTTGATTTTGATTGAATCTTTGATAGATTTAATCTTGACTTGAATGAGTATTCATCTTCATTGATCATGATGATTGAATTTCTTCTTTCTAAATCTGGTGATAAATCTGGTATTAAATAATTTTCATTATTTAAAAAAAGATTAAAATTTACTTCATTTGTTTCTTTATCAAACTTTAAATCACAATTTGAGCTACAAATTTCTTCTTCTGTTTTAATTATATTATCATTTTTTATATTTTCTTCTTTTCTTTGATTCAAACTTATCAACAATTCTAATTTTTCTTCAATATTGTTAACTTTTTCATATAATACATTTAAATTTTTTTCAAATTTACTTGGTTCAATTCTTTTAATATAAGTACAAGCGATTTTTTTTTTATCACAATTGAAACAATTTGGTTTCACTTCGTCACACTTTATCTTACGTGACCGACAGTAGTCACAAGCGTTAGATGCCCTCCCTGACTTCATTATGGTTTATTGGTTAAAGTAATAGATGAATGGGCTTTGTCTTTTTTTATACCATAGTAGCCCCCGACACGTGACTTCATACCATGGATTGTGGCTGCAAAAGTCGTGCGGCATCCAATAACTCCCCAACCATTATAGTTTTGCAATCAACAATACCGTAGCTTAGTGGCTACTGCTTTAGCTAGTCAATTTTCCGTCAGTTAGCTAGTTGGATGCTTATTGGTCAATTGTTTGCTGGTTAGTCAACTGTTTGCTGGTTAGTCAACTGTTTGCTGGTTAGTCAACTGTTTGCTGGGTTAGTCAACTGTTTGCTGGGTTAGTCAATGGTTTGCAGGGTTAGTCAATGGTTTGCAGGGTTAGTCAATGGTTTGCAGGGTTAGTCAATGGTTTGCAGGGTTAGTCAATGGTTTGCAGGGTTAGTCAATGGCTTAGCTGCAAGCTAATAGTTTAGCTAATGAACATTGAAAGGCGATCAAACACTAACCAGACTCGCTAACGCCAATCTGGAGATAATCATGTGAACGGAAGTCAGTCAAGGGGTGATAAGGGGAGGCTTTGATCACTTCTTGCGATGGTCAAGTTTAGCCCAAATCATTCAGCACGTTCGTGGGTATGTAGGGGTATAGGTAGTATAGTAGGTTGTATAGTATAGTAATAGTATAGTAATAGTACAAATAATATAGTAATAGTATAAATAGTATAGTAATAGTATAGTAATAGTATAGTAATAGTATAGTAATAGTATAGTAATAGTATAGTAATAGTATATAGTATAGTAATAGTATAAATAGTATAGTAATAGTATAAATAGTATAGTAATAGTATAGTAATAGTATAGAGTATAGTAGTACAGTAGGTATGTTAGTGTAGTAGGTGTAGTGGAGCGATAAGCGTAGTGCGAGAGATAAGCGCAGGGCCAGGTAGCAAGGGCAGGTGGAGTAGATGAGTACACTGTACTGGGCACAGATGTAGGTGTATAGATATAGTGAGGTAGGCGGTGTTGAGGTGCTGGGGTGCAGCTACTGGATATAATTATGTCATAAATGTCATATATTAAATAAATAAATAAATAAATAAAGAAATAAAGAAATAAAGAAATAAAGAAATAAATTAATTGGCAGACTTTTTCAATTCAACTTTGGTAAAGTTTTTTAAATTGTTCCAGCAATTTAACGAATCGTTAGCCCATTTATTAATATTCTGATTAATCAACTTAACATTGGATAAGTTATTCTTGATAATGAAAGACGAGTATTGTTTTTCGTTAAGTATATTGAAAATCTTCAAATTATATATCAAATGACTGCCGTGCTGCAAATAAATTGAATTATTTAATGTTTTGAGAATTAGACTCAATGAATAAGTCAATAAATCAATTATAAATAATACAACCAAAGGAATACTAATACAAAGTATCAATCCTTTTGATAATTGAATCGTATACTGCTCAATAAGTAAAATCATCATGAATAATTAACTACAAAAATTGAATGAAGTAGAAATCAATACACTTTTATAAACCCCTTGGAATAAACTAAAGATTATTGCAGCTATGCACACTGCATTGTCTGATACAATCGAACCCCCCCATGTAGCCCCTCGATAATCCTTTCTAAACAAAGCGAAAGATTTACTAAAGCAACTCCGTGTGGGCGGTTACCCGGAGGTCTTCTACACTTTTCACTCACTCACTCTTCACTCACTCTTCACTCATTTTTCACTCACTAACTTTTCACTCACTCACTTTTCATTTTTCTCTACTTGTTCTTTTCTTAACATAATATATATATATATATATACATATATATATACACATATATAATATATGTCGTATACGTATGTTGATGATTATTATCTTATCTACATTATCTGATTTAAGGAAGATAACTAAAAACTGAATACTAACCCCCCTAAATCTAGATCAGCAATCGCAGAATTACAGGTTGAGGTTTGCAGGATATCCTTTTATCCATAAACACGCCTGAGTAGATTCTTATTATTAAGTTTATTAAGTTTTATTATTAAATTTATTATTAAAGTTTAGACATGTATATGTAAATGAACACCAAGGATATTATTACGAGGATAATACGATAAATACGAAATAAGGTGTTCCATTGTCATATATAAATAATGTAGAAAAACCAAAAAAAAAAAACAAGAGCTTATTCTTTAGAATTAAAGTTTCAAATATGAAATATAGTAAAAAACAATTATCAAATCAAGTTAATTCCTTAAGACCTTATAAGTCAAGATCTCAGAGACCTTGTGATTTCTGTCGCAAAAGAAAAACTTGTTGTATTATTGATAAACTGATACCTTGTATAAGCTGTATACAATTCAACCAGGGGAATTGTACTTTCAAAAATGGTCCAGTCAAGAGAATTGTTAGGAAAAAAGATGTAAAAAATGTAAAGGAGGAATTAAAATTTCCCACAATATTAAGTGAAGAAAAGATCAAGGAAGTCCCAGCCAGCTTTGATAATTCCACTTCCCAAAGCTCTTCTCAAAGTACAAGCTCTCAAAGTTCAATATATTCAGATAATTCCGATTCGTTTGATGAAAAATTGCTAAGCTTTGACTTATTCCCCCATCATCTAATTAACCAGGATATCTTTAATACAAATATTTATGATTACTACTATAATTTAAATTTTTAGTGAGTATGTGTATGTGTGTATATTATTATTATTCTTATTATTCTTATTATTATAAATTGATATATTTTTGTTCTGCTTGAGTCCAATTGATCACGTTCCAAATTGCTTTGAAATAATCAAGTTTGGCATTCTGATACTGTAAATAATAAGCGTGTTCCCAAGCATCAATGGCAAGTAAAGGTACCAAGTTCCCAGTAACCGTATCTTGATTAGCAGTAGTAACCACTTGTAACACTCCTTCATCAAGATTCTTCACCAAAAAAGCCCACCCGGAACCTTGGATACCGGCCAATTTGCCATTCACCAATTCAATCAACTTGTCAAATGATCCATACTGGCTAATCACTTGCTGACTAAATTTACTCCCGCTACTAGGTAATTGCCCCCCGTACTGGGAGGTTGGCGATAAACTCTTCCAAAAAAGTACATGGTTAGCGTGCCCACCAGCGAAAAAATTGACGTTTTTTTGCAATTCAACCGTTCTAGTTACGTTTCCTTCGATTTCCGACTCAATCAACTCCTCAATACTCTTATTGTATCCATTGACATACGTTTGATGGTGTTTGGAATGGTGAATCTCATTGATTTGGCCGCTGATGTATGGCTCCAACGCATCATAAGACCAATCTAACTTGGGTAACACCACCTTCTCTCTATTTGCTAAACTCATTCTGTAGTTGGCTCTTTATTTTTTGGACCTATAAGAATATATATCTAATAGTTATTTACTAATATATACCTAGAGTATTTTCCTCCTTCTTTCATTCATTCTTTCGGGGTTCTTTTATACTACAATGTTTATTTGCTCATATAACCACTAAACTTCTCCTTTGGGTTACGCTTTTTTGCTCTTTATATTACTCAGCTACTTATTGTATCTAATCCATTCAACTATGGCTTCTGCAACCTTGACGGGATCCTCCCGATGTAAAAAATGACCAACCCGGTTCATGGTTTGCACTTTAACCAGTTTTGTTTGTGCTAATTTTTCAGCCTCCAAATCATAAACCGACTTGATCATACACCCATCCGTTTCACCCCCCAATATTAACGTGGGCACTTGTTCAAAATTAACATTCCATCGACGTCCATCAAAATTCAAAATCTTAAATAAGCACCGGTAATATGCAGTGGATGCTTCAAGTACTCCCGGCTTTAATAACGTGCTTCTTACTTGGTCGATTTCTTGCCGGGAATACTCATAATTAGGTGACCAATATCTCCATAAATAATCAAGATAAGTATCTTCTCCAGTTTGCCTCAATTTCTTATAAAGATATTCACTTTGCATCGTTAAAAAATAACTCGATTTATACAATTGTAAAGGAATCTTAAATAAATATTCCCAAATTCGAAGATTACTCAAGTATGGTATTGCCAACGTAACCATTGAATCAACAAGCTCCGGATATACACTTGCAACTTTGAATGCAATTATAGCTCCCCAATCATGTCCAACCAAATGAACCGGTAAATTCTTCACCGGTAATACTTCATTAATCCAGCTTTTAACATCCTTGGCTATTTCTCCAACAGTGTATTCTCCTTCCGGTCCTTGACTCGACTCCTCGTACCCTCGAAGTAATGGTGCAAGTATAAGTGCTTTTGGGAAATTCTCTTCAAGAATTGGAATCACTTTACTAAAGGACGTATTGTCATCTGGAAATCCATGGATTAAAAAAATAACCCGGTTCCATCTTCTAATTGGTGCATAGACCTCCTGTTCGTGAAAATTACTTATAACACTAAACGTTCTCCTCCCGTTTTTCAATTTAATACTATGTGACATGGTAAGTAATTGATTAACTAAATTCTAGTACTCGTCCCAATACTAGTTTTTTTAAATATTATTATTGCGCAGGCATGTGAAGTCTCTTTTTTTTTCGCTATCCATGGGATATTTGCAACCTTTTCAAATGAGTGAGTCTAAACCTTGATTGCATCCTAAGTAAATAGATCGTTGAAGTACTGCCATGTGATATGCACCCATATCAAAGTGTTGGATTTAGGTACTTTGTTTTATTTGATGGTTAAAATCTGCATTATACTAATCGCGGAATTTAATCTACCAATTTCACAAGAAGAAAATACAAGATGATAAAGAAGAATATACAAGATGAATACACCGTTGTAACGTTCCTAAAACAAGTAACTGGCTCATTTAAACGCGGAGAAAAATCGTTGGTGAAATGACGTGGAGAGCGACTCATGTGAAGTATAAAAGGATAAATTGAACGAAATTGACCAAAGAATTCTCATTTGATTCTCCAAATATCTTAAAAAAATGACTGAAGCTGATTTGAGTGAGCCAGGATTTGAAGGAACCCCTTTACTTAATTTTATGAAGGATGTTTTAGAACAAGAACCAAAATTAAGAAAAGATTCTGTTAAAAAAGTCAAGGCTAGAGTTGTGCTTACATTAAGAAATAAAGAAAACCAAAAAAAATCGTGGTTTTTCGATTTCAAAGAAAATGGAACAGTTGAAAAAATTGAAGGAGACAGCTTGCCTAAAAATGATGTTGCCATTACCATGAAGGATACTGATTTTCTCAAATTGGTTGATTATAAGGTTCAAGCACAAAAATTATATTTAAATGGAAGATTAAAAGTCAAAGGAAATTTAATGAAAGCCATTAGTATTGAAACTATCTTGAAAGCCGCTGACCCCAGACCAAAATTATAATTACATATCTTAAATATTTTACATAAATATATTAACCGAATAAACAAAGTATGAGTGAAGAATAATAATAACATGAATACATAAACGAAATAAAATCCTCAAGAATTACCTTGATAAGGTAATATTTGCCCCATCAGTTAAAGATAAAGTTAAATGAGTAGACATTTTAGGAGGATAATGTTTTGAAAAATCAGCACTATTTAAATTTGGGAAAATTTGACATAAACGAACAATAATATAACTAGCTTCGGTTAAGGCAAATTGTTGACCCAAGCAAATACGAGGACCCCCATTGAAAGGTAAATAAGCCCAACCAGGTTTCAATGATTTATCAGCCCAACGTTCTGGTTTAAAAACTTCTGCATCCTCACCATAATATTTTGGATCACGATGAGTGGCTGAAATCACATAACCGATAACTCTACCCTTTTCAATGAAAACAGGTTCATTACCATTTTTACCAGCACCACGAGGTAAGGTAGTTGTTTTAGTAGCCACTCTATAATTGATGGGGACCGAAGGATATAATCTTAAAACTTCATTAATAACATATTTAAGATAATCACAATGTTTCAAACTTTCAAATGAAATATCTTCAATTCTTGCATCATCCCCTGAACCAAAATGTTCGTAGATTGTTTCTTTCAATTTTGACCAAACTCTAGGATTACGAGCTAATTCATAAAAGGTAAATGATAAAAGACCAGCAGTGGTATCACGACCAGCAATCATGATATTCAATAATTGATCTTGTAAAATCTTTGGATCTCTAGTTTCTTTAACCAATTCATAGAGGAAACAGTATCCATCTTTACTACGTTCTTCAATTTCTTCAGGAGTGGCAGCCAAAGCTTTTGAAACATAATATTTAGCAAATTTGTGAACATTTTTATTACAACGATTAAATTCAAAAGAATTAACCAAGGGGTACAACATCATAGACCAAGCTCTTGTGGCCAAGTAACTTTGGGAAGTATTAAAGGAATCATAGAATAATTCGCTTCCTTCGTATAAAAACTCGGGGGTTTCACCAATAAATTCATCTTTTAAACCATATAATGATTGTCCAAATAAAAATTCCGTTGAAGTATCAACAGTCAATCGATAGAAATAATTCTGAATATCAAATGGTTTACCCTTTTGCACATCAATATGACGAACAAGGTATCCCAAATGTTTTTCTAAAGATTGAACATGGGCCACTTTTTCTTTGGTAAAATTTGGTCTTAATAACGATCTAGAATGTTTCCATCCCCCTCCATCAAGAGTGAATATTCCATCGCCCAATAATGGTTTAAAATGGGAATTTCTAAACCCAAGAGCAAAATCGTTAAATTGAGTAGCCAAAACCGCTTTAATATTTTCTGGATCTGCAGTTGCAAAAAGTGCCATCCCTCCAATGGTAATTCTAAATGATTCTCCTTGTTCTTTAAAAATGTTCCAAATAAATTCCAACATTTCTCCATTTCTTTTGGCTTTCAAAAAGAAAACCCAATTACGACTAAACAACCATCCACTTCCCTTTAAGTAGGGTGCTTCACCACAATTCCATTTCCATTTAATAAATCGATTTTTAAGCTCGTGTAAAATAAAATAAGTAAACCCAATTAAACCAATAATGGTAAGCCAATTATTGGTCAACCAAGGTGGTAAGTCAATTTCTCTAAGCATTTTCACGATGGTACTACTTTGTTATTCATCTTCCAACATCCCGTCCTAATCTTCTACTTATATTTGATATATCCATCGATTGCAACCTGGATTTAATCTGCCTGTGAAAATGTCCCAGCAAAACACCCAGACCTTTGGGTAATAAGGTGATTATTAAGTAACTACTATGAAATAACTACACACTAACCATTTTATACAGTATAACTGAGCCCAATGTTAGCTACACGTTGAAAACAGACTTGTGATTGCAAAAAGAGCAAAAACCGACGTGCGCAAGGGCTTAATTTTAGCACAGCAAAGACACAAGAAGTCCAACTGTCAAAGAGTGCCCCTTTCCCCTCTTAGCGTTTGTCAAACATGTGAAGGCTGCGCTACTCCACATAACTAAATCAAATGCTAATCCCAACAAACCCACTAAATAGGAAGGTGAATGGGAACAGGTAAACTTTGGAAAAGGTGAAAATTAACAGAGGTTAGTTTAGAATAGGTAATGTCAAGGAGAAAAGGAAGAAGACGTCATTTAAGAGTGAAAAAGTGAAGAAAATGAAAAAGGTAAAAAAGTGAAGAAAATGAAAAAGGTAAAAAAGTGATAAAATAAGTAACAATTTTAATGAATATGAATGAAATTTAATTGGAGTCCCCACAAAATGGTTATTTACCGTGGTGGAAAAAGTATACTTGTACTCACTCACATGATAAGAATCATTTACAAGGATACAAGTATATAAGTAGATACAAGTAATTTATTCGATTTTCTTTTAGTGAAAAGAGTCCCATCAACAAATTTTCAATCATGTCCGAAGTCTTTAGCTCCATAACCCCTTTATCGAAAAAGGAAGAAATTTCTGTTAAACAAATTTATGCTTATTTATTAAAATCATGGGGTTACGATGTTAAATTAACTTTGAAAGAAATTCATGAAGAAAGTAAATTTATTGGTTCTGCAGATGCAAATCAATGTAATTCAAATAATTTCCAATCTAGTGGGTTGACAGAAGAGACTCGTAAAACATATTTTCTGGCTAGAAAAAATTTACATTATCTAGAAGGAGCACCAAATGATACTTCTCTGGAGGAGACTTTGAATGAAAAATCAAGCAAGACCCGTAGCAGCAAACATTTCCATCATCATGTTAAAGTCAATAAAGACATTACTCATCATTTATTGACCAAGTATAATCCAGAGGAGATGCATTCAAGTTTTTTAAACAGTCTTCGTAATGATACTTTTGATCTTAATACCATGCGTTATGTCGTGGCACGTGACTTTCATGTTGAAAATTCCTTACAGATGTTAATCAAGTGTTTGGACTGGAGATGGAATTCTCATCAAGTTGATGATTGGGTATACGCTGGGGATGCCGAAATTTATTGGAAAGGTAAAAAGAAGGAATTTATTGAAGCTTTCAAATTAAACCAAGCTTATTTAAGAGGTCATGATAAGGAAAATCGTCCAATTTGTGTTATCCATGTTCAAAAACATTTACGTTCAAATTGTCCTGATCATGATTTTGAACATTTTATTTGTTTGATTATTGAATGGTTTAGATTGGGATTTAAACCAAAGGAAGGCGTAAGTAAAGGTAGTATTTTATTCGATATGACTGGATTTGGAATGAAGAATGCTGATTTGGCTGCAGTTAAATTTTTGGCTTCAATGTTTGAAGCTAACTATCCAGAATGTTTAGGAATGATTTGGGTTCATAATGCTCCTTGGATTTTTAATGCGGTTTGGAAAATCATTAAAGGTTGGTTGGATCCAGTGGTTGCTTCCAAGATTCGTTTTACTAAAGGTGAAAAAGACTTGGGTCAATATATTGATTCAAAATATATTCCTAAAGCTTTAGGTGGGTCTGATACTTATAAAAATGAATACCTTCCTCCTTCTAAAGAAACTGATGATCGTAAACCAAAAGATGAAGAATTTGGTAAATTTGTTGAAGAACGTGATGAATTGGTTGCAAAATTCATGCAATCTACCATTAATTGGATTCAAGCAAAAGACGCTCAAGAATCTGCTTTCTACTTGAAGGAACGTGATGGAATTCAAAATACTTTGAGTTCAAACTATAAAAAAATTGATCCTTATATTCGGACTAGAGGTGCGTTTGAAAGAAATGGTCAATTAAAAGTTGAATAAGCCATTTTTGTATTAGACTGTATATTCACCAATATATAATATATTTTTCATTTATTAAAATATAGAAAAAAGAAGCCCATACACCAGGTATGAGAACACTTGTATCAACCATTCCATCATTGCCATTTGGATTTTTGTAAATGAATATAGAATAAAAGAGTTATTAATATAAGAAGAATTAAAAAAATTACCGAAACATGCTCAATAATCTTATTTAATTTATTTCGTTTCTTAATTTTATTTCTTTTCAATTTTGAATCAAGTTTTAATTGTCTTTTGGATTTTGGTTTTTTCAAGATTTCATATTTAACACAATATTTATAATCTAAATCTCCAATATAGTATGGATGCAACATATTGAGTGCATGTTCCAGATGGCCAACATCTTCAAATGGTTCTGTAGCATCAATCCCTCCACAGTCAAACAACACCTCGGCTCCTCCTGGATGATCCTGACTAAAATTAGTTATATTATACACCTTATTATATATTATCATCCATAAATCTTGTGGATTATCATGCTTTCTAATTTCTTCTATCGAATACACAGCTGGATCCCGATATCCTTTAACTTTGGTATCCGGAGTCTCTCGCATCGCTTCCTCTGGAGGGTTTTTATCTTGGTAAGCTGCTGCTTCACCGGCCATCGTCATCTTGTCTTCTATCAATGGTCCTTGCTCTATCACAGGAACATTAATTGGACAGTCTTCCCCGTCAATCACGCTTGAAGGTCGATATTTGCTGGTGAATTTTGGTAGCGTTATCATTGGATCCGGCTCGTATTATTATATTACAATCATTAATGTATAGAATAGTTGAATGGTTGGTCTGTGATCAGTGAATAGTTAATACTTAAAAGTGAGCGATTGAATAGTTGGTTGGTCTATGGTATATATTGAATAGTTAAGCCCTTGTATTGGCAGTAAGCTGTATAAAGCAGATAAAGTAGCTACCTCTGCTAGTTTTTGTTGAGAAGTAATTCAATACTGTGAAAAAAAAAAAAAAAAAAAAAAAAAAAAAAAAAAATAGAAAGAAAAAAGAACCTGTGTATAGTACAGCCACCCCCCATACAATAGATCTAAAAAAGGATGTTCGTAAATTTAAACAGGGGTGGTGTATATCCGAGCTAGCAATTAATTAACAAGTGGGCAATTACGAGTGCTACGGGCTACGTCTCTTATTCTAGATGCTGGTAGTAACGGCGGTTTGAAAAGAAGAACCGGAAAAACGACCAAAAAAAAAAGACAGAGAAAAAGACAAAAACAAAGACCCGCCCGTGATCAAGACCGCACATCCGTACACCAATGTGTACGGAGGTTATATTATTGAGATGTACGGAGGTCAATGTTGAAATTTCTGTTTACGTTGAACATTTGGGGAATCAAAAAGGTTTTAAGCTTCTTTAACTCCAACATCTAGCAATATGAGTTACAGAACATCCCGTAATGCATTACCATCATCCAAGAAGACCCACTCCGAGAAGCATAAGGCCATATTGAAGCAGCTTTTGAAGGAAGCCGCCAATAAGACTTGTGTTGATTGTAAAACTGCAAGTCATCCAAGATGGGCTTCATGGAATTTGGGATGTTTTATTTGTATTAGATGTTCAGGGATTCATAGAAGCATGGGGACTCATATATCCAAAGTGAAGTCTGTTGATTTAGATGCATGGACCGATGAGCAAGTTGAATCGATGGTTAAATGGGGGAATGAAAAATGTAATATTTACTGGGAATCAAAATTACCAGCAAATTATATTCCTGATCAGCTGAAGATTGAAAATTTCATAAGAACAAAATATGATTTGAAAAAATGGGTACTATCTTCCAATATTCCTGATCCTCTATCAATAAATTTGAGTAATCATAATACTTTATCTAATCATATTAATTCAAATTCTCAACCAAATATTAATCATACTTCTGTCCCTGATAAAACTACTTTTAAACAATCCAATTCTCAACCTACTTCAACAATAGATTTGTTGGGTGGTGGTAACTCAACCTCAAAGCAAAATGGTCTGTTATTAGATGATGATTTTGGTTCTTTCACCTCTTCAACTACTTCACCTCCTCCTCAGAAACCCCAGCCAGCCCCTCCAGTTAAGAACCAGTTACCTAAAGTTCCAACTCAAAATATCAGTCAAGGTAAACAATCAGCACAATCAACCGGGGGCTCTTTCAATCAAAATAATGGCCGTCAAGATTTGAAAAAATCTATTTTATCATTATACTCATCTCCTTCATCTTCGTCTTCAAGTTTTATTCAACCTTTAGCATCACAACAGCAAATTCCCCAAGTCCCACAACCTCAAGTCCCACAACAAGTTCAAAAACCAATGCAACCACAACCACAACCACAACCAAACTCACAAAATAAAAATTTAAACTCCTTAACAAATTCATTAAGTGGATTAAACTTTAATACCCAACCAAGTAATACTGTTTCAAATAACTCAACTCAAACCTCATTGAATCAACTGGCAAAATCTACAAGTTTACCTCCAGCTTGGAACAACGAATGGGCTGATACTACCCCGTCAAATAGTTCCAACCAGTGGGCTAATACATCTACAAATAATGGTGTTATTAATAGCTCGAAATTGGATGATGACTTATTTAAAAATGTCTGGAGTTAAAAGAAGACTAAATATCAAAGAATAACAGTAAACAAATGAAAAAAACAAATTTAAAAGGAAAAAGAAAAAAAAAAGAAAAATCTATCTTTTTTTTTTTAATAAAATAGATTAATAGATATTAAACAATCTGCTCAATGACCACCTGTAGTTGGTAAACCAACGTAAACTTTAAAACTATCGTAGATCAACCATTGGAAACCAGTCAAGGTACCCACCATAATTATTCTTACCGGCAATCCATTCCAAACTCCGGAAAATCCAATTTGTTTATAAATTCTTGAAAGTGCTTGACCAGTTGATTCAGTTGGTTTTTTATCACCATTGATTTTGGAAACCATCACATCGGCAGGATGGGAGATAATTGCACAAAAAATCCCAGCTATATATCCCCCCAAGAATGAAACTCCGGTCTGTTGAATAGGAGTATAGCTTGATACTGGTTTACCCAAATACTTATATATTTCCTCCACAGTTTTTTCAAAAGTTGAAAATTTAACCATAGTATAAGGTATTTGTCTTGCCCATAATGGAACCAAACCTTTATATAAACCAGCAGTACCTTCACTTGCAACCAATTTTTTCCAACCATCGAAAACATTTGTAGCATAAGGAGGAATGGTAGTTTGGGTCTTAACTTTAATCATTTCAAAAGGACATAATGCAATATCAGCTAAAAATTCTGCTGATGCACTTGCAGCCAAATAAACTCCAGTTTTATAATTTTTAAAGTTTTCTGGACCAACTAAATCACCATACGTTTTCTTGAAATATTCATAACCACAGTATTTACCTATTCCCTGGAAAGAATAACCAATAAAAGTGGCACCAAACCCAGTAAACAATCCACCGAGCCCTTCACTCTTGATAATTTTGGAAAATCCTTGTAAATTCGAAGAGTATAACGAACTATCAACTTGACGACGACATTTAACCAAATCCAAGGGACAAATAGCTGAATGGGTAGGACCACAAGCAACTAACCCACCAATTGCGGAAGCAGCATAATATTTCCCACTAAATAATTCAATTCCAGTACTTGGAGGAGGAGAAGAAGATGAAGAACCACCACCCTTTGCGGTTAGTTTCTTTACTTGATCATTAATCGGTTGCACAATTGCTTCTGCTAAATTATCAGAACCCATTTTACAATAAAATTATATCTTCAATTGCAATATTTACAAAAAGAGATAAGCTGTATTTATATTAAGGCCCGGTTCCAAATAAGGTTGCTAGGAGGGGGGTCCCGTGAAACCCGCACTATACAATTTCACCCATACATTATATATATACATCTATGTATCTATATATCAACTACGAGAAATTTCCCATTTAACATCAATAACACTAACCTCTTCTCCTGCTTGATCATCGTAATCGTACCATTCGCCGTCTTCTAAATCAACCTCGTCAAATTTGGTAGAACTTTTCAATCCTTTACATTGAAATCTTCCCTCAGGAATAAATTCAGTGAATTCAACTCCTCTTGCATCTATTTCAAGCACTGTAGTTAAAGCAACTGAAAAAACCCCAGAATCCTCATCTTGATTCACTAACAGTTGTTTACTTCTGCTTATCAGGGCAGAATGTGAGGACTTACAATTATGACATCTGAAAATAAAACTAGCCTCACCCCTGGAATCAGGTAACTCATGGTTTTCAAACTGATTGATAGTTACCGGTTTGTCATGGGCCTCTCTGCATTTAGTGCATTCAATCTTGAAAGTATATTCAAATGGACTCTCTGGAGTGTCCACTGGCTGTAAGTCAGTGACGTTACTCAATTCGGCTGCGGCCTTTAAATAGTATTTCACCATTGCAATCTGTTATCACTCTGTATTCCTCCCACTCAGGCTCTCGGGCAATCCTATTCTATTTATAATGGATGCAAAAATGGGTTTGAAGTGAATCGAATCCGTCGATTCAATTTTTCACTCTCTTTTTCATCGTGCCAATGACACATTCGGTTTTAAATCTCGGTTGTAACCTCCGGGTGGGTGCACGGGTGGTGTGCCGGTTTGTCGTCTCTTAGTGTATCTTGGTATGTCTTAGTATCAGAGTATCTTCGTATGTCTTAGTATCAGAGCATCTTAGTATCGCTCTTGGGACCGAGTACTTTCCAGTGTCAGTTAGCTTTCTGACTCATAGAAGTGTAGCAGTTTCTTCTGTTCCAGCGAGTAATCAGTCATACATTTGCAATCATACTCCGAACCGAAGAAGCCAGAAACGATAATATCCCCGGAACAGCTTTCGTCCACCAGCCAGACACCAGCCAGACACCACCAAGGCACCAACCAGACACCAACCAGACACCAACCTTATCATTCCTCTTCCTCATAGCTTATAGCTTATAGGTTAGAGCATCGGCACCCTGATATAACCCTATCCTGTGAAATACACCCATACACCCACACAAAAAGACAACCCACAAATAAACTGTGCGAGGAAAAAGCTAAAAATTATCAATTCAAGATAGGAATGGTATAACGATTTAGATTCCATACTTGATTGGCCTCTTTTGTTATTAGATTATAGATCACTAGACATTGGCATATATTCACTCTTGATGAGTTAAAAGGTTTAATTGGGTTTCTTAAAGTTTCTGTTCCTTATTCCTTTCCTTTTCTTTTTCGAATTTTTTTTTTTTTTTTCGATTTTCAATCTCATTACCGAAGGAGGATTTGATTTCTATTATAAAATTTTTAAAAGTTTGTTGGTAGGCTTTGTTTTATTTAATCCTGGTTATTTTCCTTGTTGACCGGTTATCTTTTTTTGGGGGCTGCTGTATCAAACGTATCGGATCCGGATTCTAAAGTTTACAATGACGGCATCTTCATCGTCATCACCATCTTCAGATAAGACGACTCCACAACATATAATAGATCGAGACTTCTCCGATACTATTCATGGGGAAGAGTTTGAATTTAGAGAGTCTAGAAAACCAGCATTTCAAATCACTCATAAAATAGACCTGTTGGGCCATGTTATGCCTCCGGATATTTTAACAAAGCTCTCTTCTAATCAACTAGTTACTTTAGCCGGAGCAGCTTCAGGTTTTTTAGCCGGGGTTGTTGTTTGTCCACTTGACGTTGTGAAAACTAGATTACAAGCCCAGGGAGCGCTATCAAAGATTAACGATGAGAATATTTTGAAAAAATCTCATATAAATCAAAAATATAAAGGTTTTATAAATGCATTTAAAGTTATACTTCGAGAAGAAGGTCCCAGAGGCTTATATCGAGGATTAGTTCCAATAACAATTGGATATTTACCAACTTGGACTATTTATTTTACAATTTATGAACGAGCTAAAAGATTTTATCCTAATTTTTTACATGAAAATTTAGGTTTAAATTTTAATAGTTTAGATCATTTTTGTTCTGCTTTAACTGCAGGTATGGCATCTTCAATAGCTGTTAATCCAATTTGGGTTGTTAAAACAAGATTAATGATTCAAACTGGTCAAAATTCAACAATTTATGATAAATCAAACAATTCTTTAAAACCAGATAGAACTTATTATAAAGGTACAATTGATGCATTTAAAACCATGTACAAAGAAGAAGGTATAAAAGTTTTCTATAGTGGATTAATTCCTTCTCTTTTCGGTTTACTACATGTCGGAATTCATTTCCCAGCTTACGAAAAATTAAAAATAATACTAGATTGTGATTCAAATACCGTTTTACAAGAAGGTAGACTAGGTAGACTTATCATTGCTTCAGCTATTTCTAAAATGATTGCAAGTACTATAACTTATCCTCATGAAATTTTACGAACAAGAATGCAAATTCAAAATTCCAAAAATGATAACCGTGTTAATAAAGAAACAAAATTAATAAACGCAGTTAAAAAAATTTATACTAAAGAAGGTTTAAGAGGTTTTTATGCTGGTTATGCTATTAACTTGGCTAGAACTGTACCTGCAAGTGCTGTTACTCTAGTAAGTTTTGAATACTTTAAAACTTATTTGTTAGAAATTAGTGGTAAAGCACTAGATTAATGACTTCAAAAGTTCAATAGATGTACAATTAATGTAAATTATACTCTTCTTTCTTTCATTTATTCTTCCTTTTACTATTATATATTCAGACTATTTATTTATTCCCCCCGATATTCAATCCTATTACCTTGTAGTGTGACTTTTAATCTCGAAGAAAAACCCATACATCGCAACTGATAAAGTCGAACAGAACAACAAAAAATTAGATAAAAATCAATCAACAAATTGACAAACGATCCCTACGTTGGTTAGCAAGTACTTTATCATGAGAATACAGTTCCAAAGTTTGTGGCTACTATCACTTTTGGTGACTTTTGTATCGGCCACTCCTGCCTCGGTTAAGAAGATTAATAATGAAATTAATAAAGCCAATGATAAAGCGGCTAACGCAGGGGAAGAAATCATAATTGATCCAAAGACTAATGAAGTTGAAGATCCAGAAGAAGCTGCAAATGCGGCAAAAGAAGAGGAATTACAAAAAGAATTAGAAAAGATTCCAATGCCACCAGCTCTTAATATCGAAAATTTCGATGAAGTTACTAGTAAACAATTAACATTTGTTGAATTTTTTTCACCATATTGTAGTCACTGTTTGGCATTGGCTCCAACTTGGGAAAAAACTTATAAATTGTTTAAAGATGAAATGGCAAAGCTTAACATTGAAATGAAACAAGTCAATTGTGTTGAAAGTGGTGATTTATGTGAACGAGAAGAAATATTTGCATATCCAAATTTAAGATTATATTCGCCTGAACGCGATAGAGAATCTGGTGAATATAAACCAGGTAAGCTGAAATTTGTCGATTCATACCCTAGAAATTTGATGAGAACTGAAGATAATTTCAAAAAATATATGAAAAATTCAGTAGCTGAATTTAATTCCGGCTCAATTGATTTACCAAGTGCTTCAATTGGTATTTCCGTTGACGAAATACTTAAACTTATTACTGGTGAACATAATAATGAAGAACCAGTGTTTGTCACTTTCTTCCCAGCATCTGATAAACAGTGGAAAATGACTGATGAAAACGGTAAGAGTCAGTTTGACAGAAGCTGCCTAGATTGTATCGAAACCAAACAGACTTGGGATAAGTTATCCAATCATATCTTGAGTATTGTCAAAACTGGCCATTTTAACTGCTTCACCAATCCAACTGTTTGTGAAAAATTGGGATTTCAATCTTTAACTCACCCAGGGACTCGTAGTAGTCCCAAGTTTGTAATGTTTTTACCTAGAACTGCTGGTATATTAAAAATTGATTATAATGGAGATATTAATGTTAATGCAATGAAAAAGTGGGCAACAAAATTATATGAAAATTTCCAATATGATACTGTTAATGCCAAAGATTTAACGGAAGTTATGGAATTTCGTAAAAACTTACCTTTTGAACCATTGAACTCTTATTATCCATTAGCAAATAAAATCTCGGTGGTACTTTTTTATGATATAGATACCGTTACCGAAGAAGATAAAGCAATATTACCATATTTGTTAGAACTGGTTACAAAATCTCCATTTAATATCAACTTGTACACTGCTAAGCATAAAAAAATCGAGACCAACATCGAAACTCAAGCTAAGAATTTGGTTGAATTTATAAATTATGATGAGAATGCAAAACCTTGGAAGTTTGATAGATCACTGTTTTTGGCAAGTACTTTAACTACTAAACCAACGTTATATGTATTTCGTGATAATACGTTATTTACCAGTGTTTATCAGAGTTTTGCACCCGAAGATATCAGAGATGTTGATAAATTAGATAATTTCATTAAAGCAAACCAATACCCATTGTATCAAGAACTTACACCCGAGCTATTTGAACATTATTTCAATGGTAAAGGTACCGATGATAAGATTGTTGTTACGTTTATTGATAGTGAAGATGCTCAACGTACTAACAAGGAATTTTATAATATATCTATTGCCGCTCATGAATACCATTATATGAAAAAACAATATTATTTTGAAAAATTAAATAACGATCGAGAAAATAAATATGAAAAAGTTAAAAAATTGAAAGACTCGAAAGCTGATAGCACCCAAGTGATCAAAGCAATGAGAGAAGAGATTCCTCATTACTTCAATGACAATGAGGTTTTATTTACTTTTATTGACTTGGCCAATGAACCAGAGATGATTAAAAAATTGGGATGGAATATAAATGGAGAAAAGTATCAACCAGGAGATTCAATTATTGTAAGTAGAGATGATAAATATTATTGGAATCAAAATTTACAAGGTGAACAATTAACCAATGATCCTTATAAGATGAAACCAATTTTACAAGCATTATTAGAAGGTAAATCCAAATTACTGTATAACTTGGTTGGAAGTCCATTTGGGAAACTGTTAAGATACATGGATATCATTCATTCGAGAGGGTTATTTGGATATATCCAATTAATTGCATTGATTTATGCGGCATACTTCATTATTTCAAAACTCAAAGGTAAGAAATGGAAACCGGGCCACGGAAGAAGTAGAAGCGCACAAGGGTTGGGGATATTAGGAGACATCAATCTACCAAAGAAGGATTGATTTCAAGAAAAAAAAAATATATGTATTTTATTTGTAATATAAATATGTAAAGACCAGCTTTTGTATTAACCTAAATAGTGTAAGTTTTTCGCTTCTAATTCGATAATTTTCTTATAGGAAGAGTTTAGTTCTTTAATTTCAAAATCCACCCCTGGCACTCCCTTCACTTCACTGAAAGGAGGTATGATCATTTTCGAAGGTATAATAGTACCTTTTCTAATCAAACAACAATCATAAATGATTGACAAGTCTAATAAAGTACAATTTGGCTCAATCAAAACTCGATTACCAATTGAAGCCGACTTGATGATTGAGTCGGCGCCAATTATCGTGAAAGAGCCAATACGAATTGGCCCGTGATGGGTCTTTTTCAATACTGGTGGTATAACCTGACAATTCGACCCAATGTAAGTATATTTCCCCAACTTGATAGTATGAGTTTGTGATTCGTCTTGCTGAAGCAAAGGAACGTCTCCTTGGAGTAAAACATAACTATTTACCGTTGAATGATCATTGATAGAAATACTATTTGACCCGTATATTTGAGCTAGTTTCGAGATTCGATTACCAGTAGTGGTTTCGATCCACTCTTCGCTGCTCATGCTATAGCCGTACTGAAATGGAGAAAAGAAATCAAAAATAAAACAAAAAAAAAAAAAAAATTATACAAATCTCAAGTCCTCTTCAAAATGCTAATATTACATACATACGTACATACATATAAAACAATATGAAATGCGCACGATGAAATTAGCCTAATGTAAGATGAATTGATGTTGTAGGAGTAATAAATCTGTTGATGTTTCTTTTTTCCGCTTACTTACTCCTGCTGCTTTCGTCCATTACATAAGCACTTATGTAATGGTGCCTGGTGCACAAAATTGTAAACAAGAGTCCGAATTTTGGGAAATTCAGGCATCGTGTTAATAAAAAAGATATAAATATTGATACATTCCGTTCTTTGCTACCTACTTACAGGTTGTTCCTTGAGTTTGAATAAAACAAAATGTCTGACCAATTATTTAGAATCAACTGCGGATACCAAAACTATGATTGGGGGAAGATTGGGTCCTCTTCAGCCGTTGCCCAATTTGCATCACGTTCTGACCCAACTACCAAGATTGATGAAAGTAAGCCATATGCAGAGTTATGGATGGGGACCCATCCTTCTGTTCCATCCAAGGTTGTTGAACCCACCAGTGGGAACAACGGAGAAATCTTGAGAAGCTTAATTAGCCAACATCCAAAAGAATTATTGCACCAAAGTATTATTGATAAATTTGGTTCTGATAAAGAATTACCATTTTTGTTTAAAGTATTGAGTATTGAAAAAGTTTTGTCTATTCAGGCTCATCCAGATAAAAAATTAGCTGCCCAATTACATGCCAATGACCCTAAGAATTATCCTGACGATAACCATAAACCAGAAATGGCGGTGGCCGTTACTGATTTTGAAGGTTTCTGTGGATTCAAGCCTTTGGAAGAAATTGCATTAACGTTGAAAGTTATTCCTGAACTTAGGGAAATTGTTGGTGAAGCCTTATCTGAAGAATTCATTGGTGGTATCAAATCAAATGTTACTAAAGGTGATTCTGACGATGTAAACAATCGTAAATTATTACAAAAAATTTTTGGGGCTTTAATGAACACCGATGAAAAAACCATTGCTTCAAAAGCTGCTTCTTTAGTGGACAGAGCCACTACCGATGCTAAGGTTTTCGACCAGATTTCTCCAAAATTAGCTAATTTGATTTTACGTTTAAATAAACAATTCCCAAATGATATTGGTTTATTCTGCGGTTGTTTATTATTAAATCACGTTCCTTTGAAAAAGGGTGAAGCCATGTTTTTACAAGCTAAAGATCCTCATGCTTATATTAGTGGTGACATCATGGAATGTATGGCTGCTTCCGATAACGTGGTCAGAGCCGGGTTCACTCCTAAATTCAAAGACGTTACCAACCTAGTTGAAATGTTGACTTACGACTACGGTTCAGTTGATACTCAAAAAATGCCCTTATTACCATTCCCTAAATCAAATGGTGATGCTTCCAAATCCGTCTTGTATAATCCTCCAATTGCCGAATTCGCAGTCTTACAAACCATCTTTGACTCCGTTGCCGATAAAAAACAATACTTTGATGCTTTTGATGGTCCTTCAATCGTTATTGCAACCAATGGTGAAGGTACTATTCAAATCAAAGGTTCTAACGACGTTAAAGACCTTAAAACCGGTTATACCTACTTTGTTGCTCCAGGTACTGAAATCGAATTAACCTCAAAATCTACCGACGAACCTTTCACCACTTACAGAGCTTTTGTCGAAGCCAATATTTAATTCTTATAGACTCTTTGATTAATATACTATTGATAAACATCCATACACCCCCCGCAATTCAGTAACAAATAAATCTTCCAGTAGAAAATTGTTCTTTTTGCTCGCGCCGAAAAATTTTCGGTGGTGAACCAGCGATCAATTTCGTTGAATTTACACCTGATTTGTTCTTTACACTTTTCCTATATTATTCGAAACAGTAATCAACTACAATTGCAATCGATTTCAATTGAAGGAAGTGTTTGGAATTGAAGAATTGTCTTCCCGAGAAGAAAAGAACGAAAAAAAACCAAGAGAAGGTAAAGAGACAAAAATAAGATCAAAATATATATTAAGATAACGTAAGAGAAAAATATATATCAATAAAGAAGAAATGTCTGCTGAACAAAAAGAGGTCACTGAAGTTAGTGCTCCAGGTGTTGTTGTTGCCGAAGAAACCGAAGTTGAAGTGAGTGAATCAACCCAAGAAACTGAAGAAGAACGTGCTGAACGTTTAGCTAAGCAAGAAGAAATTGACGCTCGTTCAGTTTACGTTGGTAACGTTGATTACCAATCTACTCCTGAACAATTGGAATCTTTCTTCAAGGTTGTTGGTGTTATTGAAAGAATCACCATTTTGTTTGATAGATTCACCGGGTACTCTAAAGGTTATGCCTATGTTGAATTTGAAAAACCTGAAAGTGTCCAAAAAGCAATTGATGAATTACATGGTAAAACTTTCAGAGGCCGTGAAATAAGAGTCACTGCTAAAAGAACAAACTTACCTGGATTCAGAAAAAGAGGTGGATTTAGGGGCCGTGGTGGATTTAGAGGCCGTGGTGGATTCAGAGGCCGTGGTGCCTTCAGAGGCCGTGGTGGATTCAGAGGTCGTGGTGGATTCAGAGGCCGTGGTGGATCTAGAGGTGGTCGTGGTGGCCGTGGCGGGTTCAATGCTACTAATGAAGCCTCTACTGAAGCTGGTTCTGAATAAATTCCCCAACAATTACCTTCTGGTAATTCATGATTTCCTCATATATATGTATCCCTAAATATATGTATTCCTAAATATATATATCCCTTCCAAGTATTATTGTTAGTTGTTCTTAACCGTATTAATTGTAGCTATCATAGAGTTTATTGTAGCCCTTTGACAGGAAATGAAATATGGGGTTGAATCTAAAAGTAAAGACCCATACACCACAAATAATTACTGCCCTGCATACAAACCTCCTTTCAGCTAATCTCATCGATTTTTTTATAAGTTTTTTTTTTTTTTCATAAAGACCTTTCATCTTAAGCATACACCAATAACTCCAAGTAACCATGACTTCCGTTAGAAAGAGAAAGATGGCCCGTTCTTCAGTGGGTAAAACCACCAGAAGATTGAAGGACAAACAACGTAAGATCAATATTCATTCGAATCCAATCATTGCAGCAAATTGGGATTATTCATTAACATTACAACAAAATTATAAGAAATTAGGATTAAGAGCCAAATTGGGTAGTATGGCCGGGGGTCAAGAACAGAAGGTTGAGACTTTAACTGATTTTAGAAAACGTAAAGAAGAAGAAGATAAAAACAAGCATATAACTCCAAGTGATATTGAAAATACCGATGATCCATCTAAAATACCTGAAGGTGAAGCTCGTTTGATAAGAGATCCCGAAACTAATGAAGTTATAAAAGTTGTTCACGGGACCATGAAGGTTGAAGCTCCAAAGAAAGAGAAGAAAGAAAATAGTCAAGTAGTTAATGAATTAGAAAAATTGGCTCAACAAAATGCATCACATAAAAGAGAACGTACATTATCTGAACGTGAAAGTGATTGGGCTAAATCTTTATATGAAAAATATGGTGATGATTATGAAAAAATGAAATGGGATAAAAAATTAAATATTTATCAGCAAACTGCTGGTGAAATAAGAAAAAGAATTACTAAATGGAAAAAGGCTAATAAAATTGAATAATTAATACTCTGACTTTCATTTTTTGCATCTCTATTAATAACATGAATTTTGGTATACGTCTAGTCCTTTATTGAAGATATCTTCAATGTGTATAATATTAATATATAAAATCGTTTCTTTCGTGTCTTTTTTTTTCGTTTTAGATTCTTGATGGTAAATTTTTATCAAGTATCTTATCAACAATGCTATTCATGATTGGTTTCAATTCACAATCTTCAAACAAATCAATCAATTTTTTCTTACCGTTATTTTGCTCATTATCTTGCATTTCAATCATTTCGACAAATCTGGGATCAATCGGGACATTTCCTAAAAATGTTAAATCCAATTGTTGACTCAACGATAATCCTCCTCCACTCGAAAAAATATTAGTGCATTCAGCACAATGAGGACATATAAACCCACTCATGTTTTCGACCACTCCTAACACGTTGAAATTAACTTTTTTACAAAAATTGATTTCTTTACGGACATCGGCCGTAGCAACCTGTTGAGGGGTCGTCACAATCATGGCCCCATCTAATGGCTGGGACCATCTTAATTCTTCTGCTATGGCTATATGTTCATCCGATGTACCTGGCGGTGTATCAATCAATAGATAATCCAAAGGCTCCTCAGCTGATCCCCATACAACATCTTTTAAAAATTGGCGTATCATAGCGGTCTTCTTTGGTCCTCTCCACACAACACTATTACCCCTGTCTCCAAGTAGAAACCCTAGTGACATAAGCGATAAGTTTCCTCTTTCAACTTTTGGCTTTTGGTCATCTTCATCGTCCTGATCAGTGACAGGATATTCTTTAACACTAGGTCTTTTATAAACTGAAACTGGAACCCAACCAGAAGTAGATTGATGCACTTGCTTCTTCTCAACTCCAAACATTCTCGGTAGCGACGGACCAGTCAAATCTATATCTAAAACACCAACATTGAAACCTTTATTGACTAACGTAAGTGCAGTTTGGGTGGTTACTGATGATTTACCAACTCCTCCTTTTCCCGAAAGAATAAGCACAACATGTTTGACATGAGCCAATGACTTAGGCGGCTCCTGTGGTATCGAGGAATCCATCTTGCCAGTATCTATACTTATATCTCTTTATGAATAGATCGTTCATTTAGTAATCAATTCACTAATTTTTTTTTTTCTTTGACTTCAGATAAAGCGCGACTTTTTTGATCTTTTATGTCGTAGATGACTTTTCGATTAGTTGTTGTTTTCGTTGGCCTTGATAGCTTCATACTCCTTTGGAAGAAACTTGCTAGGGTGAAAAGAGTGGTGATAAGATGAGTTCCAGATATTCGACTATTGGTGCAACACACCAAAGAGATATGAGAACCCAGTTGTTTTCGACACCCCCATCACGTTCGATTTATGCTCCTCCAGCAAGAATCGGATCACCATATGAAAAAACCAACCAGAATACTGCTAAACAGAACGAATCTTTTCTACTGTCATTGGAGAGTCAGAATAATGATGAGTTGGAAGGAATGGGGCAAAAAGTAGCCATGCTAAAGAATTTGGGGGTGAGAATGGGCAGCGAAATCAATAAATCGATCCAATTAAATGAAGATATAACAAATACTTTTGAAAAAGGGAAGATCACTTTGAAAAATACCTACAATAAGATGGTAGTCATGAGTCAACGTGCTGGTATCACTTGGAAAATGTGGTTGGGGGTATTCCTTATTGTATTCCTTTGGTTTTTCTATGTTTGGATTTTTTGAAATTAGAAAATTTTAATTTTGTAAAATACGAATAGGTTTGAACTATACCAATGATTTATGTTCAGTTCTAATGTCTAATTTATTGTTTTCACCTTGTTTTCTTTCTATTATTATTAAATTTTGCATCCATAATTGCTAGTCTTATAATGTGCTCCTTTATTTTCCGTTCATCATTCTAATTCCTAATTATATGTTTATTAGTGTATATTATAATGGTTTAGCATCCATTTTTTTTTCATTTTTCTAATTCTTTCTACAGATGATTTAATAAACTAAATCAGTTATGCATAAAATATGTAATTTACTATTAATCTAGGAATTCTTTTAATACATTGATGGATTTAAATTCTAAATTATTTTGATTTTTGTCTAGTTTGGAGTCAATTGCCCATTTGTCATTATCATCTTTAGCTTCAGGTTCATTAGGCAGATTCACACTAATGATAGTTCCTTGAGCAGAGCTGTCAGTGAGCACATTTGAGCCCAACCCATGATTTCCAACAGTTTGAGTCACAAGGTTACTTGATACTTCTTTTGGATCACTAGAAGAAGACTTTTGGATATCCTCCTTGGGTGGAGATAATTGACTATCAATTACCGCTCTGATAGGTGACGGTGACTTCATTTTAACTGCTTTGATAGAATCATTTAATGTGGATACGTTGTTAGGAAGCTTGAGAATGGACTTCTTTGGTTTTAAAGTGTGGTGAGATGGTTGGTATTTTGGAGTGGGCGAGCTATCTTTCAAGGTTCGTTTATGCTTTTTCTGCTTTCTCTTCTTTTTCAACTTGAGGTTTTTCTGTAATGTTGAATAATACTGATTAGTTTCTGCAACCGTTTGTTGTTCTTCTTCGTTTTCATCTTCTGATGTTGAATATACATCCGAAGAGTCTGAGGTAAGAATAATATCGTCACTGACATCATTGCCTTCACTGTCACTGCTAAGAGCCGAAGAATCAAACGTACAATCGCCATCATTTAATCTTAGATGATCCAATGCTAAGGACTCTTCTAGAGCCTTTTTTGCAGGTGAAAGATTTTGTTCTCCATCGACAGGAAGCTGCAGGGGGGAAGAGGCTGAATCTTCAGGAGAAGGTTTACTACCGTCTCCAAATGGAGAATATATTATATTCCCATTCGGTGTTCCTTTGGCAAAAGTTGCCGAGGTGATTGGTGAACCATTAATCCTTAGCTTCTTGAAATGTGAGACTTGAGGTGTCAGTTCAACTGTCGGTATCGATTTAATTTGAGTGAAATGATTATTTGGGTTACTTTTAGAAAATGGATATGATAATGGACTTGAGGGATTCCGTTGGGTATGATTCGTCCGAAGCACAGAGCTATATAACAAATTAAGAGGGCTATTAGCATTTTCCTTCAAAGCTTGAGATAAAGAGGGTTCTGGAATGACCAGATCAGGATTTTTGAATAGATTTTCATGCGTATTGCCATTAAAACCAAAATCCAAATCTAGATTATAATTTTTATATTTAGCTTCCTGAATAACACGATATTTGGATATTGAGTCCGTAATGAAAGATTCAAAATTTTCCGGATCTGTTATATCTGCTTCAACAGTTTGCTTAATAGGAGATCGTGTAGGTGTGGAAGGCTCTATTATTTCGAAAGTATTCACGTAACTTGCTCGAGGTTCTCTATTTGGAGTGCTAACCTTTTGATTAGAAGGAGACGAAGGTACCGGTTCACCAGAGGAGGAGTTTGGATCTCGTTCTTCACTTGACACAAGTTTAGTTAGTAACGGATACTTTTCATTTTGAGCTGAAAAAGGATGCCCCACTACATCGGAATGGGAATGAGCATGCACTCTCTTATCAATCTTCAGGAGATTACTAGCTAAAGACTTGATTAGTTGGGAAGACTTGATTGATAAGTCTAAAAGCTGAGTTATTTCAGCGTCGATTTCATTATTTCTCGATTTAGTAACAGGTACCGAATCATCGTTAGCTTCACTTCCAGAACTACCCAGATCCAGTTTAGTAAAAACCTTATTCAATTTCTTATATCTAGATACCAAATCTTTATTCAAGTTATTTGAATGCTTTGCAATTGATATGTTCTTATACTGGATCTTTTGTTCAAGAGTTAATTTGCTTCGTATTTCCTTCCTTAAATCTTGCTGATACTTTCTCGATACCCTGACTAGTGAACCAGCCAATTCTTGAGATTCACTTTTTAGCTCATTTGCAAGAATGTGATCCAACTTGAATTCTTCAATCGACGGAAGTGGATACAGGCTATTCGAGAAATTGGGTTGGTATCTTTTACTAATCAGAAATCTTCTCTGATTAGTCCTGGAAGAGATTGTGGGGTCAGAGTTATTCTTTGACGTCATTCCGAGATTGGTCTACTTCTTCTTTCACTTGGTCCAGCCAGCGACTTAAATATATCCTATATATCCTTTAAAATGAGTACATTAAACCATGAATCAGTGGGTAAGCTTGATGGAAAAGAGGAATTCGAGTATGAAAAGTTTGAAAAATCTAAATTGTTATCAGAATTGCACCATCACAAAAAAAAAAAAACAGAGACGAGGTTTTAAAAGCTGAAAACTTATAATAGAACTCAGTATGACTAGAGATTATTATACGTTGACCAGTAGAAGATGCTTATAATTCCAAGTTCGCTAGCATACATTTCGATTGCAGAATGGGTTTTCATATTATCTCAAGTCTTTGGTGGATGTTGTTTCAATGTTTTCATATTAGAAAACATCTTGTCTAATAACTTTTCCACTCATTCATTGGCGACGATTATTACGTTTTGCCAATTCCTATTCGTAGCTATAGTGTCCTACTATCCAAACACAGATTTCCGAGGATCCAGCTGGAGAAGGCTATATTTGAGGAAGCCGCAAATACCCATTCGAGAGTGGGTATTAATGGTTGTTATGTTTATAACTGTATCATTGTTGAACAATTTGATTTGGAAGTTCAAGATTGGAATCCCATTCCATATTGTATTTAGGTCCAGTGGCACGGTCATCACAATGGTAATTGGTTATTTGTTTGCCCAAAAAAGGTATTCTAAACAACAAGTGTTTGCCTCTATAATCATATCACTAGGGACTATTTTGACGACCATGGACTCCTCTCCAAAGTCACCGAATAGGGAGACATCTGGGTTTGGGGACTCAAAGTTTTTCATTGGGGTGTCTCTCTTGTTTCTTGCATCAATTATATCTGCATTTATGGGTCTTTATAACGAAACTCTTTTTAAAAAGTATGGTAATCAATGGCAAGAGAGCTTATTTTATACCCATTTCTTATCCTTGCCGTTATTCTTACTGGTGATACCGTTATTGAGAGATGAATTTCTCGTTTTATGGGATGCTCCCGAGAAGTACGTGTTCACCAATAATATTATTGTTTCTAAACAATTTTGCAGTCTTTTAATTAACATGGTATCCCAATACGCATGTACAAAAGGAGTCAACATGCTATCTGGTAGAACATCAGCGTTATCGGTCACTGTTGTTTTATTGGTACGGAAATTCGTAAGTTTACTAATTAGTATTACATGGTATGGGAATGAACTCTCCACTACATCTAAATTAGGCGCCTCTCTTGTTTTCCTTGGAGCACTTCAATACGGAATTGCCAGTAGTGGACTTAAAAATAGAATTGTTAGAAATAGAAATGAAAAAGCAGAATAATAATATATTAAAAGTTTAATATACAAACATGATCAGATAAGAGGTCTATGCAAAAGAGTAAAACAAAAAAAAAAAAAGGATATGACAATAAATTAAAGCGCAGCATGAGAGTCACCAAATGGATCACTTTCGACCGTATTATTAGTATTGGTTCTTTTGAAATTTGGTTTCTGGGGTTCTGAAAGTTCATTAAAATTAGTATTTTTGGCGGGTCTAGGAGGTGGTGGAGACTTTTTGGCAGCAAGTGAGCTACTTGAGCCTTCTTGGATGTTTAACCCACCCAACCTTGTGTCAATACTTTCATCATCAACCGTCTCTTGATCTGAACTTTCATCAGTATAATAACTTTCGTAACCTTCACTATCGTAGTTTTCATCTTCCTCGTCATAATTAGGAGCAGGATTTGAATCGTTATACCCACATGCTTGATCGAATTTTCTGAAAGCAGTAACCAATTGTTCGTTGGCACCAATTAAACTACCCAAGAATTCTTCATCCATGGCTAATACCTCTTTTGATTTAGCTTCAGGATCTCCAGCCCCAACGTACTGAAGATATCTCAATACTTTACGTCTAATCGAGCGACATTTGTCAAATTCGTTTGAAGTCTTTTTGTCATCCAAAGGAGAAACATCTTTAGGTAACGCAATTAAAAGATTATTTAAAGCAGTGGTATGAGTAACACAATCAGCAATAACTGTTCTTATTTTAGGAGCTTCAGCCTTATAATTGATTTGAGGAATTTTGAACTGTTCATCAGCATAAATAACCCCATTTTTACCAGTATTTCTTCTTCTTCTCTTCTTTCTCTTATCCTTTTTATCAGAAGCAGCACGACCATCGGCAAAATCATTCTTGGAATATGGAGATGCTGTTTTAGGACGAGGAGGAGGAGTTCTTTTATCGAGCTCAGGAGTATGAGGGGCTGACCGTCTCGAAGAAGCTTTTTGATCTTTATCAGATTCAAATACATTTGCACTGGGGGTTCTAGAATGGGTCAGTTTTGATTTAGCATGAGGAATGAACTTCCATAATGAAGACATATACTTATACCCATCCATTCCATCAAGTTCATGCTTCCAACCAGCAGCCATGGCCCTTACTTTAGATTGCACCTTACGATCATAAGACAGACCAATCCCAGTACGTCCAGAGCCATCTATGATCCCTTTTAGCACATCAAGAAGCTTATCGTCTCGGGCCACAGTAGTACCTATCTTCGGTCCTGAGTTTAAGACTAATAGCTCTAAAATATTAAGTGCTCTCACCTGTTGGTGAACACTATCCCCATACTTGATATTCTTTCTAATAGCTCTAGCAGCTTCAACTGCACCAGTTGAAGGCTGAATTTGAATCAATTGAAGTAGATCAGAAAGATAAAGCTCGAGAGTCTCATCAATCTCTTCATTACGATTGGGGGTGGACAACTGATTGATTTTAATCGTTATCGAGGTCACTGGTTTTTCTCCAAAGATAGGCATTTTTCAAAGGGATAAATATTGCAAAAAAAGTCTGAGATGAACGAAATGGATATCCCAAGTATCAATTTGCTTGAGTAATGAATTAGGGTACGGTTACCAAGGCTAGTGTAGTTTCAATGCAAACAATTTGACTGGAGAAGTAACTGATGAAGAATTGATTAAGATTTTGGAAGATTCTCATAAAATGACTTGCTCCTTTGAGATTCTTGTCTCACAATAGCTTTTTTTTTGTTCGGGTTCGTCTTTGATTTTTTGTTATTCTTCAGCTGTTAACTGTCCAGAAGACGAGACTAAGGGATATAGCCGGAGAAGCAATCCAAAAGAATTGGACAGTCAGGGAAACTTGTACATAAGTTGAGGCAAGAGAAATTGCAGTGGTGAATCGGATGGTTTTCCATTTATATCAAAGATCAAATAGACAAGAACACCAATGATTATTCCCCACATGAGAAAGACACAGCTCATACGAGTGCTTGTTGTTAGTGCAGTTATAAGTATTGTGGTTATTTATTCTGTATTTCAAATCGATTCCGTTAAAATTGCAGGAGCCAAGTTTCGAAACAACATTCATAATAAGGTTAATACGTTTATCGATGAAAAATTCAGAGATGCTGATAAATTAGTTCCTATCAAGTCTTTGAATGATAAATCAGATAAAGACAGTTACTTAGAAAAGGTAGATAAGCCTAAAGATGGAGGTCAGAAGAAAGACAAGCGGGGATTGGGAACGGACAGTAAAGTGAGAGCAGCATTGATTATAGTTGTGAATCAGAGAAACGAACTTCCTAGTCTTCTTTCGACCATGACGAATTACGAGGAGAGGTTTAACCACAAGTACAAATATGATTGGGTCATAGTGTCATATAAATCCTTACTCAATGACCATAAAGAAGAATTAGCAGCGATTGCCAGTGGAACGATCAAATTCTTCGACTTAAAGTACCAATCAGAATTCTTAACTTATAGAGAAAATACTGATAGGAAGAAAGTACGAGATGGCAGAGCGAAGCTTCGACTTCCAAAAGAATTTAGAAAACACAATACCATACAAGCAAGGCATTTCACGAGATTTCAAGCAGGTCATTTTTACAATATCGATACTATTTGGAATGATTATGACTATTATTGGAAGATTCCCTCAGGCTCTCTGTTGACGTGTGACGTTGACTACGACGTATTCGAGTTTATGCAAACAAATCAAATCAAGTATGGTTGGCTGTTAATGGATAAATTGCCAGACCAAATGCATCGGAATCTTTTGAATCACATTAAAGATTATGTACAAGATAAAGATAACAGCTACTTACCCAATTCTGATGAAGTTTCGAATAGTCTTGAATTTGTTCTTCATCCTGAAACCATTAACGAATTAAAACAAAACCAAGAAGATATATTCTGGCAATTCGCTTCTTGCGCTTATAATCCAGAATTTGAATTGGCCGATGCTAGGTTCTTTCGTTCAGCCCAGTACATGCACTTGTTCAATTACCTCGATAACTTGAATGGGGTTTATTATGAATGTTGGAGAGAGGCTCACTTCAAGACAATCGCAACATCATTATTCCTTGATTCAAAACAAGTTCATTTCTTTAATGATCTAGCAGTACAGACCTACGCCTCCAACAACTGTCCTACAAACCTTGATTTCTACATTGACAAAAAATGTACCTGTGATCCTACAAAACATAATAAACAGTTTGCCGTCACCAATAGAATAAAAGGTACTTACCAAGTGATGGCTCAAAGCGATTGCGTTAGAGACTGGCACTCCAGTTTCCATAGACCATTGCCACCCTCCTTCCAAACTAGCGAGGAATTTGAGTCTTTCTTTAGTATTTTCAACCCCGAAAACTAATATTTCATAGTAATACCATAGTAATACCATAATACCATAATACCATAGTAATACCACAGTAGTAAAACCTCCGTACAATTTATGCTCTTCGATTTATCTTTTTTTTATGGGCGAAAAATTTTTCGACTACCACCAAAAAAAAAAAAAATTTTTATGATGATCGATATATTCAATTAGTGTTTCTATAAGTTGAAAAAACAAGCCATAAAGACATTAGAAGAACAGGATGTCTGATCAACAGCAAGAGAAATTGAACCAAGATTTCCAAAATGCCTCAATTGAGGATCAACAAGGTCAAGGGGCCGCACCACAGGCATATGTGAATCCAGCAGCAGCTCCAAGTTTTGTTCCACAACAAGGATATCAACAATATCAAGGATACCAAGGATATCAGCAAGGTGGCTACCAAAACTTCCAACCTCAAGGATATCAACAATACCAACCTCAAGGATACCAACAGTATCAACAAGGCGGATACCAAAACTTTAATAATACTAGAGGTGGATACAGCAATAACAGAGGTGGATATAATAATAACAGGGGTGGTTATAACAACAACAGAGGTGGTTATCAAAACTATAACAGTTATAACAACTATAATAACTATAACAATCAATACCAACCTCAAGGTCAACCATACCAACCACAACAACAACAACCAGCAGCTGGTATGTCTTTGGCTGATTTCCAAAAACAACAATCTGCTTCTAACTTAAATAAACCAAAGAAGACTTTGAAATTGGCCGGATCTTCCAGTATTAAATTAGCAAATGCTACTAAAGATGTTGCTAAAGAAGATAAACCTAAAGCTGAAACCAAATCAGAAACTGCTACTCCAGAAGCTCCAGCTGCTACTGAAGCTCCAGCTAAAGAAGCTGCTAAAGAAACTCCAGCTAAAGAAGCTGCTAAAGAAACTACTCCAGTTCCATCTAAAGAAAGTACTCCAGCTCCATCTACCAAAGAATCAACTCCAAGTGCTAGTAGCATGCAAAAATCTTCTTCAAGTAAATCAAATAATAAGAAAGAATCTACCCCAACCACTCAAACTACCGACCAATTGATTAAAGAACAAGAAGATGAAGTCGACGAAGAAGTTGTTAATGATATGTTTGGTGGTAAAGATCATGTCTCCATTATTTTTATGGGTCATGTTGATGCTGGTAAATCTACTATGGGTGGTAATATTTTATATTTAACTGGTTCAGTTGATAAACGTACTGTTGATAAATACGAAAGAGAAGCTAAAGATGCCGGTAGACAAGGTTGGTATTTATCATGGATTATGGATACTAATAAAGAAGAAAGAAATGATGGTAAAACTATTGAAGTTGGTAAAGCTTATTTCGAAACTGATAAAAGAAGATATACCATTTTAGATGCACCAGGTCATAAAACTTATGTTAGTGAAATGATTGGTGGTGCATCTCAAGCCGATGTTGGTATTTTAGTCATTTCAGCAAGAAAAGGTGAATATGAAACCGGTTTCGAAAAAGGTGGTCAAACTAGAGAGCACGCATTATTAGCTAAGACTCAAGGGGTTAATAAAATCGTTGTTGTTGTTAATAAAATGGATGATGCAACTGTTGCATGGTCTGAAGATCGTTATAAAGATTGTACTACTAAATTAGGATTATTTTTAAAAGGTATTGGTTATGCTAAAGAAGATATTCTTTTCATGCCAGTTAGTGGTTATACTGGTGCTGGATTAAAAGATCGTGTTGATCCAAAAGATTGTCCATGGTACAGTGGTCCATCATTATTAGAATTTTTGGATGAAATGAAGACTGTTAATCGTCATATCAATGCTCCATTCATGTTACCAATTAGTGGTAAGATGAAGGATATGGGTACTTTAGTTGAAGGTAAAATTGAATCCGGTCATATTAAGAAGAATGGTAGTTTATTATTAATGCCAAATAGAACATCAATTGAAGTTGTTACAATTTATAATGAAACTGAACAAGAATGTGATGCCGCATATTGTGGTGAACAAGTTAGATTAAAGATTAAAGGTGTTGAAGAAGAAGATTTACAAGCAGGTTATGTGTTAACATCACCAAAGAATCCAGTTAAAACCGTTACAAAATTTGAAGCTCAAATTGCCATTGTTGAATTAAAATCAATTTTATCAAATGGGTTTTCATGTGTTATGCATTTACATACAGCAATTGAAGAAGTTACATTTACTGAATTAAAACATAAATTAGAAAAAGGAACTAATAGAAAATCTAAAAAACCACCAGCTTTTGCTAAAAAGGGTATGAAAATCATTGCAGTTTTAGAAATGGAAGAAGCTGTTTGTGCTGAAACTTATGGAGATTATCCACAATTAGGTAGATTTACTTTAAGGGATCAAGGAACCACCATTGCAATTGGTAAGATTACCAAAATTTTAAAATAAGCTTAGTATAGTTTAGTTTGTATTTAAAATTTCAAATATTTTTATTAAATTTTCAATTCCTTGTAAGATATTTTCATCACAACCTTTACCTTTGACATATTTAGCATGAGCAAAATCAATTAAATTCAAAGAGCTCAAAGGCCCATTTTCATCATTTTCATCATCATCGCTATCATCATCATTTGCTTCATTTTTACTTACCAATGGGTCTAATTCTTCATAGTTGACATCATTAACATGACTCCATTTACTTAAGTCAGCTTCATAGATAAACAAAAGAGAACCTGATATTATTCTAACTTCAGAATCAATCAATGTATTGTAAATTAACTGTAACCTCTGTAAAAATCTAGTTAATAATTTTCTTTGATAAGATAAGTTACCAACATTGAAATATAGATCAATTGCTTCCACGATGTTTGATTCATTCAATGATCTTCCGAAGAACTTATCAAATTGGTAATAAGAATCAGTCAAGGTAAAAGTATCACTTAAAGACTCTAATTTTGAAGGGAACTTAATATTGTTATCATAAATTTTCATTCCGCAAATTCTAAATCCATGACTACCGCTCGTTGTTGACCGACTTACTTGACGAAGACGTTCTTCTTTCTCTGGAGTAACAGTGTTATCAGTCAATTTGGATCCCAATTTGATATCCAATATATTTGGTTTACTAAAAGTATAATATAAATTTTGTAATACAATATATTGTTTATCATCATCATTTCTCGATTCGCCTTCAACTACTTCATCAGTCTTCATAACAATTGTTTCATTTGAAGGCTTTTCTCGGGTGCCCTGAGTCAAAGTTCCGTAAAAAATTGGCATCCAATCACTTAGCACTGAACCAATGGGTGAATCATCATTAATTGATTGACTTTCGAGATAAAAATCAATTTCTTGTTGATTAGTCAACTTTGCAAACACACTCGACGAGTCTTCTGATATCAAGCAGCCATCATGGCCCGCTGCTTGGTGCTTAGAAGGTACCAAAGACCCTAGATCAATCATTGGTGTTCAAAGGATAAGACAGTAGTAGAGGTTTTATTCATACTAATAAAGGGAGATGTACGGGTGTACACCATTTTTTCCACGAAATGAAATGTCGTGCTCAGAGAAATGTCGCGTTCCTTAATAACGGGTAATTATTGAGTGACTTCAGCAGTACCACAGCTTCCACAGGGAATTTCCACAGGTTCAAAAGTGAAGTTGCCATAGTGGAATTACTAGCTCGGCAGGTCCTCCGTCTACATTAGACCCATACTGGAGAAATATTTAGAAGTGTTAAGAAGTTGCAACTTCGAGCGTGCCCCCACCGAGAGCGTACACCCGTTCACCAGCAGAATGGCTGAGTTTTGTCGAGCACTCATTATTTTTGTTTTCTTTGTACACGATTTTTTAACTTGAAAAAAAAAAGACAGGTACTTGAAATAAATATAAGTTCATCGGTTTAGTTGGAATAGTTAACAGACCACTCTAATAGTAGACAGTTGGTAAGAGTTGATTGATTGATTGTCAAAGATGAGTAATCCGTACGGGCAAAGCTACGAGATGTCGAATTATAATAAATATTCTTCATCGGGAGAAGATGATTTTGTATCTTTTATGAATGAAGTTCAAGATATAAACAATCAATTAGATCAATATTCGAATTTAATTAATTTAATTTCCAATAAGCAAAGAAACTTATTGCAAGATTTAGATTTGAACGAAGAAGATAGTGAATATAATTCGAAACAAATTGATAGTTTAGTATTAGAAGCACAATCATTACAAAATAATTTAAAGAATCGAATTAAAAATGTTCAAACCCAAGCAGTTCAGTCTAGAGATCAAACCAAAATTGATCAAGCAGAGAATTCCCGGGCCAAATTTTTAGAATTAATTCAAGAATATAGATTAATCGAAGTTAAAAATCGAGAACAAACCAAAGTACAAGCAGAAAGACAATATCGTATTATAAAGCCTGATGCTAGTGATTCTGAGGTTAAACAAGTTATTGAAGAAGGAGGAGATAATCAACAATATTTCCAACAAGCTTTATTACAAAGTAATAGAAGAGGAGAAGCAAGAACCGTTTTAAATGAAGTTCAAATAAGACACCGGGAATTATTAAAATTAGAAAAAACCATGGCCGAATTAACTCAGTTATTTCATGACATGGAAGAATTGGTGATTGAACAAGATCAACCAATTCAACAAATTGATGAACAAGTTGGTGCTGCTCAACATGACTTAGAACAAGGGGTGGGTCACACCGATAAAGCAGTTAAAAGTGCCAAAAGTGCTAGAAAGAAGAAATGTTGGTGTTTCTGGATCTGTGTTATTATTATTGTTATTATAGTTGCAATTATTGCCGGTTACTTTGGTTCAAAGAAGTAATCTTCTCTAACCTTTTGTTTTATTCCACCTAATTTTCTCCATACTTTAATTTTTTCTCCATAATTTACTAATCTTAATGTTTCTATAGATTAATAAAAGTTAATTCCTCGATTTCCCTTCGGAGTATCCTATCGTATACTATCAGTGGAGTAATTCCTTATCAGTTTTAACCTTGGCCGTTGAAGCCGTGGTGTGCGGGTGTTCTGCTCCCCCCGTTGGAGCCCACCGGTCTGCCTTATGCCTGAACATGCCTGAACCACCAAGACAATCCCGTAACAATCCCTCACAATCAAACAATACCTTTCTAACCTTAATGCTAATCGCCTTCCCCTTCACCTTGATCCCCTGGCTGCAAAAGCTGTATTGGTTTGGCATGTGCTGACGTAAGCAGCGCTTTTCCCGCGGCGATTCCGATCAGATTTTCCTTTCTTTTTCTCTCTTTTTTTTCTCTCTTTTTTTCTTTTTTTATACGGAAAAATTGGAATTGATACAAAATGGTAAATGCCTTAAATAAAGTTGACTCTAGCAAAACCGTAGAAAATAACAGGGTATACAATCAGATACAATCAGACTCGGAATGGGATTATCAGCAGCAGTAATTAGCTAATTAATTAAAGTTCAAAATTAGGCTTATTTTGTAATTTACTCATTCAAGGTAGTAGTTGCCTGTTAGATAAGTTAATATTAGATATCGTGATGGCCGCACCGAAAAAAAGAAAAATTTGATTGGCAAAATGCCCCATCGCATATAAAAGTATCTTATATTCCAATGGAAAATCCCAGTATTTCAAAGTCAGAAAATCAATTAGTTACTCTTTAACGGTATCTTTTCTTTTTGTTCTTTTTTCTTTTCTAACATGAGTTACGATCCAGAAAAATCAGTTGGTGCTTCAGCTGATTTAAAAAAGAAATCTAGTTACGACTCTTTTGAAAAATCTTTGGAAGATAATTCCAATTCTGCAGCCGAAGTTTCTAATGAGAAATTAAACTTTATTGATAGATGGGCCGGTAAGTTGAATGCTGAAACCAAGGGTATTGAGTTGATTACCGATGAGGAGAAAACCGAATCGTCGGTTTTGAATGCTGCTACTATGTGGTTGTCAGCTAATTTGGTTATTGCAACTTTTTCCTTGGGTGCCTTGGGTATCACGGTATTTGCTTTGAGTTTCTGGCAAGCAGTCTTGACCATTATCTTTTTCGCTTTATTGGGTGCTACCCCAGTGGCTTACTTTTCTGTTTTCGGTCCTAAATTAGGTTTAAGACAAATTTTCTTATCGAAGTATCTTATGGGTAACTATGCCATGAGAATCTTTGCCTTTATTAATATGGTGGCTTGTGTTGGTTGGGGTGCAGTCAATATCATGGCTAGTGCTCAGTTATTGAACATTGTTAATAACGGTGCTTGTCCTCCTTGGGCCGGTTGTCTTATTTTAATTATATGTACTATTCTTGTCACCTTTTTCGGTTATCACGTTATTCATGCTTATGAAAAGTATTCTTGGATTCCAAATGCAATCATTTTCCTTATCATCATTGCTAGAATGTCAATGAGTGGTAACTTTGAATTTGGTGAAATGAAAGGTGGCCCAGTAACCGCTGGTCATGTCTTGAGTTTTGGTGGTACCGTTTATGGGTTTGCCACTGGTTGGACTACTTATGCTTCGGATTATACCGTTTACCAAAGAAGAGACTCTAATCCTTGGAGAATTTTCTTTGGGATCTTGATTGGTTTATATACTCCTCTTGTTTTCACTCTTATCTTGGGTGCTGCTTGTGCCACTGGTACTTTGAAAGATGCACGTTGGAATGAATTATACCAAGCCAAATCTATCAGTGGGTTGGTTTATGCTATCCTCGTTGAAAAATCATTACACGGATTTGGGGAATTCTGTTGTGTTTTATTAGCTTTATCAACCGTTGCTAATAATATCCCAAATATGTATTCGGTTTCTTTAAGTGCCCAAGCCCTCTGGTCAAAATTAGCTAAAATTCCAAGAGTCTTTTGGACCATTGTTGGTAACTTTGTTACTTTAGCAATTTGTATTCCTGCTTATTATGAATTCGATTCTGTCATGGAAAATTTCATGAATTTAATTGGTTACTACTTGGCCATTTATCAAGCAATGTGTCTCCTGGAACATTTGATTTGGAATAGAGGTAACTTTGCCGCTTACGATTATGAAAACTTCCAAGATAAAACCAAGTACCCCGTTGGTATTGCTGGGATCTTTGGTTTCTGCTGTGGTGTTGCCGGGGTGGTTATTGGTATGGATCAAACCTGGTACGCCGGTGTTATTGGTAGAAGAATCGGTGAAGGTGGTGAAATTGGTTTCGAGTTGGCCTTTGGCTTTGCCTTTATTGGTTTTAACTTGGTTAGACCTTTGGAAAAGAAATATATTGGCCGTTAATAGAGTGTATACTAGTAATTTATGTTTTATGTATTAATCGCACTGTAAAAATTTAACTCGAAACTCTTGAGCTTCAACTTCTTCACAGAATGACAGTTGATCCTGGCTATTTCATAGCATCTTTATTCACTTTTTTCATTTTTTGCATGGTCATTGTGGGTACCGTACCCCAATTGAGAGTCCTATTGACCTATGGTAAAACCTTATCTCCTCAATCTTCCAATTTCTCTTTGATCGATCTTGCTACTTCGTTGACGGTTCCCAAATCTTTCTTCACTCATTACTACGTCTTCTTCACCTTGAACTTACTCGTGCTCAAACTCACCATCATTGGTTATAAATACACTGACTATATTCCGATTATTGATGATGTCAACTACGAATTATACTCAATTTTTTACTGGTTCTACATTCTTCAAGCCATAAGAAGATTCTCCGAATCAATTTTTATATTCAATTATGGGGAAAATTCAAAAATGAACGTTAGTCATTACATCTTAGGGATTGGTTATTACCTTGTTGTTTCCTCAAACGCTATTTTATCCTTAGTCCAATATGAAAATTCTCCATCCTTCGAATTTAACTTATTGAATTGGAAAATCGTGCTTCCCTTTGTTATCTTCTCCCTAGCTTCCATTGATCAAACTTTAAACCATATCCATTTGGCCCTGTTGGTCAAGTATACTAACCCTTCTAAAGGTTTGTTCAAATATATCGATTGTCCTCACTACTTTGATGAAATCATCATCTACTCAACCTTCCCCTTGACCATCTTGTTATTCAAAGGACTCCAAAGTTGGAATATCTACGATATAAACTTGGTTTTGGACTGGCTCTTTGTCATAACCATTTTATCAATCAGCTCCCATTCCAGCCATAAATTCTACCAAAAAAAATTCGATGACTACAAACAAAGATGGTGCATCTTCCCCGGAATCTTCTAAGTAATACATAATCATCCCCCTATAGACATGTAGTTTCCTCGAGTTCAGTTATGACTTTTAGTCTCGAGATGAGATATCCCGTCGTATATCTTAGTTAGTTTTTTTTTTTATTAAGGTGCGATTGGAAACTAACAATCATAACATCAAAGCACTAACTGGTGGGACTATTAATTGTCGATGTACCCATTACGACGCTACACAGATATAAGCAATTGATAGCAACTATCGCTGGTACCCAGGGATTTAATAATTTTGAATATATAAGCGTTTTTTTCGATTGGTGATTTTGTCAGGATAAGTTGTTTCACAATCAAGCAATGGTGCAATTTGCTTCGCTAACTGCCATAAATAATTCCAAGACTCCGTGTCCAGTGCATGCTAGTTTGAAAGCTTCAAGTACTAGTATAGTGCATGGGTGTCCTGGTGTTCCACGAAGTATACCCAGAATCGAAACGGTTATTGAATTAAGACCAGCAAATGGAATTCCATTTACTTGTAGATCAGTTGGAGTGGAATTAAGAACAATTCAAAAAGTTAGTGTTCCTTCTACAATTGGTTCGAATGACACTTTCAGAGAATATAAAATATATGAAGATCCTTTAATCTACGCTCCTCCGATAGGAGAGTTTTCTCAGGAGTTGTTGGCAATAGATATCCCAATCTTAATACCTTTGCCTAAAGATATAATATCAAGTGGACAATTTCCTCATTGGAATGCTTCTACTATTCACAAGCTTTTGGTTAAGATAACTTGTGGCAATTCCCATATCGATGAACTTAGTTATATTGAAAGTTTCCCTGTCGTGATAAAACTTTATGATACTCTACCATTATACCGTCAATATAATGAGCCAATTATTGAATCAAGAACTTCCTACGATAATCAAGTGATTGCTGACATTTCATTACCGATATCTTCCGTGGGGCCAAAAGATGAGTTGATTGTATTTACCAAGATCATGACCAATGCATTAAATTATAAAATTAATAAACGATTAAGATTAAAACAACTAACAATGCAAGTTAAAGAGATACTAGAATGTCACGAAGGCGGATTGCCTGTGAGGAAAGAACACAAATTATATTCAAACACTCAAAACTTTGAGGATCAATTACTAAATTCGTCAGGTATTTCTTATGAATTCCATTTAGATTTCCCAGTCGAAAACGATTACTTGCAATTATATTCTCCAAATAATTCAAACTTTTCATCCAGTCAAACTAGTCAATCAAGAAATAATAGCATAGATGAGGAAGTTAGTCATTCAACTGCTTATTTTTATAAAAATCGAAATTTTGATAAGATTAGTGAAGGTGTCCCCATAACCCATGTTCAAGGCTTCACGACTCTGGGGAAATTGTTTTCGATTAAATATGAAACTATCATCAAAGTAAAACTTAACCATGCCAAAGATATGGAAATTCATTTGCCATTTACGGTTAGTACTTATGATCGAATTAGTAGTGATTATTTACTCAAGTGGATTATGAAAGAATGTCAAATAGCCAAAATGAAATTTGGTAAAAAACTAATAAACAAAATTGCTCTAACCCATGATTATGATAACATGGTTAACTTATTGAGAAATTTTAATAAACCACCGGTGGTTTATAGGTATACAAGACAAGATTGGGTCAGGTTGGGTTTCAATCTGGAAGCTTTTGGTAATAACGACAAAAGCTTGGTGGATTATATTGATTAAACAGTCGGAAGTTTAACCAATTTCTGTTTCTTTTATAGACTTTATCATGCTACAACGACATTACAAGCAATTAGTGTAGTAAATGTATTGATAATTGCAAAAGATCTTGCGATCAAAACTTTTGAGCGAAAACTGAGTACACTAAAAATCGATTAAGCAACTCGTTTCTTCACAATTGATTAGGCCATTTACACAACACCATGGCCGATAACAATGCTATTCCCTCGTTTGCACCTACATCTACCACTTCATACGCACCGTCGAATTTCAATGCCGGTTTATATCATCAAGAGATCACTAAAGCCAGTTTGATCAAATCCAATCAACATAAGGTGGTTTATGATTCATTAGCAGAAGCATATTCTATTATAACTGTATTAGAAGTGATTGAGAATTCTTTTTTAAAAGATTATATAACTGATAAGGAAAAATATACTTCTATTACATTGAGATTAATTAATCAATATCAAATGATCATTAAAGGATTTGAAAATGACGAATTAAAATATCAAATATTGAATGATTTATTTAAAGACTTGTTACCAAATTTATCAAATTTAGTTGATTTGATAGCGAAGAAATTTAATTTAGATACTCATTTAGCTATAAGCCGGTTAAAATCAGGTATACCGGCAACGATTGAGCATTTACATACCCGAGTTGAGTCCCATGCCCATAATGATGAACAAGCAGTAACTTCATCTACATCTTCATTAAATAAGGCCAATAGTTCCAACAAGGCAAGTGCAAGATTAGTGGCCGAAGCCACTGGGTCTTTCATTACTATGATGGATGCATTAAAATTGAATTATAAGACCAAGGATCAATTACATCCATTATTATCGGATTTAGTGGTGAGTTTAAACGATATGGTTACAAAGAATAGCGAAGAAGAAGTAGAGGAAGAGGAAGAATTCAAACCGATTGAATTTCAAGGAAAATCAAAATTAGTTAATTGGTTAATTAAATTAAATAATTTACAGGATGAAGAATTGAGTCAAGATGAGATTAATTTATTTTTAAAAGATTTAGATAATGCTTATAAAGGTTTTTACGCATCTTTAGAATAGGCATTAAATGATTGATTCAATTTGTTCGGCGTAATTTAAAACATTTTTAATAATACCAACGTTATCCGAGGTTAAATCAGAATCATTTTTAGTTGAATTGAAATAAATTTTACCATTATTGAATTGCCAATCTTCAACTTCCAATTCATTTTTCAAGAGATTTTCAAAAACTTGGTCACTTTGTTCTTGGGGAAAGTATAACAAGTTTTTGCAATTTGAAATTGGTATTGATTCATAGGTTCTTTCTAAAGATTTAGCAATTTCAAATCTCAATGCATTAGTTAAAGTATCGATGAAGTGATTGTATTCTTTGCAAGGTAATGCATGTTCGTCATTTTTCAATAATTTCCAAATTTTAATATAATTACCTTCCATTAAATTTTTTTCCAAATTAATTGGAAATTGTAAATATTGATCTTTTTCAACGTTATATTTTGTTGAACTATAAATACTTTCTAATTCTATATGGAATTTTGATATTAATCCTTGTGATAATAAGTATAATAAGTATAATGATATAATTTTAGTTCCGTCACTATCTATTTCTTTCTTAGAGTGTAATTTATCATTTATGTAAAATGGTTTCAATTGAGCAAAATAATTTTCAAATCCTTGATAATTATTACCCAATAAACTTGATAACGTTCCAATTTCTAATATTCTTTCCGCAATCTTTAAATCGTTTAATTGATCTTTGGTTGATGTATTTGATGGTAATGGAACCAATAAATTGTGTTTAATCAATTCAATCTTCACCGGAACCAATATCTTTTGACATTGGCTATATTCCTCGCGTTCGAACAATTGATATAATTCTGCTGTGAGCTTCTGTAATGACATTGTCTGGAGTTTGCAATGATAAGTACTTGTATTAGCTGAAGAAGTAAGTCAAGTCTCGTTGCCACCTTTGAAATTATCGAAGCGGGTCGTGTGCGGGAGGCAAATAACACCTCCGTACATTTTTAAATTTATACAACACCCGTACATTTAAATATTCATAAACCTCCGTACAGTTTTTTTTAATCAAAAGTTCATTTGGTACACCCGTGCACCTGCTTCTAGGCCAACCTCCCATCCCAGCCGTATCACCACCACCAACCCCAGAAGCCCTAACCACCGCTCCTCTCGACGCCAGCCAGCCCAGCACGCCCACCCAGCAGCCACCTCACCTCCTGGTAAACGCTGCCCTTCTGGGAGTATGACTCTTAGCTGTTATCACGGGATGATTCATTTCTGAACCGGTGACGGTTTTGTCCCTCGGAAATCGCTTGGGATGACTCAGATCGATGGGAAAAGTACGGGGCGGGAAGCAGTTCCGGGTGGAGCTTAGCGTTTTCTGCGAAAAGTTTGCAAAAAAAAAATGGAAAAATTTTCGTTTTACGTTGGATTATAAAATCGACCAAGTCTGCACTTTCTTTTATAGATACGATAGAGTAGGTATATCAGGAGAATGTGTGGTATTTTTGCTGCTTATAGACAACCAGAGGTTGAACAGTTCAAGGCTAAGGCTTTACAATATTCTAAAAGAATCAGACATCGTGGACCAGATTGGTCAGGTAACGTTATCTCCAACAGTACAATTTTATGTCATGAAAGATTAGCCATTGTTGGTTTAGATTCTGGTGCTCAACCAATCACTTCTCAAGGTGAACAATACTCATTGGCGGTCAACGGGGAAATTTACAACCATATTCATTTGAGAGAAGAGTTTAAAGAATATCCATTCAAGTCATTATCAGATTGTGAACCAATCATTCCCTTATATGAAAAATATGGTATTGATGCACCAAAATATTTGGATGGTATGTTTGCTTGGGCGTTATACGATAAAAAGGCTGATAGAATTGTTGCTGCCAGAGATCCAATCGGGATTACCACTTTATACATGGGTAAATCCTCTACCAACCCAAAAACTCGTTATTTTGCATCGGAATTAAAATGTCTTATTGATGAATGTGATGAAATCTTTGCTTTCCCTCCAGGTCATGTTTATGACTCAAACACTGATGAAATCACCAGATACTTCAACCCATCTTGGTGGAACGAATCTAAAATACCCGAAAAAAGAGTTGATTATAAAGAAGTTAGAGAATCTTTAGAATTAGCCGTTAGAAAAAGATTAATGGCTGAAGTTCCTTATGGTGTTCTTTTATCTGGTGGTTTGGATTCTTCCTTGATTGCTTCTATTGCTGCTAGAGAAACTCAAAAAGCTGCTCAAGCTTTTAAAGATGGTTATGATGCTAATAAAGAATTATCAGGGGTTGATGATAAAGGTTCTTTACATTCTGCTGGTTGGAACCAATTACACTCTTTCGCCATTGGTTTACCTGGTGCTCCAGATTTAATCGCCGCTGAAAAAGTTGCCCATTTCATTGGTACCATTCATCATTCTCATACTTTCACTTTAGAAGAAGGTTTAGATGCCTTGAATGATGTCATTTATCATTTGGAAACTTATGATGTCACCACCATTAGAGCTTCCACTCCAATGTACTTATTATCAAGAAAAATTAAAGCCCAAGGGGTTAAAATGGTTTTATCTGGTGAAGGTTCCGATGAAATCTTTGGTGGTTATTTATATTTTGCTAATGCTCCTTCCGCTAAAGAATTTCATGAAGAATGTGTTAAAAGAGTTAAAAACTTACATTATGCCGATTGTTTAAGAGCTAATAAATCAACCATGGCTTGGGGTTTGGAAGCTAGAGTTCCTTTCTTAGATAGACAATTTTTGGATGTCTGTATGAATATTAACCCTGAAGATAAATTAATAACACCAAAAGATGGTAAAATTGAAAAATACATTTTAAGAAAAGCTTTTGATACTTCTGATGATCCAAGTGCTAAACCTTACTTACCAGAAGAAATCTTATGGAGACAAAAAGAACAATTTTCTGATGGGGTTGGTTACTCTTGGATTGATGGTTTGAAAGATGCTGCTGAAGCCGCAGTCACTGAAGAACAATTGGCCAATCCAAAAGCTGAATGGGGTGACGACGTTCCAACCACTAAAGAAGCTTACTGGTACAGATGTAAATTCGATGAAATTTTTGGTGGTTCTAAAGCTGCTGCTTCTACTGTTATGAGATGGGTTCCAAAAGCTGAATGGGGTTGTCATGCTGATCCTTCTGGTAGATATGCTACTACTCACGACCATAAAGTCGATAACTAATTGTAACTTGATTTCTTTAGTTCAACATTTATCTTTTCTTTCTTTGTCTTAATAAATCTATTGTACATATTTTATATTTTTATGGTTAACCTAACTATATGTATATTACAGACAAAAATGAAAAAGGTCAGAATAAAATTTTCAATATTATTTAATTTATCTTGTAGTTATCAAGCAAAGTTATACTCTTTGATCCAATTTTTAACCTCTGCTTGATCCCTTTTGAACCAGGATGCGTTAATTAAAATGTTGTCCAACCCTTGTTTATAAGCCCTTTCGAATCCATGAACATCCTTGTCACTGAAAAAATTTTCAATTTCGTCATGTTTGGTACTTGATTGATAGTTCTTAAAAGTTAACTTAATAAATCTATCCAAAACAACCATATTGGTAGACATTAATTTATACAAAGTCTCATAGTTTGCTGCAAAAAATTTCCAAAGCTTGTCTCTGGTGGTAACATTACGAGACAATGGTACACCCAAGAAATGAGAATCCATAATCGGAATAATGTCTGGTTGAATCAAGTAGCCAATCAATTTGGTAGATAAATCATCATTGTTAATGTGACCTAAAGCAGTAAGAGCAACTTCACGAGAGTTTAAAGAAGTTGGATGAGTAACTTCTTTTAATATACTCTCAAAATTACTTTCAGTGATCAATTCAGAAGATGAAACAATAGTCGTGAAAACGAAAAGTTTCAAAGATGGATGAATTGCCTTACCCTGTTTCCAATCTTCGAAAAGCTTAACAGCATATTCTTTAACTTCTGGAACTCCAAATAATCCAGCATGCTCGAATATTTCTGCTCTCAATTTAACTTCTAAAAAGTTGTCTTCATCTAATTTAGCATTTAATAACTTGATTGAAAGTTTTGAATAAAGTTCCTTGGAAAAGTTAGTCAAGCCCCTGGTTAAATCATCATCAACACCACCGAATGTTGTTAATAGATTACCAAGTCTTTTTCCTAATTCTAACCAAACAACATACTCCTCGCCGAGAGCATCATGATCGATAACAACCGCTTTTAATAATTTCAATAAAGTTGTAGTTGAAGTATATTTGTCACCTGTGATTGCAATAGAAGCGACATCAGCTATAAATCCAATCTTATCCTTTGTAGATAATTGATCAAAGTGTGGCAAAATGTTATTTTGCAAGATATATGGGGAGTAATTCACACGATATGCTCCCTTTGTATCTTTATTCAATTTGAAAAATTTATCGCTATTTTCAAAATTAGTAATACTTTTACTTCTGTCCTTGAGGACTTCATCGCCCATTATAATATCTTTGGTACCAATACCAGAGCTGAAATTGAGTGGGACCCACCAGACGGTTTCATTCTCTTCGGGTTGAAGGTCACCACTACGTAAGTACCTAGATTGACTGACACTCAAGGTTTTCGAGTCGATATCAAGATCAACATTAATTATTGGGTAACCAGTTTTCTTGACCCAATTATCCATTAATTCATCAATAGGTTTTCCTGATGTCTCACTAATTGCTGACCATAGGTTATGAGAAGTTGCATTACCAAACTTATGGTTATTCAAGTAATTTGCAACACCTTCTAAGAAGACATCAGTACCTAAATAATTTGAAATCATAAGAATAGTTGATGAGCCCTTTAAGTAGGAAATTTCATCAAATAATTGATCGATATCCAAGGCGTCATTAACTGGAACCTCAATGGAGTGAGAGTTTCTTAATGAATCGAGATCAAGAGCAGCTTGTAAGGATTCGGAAACGAAAACAGAAAAGAAATCCCACTCAGGGAATAAATGGTCCACTGCAAGATAACCAACCCAAGTTGCAAAACCTTCATTAAGCCAAAGTTCATCCCACCATTTCATTGTGACCAAGTTACCAAACCATTGATGTGCTAATTCGTGAGCAACAACGTATGCGACCTTCTTCTTATAAGATGGATCTGATTTTGATTCTGAGTACAAAAGAGCAGTACTACGGTAAGTAATAAGGCCCCAGTTTTCCATGGCATTATGTGAGAAAGAATGAACGGCTATCAAATCAAGTTTGGGAAGAGGATATTTGAGTTTGAAAATTTTACTATAATAATCAATAATTTTTGGAGTAATACTAAGAGCAAATTCCGCTTCTTCTTTAAAACCTTTAGTAGTATAAATACGAACAGGGAGTGGTTGATCGTTATAGTAAGTGTTATCAGTAAAAGCTTCGATATATTCGAATTCACCAGCAGCCCAAGCTAATAAATAAGTAGACATCAAAGGAGTTTTGTCAAAAGTAACTTTTTTCAAGCTGCCGCCAATTGATGTAGCCTGAGCGACTGGAGTATTACCCAAAGCATCCCAGGCACTGCTGATGGTAACGTCAACAGTGAAAGTGGCCTTTAAGGCTGGTTCGTCTAAACAAGGAAAAGCTCTTCTAGCATCTGTGGCTTCAAATTGAGTTGATAACATATATTTAACCTCTTCGTTTTCTTTATAACTAGATTTATAGAAACCGGCCATATTAGTCTGGATGATGGCATCGTATTCTAAAGTTACTATGAACTTAGCTGTGGAAGAAGCCTTTAAAACTTCATCAAATTTGATGATAAAATATTCTTTTTGCTTGACCTCTTCGATTGAAGCAACTGCCACCTGTTTTTCAACACCATCAACATATAAAGCTTTAATCTTATCGGCTGAAACGGCTAAGTCCCTGTAGTTCAAATGCAACTCTTGAGTATCTTCAATAACATTCAAATGGATTTTAACCGTACCTTTAAATTTTTCTGCCTCAATATCAATACCATAAATCGAAACATCGTAATGGAATGGTTGTAAGGCAGTAGGTAACGCCTCGTAATACGGCTTACTCGTATCCCTTATTTTTCCTTCTTGACACATCTTCGAACGGGCCAAACTTAGAATACTTTCAATTGAGGAAGAAAACTGGCAAATTATATCTCTAAAGCCATCTCTGGTGGCTCCAACGGCATCACCCCATTACACAAAGTCCGTACACCTCATAATTTGCATTAGAATTTATGGGAAGTACATCGATAGTCTGAAATTTGCAGTATGAGAGCTACAGTCTAAGGCATTTGATCGTAGTCAAGGTACTTTTAAAACTATATGTGTTTCTAAATATTCAAGTCTACAGGTAGGCATGACTTAAGTAAAGGCTCATCAGAGAAAGGCTTTGAAAACGCTTAAATAGAATGCTCATACAAGATAGTTTTACGAAGTCAATAAAAGCAAGCTGGAATAAGAAATATTGAACTAAAACAGGAGATGCCATTGTATCCAAACCACTGGCGGAGATAATCCGAATGATGATATTGAAGATCTGACATTACCGTTCTTAAAATTGAATTGAAAGGTTGTAATAATAAAACTGGATTTAGAATGTAAAGAACAAAAAGAAAGTATAGGGGAAAAGTACAAGGGAAGAGTTCGTTAAGTTATTAGACCATTATCTAATCACGACGTTTGTTGTTGAATTTATTTTTGAAACCACCTCTTTTGTTATTCTTGAAGCCTCTTTTATTATTATTTCTGTTTTTGTTGAACTTGTTGAACTTATGGGTCTTAAGGCCTTGGTTAAAATTTTTATCTAAAATTCCAATTTCTCTAGCCAATGCAGTACCCAATTCAACGCCGAATTTTTCAACTCTAGCCAAATCTTTCCTGGAGGCTTCAGCAGCACCTTCATCACCAAATTTTTCGGCCCTTTGGATTTTCTTGGTCAATAAGTCTACTGCCAATTGTTTTCTTTCTTCTGGAGTTAAGACTTTTGGTTTTGGTTTTTCTTCAGCCTTTGCATCGCTGCTTTCTTCATTTTTACCTTCAGATGGTGGGATCACAGTCAAGTCCCCAGCCTTTTCAGCTTCGTTGCTGCCTGCTGCGTCTTCTGTTTGAGGTGCACTAGATTCATCAGCAGCTTCATCCAACTCTCCGCCAGTCTGTGGAGCAGCTTGACCTTTATCGCTTTCGGTCAAACGTTCCACTAATTCAGCTTTCTTACCATCAGTAGATAAGTTTCTTTCTTTCAAAATTTCCTTCAATTGAGCGACGGTTTGTGATGCGTATTCGGACATGTTACTGGATCTTGTTTTGGTTGATTGACCTGAGTTGTACGTTCTTTCCAATATTCTGTTCTCTGTCAAGTTTTTTTTCAGTTATGGCAGTTTTGTTGTGTTCTCGAAAAAGTCGCTTTTCTCCAAAAAAAAAAAAAAAAAAAAATACCTTTACTAACAATTTCGCCAACGCGTCCATCTACACTTGACCCGTCTATAAAGGTGTATTTGAGCTATAATATAAGTCTATGGATATTGGTATATGTAGAGAGACCTTATAGGTATACCAGTTTGATGTCTATTGCGAGTAGAAGGGCAAAAAGCGCAATGAATACCACTGCTATCAAAGTGATGGTGATACGGGGAGCAGGGTAGATGTTATGGGTGAACATGCTTTGGTTTTGATAATAAGTGAAGGCACCAATGAGGATCACTACCAAACTTATGGTGCTGGCTATTATTCCTATTGATTTTCCTAATTTCTCTATGAAAAAAGAACCTGGATCACGGGAGATGTCATATTTAGTGCCGTCCACTATAACGGTTGTAGACTTCATTTCCATTCGGTAAAACTGCAAAAACCCAATGCTGAGGGTCATCAAGCCTAAAGCGGTTCTAACATAGGATAGTAGGGTCCTTTCGTTGGCCAACTTGGGTAGTTAGTAAAGTGACTGCAAAAAATAGCATGTCGAATAAGAATCAAATTGATATACATACTTGGTCCCTTGCAACATTGCCCTTGTTCTCCAATACAAGAGAGAATCTCGAGATGTTAGTCAATTGGGGTATCAAAGCATGTTCTTCGTTATTTGCTTGGTCAGTAGGAGGTCTTGGGGTCTGTCCTTCTTCTAGAGTATGTCCCTCAAGGTTTTTACGGGCTCGGGTTGTTCTTGACAGAGATTGACTTGATTGACTGCTTCTTCTTCGCAAAGCAGCTGCTTTCATTACTGACTTGTGCAAGAAGTTCAGATACAGAATGATGATTTTATTTCCCTCTGGTTTTAATTGATGGGTTTTTTCACGCATCCCCATACTTTATCGATTTTGCATTGCGAACTAAATCAATGAAGAATTGCTGGTTAAGGGCCTACCGAAGCAGCTTTAAAAGGAAGATACTAAGGAGTTGAGTCAATGGCTCATTTGGATTGAATTCTGTAGATATTTGCATTAATTGTGTTAAAAGTAATGGTTACTTACTATAGAAGATAGACTACTTGCAAAAATTTTTATAAAACTATTTAGAATATTAAGGAAGAGAAGACGAATTAAAAAAAGGAACATAGAAAGGCAAAACAAACTAATCAAGGACAATTACAAACTATTGAATTGAAAGGATTCTAAAAATACAGATTGATATTATTATCAAGGAAAATTAATAAGCATCAGACATATCAACAAGAATTAAAGTATCATCGGCTATTTGCATAGTACCCATTTGGTTGTATTCGTCAAGACACAGTTGTAATTGACGTAAAGTATAACCTTTAGCGATAACTCTTTCTCTGACGTCAGCAAGCGATAAATTAGTGATTTCGTCGAATCCATCACCAGCCATGCTCTTAATGATTTGGTAAATTCTAGAAGTGGCTGATTCATCTTCGTGGATCGTATCTTCGTCGGCGTATAATGATGATTTGGAAACTTCAAGTAATCTTAAAGCTTCGTCAACATGTTCTGCAGTAACAGTATTAGTAAAAGATAATCTTGCTAATGCTTGTGATAATCTCAAAATACCTAATAAGGTTCTTGGAGTAATATGGGCAAATTTCTTGACGGATCCTTCATTTCTATGAGATTCTTTTCTCATATTGATATATGATTGAACAACGTAGTCACCAACTTCTTTGGGAACAGTTGGCCTATAAGTTCTAGCCACTGAAATATATTGTCTAATGGTTTGAGAATCTATTGGTTCAAAACTCATTTCTGGTTGTTTGTTATACATATGAACATAGGCAACATGTGATGCTAAATCTTCATCATTTTCTCTTGAAGGTTGATCCAATATAAGGAACATTATATCAAATCTTGATAAAAGTGCTGCTGGTAAATTAATGTTTTCGTGAGGAGATAATCTAGTATTATATCTACCATATAAAGGATTAGCGGCTGCTAAAATAGAAGTTCTTGCATTTAAAGTGGTATTAATACCAGCTTTTGAAATAGAAATAGATTGCTGTTCCATAACTTCATGAATAGCTGTTCTATCAGATTCTTCCATTTTATCAAATTCATCAATACAACAAATACCATTATCAGCTAAGACTAAAGCACCTCCTTCTAATACCATTTCATCAGTAACTGGATCTCTCATAACTGCAGCGGTTAAACCAACACCTGACGAACCTCTACCAGTAGTATAAACAGATCTAGGAGCAATTTTACCAATTGCTTTTAATAATTGAGATTTGGCAACCCCAGGATCACCCATAAGACAAACATTTATATCACCACGAATTTTTAAACCATCCCCAATTTCTTTTGTAACACCACCACATAAAAGTAATAATAAAATTTTTTTAATATCTAAGTGACCAAAAATTTCTGGAGCAATAGATTTAGCTAATTTATTATAGATATCACCTTGATTGAATAAATTCATAATTTTATCGTGAACATCTTGATTAATTTCCAAAGACTCGTACTGTTTTTTATGTTGACGAACATATTGGGTTTCCAAATAAGTTTCAGTTAATAAACCAGCTTTTAAAGCTTTAAATCCAGTATAAGGAGAAGGCATAAAGATACCAGAAACATCAACAACATCACCTGGATTCATTGATCTAACTAAAGTACCATTAACATGAATCGATAAAGATCTAGGAATATGACCCACAGGAACTTGATTTGCTAATTCTTGAATTTTGACTTCTTGAAATGAAGAAAACTTAGAGGCTCTTGTTGACATGAATAATTGACCCTTTTGTTGATCATCTTTACAAATTTCTGAATTACAATCAGTTAAAGGAGTGAAGACTTTTGAGTTAACTTCTTGGAAAATTTCATAACCACATCTATCACAAGTATAAGCGTTAACTAAAACCGAAGGTTTAACATCAGTAACTCTAGTAACAATACCTCTAACTGTGATGAAATGCCCCACGTAACTACCTTTAACATCTCTAACGGCCAAAGGTTTACCAAGACCACGATAAGGTTGAGTTAAAGGTTTGAAATATAATGTATAACGACGAGTTAATTTAGGAGGGAATAAATTTTGAGCGGTAATTTCATTATCATTTAAATTATCTTGAGCACCAAAGCCTTCTCTTAAATTATTAACTTCATCATCATTTTGTTGTTGCATTTTCAAATTTCTCATTTTTCTTTGATGTAAAATAACATCCAATACATCATCTTCAAAAGTAATATCACGAGATTTCTCGGGCATTAATTGATCAATCACATCACTGAAAACTTCAATAAATCTATGAGTGTTCTTGATGATTTTACCAACCAATGATTCGTTGAATCCCAGTTGACTCTGGGATTGAAACCCGGCGTTCTGGTTCTCTTCGTATGCTTTTATATCGTCCAATTCAATATGAATAGTATTGGTTTCACGATTGGCAACTTTTTCTAAAAGTTTCATATATTTGATACCTCCTTGTATTTCTTCATGGTCTAAGTCCATATCAACATCGGTGTCAAGCGACCCTGACTTGAAATGGGTCATGAAGTCATGGATTTGCGCCTTGATATCCTGGTAATTGACATTGAGCTGGATTGTTGGTAATACCGTAGTTGTAGTAGCCATGATGAGAATATTTCCTTGGATTTGACCTTCACAACTTCAATTTTAAATTTGGTTTCTTATTTGACAAGACTGAACAAAAAAGCGAATTGATTGATCTGGATAAGCTGGTCAGTGGATAGGCCTGTCAGGGGATGCTAAACGGTCAAACTGGTCCTTTGAATTGAAGAAAAGAAAGATTCAACTCGCAGAGGTCAAAAAGAAAAAAAAAAAAAAAAAAAAAAAAAAAAAAAAAAAAAAAAAAAAAAAAAAAAATTGAAAAGACGCGTTCTACTAATTTATTTACTCAAAACGGCTAAAATTGATGCCCATATAAATATATTTGATATAACTAACCAGAGTTTGATACATTTATAATTTACAGATTGAAGAGACCATCATGACACATGACATAAAAGCAGAGTAACTAGAGAGAACGTGAGATATTGAATAAAACAAAAGGTACTGTAGAATATTTGGATAAAACTTGTAATACAGAGGTAAAGAAAATTAGAATAAATGTTTATAAATGACTAAACCGACCCAGGAATTGACTAGAAAAGAAAGAGAAGAGAATAAAACAGTGTATGTAGAGAATTAAAGAGTAGAGAAATAAAGAGATAAATAGAGGATTAAACCGACATCAAATCGACTAGAGCGATAGCAGCAGCAGTTCTTTCTTCAGCATCCAGATTTTTATTTCTAGATGACCCATTTTCATTTTCATTTGAATTATTTGAGTTTACGTGATCATTTTCCTGTTGTTTGCGCAAACTTTCAGCCCCGATAGTAGCCCAATCTTCTTCATCGGTATCACTTTGATTAGGGTTACTGGAAGATTTTTTCAGGGAGCGACTATAAGTAGAAGCAGGGGGTTGAAGACCATTTGATCTTATTACTGAAGAAGATGAATTAGTATGGGAACTTAAATCATAAGGTGGTTTCAGTAAAGAAGAATTTGAATATTTTGGAGGTGACGATAACAGGGAGGATAAGGTTGATCTAATATGAGATTCATTGAAGGAAGATTTTCTACGACCAGCGGATGAAATTGTAGCAGCGATACTATCGGCAGAGGTTGTTTCCAAAGAAGTTGCATTATTCAAGGGACTTGAATTTTGATGATTATTTGCGTTGTGGATATAATTACCAGAAGAAGTCCAAGAATTAGTGGGGGAACCCAGTAATAAAGCAGCATGAGAAGCAGAAGGAGGAGGAGAATTGATTGAGACATTTGAGTTTTTAGCAGACGACAAGATATAATTATCTAAGTTTTCAATTGAATTAAGTCTTGATCTATTAAAGATTTGATGTCTTGTTTGATTATGATTATAACTATGAGTGTTTTTAATAATGGAAGAAGAAGATTTACGTCTTGAAGAAGGCATCGAACCATTATTAGGAGTATTTGAACCACCGGGAGGAGGAGGACTCAATTTCAATGGAACACGATTAGCGAATTTTATTGGAGGAGATTTAATTTTCTTGAATTTATTAATGGTGCTTGAACCATTATTAATTTCATCATCATGGTCAAAAGTGAAGAGTTCATCATCTTCCATGACTGCATCTTCTTCATCCTCACTGCTACTAGCATCGGCCTCATCACTACTATCTTCATCGATTGCATCTTCATCATCGTCATCATCATTACCTAACGCAAAATCATCTTCAGAATCAGAAACAATTGCATTTGAATTATTTAAACTTTCATTTGGGATTTTCAAATTATGTAAATTTGATCGATTATTAGTAATTGATTCTCTTCTTGAAGAATTTAATTGTTTAAGTTTTTCTCTACCGGGATTTGAAAGTTTTGGTTGTTGTTTTTTAGACCAACCTAATTTCAAGCCAGATTGATTTCTTAAATCATGAACGTTAATTTTATTCTGTTCAGTATCGGGCTGTTGTTGTTCTTGCTTGATAGAAGTGTCCTTTTCAGTACCTTCAGTTACGATATAATCGCTATCAACTTTGCGAACCGCCCATTGACCCCAACCGATTTTTTCAAAAACAACGTTATTTTCCAAATCGGTCTGGTCCATAGCAGCCATGATTAATCTTCTTTGTTTCGATAACGAAAGAAGGTCGAAGCCAGGAACTTCAATGGCCAATTGGCTGGTGATATGACGTATTGGTAAAGGTCCTTTACGTATAAGTAAGTTAGCCAAACGGGTGGGTGTAATTTTCAGGGCCACTTTGATTGCTTCCGGAGAAGAGGTGGATAACAATTTCTTTTGATGTTCCTCCGACTTTTCATTTTGTTGTTGTTGTTGCTGCTGCTGTTGCTGTTGCTGCTGTTGTTGTTGTTGTTGTTGTTGTTGTTGTTGTTGTTGCTGCTGCTGCTGCTGCTGTTCGTGTGCAATTGGTCTGGGGTTATCGAAGGAAGCGTTACGCGAATGGGCTGGAGAAGCTCCATTGGGGGAGTAAGAATTCATGGTGACCGAAGAAGGAGGTGTTTGTTGTTGGTAATTATAGCTATTATAAAGATTCTTATTCAATTGGTGATACGTTGGCAAATTAATTGCCGGAAACTGATAATTCACGCCAGTGGGAGTTAATAATTGCGGATTACCAAAAGAAGGCGGGGGTAATACCAGAGACTGAGACTTGGACCTTGTATGGGAGAAAGACCCTAATCGTGTTGAAAAATTGGATGGAAAATTCGTTGATAAATTGGGCGAGTCAAGCAGATAATTTTGCGGAATAAATTGTGTCTGGGGTAAATTTGGTGGTGACAATTCCAAGGATTGAGAACGAGAATGTGGATTGGTGGCACGGATAGGTGGTAACGTGGGATTGTTTGTACTGGGAAGATATGACATGGGAAAAAGAAGAAACTAATTTGAAAAATTTGAAATATTTGGTTTTTCACAACTCACGGTGTAATCACCTAACAAAAACAACAGAAAAAACAGTGTAGCGAAATAAACCCAAATAAAACAATGTCTCGGGAACCACGCAAACTGGGAAAATTTGGCCGAAAAAAGCTAAATTCGCTAACCAGGAAATTCAATTGAATGACTGGATGACTGGGTGTGACCAGATGGGCTTAATGGCACTGACCGGGGGGAACTGAGCAGCTGGGCACCGAGTATTACTGATATGACTAATTGACTGGCTAAAGGTTATTTCTGGTTTCAATTAGGCTCAAAACGGATGTGAAACAATCTTGTTGGGCCCTGTCTGATAATTGGGGTTGCTATGAAATCAGCTAATTAGGAAGTTGGTGCTTGGGTGTACTGATAGTTGGCTGGTGTACGGGGGTCCTGCTGGGAGGAAATCTTATCGCAGTCTGGATATCTAGTGATTTATATTGGTAAAGACGGTGGCAATAGTGAAAAATGTTAAATCAATGGCATCAACCCAACAGAAGCATCGCCATTACGATTAAGCGTGGGATCTGCATTTACAATCGGCGCTTTTAATGGTGTCCCTTCCCGGGTTAATCCTCGAGGTTGGGTTGGTCATTCATGCTAATAGTCCCTTTGAGGATATAGATGGATTGAATGGCATTATATTGTTTTAAAATGTATGTAGTTTTACTAAATGGTTGCCAATTGCGAAATACTTGGAATACTTCCCATGGCTGCATTCTCCGATATGTCCAGGGGAGGTAGCTGGTTAATCATTTTGATCTAATACCCCTTGGGTATGATCCGGCCCGTCACCGCCGTTTGGTTGGTTCCTAGCACCCGGGGCTAATCCTGGTGGATGTTGATTTAAATCATTTCAACTCCTGGTGCGTCTGGAGATTGTGTTGCACCAAGGTATTTTAATGGATCGAATTACTCAATTGATTGTCTGGGGTATTGTTTTCTGAGAATGCTTGTGCATTTTGATATCCCTTATCCCTTCAAAGATCATTAGTCTGATATATACACTTTACAACTGATCTAGGGTATTTCCCAATCAAGAACATTCATATTGATACATTTAATAAAAATAATAATGTTTTTCAATTACTTACAATTTATATACAATTGTAATAAACAGAGACAGAACAAAACAACTACAATTACCCTATATATAGGTATACCTAGGAATAATTGGTTGGACATTAAACTAACCTTCTTATAAAGATGGAAAGTTTTTGTCATCCAATGGTTTTTTATCGGCAGTGGTTGCTTTAGAAGATGGTTTTCTACCACCTTGAGCATTGGCACCACCTCTTCTACCACCTCTCTTGAAGTTACCTCTAGCAGATTCGGATCTGAAAGGTTTTTGTTCATCAGCAAAAGTAGCTTCAAAATCTAAAAATTTTTTTTCCTTTTGAGATTTTTGTTTGGCCTTTTTAGCAACACTTGATTCAACAAAAGATTCTTGTTGTTTAGCAACAACTTCACCTTGAGACCATTTTTCTTCAGCACCTTCGTTAGCTTTTCTCAAGTTTTTACTACCATCTAATTCTTGTTGTTTGACTTTTAATTCAGCAAAATAATCATTTAAAGATTTTTTTGGAGCAACAGCTTCAGTGGTGGATTCACCGGATTCAGCTTCTAAGTCTTCAACAGCATCTTGTAAACCTTCGGTTTCATCTTGTAATTCGGATTTATCATTACCACCCCATCCTTGTCTAACTTTTTTACCAGAATCAGCTTTACCGGATCTGGAGTGACGGTCAAATGGTCTTTTATAGTGTTTGGATGGAGTAGATGATGGAGCTTCAACGTTTTTGTTGTTGTTTCTAGATTTTAAAGCACCTTCATTACCAGTTGGCTTTGGCTTGTTTTTAGATCTAGATGGATCAGCTTTGGCTGGAGCAACATCCTTCTTTTTAGAAGATGAAGTGTTCTTAACAACTTCCCTGATTGGTAATTGTGGAGTGGAATCGTCTTCCACGTCGTTACCTAATAAATCGTATAAGTTCTATTCAAGGTTAGTATATGGTTATTTTCTTCTTCTTCTCAATGGGTATCGAGTATCTTTTCCAAAAATTTCATGACAAAATTTCTTCTTCGCTTCCATCCTGCTTATTTCACTCCCATCACCACATCTTTCCACATTTTTACATCCTTCCACATCTTTCCACATCTTTCCATCTCACTACTGAATTTATTTCTTCAATCTTTCTTGATACTTTTTCCAATCGTTCATCATACTTTTTCAATCTCCGTCCAACCCTCTCTCGGGGACTAATTGAGAATACCCTAATCCATGGGAAAAAAAAAAATCTCTTCACGAATTACATACTTTGTTTTCAAATGACATGATTTGTCGTTTAGTTCTGTATTCAATCTGTGTAGAAAGAAAGGAAACTTATTGCAATTAAAAAAGAAGTGAAATTATTTTCATCGTTGAAACTTTGCTGGGAAAACTCAGAAGAAAAAAATTTTCAACGAACGACCAAAAATTCTCACCACACATTTTTACCAGTCACAAAAACTAGTTTTACAAGCTTCAAATTTAGCAACTACTGCTAACTATGTTTATAACTACGACAACTTCAATATACCAATTACAAAAAGATATTAAGTAGCAACAGTGTTAGCATTACCATTGAGCAAGCGTGCTACTTGTAATTGTGATTCAATAAAACGGCAGAAAAATTTTTTTTTTCAACTAATCAAGTAAGACTAGTCAAGCTAATGAACGAAAAAACATAGCAAATTGCTGCACTTGAAAACATCCGTACTGTTTCGTCAGCAATCGCATGGCTTTAGGCCTCTTCACATAGACCTTAGCTGAACTGTTAGGACTGTTTCACTTTTACGTTAGTATTGGCCTCTTCGTCTTGTTTGCTTGACTAGCCGTAGCCAGGGAGTGCTCAAATATACGCATGCCATCTCCCAGTCCCCACTGTTTGTCAAGCGTATATTCCAGTCTGGCCTCTCATCAAAGACCTCGAGGGGGTAGTGTACGGGGTGGGTTTTGTTTTTATGTGTCACGTGACTGAAAACTCATTCACCGGGACGGTAAACTATTGCTGCAAAACTTACAACTATGAATTAAAGGTATAACATTTTAATTTTAGAAAGTGAAATGAAGTATAATGTAATAACGACAGGGAACAAAACGAAACAGAGATAAAACACAAATGGAAAGGAATATATAGAGAAGTATAAAGAACAAACAAAAAAAAAAGGAGAAGAAAAATTTTATTAACTATTCTTGAGCTTTATTAACAAAAGCATCACCGACTCTTCCCAAGAAGCCCTTAACAGCAGCCCTGAGATCGGAACTCATGCTTTTGGAAAATAAACTCAAGGTTAACTCATATAATACTGGAGTGTATTTGAGGAAATCATCCTCATCGAGCTCAACGTAACCATGATATATTTCAACAATGACTGGTTTCCAAGTAGAAATATTTCTTTGTTGGTTTGTTTCATCGAATTCGGTGTACCTTTCGATGATTGTAGTACACAATGGAATGATTGAATTCAAAATATCTTTTTTAGTTTGAGTTGAAGTCTTATCATCATCACAGTACATTCTAAACATTATGTTTAAATAAACTGCCAGAGAACTTGATTCTTGTTTTAATAAATTAGGTAATCTTTCGATAACACCCGCATTCCATAATCTGACTCTTAAATCATAATCATCATTAAATTTCTTAGCAAATTTATAACTTTCATTTAATAGATTAGCTAATCTAATCAAATAATTATAAGGAATACTTTCATAAAAAATTTCATTTTCGAATAATTCACTCAAGGTTTCTATCATTAATAATTGTAATACACATTTGACAACAATCAGAGATTTTTCTCGAGATTTTCTTAATCTAGCTTCAGTATCATCAACTATACTACTAGAAAGCTTATTAACTTTTGGTGAACTTGGGTCATTCAAATCAATGGTTGATCCAACATCATTATCTTCTCGATCTTCAATATAATTACTTTGTTTTAATGGATCAGATGTAAATAATTCTTTAGCGGTAGTTAAATCAAATAAATTTTCAAATGCATCACTAATAAGACTCCATTGATCATTATTGAATTTGGTACTATTATCAATCAATAATGTATATAAACAGGATCTACCGATCCTTGCAATTGTATCATTTTCTTGACAAATACATGATATAACTAATTCAAGGTATCCTTCAATCATCCTGCTTAATGATTCGAAATAATGAGTGAATAATGAGATCATATTTCTTAATGCTTGGATCAAAGTGGTCGATAACCATACACTTAATCGATCAATATCTTTTGGTGTCATACTTGAAGTACTTGATGGGCTTCCTGGAGCGCTGGTATAACTTTCGTCGATATTATTTAATTCCCAATGATTACTTAAAACACTGAAAATTGGAAATAATAATTGTCGACAAATCAAATCCCAAAAATCATTTTCAAAATATGCCCCATATTCTAATAAACTATCAAATAAATGAGTCAATGCTCTAGATCTAACTTCTAGTTCTTCTCCAGTCATTATAATATCATGAAATCCAAATAATACAGGGAACCAAAGTCTTACCAAATTATCATTTTTATCATTCTTTCCATCCTTATTAGTAACAGTTAAGGATTTTCCATTACTTTCATGTTTACTAAAACTGAGGTCAGCAACTTGTTTGATTAATTTCAGTAACACTTCCAATGATAGTAAACTAAGTCTTTGGAATTTTTCATTCTTTGCAATTTCAGTGAAACACACCACTAAATCAGCAAATGATTCTTGGTTAGTCACTTCATCAGCAAATTCATTATTAATCCAACTTGCCATCTTGAAAGTTTTTGATACTAATGACTCACGAGGTTCCTTTGATGCAGCAGTCAAAACTCCAAAAATTGTTTTCCATCCTGATTTGATTTGTGTGGCTCTTGCTAAAATCATATTATTAATACATTCCAATACCATATCTTTGACCTCAATTGAATTGTTATAAATGATTATATGCTCGAAGGGTCTTAAAAATTCTTTTTGAAATTTGAAATGTGACAATTCATCAATATCTAAAAACCTCATGGATAATTGTCTTAATGAATCCAAAGCAAAAAATACTATAGCCAGATTTGAATGAGTACCAACTTTATTAAATGTTTCACCCATTATAGACCATAATTGTGACCATTCAAGACGAATACGATTCATATTATAGTAACAAATATCAACAACTTTTTGCAATGAAAACATTCTTGGATTAGCACTTTGACCTGATGACTCAATTTCTTCAGACGAAACTTCACTCAATGCTTTAACAAAATCGACCATACTTTCACCGGATAAATTAGCACTATTGGTAAATACCTTATCAATGGAAACTTCTAAAGCAGTTTGCGATAACAAATATGCAGCTTGTGGAGTCAAATGCTGATTGTAAAACTTGTTAGCTGCATTTTGCGATGCTGTAGTAGAATTAGTAAATGAAGAAAAGAAGCTTGAATTACTTGCATGAGCAGCTGAGCTTTCAAGAGAGGATCTATTGACTAGCTTAGCCACAGAAACGTCAGGAATAGAATCCTGATCGACACCTTGAGCTATCAATTGTAGTCTTTCCAATTGTGAAATGGAGGTCAATATTTGAATCCAAGCATTCTTCAAATTATCACCTTCACTTACGGCAATATCAAGCATTATATAAATAGCTTGAACATTCTTTGGTTTCATTTCTTCATAATTATTCAAATTTTCGAATTGAACTAAAGCACCAATGAAGGAAGTTCTTGCATAGTCCAAGTCAAACATACAAGCAATTTTGATAGATAACTTGATACCCTCTAAGCATATTTTCAGAACATCATCCTCGTCATATTCTTTGAATGGAGGAGTTAATCCGGCCAAAATGGACATCCATAAAGTATCAAAAATTGATTTAACATGATGAACATGAGAGGCTGCATAGAAAATACTGTTACCGCTGGCGTCATCTGATTTAAGCTTTTTCCCTAAATTTCTTACTAATTTTTCTGTCTTTGTTGACATTTCTTTAGATGCATGAATGTAAGCTTCACGGCTCAAATCACGCCCACCAAAGAAACCAACAGATTGATTAGAGTTATTTGCAACATTCAAGTCACCAGCTAATAAAGCAGCGTGTTGTTCAGATTGTAATTTAATTTCATTCAGTTGAATCTCATCATAAATACTAGTCAAAAGCTCTTTTGGTAAATCTTGACCATCATTAATACCCGAATTATTCATAATGAAACTTTCCACCGTCATTCTATTTTTGATTTGAGGTGAGTGTAAATCAGTATTCAATAAAATCACTGAGTACGATAAGATATAGGCAGCATCAGCATTACGGAAAACAGTTGGGTTACCCAAAACATATCTTTCGGCAAATTTTAACATAAATCTATCAATCTTTTGAGCTTCACCGGGCAATCTAAATGATTGCAAAAAGCGTCTCATTGCATCAACGAATCCGGCATTGGTGAATTCCATTTCATCAACAAAGGCATGCATGATAGCAATGTTTTTCTCGTCACCTTCACCCAAGTATTCACCAATTGTAGCTTTATCTAAACCATCGGTTTCTAATAGGAAGACTGCAATTTCACGGGGATCATCTCGTTTGATGAATTCATTATCCAAGAAGTACTTAATACCCTTCTTTGGCTTTTGGTTGAATTGTTTAATGCCTTCCAAGAGTTGTTTTTTACGTTGTTTCAAGCTTTCAAACTGTTCAGGATCATCTGTCTCATTAACAGCCTCATTGGTTCCATTATTAGTCCCAATGAAAGAAGGATTTCTGGAATTATTTGCAGTTGAGTTACCCGAATCAACAGTAGCTGATCTTTCTCTTCCATTTGAAAGTAAACCATTTGATACATTTTCTAATTTTTTATTGGAATTGATCCCTTTTTGAGCCCATGAATACAATGATCTTAAAAATGCAACAGAACAACTAATCGAGGTCATCTTTAATGCATATTCTAATGGGAAATGATTATAAATATCCGGTTCAGGTGGTTTTGATGTCATAGTACTAGTAGTCAAATTAGCTATTTTATTGATATCATAGACAGATATACCCTTTCTTTTGTTTTCTTGGTACGCTGCTTTCTGATTAGCTGTCACCTCTACTCTTGCTAGAGATAGCTTTGTAAGATAGTCAATTAATTTTTCACATATATTTGACATATTACTATCACAGTCATAATTTAAGTAAAATTCAATGATACATCGAGAATCATTACAAAGTCTTTCTATGATTGATAATAAATATCTTTTTTGGTGTGGAGTGGAAGTTTTCATTTCTGCAACTGGGAAATATATCTCATCCCAGAAAACTGGAATTTCGTCTTTGAACTCAGATCTTAAATTAGAAATTATTAACCAGAGAATTTCCAAAGTTAATTCAAAAACGGGTGCTAGCGGAGATGCAGCATTCCTAGCAATTGCAACACTAAGATAATCTCTAACTGTATTGATTAATCTAGCTGGTTTATTGTTGGATGATAATAATACAACGTCATGATTTAAGAAAATATCAATATTTTCTCTGAGAATAGTATGGATAATATGTAAGGATAATAGCTTTGATCTTACTGAATGAGACCTCATATCTAAAGTTTCGGAATCTAAAGATTTGATCGAAAGCTTACACATGGATCTAAAAATTAAGAAAGCATCTTTCACAGCTAAATCTTCATCCTTCTCGCTGGCTTTATTAGCTTCATCAACGCGATCTAAATCATTAGCTTCATTGTTGAAGTTTTCCAAATTCTCAAGAGTTAATTTAACACCAGTGCCTGAGGTTTCGGCAAGGTCATCTTTACTTCCAGCCAGGGATTTCAAGTTAAGGGTACTACTAGTTTTGCTTCTTGAACTTAAAGAATCTGTGATTCTTTGGAAAACTGCTCCTATCACTTGAGTCAATATACCCTGGGCTACTGCTTGATTTCGTGGGACCAATGAGAAAATAAAAACATTGTAAATCTGTCTTACTGCTTTTAATAGAGAAGCACCATGGCAAGGCATAAGTAAAATACTATGCATTAATGCTCTTACAACTTGTAATTCAACTTCAGGGTCAGTACCTTCACCATCGAAACAAGATGCGACAACGTCGACTGAGTCATCTGTTAACCTGACTTTATCTTCATCATCATCAAACAGCGCGTAATCAAACAATTTTGCGAATAAATCAACAGCCTTTGACTTTAAATCATTACTAGAAGATTCACAAGTGAGTTTTAAAGCGTTAAATAATACGTGAGGATCTCTTGAATTGTTATCATTCAATGAATCAATTGCTTTTTGTACTGAATTTTTCAATTCTTCATTTTTTTTTGCTTCCTTACTCATCATAATGAGATCAAATGTTTTCTTGAATATTTGGGTATTGTCAACTGTAGCATTCGAGCTTAAAGAAACAGTTGATTGCTGGCGAGTGTGAGTTCGAGAAGATAAAGAGGCAACACGCAGCGGGTGGCCTGAGGTGGTATCTTCATGAATTGAAATTTCTGGTGTTTGTGGAATCGTAGGGGTAGTGGCTCCATTTGACTCTGCTTGTCCATTAGAGGGTATTGGTGTCGAATCTGGGGCATTATCTACTTTTTCTTCGTCTTGAAGCTTTTCTTTTTGTTGGGTATTAGGTACATCTTTTTCAGGAACTTGAGGTGGTTCAACACCTTCATGTTTTTCATCAGTCTTTTTCTCATCCAATTCATCTTCCTTATCTTTCGCAAGATTAGCTTTATCATCCTCGTCATTATTATTATTAGAAGTATTAGTAGTAGATTCTTCACTTGGCCCTTCATTCACTTTATCTTTAGGGGTATCATCCTTGTGATCCTCTTTTAGAGCAATCTCTTCCAAGCTATCGCCATTGGAATTTACATCCACCAGTTTCTGTGAAGGTTCATCAACAACAGTCGAGGAACCTGTTTCCGGATTGTCATTGGCAGATCCATCCTTAACAGCGGCACTAGGATCGTCGTCAGTCATATTTATTCTAAGTTCTGAACGATATCAAAAAGCAATTGATTATAACCTGGCTTTTCTTTCAATATTGGTAAACAGAACTTTCGATATTACGGCTCAATTTCTTTGATTAACTTTCTTGTTTTTGTATTCTTCTATAGATCGGTGTTTTCTTTCTTTAAAGTAATACTTTTTTATCGGTCTCGCTCACCCATTTTTTTTCCACTCGCTGGCTGGTTTTTAATTCTTTTTTTTTTTTCTTTGGTAGTTCTCTGTCAGTTTTTCAGGCTTTCTTTTTTTTGGTTCAAATCTCGCAGGCACAGTTGGGGTTCGATCTCAATACTTAATCACCTAAACACTATGATTGTTGGATCTATTGGGTTTAATTGGACAAGATACGAGAAGAAGTCTACAATCTACTGAAATTTTTATCAAAAGATACTTATGTTGAATAGTTATTCAAAAAAACAATACATAAATAGTTAAATCAGATTTAAAATTCACTTAAAGCAACAGCAGTAGCTTGGAAGTCATCATGGGAGATAGAAACATTGAGGTTCTTGATACCAGCTTTAGCAGCGGCAGCTTTAGCAGCTCCTGATAAAGAGACTTGTGGAGCACCATTGGAGTCACGGTTAATTTGGATATCAATCAAAGAAGCACCGGCACCTTGAGATTTAACACCCAAGGCTTTGAAGACAGCTTCTTTGGCAGACCAAGTACCAGTGAAAGAAGCTTGAGGAGAAGAAGAGCTTTGACAGTAAGCAATTTCTTCTGGGGTGAAGTTTCTTTCGATGAAGGTATCATTTTCAGTATTAATGGCAGACAATAATTCAACATCAACACCAACACCTTTGTTTGATTTATTCAAAGCAGCTAAAGATTTAGCAGTGGCGTCAGCAACCTTAGAAACATAGGTGTTACCTTGGACATCCTTTTTGGAAAAATTCAACAATTTTTCATCGTTAACACGAGCCAATGGATCCAAGTAAACTGGTTGTTCTAATTCATCAGCATATGGAGCTTTATCTTTAGCAACAAACATGGTGTTACGGGTCATAGCGTTATGCATGTAACGGTAAGCTTTCTTGTTACGAGCATTAACTTTAACAGCATAATCTTCATATGAAGATTTATCCATAACTGCAAATAAGTAATCTGGGTGAACAACAACAGCTTGAGCACCTTTTTGACCGAAACCGAAAGAGGTAACAGAGACAGCTTTGATACCATCGGTTTGGATGGTTCTGGAAGGATATAAGACGTATTCATAATCTTCCAAGACCTTATCGACATTATCAGCATTTCTATTACCAGGAACAATACCAGAATTCAAAATTTGAATGGCACCATTCAACATCCAAGCACCGGCAGCACCTTTTGGATGACCAGTTAAGTATTTTTGGAAAACACCGAAAACTGGATTACCTTCGGATCTACCCAAATGTTTCATCATTGAATTGATAGTGGCAGATTCATTCTTATCATTAGCAACAGTAGAAGTACCATGGAATGAAGCAACACCTAAATCATCAATAGTCAAATCGAAAGCAGCTAAAGCCCCTCTTAATGGAGCAATTCTTGGATCATTTTGGTAGAAGTTGTTACCCCATTGTTTCTTAGCTTCTGAAACTTGGAGTCTAGCTTCACGGTGAATTTCTTCAGTTCTTTCACGTAAGAAATCAGCTTCAGAGAATTCAGCACCATAATCTTCTTTAGCTAATTCAGCTTCTTCATTCAAGAATTCAATTTCACTTTCTTCCCATAATTTGATTTGACCTAATCTTTGTTTCAATTGACGAGCTCTGTATTTGATGTTCAACATTGGAGATGGGTATTTCAAGTCACCATGGTGTTCACGAGCAGTAGTTAAAATACCTTTACCTGGAGCAGGAACTGATCTACCAATCTTATCAGTAGCAGTAGCAGTTAAAGCAAGAACAGCATAAATTGGAACACCCATTTTGATAGCTAAATCAGCAGTCATAATAACTTGAATACCAGAACCTTGAGATTCCATGAAACCATTTCTAGTAGTAGTGGTTGGTCTAGACATTTCTTGAGGAGTTCTACCATGTTCGAATTCCTTAAGAGCATTAGAAGTAGCATTCATGTTAGCAAATTCATAAGAACCTTCTTCTTGGAAATCATCATAACCACCAACAAGAACAATCTTAGCTTTACCTGAAGAAATAGTTTCAATACCAGTATCAACAGATTCAACAGCGGTAGCACAAGCACCAACTGGGGTCTTGATTGGACCGGATGATGATAATAACAACATGTTAACCCAAGCAGACATAGTATTAATGAAAGATTCTTGTAAGATATCGTTTTGGACAGGTTGATCTTGGTATCTGTCCTTGAACATACCTCTCAAAGCAGAAACACCACCCATACCTGAACCAGAACAGTTACCAACTTCTGAAACATGAACATATTTATAGAATTCATAAGGATCAGTAACACCAGCAGATAATAAAGCTTCCACAGTAGAAACCAAAACATATAAGGTGATTGGATCAACTTGAGAAATGATATCTTCAGGAATACCATATTGTTTTGGATTCCAACCAGTTGGGATTTGACCAGCAACTAATCTATCAAATCTTAAAGCTTTTGGAACATATAAGGTAGCACCCTTCAAGATTTTAACAGTGTATTCACCACTTTCATCAATTTCAAAGATTTCACATTTATCACCGTGTTGGTGTTTGTATTGTTCGGCAGTTTCCTTTGAAGATTCAAATGGTTCCAAGTCATGTTGAATAACAACTTCTTGAATCATCTTTTTCTTATTTGGATCATAACCATCGAATAATTCTGGTTCAACGAGACGGATACCAGTATGAGCCAAGATTTCTTCTTCATATTTAGATTTGATATCTTTATCATCAACTGGTTGTTGGGTTTTAGCATCAATCCAACCAGAGTATGGTTTACCCTTTAAGTTAGCATTATGATATTTAATCATACCCATAATCCAGGCCATTTCAATACAACCTTCCAAAGAGAATTCACCATTGGCTTCCATTTCCCATCTGGTTCTAGCATTACCCCATGGACCAACTTCAGCAAAACCGGTAACAACGATAACACTGTTCAAGTCTAACATACCTTCTAATTGAGGAGCAACTTCTTTAATTTGTTCATAAGGTTTCATAGTTGGGAATTCGAATTTCATATTAGATCTTGGTTGAACAACAACTTTAGAGTAGTTAGCATCAACATTATCACCATTGATAACTTTTTGTTCAATAGAAGATTCAATTGAAACAGCTCTTCTAATATCAGCAGTATCGACTAAATCAGTTCTTAATTTATGAGTGAACTCTTTCAAGTTTTCAATAAATTGTAAACCACCATTCAAATCAGCCATAATTGGTTCTTCTTGACATAAATTGACAATTTCAGGAGTTAATAAGCCTAAGATATTGAAAGCCATTTCTTTTTGACTGAAGGTTCTGACACCTAATTTTTCAATACCTTCAGCAATGATGTTGTTACCACTCATCAAACCAGTACCTCTAGTCCAACCAATAACAGCACCACAAATGGTCAATTTATTTCCCCAGTCTTCAGAGTACCATCTGTTGAATAAGGTTTCTAAAGAAATCTTAGATTCAGAGTATAAACCATCAAAACCGAAAGTACCATGATTTGGAGAAAGTGGTAAAATAACTTGAGCTGGTCTAGTTTCAGAAACTTTTTTGGTTTTAACGTAACCCAATAATCTTAACAAGTTGGTCAACATAATTCTGTGGGCTAATTCTGATTTCGAATCGATATTATCTAAACCATTACCATTTTCTGGAATGGCTGCGAATGGGATAACAGCATCCAAGTCCCAACCTAAACCACCATTCTTTGGATCATTGTAAATATAGTCAACTAAGCTTTCAACATCCTTCTTAGAACCTTGATTGAAAGGAACAACGATTAAAGTGGAACCAGAAGCACCATATCTGGAATACATGGTTTGATAATATTCAGTAACTTTTCTTGAGAAACGAGAAGTAGTAACAATAACTTTAGCACCACCACTAATTAAACCTTGTAAGATTTCTGCACCAATTGAACCTGCACCAGCACCAGTAACTAAGATGTATTTGTCTTTGAAAGTTAAACCATTAATAGCAGCACTTTCCAAACCATCCAAGTAAGTAGAGGAGAATTTAGAAGAGTATTCCCAAGCATCACCATTCTTTTGTTTGATGTGTAAGAAAGGTAAAGTTTGAGGTGGGATGGTAGAAGAGACTGGTTGCAAGATAGAAGTTTTATCTGGCAATGAAGCAATTTCGTCATCTGAGGAAGCAGATTCATCTTCTTCATTTGGAGTTGAAGTACCAGAATTAGAAGCAGCAGCTTTTTGTAAAACATCTTTAGTTGGTTGGTCAACTTCAATTTCTTTATTTGATTCAACATAGTTGATTAATTCATTGTATAATTTTTGAACTTCCAATTTAGTACCTTTAGATAATGAAGCTTGTTTTGTGATAGCTTTATAAACACGGGCTAAATCTTCATGAATAGTTGGTTGGCCTTTTTGTTTGGTCATTGAACCACCTTGAGCCATTTCATAAACATATTGTTCGAATTTTCTGACTGAATCTTTATTAGCTTCTTGGTAATTAATTTTACCTTTGGCATCAACGGTAGTTTTTGGACCAGTAATTTTAGAAACATCTTTGAAAACTGGATCAACACCTAAAACTTGTTTACAGTTATCAATTAATTGTTGACCTAATCTTTTAGCCAATTGATAGGTTTCACCTTTATATTCAGGAGTATGATCAACGTGATATTGCATAAATTTGATTAAAGTTGGGTTTGAACGATTCATAATTTGAATACATTGATTAATGGTTTCACGATCAATTGAAGTTAATTTACCAAAAATAATATCAAAATACATTGATAAAACATCTTGTCTAGCCCAATTCCAGTAAGAATCGTAAGTTCTTGATTTCAATGGAGAGAAAGTTGGTTTAATACCATTCGCATAGATTTCACCATGTTCTTCTTCCCATAAATCTAATTCTTTTTGTAAAAGAGCAGTAGCTTCTTTTTCTTTAATAAAAGATTTAGCACCTTTATTCAAGTCAACTTGTAAGTATCTAGCTAAAACTTCTAATTGTTGTCTAGCCATAGTTTTATTTTCAGAAGTAATAGCATCTAAAGCAGCACTATCAATAACAGCACCACCGGCGCCACCAGCACCACCAGCACCACCGGCACTAGCAGAAGTTAAAGAGATACCGGCATTAGAAGCATATTTAGTAGCAACAGAATCCAAGAATTCTTTAGCATCCGAATCGGAGCCTAATCTTGAAGCAGGTTCATTAGTTAAAGCCATTAATAAAACAGAATCTTGTCTACCGGAACCTAAACCAAATCTTGATTCCAAGTATTTTCTAGCGACAGTAATAGAAAACCCACCAGGCATTTTAGAGGACATTAATCTACCAATAAGAGAAGTGGAAGTTTTACCTAATTGACCATTGAAAGAGTCTTGGAAAGTTTCGGCCAATTCTTCCAATGGGGTATCTTCAGGTTTTTCAGGAGTAGAACCAAATTCTTTACCTAAATCACCCAAGATTTCATTTTGGACGGTGGATTTACCGTTAACCAAATCTTTAATAGCTTTTGACATTGGAATTGAATCCAAAGGTTTTTTCAATTTTTGTGCAACCAAAACTTGTAAGACCAAGGCGGCAGAAACTGGTTCATCGGGGATGGAAGCAGCTGGGCCTGCTGGAGCAGCGGCTGGAGCTGGAGCAGCGGCTGGAGCAGCGGCTGGAGCCGGAGCTGGAGCACCAGAAGTAGTAGCTGGAGGAATAGCAGAGGCAGGAGCAGAAGTAGAGCCCACATGAGGTTCTAAAGCTTTAGCAGTAGCAGCTGGAGCTGGAGGAGCCACGTCAGCTGGATCAGGAGTGTAATAAATTTCTTTAGCATCTTTGGCGTAACATAAAACTTGACGTTGTAAAGATAAAGCAGCATCGTAAGATTCATATTTAGCTTTGATAGTTCTTGAGGCCATACCAGCTAAGGTTGGAGAAGGACCAATTTCAACAACACGTTCAGTGTTGTGTTGTTTTAAAAAGACATCTTGGGTTTCAATCCATCTAACTGGAGAAGCGAATTGGTAAGCCAATAATTCTGTTAATAAAGTATGAGAGAGTTCTTGTTCAATTTCTGGTCTCATGATGAAGTATTAGGGGGGGTGGAAATAAATAGATCAAGACTGAACAATTGAAGTGTCTTGAAAGAGAAGGGAAAAGAGAAAAGCTTAAAGAAAAAAAATTGAAATTATTAAAACAAAATAATCAGGAAGTAAAGCCAATATTATATTGATAACAGGGACCAAAGCGATGGGATCTTAGTGAAAAATTGTTGGTGGGTTTATTTAAGTGTTGGCACTATAATCAGTGCGATCTCCATACAAAACAAAAAAAAAAATAATGAGAATAACAAAAATACTACGATTGATAAAACTACTCAACCAAGTCTACGAGGTGAATGTTGTGGAATATTGCAGTAATCCCATCCACACTAGTTGCCCTGTATTTCCTTTCAGTGTTGAATCCAGGTATTCTATATAATTCAACACGCTATAATGAGCTATAGAATAGATACACTTACTATAGTTAATACTGTAATACTTAATACTGTAATAGTTAATACTGTAATACTTAATACTGTAATACTTAATACTGTAATACTTAATGCTTACAATACATAATACCTTCAATACTTAATACTTACTATAAATAACACGTACAATAGTTAATACTTACAATAGCTAATACACCCCAACACTGCACTCACTAATAATAACAACTAGTTTTGAGTGCGAGTCCCTTTTCTGTTTTGCAACAATTTTAAGGCGAAAATCCCAAAAATCATTTTTCACCCAACAAAGAAGTTTGACTTTGGGCAAAACTCAACAGATTCATTTTGGTGTACAGGTGTTTTTGTTGGTTGAGGGTGTTTGGGTTTGGGCACTACTGTCTTTTGCACCCATCTCATTATCGTTTAGGGTATATTATTATACTATATACTTTGTTCAGTTTTTCAAGGCCCATCGGCCCTTTTCTTTACTTGTTTCAACTTCTTTTCATGTTTCTTAGCCCGTGCCTCTTCCTCTTTGCAAACAGAACAGCCGCATTCATCACACCAAAGGTAACCCGGTACTTCACGATTAGGATCGTAGACTAGATCTGAATTTTCAAATTCATCTTCATGCTCATCGGATTCGTGATCAGATTGATGCCCATCGAATTCGTGCTCAGATTGATGCCCGTCGGATTCGTGATCAGATTGATGCCCATCGGATTCGTGCTCGAATTCACAGTCTTCCGATTCGTGACCAAATTCATGATCGTCAAAATCATTGCAATAAGACTTATACTCAATGTACTCTTTGGTTAAAGGCTCTCTCCCCAATTCAGAGTCAAGAAATGATGCAGTAAGGCATAAAAGATAAAGTTCTAGTCTGTCTGTGCAATTCATTACCTGCTCTGCTAAAGATTTATAAAAATTTTCACTAAGAATCATATAAATGACAGTTTTCAATTCTTTAAACAAATACAGTTTTGTATTGAATCTGGCCGATATTACTTGTTGAAGGTTATACAAGATCAAATTGCTAATGGAATCCTTTGGATTGGGTTTAATATGCCAAATTAATGATAATTCATATTGCCTGGCGTAAAAATAATCAAACCCTTCTAGTAATCTAGCCACTTGATAATACCAATCGGTGGGACGTGGTGCAAAAAAATCATTGCCTTTTGGACAAGTAGAACTGAATAATGCGTATCCCCAATAATATGGGTGAACTGAATTGTTAAAGAGAAATTCTTGCACTTTTAAAATATGTTCTCTTGTTTCTACTGGACTGGTTCCGTATCTTCCCATAACACGATTTTTAGGAACACCCGTTGGAGGTTGCTTGGTGAATACATTAGAAAAATTACTAAGTTTTTCAAAAATGATTTCTTGATCAAATTGCATAATTTTACTCAGAGTCTCTTTAATACGTTGAGGGTAGCTTGGAAATGAATCGGCCAATGAAGCAATTGAAGGAAACTTGGACTCAGAACTAGAACCTGGTTTCGAAATTGATGATGGCTCTGGCTCTGGCTCTGTATCTGGTACGGTGTCTGGTACGGTGTCTGGCTCTGGCTTAATAGGAAACAAAGGAATTTCGTTTTCAAATGAATTTTCATCATCAGTTGGTAACATCTTTTGGAAGGTTTTATAAAGCCATTCCTTACAAGCAAGCCTATCCTCAGCAATCTTCCTCGATTTTATTGTAATGTTCCTTTTGATTGGCTGTTACTTGAGGTGTAATCTTTTGAATGTATTTGGTACAGATACTCTTCGCATCGTTAATATCCCAATACTGAGTGAGTGCGTCTTCAAGAGTCTTGCTGCTTTCAGTAATATGCTCTTTCAAACAGTTTTGCAAGTAAGTTTGTTGGGCTTGTAGATAGTTTCTGAAATTCTTGATTTGGTCTTTATTAATATCTCTATGATCACGCATACCGTCATGACATACTTTTAAAAGCTGGTTTGAGAAATTTTGACATTTATCCTTAATCCCATAACTTTTATTAGTTTCATTGACTATCATCTTTTTGATATTTTCCCATGCGTTGGAGTCGTCAAGTTGTTCAGCCTTACTGTCCCGAACAACCTTAGTGAACACCTTATAGCGGCCTTCTGAAGCTTCATCTATATGGCTGGCATCACAAGTTTGGGCCAATTCCTCGAAAATAGCTTGGATTTTTGCATCGTGACTTTTCATTTCCTTTTCAAAAAGACCTTGCATATACCCCAAACAGGATTCGAAGTTTTTGCTGATTGGTTTATTATTGGTATTACCGTTGATTTCGCTAATTGTAGCTGAAACTTTTTCTGCAAGACTTTCATCTCGCTTATTGGAATTGTTTTTGGTGTACCGCAATTGCAGGACTTCTAGAATACCCGTAGTTACCACCTCAGGATCGATATTCTCAGTCTCGGCAACTTTTTGACTAGGAAGAGCAGAATCAATGGGTTCGGGGTGAATCACTTGCTGATTGAGATTTCTAGTAAGTCCTGGTGGCGGGAAGTAGTTATTAAATGACATTTGCAGCAATTCAAAAAAGTATGCAAAAAGTGAGATCTCTCTTTTATTTATATTTGTTAAAATGACCGTACCCAAAAAGCTAAGAGCAATGGGCACCGCGTTTACAACTCAAGGTATTTAGACGAGAAACTAGCGAAGAGAAGTGGCAATCCTACTATTGGACAATTTGGCAGAATTTAATGAGGAAGTTACGTGATCCTATCGATTCCTAAATACAACTTATGAATAGTTAGTGAACCGAAACAATCTATTAGCAAATACATGTAAATATATCTACTAACTTATATATAACTTATGTCTGTTCTATGTCTAACATATATATCATATATCTTCGAACATACATCTATATATCTATATCCAACATATATTGAACATATATATGACATAAACTTCAGTTTGCCTTGCTCCTTTTCTAGTGTCAATTCCAGTCTTACCCCATCTTATATGCAATTGTTTCAGGTTGGCTAGAGTTCTTATACCGTAATATATATGAAATGCCTATCGATAGACATTGTGTTAAAAAGAATAATTGATATTCATCGGACTTCGAGCGTGTCCTGGTTGAAAATTTGGTGTTTGGGGTTTTTTTAAAAAAAAAAGACGTGTCTCTACCCGGACGCTTTTTATAAAAGGAAAAACTTTTCCACAACTTTGTAAAAATTAAACATCACTTCTTTTCAGTCATTAATATACGTTTACTCATATGTTTTGTATAATGTAGAGACCCAAAGCGTATGCCTTCTCATTTACCCTGATTATATTCGGTTATTTTCAGTTTAAATTGGTTTACGAGAACACTTTCGCAATTGGAATATTAATTTATGATCAACTCCACCCTGTATGATTTGATTACTATATCAAATATTAGTATCTAAACAGGACTATTAAATTGATCAACATTTCTATAAATCTATAAAGTTATAAATCAGGTACATCGATTTTTTTACCTTGACAATAATTAGAGTTGATGATATTTTTACCGATATCATAACCAAATTGATCTTGTAAACCGGTATAACCAATTAATAAAGCTTTTAAATTAATTGGATAATTGTTTTCATTCAATAATTTAGATAAGTCATCTTCATATAACTTATTTTCAGTTAAATCAATTTCGATTAATGAATTATGATGTATGCCATTTACGCCATGGCCAAGCATGTGGAAATTAAAATTATTTAATTTATTATGACACAAGTTAATTATTTTCAAATTTGAATCCCTAGTAAAGGTTAATTGAACGAGTTTGATCAAGTTGATCGAAACGTCTAAGACGTTCAAATTTGAATTTAAATTCAATTGAATTTTTTTAAGCTTGTTATGGGAAAGATTCAAAAATTTTAAATGTTTCAAATTTTGAAATTTTTTCGAATCTACTGATTCAATCTTGTTATGAGATAAGTTTAAAGTTTCTACTTTATCTGGGAATGTAATTTGTTTAAGACATGATTCAGTTAGTTTATTATTAGCCAAGTTTAAATATTGTAAATTTGAATCATCTTCAAAAGTGATCTTCTGAATCTTATTGATATCACATCCATTAAAACTTAATTCGACTATAGTAGAGGGAAACTTAACATTCTTCAAGTTTGGTATATGGCAGTCATCAAAGTTTAATAATTTCAAATTTCTTGGGAATTTGAATAATTCGATTGTGTTAAATTGATTATAGTTTAAGTATAAAACCTGTATATTCAATTCATCTCCATTCAGATTATGAGATAAGTCGATTGATCCCTTCAATCTATTTTCTGTCATATGTATGGTATGAACCAGCGAGGGTAAGTCTAAACATGAGTTAATATTTGGTATGTAATTGGAACCAATACCTAAATTAACTAATTTTTTGGGAAATTTAATGTTTTCCACACAAGTAAGTTGATTAACCTCTAGAGATAAGATTTTTATTGAATCAGGGAATTCAATTTTATGCAAGTTTGAACCAATTCCGGTGTTTGAAAGTTTACAAAACGTTAAATTTGACGGTAATTTAATTGGTTTGGTTTCGGTATCCCAGTTAATTGGATTATCAGCTATATTTAAATAAGTCAATGTTGGGGGTAAATACGGTAACACAACTCTTGAAAAATTAGTAATGTTATTATTGGATAAACTGACTTGTTTTAATTTTGGTGGTAATTTCAAACACGTAATGAAACTTCTATGGAAACTCAATTCTTGTAATAAGGGGAAATTAGTTATATCCCAAATTCCATTATTACCATCATTTTGAATATTTGAAATTGTTAGTTTTTGCAAATTATTAATGTTATTTAAGAACTTGAATATATTCATTTGTTGACAAGTATCTGCCCCCCAAATTTTTATTAGTTGATTATTTGAATCAAGTATATTTTCGATATTGATATTAGTTAAATTTGGTAAATTTGATAAAATCATTCGCTCCAAAAAACAATTCAGAAAATCTTTCACTCTTGATAATATTAAAGTGTCTAGATTAGTTGGAATTGCATAATTCATCAGTCTACTGTTGATAATGCAATTCCCTAATTTTAAGATCTTTAAATTTATTGGTAACGACTTATAAAGTATGATCGGTTTATTATTATTATATCCATTACAATTAGGATGCAAAATTAAAGTATCGATCAATAAATTTTTCCGGAAACTCGATTTGAATTTAACATTAGTATTTTCAAATCTTATTTTTTGCAAATTTGGAAACTTGGAAACATCAAATTGAAAGTCTCCAGTATAATTTGTAATTGATATATGGGTTAATGTGTTGGAAACATAATCCGATACTTCTTCAATGATCTGGGTGAGGTTAATCAAATGTAATATACCCGGGTCAAACTCTAACTCGATATTAAACCGTAGATTCATCTCATCGACTTTATTAAGACTAATTTTTTTGAATATACTTAAAAATTCAAATATATCCATCAAATTCCAGATATAATACGTTATTGTTAAGGGATACTGTAACTCAACCCGAGTCCCAACGTATTTAACATAAAATTCAATCAAATCTTCAATGTCTTCAAGCTTCTCCAAAAATTCTAAATTCTCCTTATCCAAATAGCCATTCGAAGGTACCATCATATACATCTCGAAAAAAGTCAATTGCCATACCCTGTTAGTATACGCAATATTCTCACTGCTCATCCTCTTCATTATGGCTTGGGTAATTGAAGGATTCTCTTCAATAAATTCATCATTACTAACTAATTTAACAAAGTCATTGATGCCCATACATCCAAATATATCATCCAAAATATCCGACGGGAAGTTGTCAATCGTACTTTTATATCCTAGCTCCTTATCCATCTTCCCCTTTCCATAATAACTATCCCCTAGCCGTCAACTATCTTCATCTATTCTATCAGCTATAAATTTTTCAATTCCTATCGCTTACGGCCTATCCGATACTCGGTCCTGCCTTACATCCGTCTTATGTAAGCGCTGATGTCAGCACGCGACACATGGTGTCGCGTGCTATCACCCCTCGACACACATTCCCCATTGGGCTTTACGCCGCAAACCCCAAGTGGGAGGGTCGTGTCCCGGTGCCGGGCCCACCCCCTCTCCGATAAGAACATCAATTACATCAACAGTTGTTTTGGTTGGGAAGATACTGGGCGGGTATTTGTTGAGTTCAACTACTACTTGTATCAGCTTACCAACTTATACTTCTTATACCTCACTGCTTATACTTTTCAAACTTTAGTGCTTACACTGCTTATAAACCGCTGCTTGTACATCCAATTAGTCGAGGAAGCTCATTGATCCTGCTTGGTTCTTGTTTGTTTCGTTGCAATCGATTAACTTTCAGTTGGTCAGTTATCAATTGATCATTTTATCAATTGAGTTTATCAATCGCATTTATCAATTGAGTTTATCGATCGAGGAAGTGTCTATTGTGTATAATGACTATGCCTTCTCCGGATTATGCCACCACGTCCGATAAGACAAAGATCAGTAGAATCTTGACCACCCCGAAGAAAGGGTATAAGTTGGGTACTACTTCTGCTACTTGGAATAAGTTAAAGTCGGCTACTGCTGTTACTACTACAACAAAGGAATCCAACAAGTCGGATGATTCTGATTCGGATTCGAATACACACGCTGACCCTTCGGCGGCTATCCCACCAGCTGAAGATGTTAAACGTGATAATATCACCATGATTAATCCAAATGGGGACTTGGTCATAGTGTATCCTTATGCTTTCATATTAGAAGTGTGGAGCTGGTCTCAACAAAATTCTTGTAAATCGAAACTGGATGATACCCTTTACTTAAAGTTTCAACACAAACTCTTAGAAGATGATGAATTTGATGAACATCTGTACATTGAGTCAATTCTACTGGTTGGTAGTTCCTTGTCAAGTGACGGTACTTATATTTTGGTGGTGAAAGAAGGGAATAATCGTAAACTTTATGTAGAGGTTATTGCTGACGAGTATTTCCAATTGTATATTCCTGATCAAATGAATGGTTCTCAATTAACTATTAAATTGAGTGAACAATTTTTCATTGTATCAAATATTCAAGGTTATATGATGGTTTACAAATTTGAGATAACTGCAGATGGTCGATTTACTTCATCTCGTGCTAATTCCGATTTTAAACTAGATCATTTAAAATCAGTTTCAACCCAGCCTTTTTTAGCAGAAGATCCAAAGCTAGATATAGAAGATGGTATGGTTTTAATGAAAACTTCATGTTTTGATAATAAACCCATTTTTGATCTTGTTGGTAGTTGGTTAGTATATTCTCCAACAACAACAGAATATAATCATATGAATAATTTGAAAAAAAATCATAATGAATCAAGAATGTTTACTCCGGTAAAGTTACCTCCACCTGGACCTTTGTTAAATCGGGTTTTATTAACTTTATCAAATACCGCATTAGATGGTTTATTTAGATTAAGTGAAATGGGTTCAAATAAATTTCAAAATTATATGAATAAAAATCGTCAAAATTCTAAAAAAACTAATAAACTGTCTTTAGATAAGGATTTTGTTATTTCAATGAATTCTGTTGGTAAAGCAATTGGTAAAATATTATATTCAACTGCTTCAAATTTAAATAAAAAATCAACAAAAAATAATGAGTTATGTAAAATTGTTGATTTATCAAATGGTAATACAATTTGTTTTTTCAAACCTCCTGGTGGTATTTCAAATTTATCATTAAGTCCTTATGATTTACAATTGGTAAATTCAAACTTACGAGGTGATAATTTTTATCTTTGGGATTTATATAAATGTCCTAATCAAATTTCTTTAATTGGTAAATTTTTAAGAGGTAAAACAAGTGCCATTATCAAAGATATCTATTGGTTTATTAACACTACTAAAAATAATTTAAATGGACATATGATTACAAGTAATAATTCAGGCTTTGGGTGCATTACTAAAAAATCAGGTTCGATTCATTGGTATAACATAAATTATTTATCCTGTGGTAATTTAAATAATAATTTACCAAATATTTTGGGTGCTTCTTCGATTGATCAAAGTAAATTATTCAACAAGTCAAATTTCTCCGATCTGTGGATTTTATCATCTTTCAAATCAAACAAATTCATAACTATTCCAACTCTTGAAGAATTTAAATTTAATCAGTTGGCAGTAATCGATAATAAAGATCAATTAAGATTGATTTCTCCCTTGAATGGTGCTTATGGTTATAAATTCCAATTACCTAAAAACCCAGTAAATCCAATAATTTCAAAAGATTTTAAATTTTCTTGTGAATCACCTAATACTTCACAATTAGAAAATGATAAAAATAATGTTATACCACTATCACAAACTGAAATTGAAACTTGTGCACCCTATTTGAATTTAATCAATAATCCTCTTATTGAATTTTCTACTTTTGACTTCAAAAATGATGGTGATTTAAACAATTTTATAAATATTTATGAAAACTTTGGTGAATATATACCCACAAAAGTTATTGATTTTGATAATAAACAAAAATCACAAATGTCTGATCAAGAAACTAATGACTTACTAAATCAATTTAGTGAAGGTTTTGACATAGAAGATGACCATACTACTCTTAATGATAATGATACTAAAGATAAAGCAAACGATATAATGACGGAATGATAATTAAAATAGAATGACTCTTTCACTTCAAACTTCTTTTGTATACGAATGATTTGCTCTTTTTTCAATCTTTTTCTATCATTTTTTTTTACAAATCAGCAAATATTATCAAATTTTTATTAAATATACATTATTTAATGCTCAAGTAACATTGGATGAATTGAAATTAGATTTATCTCGTTCTGAAAAAGAATACTATATTACTTCTTCCACTAAAAATACAGTAAATCACTTTTATAAATTTAAAATATAATTCTTAAAAGTTCTAATACAGCACCACCACATACTAAGAACAATAAAACAAACAACCAAGTCTTTGAAACAGGGAACTCGACTTCTTCTTCTTTTTCTCTTGGTTTACCTTGTTTATTTAAGTTTTTTTTAGCAAATTTAGTATTTGCTTGTCTTTGCTTTGGAGTTTGCAATGCCTATGATATGATTTACATTAGTATGAATATTTTGAAACTTAATAGTGATTCTAAACTTACCATTATGAGGGTTTGTTGATGAGTTGATGGGAATATTTGAAAAATAAAAAAAAAAGCTAAAGTTTATACATCTATACTCTCCAGTTTTCACTTTTTTCTCTAAAATCAAAATCAATCAAATTACGACGTGTTATAATTGTTTAGGCGCGATCAATTAAAAAAATTGATTAAAAAAAGATCAGCTAGCGCCGCCTGGTTTCGATCCAGGGACATCAGGGTTATGAGCCCTGCGCGCTTCCACTGCGCCACGGCGCTGATTCTTACAAACTTTTTTAGGACCTAATTTACCTAGTTGGCATTTGTTTAGGCCAAATTTGAAGTAATGCCACTTTTTCATGTTTTTGTTTTTCTTTATTTAGGGGTTCTTATGAGATATTTTAATACCTTATCATTTATTAGTTATGATTTAGGAAATATTCATCTAGAAACTGGTCTTATTGCGTGAGAAAAGTCACAATTTTTAGGTTTATAAACTCTCTCACTGGTCCACTAACATGCCCTGATTGATTTGAAAACCTATCGTTTCTTAGCATTACGAGTAAATAAAAAATGCTTAATCACTGTAAAGAGATATATGTAATTAGTCAAAGTTTTCCCAGATTTATTGGCTTGCCATGATCTTTAGAGACTTTAAACTAAATCTCTCTCCGCTTTCGGCTTTCTATCGTATAAAATCTTTCCCTATGGTTTGAAGGGCGACATTAAAACCTTCAAGAACATTCAAAAGCGAATCAAAGCGTACCCAAGGTTTCAGTCGCTGAGGGACATATTCGCTGCATCTCCTACGAAAGATCAAGAGATGTATGAATTCGCAGCCATGCAAAACAATCGGCAACATGCCACTGAGTGACAGATTAGCATTGAGATAATTCCTTAGTTGGACTTGTTGTTGGGTTTTTAAATAAGATCTACGTCAATCGATTCCATACTCAATTATTCAATATATTACTTAGCAAATCAACGCATATGCTGGAAGTTATTGCATTCGAACTATTTCTTTCCATAATGAATTTGAAAGTGACAATCATCAAGTGTGCCTAAGTTTCCAAAAGCTGGTTAGAACGCTTTTACTCGACACTTGGCTTACATCTACTCCAACGGTCATTTTCTGAAACCTATTGATGGAAAAGTCATTTTTTTGCTTGAAAGAGTCTTTTGTATAAACCTAAGTTGTTACATAGGTAAGAAGTGAACCGAGACTCTGTATATGAATATCAATCTAAAATATTCATTTTTTACAACTTTTCGGAATTTTTCACAAAAAGTTCAATTTTTACAAAAATGTTTGCTCCAAAAAATTATTACAGAATACATTGCCAAATTGTAGATATTAAGCAAGACTGTGGCCACCTTCATAGTATTGGGCTAGTCAGGCTACATACACTTACAGGCCCCAGTATATGCTTAATGTTTTCATCTATTTGGAATAATGATTTGAAAGCAGAAGCAAAAATCGACATGGTCTGATAGATGCGGAAAGATACCCTGGTCTTTACAGTGCGTAAGTAACTACACAAGTCGGAAACCTTAAATAGATTGCTAGTCACTACGACTCATCAACACCCAGCATAAGAATTCGATGGCAAATTGGCAAGTTGGAATTATAACCGACATTGCACGAAGTTAAAAGCAGGTGTAACTGTAATAGACGGTTGTAGACCCAAGTAGCTTCCACGTTTCATCGGAAGCCAAAAAAAAAACGATAACCTTATTAGAGGTTTTTTCGCATCCATAAATAATTGCTGCATCGACGTTTTAGGACTAGTATAACCGAAAGTTTAATACAGCCAACCAATGGAAGGAATCCAAAGCAAAATCCGGGAAGAACCAGTTGAAGTACCAAGCGAATTGTTCAAAAATGGTAGCTTAGTTGAAAAGACGACTAAAAAATCTTGAGACAAAAGCAGCAACAAAAAAAATGCTAAATAAAGTTAGATTTTGTGAAGAAAGTTATACGATAAGATGAAGGACCAACGTAAACAACGGTGAACATATGGTGGGGGGCATAAAAATAGAAAAAGCGCAACCGTTTAGAATCCGACCTGGTAACAAATCTATTAATAATTCGACATAATTGACAGATCATACAAACAACTATTTTTTGCGACCACATTTTTTGGAAATTTTGCATCAATAATAGGAGATCAATAGCACACGAACGCTTGGATAGTGATTTCTATATGAAACCTATACGAGTAAGTGGTGGTTCGAAAAGTATATAAGGAGGAGATGATTCCAAGGAATTGACATATATATTTTTTTATCATCATCAAAAACACTAATCAATTAAAACTAAAAATGAAATTCTCTACCATCTTATCTGCTGCTGCTGCTTTAACCTTTGTTAACGCTGAAGTTACTTCCAAAGCCAACTTCGGTGTTGTTACCATCCACTCTGGTTCTTCTTACCAATACGGTAGCATCAACAAAGATTCCGATAAACTCTTAGTTAATGGTAAAGGTGATGCCGTTACTTTCAACTTGAAAAATGGTGAATTAACTGACCAAGACAATGCTAAAATCGCTCCAGGTACTAATGGTTTCCTTGCTACTTCTTCTAAATCCGACACCAGTTTCTCTGTTAAAGACGACAGATACTTAGTTTACAATGGTCAAGACTTCTACGCTTGTCCAGATGGTGGTAACACTTACTTATCCACTAAATCTTGTGAAAACGGGGTTAGTGTTGAATTATTAGCCCAATAATTTAGTTAGCAGTGTAGCTTGTGGCTACTCCTAACTTTATTTACTTTTGTTTGCTCTGAGTGTATAGTCAATATAACCTTCAAACAACTCTTCTGTAATTACTCGATCTGTTAATGGCTGCAAATAACCAACCCGACAACAATTACAATACAATTACAATACAACAACTACAATAGCAAACGCCTAACACACAACAGACAACTAAACAAAACAACTAACGGCCGACATCCAGAGACGGACAACTAAGCTAGTAGACACCAGACAAGCAAGCGCAGACTGCTTATGACAAACAGACAGACAGACAACTAGACACCCGACTCGACACCGACTGGATCCCCCGACCATAGGTACGGGTCTGCCTCGTAACCTACACACTGTTCGGTTCTCGGTAGAACAGCAGCTCCTCCAGCAGTTCGAACCGCTCCAAATCACATTCCCCACGCTCCCGGTTGTACCTCGGTTGAATGCTCAAAACAAATATAAACTCATCATCTTGCCAGATTGGCTAGGCTTTGACAGTTGAGATTGTTGATCAAATTATTGGCTATTGTATTGGTATTCAGATACATAGACTTTTGGTTGGTACTGGTATTGATATTGATATTGCTTGATATTTTGAGATATTGTTGATATACTTCTTAAAACAGTTGTTGGTATTGATATATTACTTAATAGTTGATATATTGATATATTTGTTGATAGATTTGTTGAATAGGGTTGCTCGGTAAAATTGTTGGCCGATCAGATCTTAGATTTTGCACTTTGTTAGATCTCGCACATTAATTAGCTAATTAATCTACTTGAAGTTTCAAATTAGTAGGGAATTGATTTAAGATGACCCAACCATTGATCCAAGAACCAGCTCATCAGCTTTATGAAAGCTTGAAGCAAAATACTCCATTACCTCATGAAGAAAGTTCAACGGCAGTTGCCTTGCCTCATTCTAAAGAAGATGGGTATTCTCCCATTTATAGAAATCTCCATGCTTATAAGAAAGGATCCTTACTAAATGTTCCTCATGACTGTTTGAATACGTTGCCCAAGTTATTAAAAATGTCAGTATCGGTCAATGCTGATCAAAACTGTCTTGGTACAAGATTCCGTAATCTTGATGGCTCAATGGGGGCTTATCAATGGGAAACTTATAAAGAGATTGATGCTCGAAAGAAGAATTTTGGTGCTGGGTTATTTTTCATTTTGCAAAATAATCCTTTCAAAACCAATAGCGAAGCCCATTTAAAGATTGATCAACATTTAAATATCAAAAATGGTATGAATGAAGATTCTTTTATTGTTTCGCTTTTCTCTGCTAATCGTCGTGAATGGTGTATTAGTGATTTGGCTTGTTTATCTTATTCAATTGTAAATACTGCCTTATATGATACCTTGGGGCCAGAAACTTCAAAATATATTTTGAGTATTACGGAATCTCCTGTCATCATTTGTTCAAAAGATAAAATTTCCAAAATCATTGAATTAAAAGAACAATTTCCTCAAGATTTATCAAATTTAATCTCAATTGTTTCAATGGATAAGCTTGATTTTACTACTAATTCTCTGGAAGATCTGTTTTTACACCAACGTTGTTCCAAAAATAACTTAACTTTATTTGATTTTAATCAAGTTGAAAAATTCGGTGAAATTTATCCAGTTAAAGAAGTTGAACCAACTCCTAAATCTGTATATACCATCTCTTTCACTTCTGGTACCACCGGTTCCAATCCTAAAGGGGTTGTTTTAACTCATCAAAGTGCAGTTTCTGCTATCACTTTTTGTTATACTATGATTTCGGGTTTTGATGCAGTGGTTTACTGTTTCTTACCTTTGGCTCATATCTTCGAAAGAATGAATTGTTTATTTTCACTTTTCCAAGGGGCTCATATTGGTTTACCCCAACTGCCTTCTCCCTTGACTTTATTAGATGATATAAAAGAATTGAAACCAGAAATTTTATCCTTGGTTCCAAGAGTTTATACTAAATTAGAAGCTGCCATTAAATCAAAAACTATTAACAACAATGAAAAACCTTTATTACAAAAAATTTTTAGAAAAGTTGTTGATACTAAAACATCTTTACAATCAAAATATGATGGCGCTGAAGGTCGTCATTTAATTTATGATCGTTTTTCAAGTGTTTTACGTAAACAATTGGGATTTGATAACCTTCATACTTTTGCCACTGGTTCAGCTCCAATTTCTCCAGACACGGTGAAATTTATGAAGGCTTCTTTAAACACTGGTATGTCTCAAGGTTATGGTTTAACAGAATCTTTTGCTGGTATTTGTTGTTCTTTAACCTATGATGCAAACCCCGGTTCTTGTGGTCCTATTTCTGTCACTACTGAAATGAGATTAAGAGAAATTCCTGAAATGGGTTATCATGCAAATGATGAAGGTGGTCCTCGTGGTGAATTATTATTAAGAGGCGCTCAAATCTTTACTCATTATTATAAAGATCCTGAAGAAACTAGAAAATCTATCGATGATCAAGGTTGGTTTTATACTGGTGATATTGCCAAGGTTGATGCAGAAACTGGTCGTATGTATATTATTGACCGTGTTAAAAATTTCTTCAAATTGGCTCAAGGTGAATATATCACTCCAGAAAAAATTGAAAATACTTATTTGAGTCATAACCCATTGATTCAACAATGTTATGTCCATGGTGACTCTTTGAAAACTTTCCTTGTTGGTATTATCGGGGTTGAACCAGTAAGTATTAAAGCTTGGCTCTTTGATACCTTTAAAATCAAACTTAATGATGATTCAAAATTAATTGAAACTTTAAATGATGTCGAAATCAAAAAGAAGTTTTTAATTCAAATTAATCATACAACTAATAAAGTTTTGGGTGGATTTGAAAAATTACATAATATCTTAATTGATATTGAACCTTTATCAGTTGAAAAAAATGTTATCACTCCAACTTTGAAAATTAAGAGACCAATTGCTTCAAAATTTTTCGCCAAAGAATTTGAACAATTGTATGAACAAGGTTCTATACTTAGAATTGAAGATTCAAAATTGTAGAAGTTTTGAATAGTGTTTATTATAAATAGATTATTTATATATATATAAATTGATTTATTCGAAAATGCTTAGACGTATTTATATGGATTTAAAATACAATTTGGATCATAATGATTTTTGATTTCTTTAATCATCTTAATTTCAATATCAGATTTAGAATATCCAATATAATTTTTCTTTTGAAAGCCTAAACCATGTTCAGCAGAAATTGAACCTTTATGTTCTTTAATCCACTCATAAACAAATGGTTCCAAAGCTTTTTCAACTTCTTTATTATATTCTCTAACTGCAACGTTCAAGTGTAAATTACCGTCACCTAAATGACCATAACCAACAGCTTCAACAACTGGTTTTGAATCATCATCTAAATCAATCAATCCACGTTCACTTAATCTTTGATTAGTTGCTTCAACTAATTTGTAATAATCTTTTAAAGGTAATGAAACATCATATTTATAAACACCTCCCCAATGAGCAGTTGCTTCTGGTAAAGATTCTCTCCAATTCCATAAATTACGTAATTGAGTTTCATCTTGTGCAACAACACCATCATCGACTAAACCTTCTTCCATAGCATTACCTAAGAAAGTTTCTAATTTTTCATCATCATGTTCTTTGTTTGAACCACTAGTTTCAATTAAAATATAATATGGATAATCACCACTTTCAATTGGATAATCCAATTTTAAATATCTTCTAGTTAATTCTTGAGAAGTACCATCCATGAATTCAAAAGCTGATAAAATTTCTGATAATTCACGACGAGCTCCAGTGAAAACTTTCTGAACAGCTTCGTAAGAAGAGACTGCTAAAAATGCAACATTTGATGCTGCTGGTCTTGCTGGACATAATATTGATACTCCAGTGATGACACCCAAAGTACCTTCAGATCCAATGAATAACTGTTTTAAATCATAACCAGTATTATCTTTTCTTAAAGAATCCATTGAACTATAAATAGTACCATCAGGTAAAACTGCTTCTAAACCTAAAACAGTACCATGTAATGAACCGTATCTTAATAAACGTAAACCACCAGCATTAGTAGCAACAACACCACCAACATGACATGAACCTTTAGCACCCAAATCTAATGGGAAAAGATATCCTTTTTCAGCCAAAAAATTATCAGCATTTTCCAAAATAACCCCAGCATCAGATTTTAAAATACCACTAACTTCATCAAAAGATCTAATCTTATTGAGATTGGCTACTGATAAAATAATCTCATCAAATATTGGATTAGAACCCCCAACTAAACCTGTGTTACCACCTTGTGGTACAACAGCCAATTTCTTTTCATTACAGTATTTCAAAATCTCACTAACTTGCTCTGTGGTCTTTGGTTTCAAGACTAATTTAGATTGTCCTTTATACTTTCTCATCCAATCTTCATTAAAGAAATCCAAATCATCTTCATTGGTTATGAGGTAATTTTTATCTTTTAAAACAGATTCAAAGAATTTCAAATCAGAATCTTCCAATTTCTTAAAACGTTCATCACGTTTAACCTTATCACTATATGTTTCAGCAGTTAATGCAACGGTTTTGGTGGAGTAATTACGATTGACTCTTATACTTCTCATCATTGGAGAGCATTTTGGCCCACTACCACGGATAACCTGGGTTGCACCCGAACGCAAGCTGAGAGCTGCTCTTCTAATTCCTATCATATCTCTACTTAACAGCTTACCTTAAGAATCTGTGATGTTCAAAGGTATTCTTTGAATAGCAGCTTATTACTACTTATTTTTTTTTTCACTCTGGATCAATACTCTAAATTAATTGCAGCGAGTCACGTGCGGAACACTATTACACCCGTACACACCAAATATAAAGGTTGCAACAATTTTGTATTAACGCTATTTACATGCTCTACAACCTGTTCGCCTTTCGAAGACTATCGAATGAGGTGTTGACGATGTGCCTAAACCTCAGGGAACCAATTGGGTTCCCGTTGTACCAACGGGTGGCAATGACAAGTACATTCATTATATTGTTTGGAACTAGAACTTGTTCCAATATTCGTGACCCGGCACCTTTTTCACCATTATCTTTAAACCCCTGCTGAACATTGGAATAGCTTGTTGTGGTGATCACCGACGGCTTGTTTTTCTTTTTCCCCTTCGTTGGGGTTATTTCTTCCTCTTTCTGTTCGATCGTCCCACACCTCCAAGCTATCATATGAGGATGAGATGCCGACTTGGCAATATTCTTATGCTCACTCATAAACTGTTCTAGGATAATTGGTATTTCATCGGGATCAGTTAGTGGTGTATGTCTAGCTTGAAATCTGGACTTTCGATCTGTGATTATTTCCGATTCAAACCATTCTTTAATAACAGGAGCCGCATAGTATCTTCGCAGCCCACCTGGTGGGATATGGAGCCGGCCAAGGGTACATCGTAGCATCATAAGCGAAAGAAGTTGGTGTATTCGAAATTTAAACATCAGTTTATAACCCATTCTTAAGTGCGAGTGAGTGAGTACTAATTACCTCATCTCGACCAATTTCCACCGTATTCCAACTTCCCACTAGCTTTTCGAAAGTAAGCCATATCGTACTACAAGTCTATAGCCGTAAGCACCCAACCAGGTACTCGTTCCTTATACTAGAGGTTGGTTTGTGTAAGGTTTGTACTGAGTGAAAGAATCAAAAACAAGGGAAAAATTAGCTAATTAAAAGAACCAAAGAAAAAAAAAAAAAACGAAATGAAAATTCAAAATTTTCACTAACAAAATCAACTTTTAGACCAACTTTTATACCAACCATAAACGAAGCAAGATGATTTACTTGAAGACCTTGTTGAATGTCATAGATAACTCCGGGGCACAAGTGGTGGAATGTATCAAAGTGTTACGTCACGGACCAAGAAACTTTGCCAAAGTAGGTGATCAAATAACGGTAGTTGTTAAACAAGCCAGACCATTAAATGCTGAGATTACCGGACAATCGGCCAATAATAGAGTGAAAAGAAAAGATATATGCCGTGCTGTTGTTGTAAGAACCAAAGCTCCATTCAGAAGACCAGACGGTAGTGTTGTTAGATTTGATGATAACGCCTGTGTATTGATTAATCAAAATGGAGACCCATTAGGTACTAGAATTTCATCAGTTATCGCTAAAGAATTAAGAGATTTAGAATATAAGAAAGTCGTTGCTTTATCTCCAAAATCTCACTAGATTTATCAATTTTAACGTTTCACGAATAAAGCTTTAATTACAAAAATACTAGTATTTATCACTTTTCTTGTATATATTTGAATAAAAAAACTTGATTACTTAAATGCTGAGATACCAAGGTCTATCAGCGATATTAGCTCGTTAAGATTATTAACATTCGTAGACGTCATGGGAAGCGAATTGGCTAGTTGTTTAACCGACTCTAAAATTGACTGGAAATCTTGAGTGATTTGGGGACTCATCTTGCCAGATGCTTGGTCGAGGTCATCCCTAACTCCAACTAAGTTTTCCTGTGGTGATGATTCCACCTTCTCTTTCAATTCTTGCGGTTGATAACTTGATGGAAATACTTCGTTATTCTGTCTCGGAACCGTCCCCTCGTACTCCTCCAACATCAATTCAAGCTGACCGTGGATCTCGCGCAACAAGTCTCCAGTCTCCTTATCGCTATTCACTATTCTATCAATTCTGGTGGACATGATGTTCATGTTGGTTCCCTTTTTATTAAGAATTTCTTTGTTCTCGTCCAACAATCGCCGAAGCTCGTCAAGCTGGTTGTCTACATCGGTACTTGCTGATCCAGCAGCATTGGTCGACGGCGGCGTCAACATCTCGGTACTTGTCCAATCTTAGGTACTTGTCTAGGAATCTTAGAGTTTAGTCTTAAATACTGCTTTAGTTTTGTAAATATCACGGATGAGCATCCGTACCGCAGAGACTCTTTGACTCACGAAAAGAGTAAAAATTTTTTTTTGTTCCTTTGGCATTTTTTGAAAAAAAAAACAGAAAGCTGATAAAAGTGATCTTTTGATCTTTCACAACAGTTTTACACATTGCAACAATGTCTGCTGCTCCTGTCGAGAAGGTTGAGAAAAAGGTTGAGGACTTGTCCATCAAGGATGAGTCTAAACCTGAACAACAACAACAACAACAAAAGGCTAAACCATCCAGAAAAGAAAAGAAGGCCGCTGCTAATGGAGGAGGTTCTAACCCATTATTATTAGATCCTCAACCTGAATACATTGATTATCGTATCAAAATGTTCGACGAGTTGAAGGCTAAATATGATGCCGAAATTGCAGCCAAAGAACGTAAACCAATTCAAATTACTTTAAAAGATGGATCTATTAAAGAAGGTACTTCTTTTGAAACTTCTCCAATGGATATTGCTAACCAAATTGGTAAATCTTTTGCTGAAAGACAAGTCATTTCAAAAGTTGATGGTGAATTATTATGGGATTTAGAAAGACCTTTAGAATCTGATGTTAAATTGGACTTTTTAGATTTTGAACATCCAGAAGGTAAAGCTGTCTTTTGGCATTCATCTGCTCACGTTTTAGGTGAAGCTACCGAATGTCATTACGGTTGTCATTTGTCTTATGGTCCACCAACTGACGATGGTTTCTTTTATGATATGTCTATCAATAATGGTGAAACTGCTGTTTCTCAAGCTGATTTTGGTAATTTAGAAAAAGTTGCTACTAAAGCTATTAAAGAAAAACAAAGATTTGTTAGATTAGAAATGACTAAAGAAGAATTATTGAAAATGTTTCATTATAATAAATATAAAGTTCGTTTCATTAGTGATAAAATCCCAGATGGTACCTCCACTACTGTTTATAGAAATGGTCCATTAATTGATTTATGTGTTGGTCCACATATTCCTCATACTGGTAAAATTAAAGCTTTTAAAGTTTTGAAAAATTCCTCATCTTATTTCTTAGGTGATGCTGCTAATGATTCATTACAAAGAGTTTATGGTATCTCATTCCCTGATAAAAAATTAATGGATTCTCATTTGAAATTCTTGAAAGAAGCTAGTGAAAGAGATCACAGAAAAATTGGTAAAGAACAAGATTTATTCTATTTCCATGAAATGTCTCCAGGTTCTTGCTTCTGGTTACCTCATGGTACTAGAATCTATAATACTTTAGTTGATCTCATGAGAACTGAATATCAACAAAGAGGTTATGATGAAGTCATTACTCCAAATATGTATAATACCAAATTGTGGGAAACTTCTGGTCATTGGGCTAATTATAGCGAAAATATGTTTTCTTTCGAAGTTGAAAAAGAACAATATGCCTTAAAACCAATGAATTGTCCAGGTCATTGTTTAATGTTCAAATCAAGAGAAAGATCTTATCGTGAATTGCCATGGCGTGTTGCTGATTTCGGTGTTTTACATAGAAATGAATTTTCTGGTGCATTATCTGGTTTAACTAGAGTTCGTCGTTTCCAACAAGATGATGCTCATATTTTCTGTACCCAAGATCAAATTGAAGAAGAAATTGGACGTGTCTTTGATTTCTTACAAAAGATCTATGGTCTTTTCGGTTTTGAATTTAAAATGGAATTATCTACTAGACCAGAAAAATATGTTGGTGAAATTGAAACTTGGAATAACGCTGAACAAAAATTAGAAAACGCATTGAATAAATTCTTAGGTCCAGGTAAATGGGAATTGAATCCTGGTGATGGTGCTTTCTACGGTCCAAAAATTGACATTGTTATTAGTGACGCTTTAAGAAGATGGTTTCAATGTGCCACTATTCAATTGGATTTCCAATTACCAACTCGTTTTGAATTAGAATTCAAGACTGATAATAATAAAGAAGCTTCCATCTCTAGACCAGTCATGATTCACAGAGCTATCTTAGGTTCAGTCGAAAGAATGACTGCCATCTTAACTGAGCATTTCAAGGGTAAATGGCCATTCTGGTTATCACCAAGACAAATCTTGGTTGTCCCAGTTGGGGTTAAATTTTATGATTATGCTCAATCATTACAAGAAAAATTAAGTAAAACTTATGGATTCTATGCTGATGTCGATCTTTCTGGTAACACCTTACAGAAAAAAGTTAGAAATGGTCAAATTTATAAATATAATTTCATCTTTATTGTTGGTGATCAAGAAGAACAAGAACAAAGTGTTAACGTCAGAAACAGAGATATCCAAGAAGAACAAGGTAAGAATGCTACCGTTAAGTTCGACGAAGTTCTTAAGCAATTACTTACTTTAAGAGAAGAAAAGAGAAGCGATAACAAATTAATTTAAATATAATTGGCATGTTTTATGGATGTGAGTCAATTAGTTAGTAATTTAATGGGGGTTTGTTTGTATTTAATTTGTTTTTTTTTTCTTTTTCTATTCTTATGTTTGTTCAGTAACACATTAAGTTATTCTTAACTAATAACTCATTTATCGTACCATTTGAATATTTATATATATGTATATATATATTTTTGAATGTATTTAATTAGTATACCGAAAAATTGTAACAGACCCGTACCCCTACCAATTTGAACAACAAAATGTTTAACGTTGAACTAAAAATCTACAACCATATAAACACCATAGCCAACTTGTATCACACCCACCAGTACACTACGAAGATGGATGCTTTTAGCGATTCAGGTGAGCTTTACACCATTAGAAACCAATTCTATACCAACCAACATAATAAGGTTAGAGGGTATTCTTTAGACCAGTTTTCCAGTGAAAATCAATTGAAAGTTTTAGAATATCAAATCAGATCCAGTATTGCATTAGAACAAGATGCTTCGAAATTAATTGATGAAGGAAAAGTTAAATTTGCAGATAATGAACAATTGTTTCAATTATTAAGTGCTTGGAATGATTTGAAGTCATTTGGAACCGATGATTCAACATACTTTGATGATATTAAGAAAGCCGAATTTGAATTACAAGCAGTTTTAACATCTATATACCTAGTTAGACAAGAAAAGGATATTGATCAAGCAATTAACTTGTTAGTTGAATATATTGATTCTAAGGGTAACTTTGACGAATTAGAGCCTTACTTGGTATTGATTCAATTATACTTATCAAAGGGAAATTTCACATCTGCTAATAAGATTTTCAATGATTTCCAAAAATTCCCAGATCACACTAGAGATAGTATCATTTACCAAGTCTTAGAAAGTTGGATATATTCCCTTAAAGGTGAAACTGATAATATAAATAATTCTTATTATTTTTATGATGAATTATTATCAACCGATTTTGATGATGATAATCAAGGTCATTTCAAGATTTTAAATGTTTTATTTGTTTTAACATTAAAGTTAAAGCATTATCCTGAAGCTAAAGAGTTGATTCAATCGATCAATGCATTAAATTTGAAAACACCAAACGGTGATTTTATTGCCAATCAAATCACTTTAGATTACTTGGATAATGATGGGGCTAATGTTGATAAATTGTTAGAAGAATTGAAAACAGTTGAACCTGAACATCAATTAATTGTTGATTTGAACGAAAAAAATGATGCTTTTGATGAAATCGTTGGTAAATATAAAGTAAGTGCTTAAATAGTTGTAAAATATACAGAAAACATTAGAACAATTCATTATCTATTAACTATATAAGAGCAATGGTGAAATTTTTTTTACTTTTTTTTTTTTTTACTTTTTCATTTAATCACAAATGTTAGATGGTTATTCATCAATTTTGACAACTTCACCTTCTTCATTAAATTTCAAACCTTCAGCGAGTAATCTTTTTTCAATTTCTTTCAATTCATTTTCACGTTCTAATAATTCTTTCCTTTTGTTTATTAAATCTTGATGAACTCTTTCTTCGAATTTTTTCAATCTTTCTTCTTCTAATTTAATTTGTTCTTCTTTTTCAAGATAATTTGATTCGTCTTCATCATTTTTACCATCAGCACCAGTCAATCCACCATTTGCTTGTTTATCATTTATTGATTTACTATAAGTTGAAGAATTAGCCGATTTACCTTTATCATTATTAGAATCTTTATCGTTTTCATTAATGTAATGGAATTGTTTACCAGATAAAGCTTCGGTTCTATAGTTTTCATAAATAACATCATGAGTTAATTCTTTAAATTCATTTAAATGAGTAATTAATAAAACGTTTTTCAAAATGGTAAAGTCATTATAATCAGGTAATTCAACGTTGATTGGTTTTGAATGAATTGGATTTAAAACTCTTAATTTATATAATTCTTCTTCATCATCATTAGTATTTTCTTGATAAGTATTAGCACCAATAATTGAAAAAGGAATTAAAGAATTCAAATATTTATTATATTCAATAATTTCATCATCAATATAATCTTGTTCATATTCATATTCATTAAATTTGTAATAATTAATACCATAATTATTTAAATCTTCTAAAATCAAAGACTTATTCAATTTTAATTCTTCGGTAGTTAAACTATCAGCTTTTGCAATAACTGGAATAATATTAACTAAATTATTTATATGTAATAAGAATTTAACATCAATTTCTGATAATCCATGACTAGTTGGATTAATTAAATATAATAAAACATGGATTCTACCATCTTTGAAACGAGGGTTACGTTTAACTCTACTTTCTTCTAATAAAACTTCATCATATTGATGTCTTATGAAATCAACAATAATTTTAAAATCTTCATCACAATTAATCGAATTTGCAAAATTTGGAGTATCGATTATATTTAAACTAATCTTATGTCCTTCATTATCTTCTAATTCAACATTTTCATGTCTTAAAGTTAATTTTTTACTAAATGGATCTTGATTAATTGTACTTGATGTTGGTACAATTGAATTTCCTCCACACAAAGTATTTATCAAAGTTGAACGTCCACTTCCACTTTCTCCAATTATCATGGTTGAAAAATTAATAGACTTCTTCAACGTTTTACGTTTACGTAAAGCTGATGATGATGCATTATCTTGGGAATAACTATATGGATGGGACATTTTAATCAATTTTCAACGTAAAGAAAAACTTCAAATCACAATTCAGAACTTAATTTAGATTCCAATACTCACTTAAATCTCAATACGATTGTGTTTCCATTAGAAGATAGGATAGAAACACGTCTTCTAGATTATCTTTTTTTTTTTTTCACTGTCGAATCAAACAAAGGTTTAAGGTAAACAAATCATTAGCTTTTGACGAAAAAACTTCAAGCGTGTCCATAACACCGGTGTACGGATGTTTTATGTATAAACTACAAAACAGGCATAAATGCAAACGTTTATTAAATAGAAACTAACGAAAATGTGATTATAACCATCTCTTACTCTTGGAGGCAGAACTCAAGGTGGGTTTACTGACTCTGGAGCTGGCGGCGTAGAAAGAGGTTGGATAACCGGCAGGAGAAACGGTGTTTGTTGCAGATTTTGGAGTATAAGACCAACCGGGAGTTTTTGTAGTTCTACAATTTGGAGACTTACGCAAGGTAGAGTAAGGAGTGTACGAACTAGAGGCAAATCTTCTAGACCATTTGGAATGAGTAACGGTAGTTTTAGGTTGCATTTGCATTGGGGCAAATTTAGTTCTACCAGTTTGTTTGGTGTATGTGATGGAAAAGGAGGCAGAATTGATTGAAGTTGCAGCTTCACCCAAGGAAATTTGTGGATCTGGGGCAGCCACTGAGGAAGTAGCTTTGATTGAAGCAGAAGGGCCTGACATACCAGATAATTTGAATGAATCAGTATAATGAATGGAGGTACTATCTTTTTCAAAAGTAGTATAAATCTGGAAGAAATAATACCCGTTTGGTACATCAGCAGCATCGATTTTAGCAGTGTACTTATTAGAATCAAACTTCTTATCCTTAACTATAGTCTGTGGACAAGAAATATCACCTGAATCCATATAACATAATGAAATGGTATAACCTTCGACGTTACCCAAATACAAGGTATCACCATCTTCCGAGTCATCTTTCCATTTGATTTCAACACTGGCCGATCCACCAGAGGCCTTATATGATTTACCACTTGAAGGTGAGGTAACATCAACGTCTGCCATAACCTGTGTTATGAGACTTATAAATGAGAACAAAAACAATACACTTAACTGCATCGTGTTCCTCTTCTTCTTCTGAGTATGTAATAAGCGAGAGTATTCAAACAAACCGAGTGTTTGTCTGCTAAATGTATATGAAGATTATTATCAATAAAGAAAAGGGTAGGAACTTCTAAAAATTTTATTGAGACTTTGCTATGTTTTTTTTTTTTTCTTTCTTTTTTTGTATGGGGCAGTGTCGAGCAACATCCGTACACCTAAATATAACACCCGTACACCGGTTGTTGTTCCGTTTTTGCAGTCTACAGAGAATTAGTGTATAACGTATATTGAATCAATAATTATGGGGATTTAATATTGATTAGCAAGATTTAGTGGCTAGATTATGCAAGTAGGAGGATAGGCCGAATAGGAATGCGGTGGAGCCGAATATGAGCAAGGAGATAGTTCTGTTGGATAAATAAACGATGCAAAAGGCTAAGATGAAGAATTTAGCAGGAGTACAACTGTTGATTATGGAAGTTAGGTCTTGATAAATTTTCTTTGTTAAGAACTGCGAGATGTCGTTTTGCTTTGACACTCTTTTCGCTTTAGTAGGAGTGCTTAAGGTTGAGTTTGAGTTAATTCTGGTGATTTTTTTGGTTGAAGGACAGGAAACTATTTTAGGGCTGCTGGCGATTCTTCTTATCTTGGGGGAGCAAGTTTTCGATGCAGGGGCCAAATTGTCTAGACGAGAGTCGATTTGGTTTAGAATCAAGCTCATATGGCCAATGCTGTTATATATGTCTTCATTTGAAGGAAGATCACCCACCATGGTATCGTCGTCATTTAATCTGGTCAAAGAACAGTCGTCAAAGACGTTATTTGAGTTTTTCTCTAAATGATATTGAACCTGTTGGTCGATTTGGAACTGGATTTGTTCTTGTAATTGTTTTTGGATTTGCTGTTGTAATTTTTGATTCTGTAAAAATTGTTGTCGTTGTTGTTGAATCTTTTGTTGTTGAGTGGGAGGAATTGTTGGTAATGGCTGACTGGCCGACTTGATTAAGCCGTTTGAATTAAAAGATTTAAATTTATAATTTTTCAAAGTAGTTTTATCCTTTAATAGTTTTTTCTTTTCCATTTCAAATTCTTTATTTTTCTGTTTGGCGATTTCGATTTCAACTAACTTATTTCTTTCAATTTCCATTTCTCTTTGAGTTTCTTCGAGTTTCAATTCGATTTCCCGTTGTTTCTTTTGTTTTCTTTTCTGTTCGGCTTGTCGATTTTTTTCTTGTTTTTCTAATTCTAATTCATGTTCTAATTTTTGTCTTTTCAATTCTTGTTCTTCCAATTCTTTTTCGTGTTTTAATTTTTGCTGATGTTCCAATCGTTGTCTTTCATGTTCTTGCTGATGTTCTAATTTTTGCTGATGTTCCAATTTTTGCTGATGTTCCAACCGTTGTCTTTCCAATTGTTCTTGTTCATGTCTATCCAAGTTTGTTTCCAAAACCGCATGGATATTGGATTTAGGTGGTCTTAATGGCAGAGGTGATTTTTCAAATTCTTCTTCGTTCTCACTATCGTAATCGTATAAATCGGAATTATTTAAATGATTAAACCTAGCAAGAGTGTTCATGTTTGGCTGAGAAAGGACCTAACTAGTTATAAAGAGAATGGGGGAGCTCAACAGGTATATATATCCTTTTTCTAGATGTTACCGACAAGAATGATGAAATTCCAATCTTTAATTTTCGATTCCTTCTCTAAATGTTGTTTTCCTCTTTTGTTTTTCTTTTCTTCACGTAGATATGAATTGCTACTTCGAGGGTTTGTTTCGTCAAGTCGCATCCCTTGTTACTATTTTCATTGGCTCTTGACAATCAATTTACCGTTGTCAAGGTGTTTTATTGTGATGCACTCGTCTAATTGCGAAAAAGTTTTTGTTGACGATATCGAGAGAGTTTTTGCGACAATTAGTAAACGGCTTAATGAGAGAAACAGTGTTTGAATTTCAGTTAACACGAACGTTCACTTACAGACGAGAACAAGTCCGGGGGGATGAGGAAAATGCATGGTGAAGTTCTATGGAGGTGGAAGCCGATGTAAGTTACCCCAATTTCCCGGAGTCTCTAGTGTTCAATCCAGGGTTATTCTGTCACTACACCGTATATACGTATATACTGTAAAACACGTATGTGTTGTATAACACGTATAAACTGTATAACAAGCCTAGTCTTCTGTTCCATACCAAATACCTCAACACTAGCTTGAGTGCTTGTACTATACGGGAAATTGTATCGACTGGTCTCAGTATGGCAGTCTCGGAATTAGTATACTAATATCACCATCACTTGTATCACTTGTATCACTTGTATCACTTGTATCATTTGTATTAGGATCCTGTTCTGTTAGTATTGATGTGCTACAGATTTAGCACTGCATTCAGCCAATGTGAATAGTGTTAAACTAGCAGGAATAATGTACGTCTCATCCCAGTAGGAAGTCTTCAGCACTCCAGTAGATTATTCTATTCAGCACTCCAGTAGATTATTCTATTCAGCACTCAGTATAATAGTCAGTATTAGTGATTACTAGTAGACTACTTAGGTTACTAGTAGACTACTTAGATTATTCTAACATTCAGTATTAGTGATTACTAGTAGACTACTTAGATTATTCTGATAGACTACTTAGATTAGTATAGTACTTAGATTAGTATAGTACTTAGATTATTCTAGTAGACTATTTAGATATTCTAGTAGACTACTTAGATTATTCTAGTAGACTACTTAGATTATTCTAGTAGACTACTTAGATTATTCTGATAGACTACTTAGATTAGTATAGTACTTAGATTATTCTAGCAGACTATTTAGATTATTCTAGTAGACTATTTAGATTATTCTAGTAGACTACTTAGGTTACTAGTAGACTACTTAGATTATTCTAACATTCAGTATTAGTGATTACTAGTAGACTACTTAGATTAGTATAGTACTTAGATTATTCTAGAAGACTATTTAGATTATTCTACAAGACTATTTAGATTATTCTAGTAGACTATTTAGATTATTCTAGTAGACTATTTAGATTATTCTAGTAGACTAAGATTTCTAATACACTGTTCTAGCAGTATTCCCCTTAGTCACTAGCACTAGCATGAACACTGGCAGCCCAGAAGCATCGCAGTATACACACCTTACACTAGTCAGGTATGCCTCGGTTGCAAGACCCGTTTGACTCCGTCGGTCAGATGTTCAGGAGTTTCTTATTGCAAAAACACAAATAAAAAGAAAAGCCATTTTTTTATGGCCTGATTTTTTTTGTTGACTTTAATTTATCGGCTTGTGTGCAGGTTCTTGATACTATTAAGGGCGTCTAAATCTTTCCCAGCGGTTAATCACTTCCTTTTCTTCCAGGATTTTATATTAACCCAGTTCTTTTCCTACTTATTGCTAGTTAATACTCGTTCAATTATCACTTGAGAATGGCTGACTTTGACTATAACGTTGGCGGAGGGTACTTTGACTTTGGAAATACCGATTCCTTTTTGGATTCGCTTAATACTGCACTTCCAGGATTCCCACCTTCTCCTAATAGTAGTGATGGGTATCCCGATTCCAATGGTCTTATTAAACAGGAAAACGATGGCTACGACGATATCTTCAAGCAGTTGATGAGCGACGATAATCAGTACCAGGCTAATTTACAAAGCTCTTCGATGTCGGTTGCTAGTTACTCAAACGATTCAAGTTCAAATGGAGTCACACCAATCAGTCAACCCTCGTTGTCTTCTGCTCATACTTCTCCAGATACCCATTTGAACACCAAGATGAACCACGAAAGTGTGAACTCGACCAACTCGGACGAAGATGAATCGTCCAAACCAATTAAAAAACCAACCAAGTCAAAAATTACAAAACCTACAATTAAAAAGGATAAATCTTCTCATAATATGATTGAAAAGAAGTACCGTACGAATATCAACTCGAAAATCTTGGTCTTGAGAGACGCTGTTCCTTCTTTGAGAATTGCCTCCGGGAATGGAGATACCTCCATTGCCGACTTGGAAGGTTTAAGCCCGGCTTCAAAATTGAATAAGGCTAGTGTTTTAACTAAGGCAACCGAGTATATCAAACATTTGGAGCGTAAAAATGAAACCTTGAGGAATCAAAATGTTCAATTACAAAAATTAATCCAAGATGCAAGTTTGCAACCATTACCTCAGCAACAGCAGCAGCAACAACAAGGATTCGGATTTGCTCCTCAAACCTCCTCTTTCAATACCACTCCGGTCCAACAATCCTACAGCAACAACTTTGTCTACAACAACCACAATGCCAATCCAAACTACCCTCAAAATTTCAATAATAACAATACCAACAACTCAAATAATAATAGCTACCTCTTAGGTGGAATGGCTGCAGTCATGGGTACCTCTATACTCAGTGGGGATAACGGGGATTTCCAGGGATTATCAAGTTTACCGTTTGCTCATTTCTTACCTCATTCTTTCCTCCATCCTTCGCCCTTAACCATTCAATTATTCAACTTAATTAAAGTTTTTTTACTAATAATATCAATTGCTAGTTTGGCTTATCCTTACTTGGAAAAAATTTTTAATAAATCTGATAAAGAAAAACAAAATAAAAAGAACGTTTGGATCTCTTGGATTTTAGTCAATTTTGGTTTACAAATTCCAAATATAGTTGATTCAAATAAAACAAATGAAATCTTATCCAGATTATCAGGTAAGATTGCCTTTTCTTGGGTTGATTTATTAAATGATTATATTTATTTAAGTTCTTCAGAAACTAATTTTGAAAATGCTTTTCTTAATTTAATAATTGGTACTTTATTATCTAAAAAATTCCCAATTTTAGCAAAATTTTTAAATGTTAATATGAGTTTAAAAGGTTCTTTAATTTCAAACTTAGATTATAAAGGTGATGATATTTCTTTACAAAAATTAAATCAATTAATAAAAAACTTGGATGGTATCTCTCTTTTGGGTTCAACTAGTTTAATTGAAAGATTAATTAATTTAACCACTAATAATCCAATTAATAATGATGTTAACGATGGTCAAAATCATTTAAAATATATCGAAATTTATCAAGAAAATTCAAATGATTATTATTCTCTTATTTTCAATTGGAGAATATTAGAAATCCTTCATCAATTAAATTTATCCGTATTGAAAAATTTAAGCGGTAAGAAAATTTCCAGTGAACAAAAAACTAATTTGAATAATCAAATTATTAAGGATTTAAAATCAATCAATTCTTTAATTAATCCAAATTCTAAAGTTGGTAAATATTTTGAATTATTCGATTCAATAATCAATCCTCGCGAATCTTGTCTTAAATTATTGCAAAATACCGAACTGGAAATTTCTTCAAAATTAAATACTTTTAAAGTTTTAATGGATGGTCAAGATTTAACCGATCATGAAATCTCCGATGATGATTCTACAATTGCTACTAATCAAAGTAATCATGAATCTTTATCTCCAATTGAAAACATCTCAAAACAAAAATCGCTTATTGGCTCTTTAAATTTAATAAATGAAGAACATTACATTGTTTTAACTTGTTCTTTAATTTTATTCTATAATTCTAAAGATCAAGCAAAAGCTTTGAGATTATTAAAACATTTGAATTTTAATAATAAAAAAATCTCTTTATCTCTTTTATCCTTCACAGCTTTATTAATACTCATTAATGATTCAATTCATGATCAACATGATGATTCAAAAGTCTTGGATGATTTGATTAAAACTACAAGATTATGGATTAATGACGATAATAAAAGATTTTTTTTAAATGATGATCTTAGAGGTGATATTTCCGATTTAATAGTTTCCAAAGGTATGGTTTTAGATGGTATAACCAACTCTGAAGATGATGAATAATCCCCTTTCTATTTATTTTATGCTCTTATTGAAAAACAAAAAATGAAAAAAAAAATTAAAGTACATTCAAATTATCAAACAAAAACAAAAGCCAAAAAAAAAAAATAATCATAACTCTTGTTAAAATGGGAGATAATGTTTTCTCTATTCTTTTCTTATGTTTCTCTATTTCTGTATTTTTAGATTGAATATTATATTGTTTAACGGTACCTTGTCTTGTAATGTCAACTTCTGAGTCATAACCGATTGGACTACATGCCTGGAATATCTGGGAAACGAACTCCGGTACGTTTCCTTTGCATTCCGTAACTCTAACCCCATCACAAAAGGTTCAATCAAAGTATTAAACTGGTTATGGAAATTGCTCATGGAAAGCAGCGCCGTCTTACCTTAACTTGCATGATGCATAGAAGACCTTTCAGGATCAGCTCATGTTGTATTTACTGGTCCCAGTTTCCCCACTAATGAAGGATTTATGCAGCTGACTCTGAAATTGGGCTTGAGTGGTTGCTTTTGGCATGTTGTCTCCTTATACCTCTGATCGGGTGTACTGGTGTTCTTTTCTGCGAGGCTGAACGGTTCCGCCTTACTTTTCGAGTCATTTGCTGCAACAAAATTTCAAGATGGCCATACAAAAACCAAGATTTAGGTTTACTAGCCATATTTACGGAAGAACTTAGTAAATTTATTGTATCTGCATGATTTAAGTTGTTTCACGCCATTTGGCAAAAGTTTTTCCTTCCACCTGATCTTTTTCCGGTGCTAAACTCTATTCAGGGATCTCAGGTACGATATTTTCTTTGGAAAGCTTGCATTTACGTAAAATGTTTTCATGCTTTCCGATGTAACATTAAAGGTATTCTTGGGTTGCAAAATTCAGAGTCTGTCTAAGAATCAATTGCTTTGGTCATCTTCTATTTATAAATTTCTTACTGCAAAAACTAGATTTCTTTTTACCATTTATTCATTAATGGTGTATAAATATCGCTTGTTATAATTGAATATTTTATTCTAATTCTAAGGGAAAAGAATGTTTTATTTCTTACTGTAAGTCAATATTTAATCATGAGTGATACTTTTTCAAATTCAGATTTGGAAAGCAATTCAAGTCTCAAAGATGGTATCGTTTACTCTTTCGAAGATTATGTTCATTTGGTCGAACCCTTATTAAACTCTTCAGCAACGAATTATCTTGACAAGCATATTAGTTTGAGAACTTTGGTTGATTTTGCTTTAAGCCATTCTTTATTTATGAAAGGCTTACAGAAAAGAGAATTAAAATTCTCTGACCTTTGTTCTATTCCAATTTACTCAACTTCCCCAATAAAAAATGAAGTGTCCTCCACTGAGCAAATTACTTCTTCATTAAATCCAGTAACTAATACTTTGGTTATAAAAAGTCATCTGGTTAATTTTCAAAATCAATACTTTGGTTGTTTAAGACATAGAATAATTGAAGCTTGTCCTCATTTGGCAATTGCAATGTATTTATTTAGTCGCTTCCACATCACTGATGATTATGGTTCCATTGAATTAACTAATGAATTTACAAAAGATCCTCTTTTTCACCGAACTCTCTTATTGAAAGGTAGCAAAAGGTTTCAAGCAATGTCTTATTCTCAACAACATAAGTCTCTTTCGAAAATCTTGAAAATTGCTGGGTTTGACTCGGTGAACTATGGAAAGTTCATGTCGTCCTCCCAATACTCAATTGAATCTGATTCACTTTTGTCTCATAAACCAGCTTCTTTGGAAATAAATAAATTACCCTTTGAAAGTTTATCTAAAATGGCTGGTTTTGAGAGTTTATCATCCTATGATATCACCAGGGACTCTATTGAACCACCAGAAGAATTAGTCAAACAAATTTTCCCCTTTATTGATGACGATTTCAAATCATCACCTAACCTTTCCGGTCAGTTTGGTTCAAAGTTCACTTTATCAGAAGGGTTTAAGAACCTTTTGAAATCTTTGAGAAGAAGTCTTATCCAAGATATGGTCATCATTCGTAATAAATACCCAGAAAACATCTTATCACAACACCCAATCTTCAATTCTCAAGCTTTCGAAGATTTTTCAAACTTATACATTCAGAAGGGAATTATTGAAGAACCAGCTTCAAGATGCTCTTCTAAGTCTTCAATCTCTTCCTTTGGTTCTCCAGGAATAACACCAAGGCAAAACCTTAGTAAACCAGAGTTCACCGAACCCATTCTTTCGAACCAAGTCCAAGAACTTTACCAAATTCAAACCCAACAAGATTTGATCATAAAACAACTTCAAAAACAAATGGTATTTTATCAAGAGCAGCAATCAGTATTACAAAATGATATTCAAACTTTCGTTAAAAATCAAAATGACGTTTTCCAAAAACAAAGTGAATATTTACAGAAACTTCAAAATACCACTAACGGGTTATCGGTTTTATTATCTTCTAATTTACCTGGTAAAATGAATCATATCAACCATAATTTGATTAACAGCTCAAATGTTCTATCAAGCTTAAATAATAACAGTATTCAACAAGGGTTACAAAATACTGTCGACTTATTATCAAAAATGAATAACAACCAACAAAATTTTGTCACCATTAATAATAATTCCAACATTTATAATAATTCACCTTCCCATGTTACAAAAACTTTAGTATTTGAAGATCAAAAGGCCTTAGAAAGAAAGAAAGTTTTATATAGAAGGTTATCTAGACAAGCTACGACGCTATACGAGATGTGGGATGACTATAAAAATTTGGAAAAGGATTTAAAAGAACATGGGATTTCAACTACAGAACGTTTAAAAATTCATGGTAGTTCTGAAAGACAGTTTCGTCATACTAGAATGAAGATTATCAGGTTTGTTGAAGAAGAAGCAGCCAGAAGAGGATGCTCCGTTGAGCAAGTCAAGGACAAATTACACAATAAAATGAGAAATCGGTTGAGACCTTGGACTTTAGATGAAGTTCAGAGAATGTTAACTTCTGGTAAGCGTATTCCTTTGGATTAAGGTTAATTATTAAGCATATTACGTGGTTTCGGGTAAAATAAAAATAAAAATATTTCAAAAAAAAAAAAAAAACACTTCAGTTCAATTCCTTTTCACCTTAATTTACCAACAGTATTTATTTATACTTGTTTCTATATTATATTACAATAAACGGTTAGATTGTTTTTTCAGATACCTCAAATTGAAATTCGCAACCAATTTTTTTGTAGTTCTTATTGTTAAATTTATAAAATTAGTGCACTCAAAGAAAAATTTTGCAACAATATCTTGCTTTTATTGGTATATATATACACGCGAGTATTAACGAATACTTTATCAAAACCCAAAGATGGTGAGATGGTACATATGCATAAGGAAGGATAAAGAAACTTCAAGAAGTTGTCAACAAAAGAGAAAAAAATGATTGCAAAATGTGAGAAAACATATACTAAAACTGCCTTAGAAATGAAATGATATTGATGACAATTAATACAAATGGTCAAAGGTGAAAGGTTCATATGCATAACCTTCACCTTCGAAGAACTTAGACATGGCTTCAACCCAATGCAATCTTAACGAATGCAACATTGCCGAAGTACCTTCCATGAGGACCAAGATACAAACAGATAAAGTAAACCACATACCAAATAAAACAACTGTCATGAAAACGCCAAAGCTTCCAGTTGACCCGAATGCATTTTGGATAGTCATGGACCATAACACGGAGGATAATTGGGCGTGTGCCAAAGACAAGGCCCAAAGTCTTAAGTAAGAAGCTGTATGTGAAACACAATTTAAACAAAATTCAATGGTGTGAATGACTTGATGAATAACTATATCACCAAAATTGAAGCCTTCACCGTCATCACCATGGGCAGTATTATGATGTAAAGGTTCAATATCATTAGGGAAATGGAAATTATCGCCCAACATGTCAACTTCATCAAGTTCGTCCGGTTGATCGTGATTCAAGGCTTCATTTTCTTCGTGTAACTGAATATCATGATGTGTTTGAGAATTGATATCTTTGTACCCAAGTTCAATAGCACGATTATTTTGTCTTCTCAAAGTCATTGGTTTATATAATAACAACCAGGGTACACAGCAGAGAGCTATTAATACAAGAACAATTTGAATGAATTTTTGACCAGAGTAAAGCTGATCGTCTATTTTACCAGGGGCCAAAAACATATTGATAAGCATGTTAAGTAAACCAGGAGGCTGACGCTGAGTACCAATCCAATCAACACACCATTTGTAAATGATTGTTAGAGTCAAATAACCAAAAATACTTTGCATAAATAAGAATCCTGGTACAAAATTACCAATAATATCAACTTTTGATTTAAAAAATCTATAGTTGACTAAACTGAAAAATAATGAATAGTTCATATGAACAAACCCCATTAAAACAGATAATTTCATTTTATAAGAATTTGTGAACAATAAGTTATTTTCAGCACCATGCCATGCCCAGTCCAACCCAAATGGATAAACCTTGTCAGCAATTTTAGATGCAGTTAATGTAATTGCACCATCCTTTGAAAAATCATATCCTTCCGGAAACTCATATTTCCAACCTGAGCTGAAAAAAGTCATTGATTTTGAAAAAATATCGTTATAAATAAAACCAGTATACATAGAGAAAACACCCATTAGTAAAATGATGTATCTTCCACCAAATGCCATATCAAAAATTTCATCTTTATCCCTTATAGCATTAAATTTACGCTCATTAATGATTAGATATAAACTGATCAAGGTAACTATGAAGCCATGCCCTAAATCACCAAACATGATGGCAAACATAAAAGGGAAGGTGATGATTGTTGCTAAACCAGGATTAATTTCTTGATAAGTAGCAATACCGTAGGCATCAATAATCGATTGGAAAGCAGCAGTAAACTTATTTGTTTTATGGAAAGTAGGTGGGGTACGGTTAGTAGAAAGTTCATTAACAACAGCAATCAAGCTATAGTCATTTTCATCATTATCATAATTATCATCATTTTGACCATCATCGTCAATTGCAAAAAGAGTGTTGGGATTGGGAATATTTGAAGTATTGTGATCATGAGGTTGAGGAGAAATCGAATTACCATTTGACAAAGAAATAGATTCCTGAGAGTCAGTTTGAAAAGGCAGGGTCTGTCTAGTTTTTTCACGTATTAAATTTTTCAAAGTTTGACGAATATTTAAGAAATCAGCCTTTGGTATCCAACCTTCACCAACTAAACATCTTCTGGTGCTATCTTCATCAAATTTATTCAAGGTTTCGTAAATTTGTCTTTCTCTTTCAATTATATAAGCATAATCGGCATAATTTTCTTGAAAAATCAAAATTTCAGTAATCAAATGATTTTTAGTAGTATCAACAACACTATGTAAATCCTCAATTTTACGATTCAACTCGTTCAAAGTTTCAAACCTGGCACTAGCACCACCAGTGACATTGTCATATATTATACCATCCAAAGATTGAATGATCTTTCTGACTCTAGTCTTGAGAAATTCCCCATGAATGTATATTATGAAAACATTCTTATCAATTAATTCGGGATTTTTAGGGTTAAACGTGGATAATTTTTCTTCAATTGGGATATCATGGAAATAAAGATTACCTCTTAAAGTTCTCCATAAAATCTTTCTCAATAAAGGGATTTTATCTCTTGCCAAAGTACCAGAAATCGAGTTGAATCCAGATTCTTCAAGATCAGCAGTTTCTTGAGCAAGTTCTAAACTATGATTTCTATTGTTTAATAAAGCAACATTATCCTCATCGTCTTCATCATCAATACGAAACTCATGGGCGTCATCTTGACCACCCAATAAGGTGGATTTATGAAAATCGTTTAAAGTGGTGACAACATGTCTATTCTCTATGAATTTTAATGATTGCTGCTCCAAATTATTATAAGACGAATCAAGATGTCCAATTCTTTCATGAAACTCACTAACTTTAGCTTTGATATCATCCATGGCAGAAGTACTTGGGAATGCCTCTAAATCGGCCTTCAAATTCAGATAGACATCTCCCTTGGTAGTATTATACTTGGTCATGATTGTAAAAAGGGAATTGAGTTTATTTTGAATTCCATCAATTGTCCTGAGCTCATTAATAAATGTTCTTTGGAAAGGAGTTAACTTCGAATTCAAATCTCTAAAATGAACATTTCCCAATTTACCCAAAGTATAAACCAAATCTCTTGCCAATTCTATCGTAACATAAAATTGAACCAAACTCATTGGTGCCGACCTGAAGATGGCCTCATTATCCGGAACATCAGCAGCAGGGGGAGGATGCATCGGCAGAAATGACATCTTCTATATTAAGCTCTAAAATTCTCTTTATCGAAACAATCTATTTAATCAGTTAGGGTGCGCAACAGCAATAGATAAACCGTGGCCAAAAGAAAATGGTGTTTTTTTAAAATGCTCGAACTAACTTTCAATTGAAAAGTATGTTTACTCGGATCGCTTGGGTTCCCACAATAGTCCGATGAGTTGATCACGATCTGAACAATTGTAAGTTTTTCAGAAAGATTCAAATCGAAAGAACAGAAAAACACTAGTTTTTTATTGTTCTGATACTCTTATTGAGAAAAAGGAGGCAGGGAAAGTTTGCAGGTTAGAACACGTGATCCACCAGAAGTTTGCATGTTGGAGCATCTAATCCATTATCGTGTCAAAAGCTGATTAAGTCTCTCATGATGATTACAAGATTGATTAGGTAGACAGATATTGCTATATAAGCTCAACTAACCAGATTAGTGATAAAACGGGCGAAGACCAAGGGTATTTAGTCAAAGGGAGTAGAATCAAGCAGGCCCCGTCATGTATCGATTACAATCAATATTGAATTTCCTACTATTTTTCATAGGGAGTCTACTAGAATCAGTTATTGCATCAACAAACTCTTCACAACAACTATACGAGCAAGCGATAACTATAATAGACACACTACCGCCACCAGATACTTATCTCCAAAGCATATTTAATGACGACAATATAGATAATTATTTATACATACCTCAATATAATGTTGAAAAACAGAATTATGAAAGTTATGACCCCAATTACGCCCAATTCCAGGAAAATTTCATTGGATTTAATTCAATAATGCAATACTTTGGCTTTGGACTTCCTCCAAATGATACCTCTATAAATGAATTGAAAGTGACGCCATTCCAAGAACAAGTCTTACCTTTGCTTGAACGAGCAGCCGAGGAAAATCATGTTGATTCCTTGGTTAAATTGGCAGATGTGTATATGTTTGGTAATTATTCGACGCCAACCAATTACCATAGGGCCCTTAGTCTCTACCATAGAGCAGTGTCCATTGAAGCAAATGGTCATGCATACTTCATGCTAGGATTCATTTACTCAACTGGGTTGTTTGGAGAGATTCCAATCGATAAGAAGAAGTCTGACTTATACTATCAGTTTGGTGCTGAAAATAATGATGTCAACTCTATATTGGTCCTTGCCAATAAGTTTTTAAACGGATTTGGCAGAGTTTCCGATTGTACAATGGCTCGTTATTACTATTCGAGATTGTCTCATTTAGGAATGAAGTATTTAAATGAAAATAATATTGTCCTCGACGACCATGATGTTTTGTATAATATTCGGCTCGTTGATTTTAAAGGTGGTCTTTATGGTCCAAAATTAAGTGAAAGTGAATCAACCGTGTTCAAAAGATCTTTTGCCTCCTATAAACATTCGTTTACAGAAAATAACTTAGATATCCATGAACATGAATATGTCGATTATTTCTTTAATTCTCTTGAATATTACTACGGCGATTATTTCATCGAAAAAAATCAAACAAAAGCTTTTGAAGTAGCTCAAGAATGTGTCAACCTTGCGAAACATCGTTATGGTCGCAGTGGCTATATGCATGTCAACGATATTGATCGCTTCTTCATTTCTAATTGTCAAGTCCTTTATGCAAAAATGCTCTTTTATGGTCATGGTGTTAAACAAAATTACGATGAAGCTTATAAATGGTTTTCAGTAGCTGCAAAAATTGGCATCCAACCAACAGAAGCTTATAACTATTTAGGCCAAATCCACCAAATGGCACCTTTAACAGGAAATGCCGAGTCTTTACAAGCTCTCAGTTTCTATGAAAAAGCATTGAAGCTTAAGTCTGCCAGAGGTGCCCTTAATATAGCAAAGGCTGGTATTAGACAATCGGATGGAAATATACTTAACTCAAAAGATGCAGATAAAATCCACACCTTGATTAAAGATGCTGCTTATAATGGGAATGCTGAAGCTCTATACTTCTGGATAAACTTTCTTGACTCTGGTGTTAGTGAACACTTTGGTTTTACAGCAAGCTGTGAAGTTGAAGTTACTTTCCACAGAAGATTCGGTGAAAGATTGGAAAAATTCTTCTACCCCCATTTAAAATATGCTTTTGAAGAAGTAAAATATGGTAATTTCAAAAATGCTCTTCTTGGTTATGCAATGGCGGCTGAACAAGGGGTAGAAAACGCTCAAGTTTCGGCAGCTTATTTATTATTCCAATTAGAACCTTTCATTCCTATACAAGATAAGAAAAACTTTGATAAAGATAGAGTAAATATGGCCATCAAATATCTCGAACGCGCTTCTGCTCAACATAATTTGGACTCAACGGTATTATTGGGGGATATTTATTTTTATGGGGTTAAATCAGCTAATATTTCAGTCGATTACAATAAAGCGTTTGCCTATTATAATACCGCTGCCAAAGACTCGTCTTCTCATGGATGCTTTAACTTAGGTTATATGTATGAATATGGTTTGGGCCCCGTTAACAACTCAGTTGACTACTTCATGGCCAAAAGGTATTACGACAATAGTTTACAACTTAAACGTGTCAGCGCTGAATCCAAATCAGATCTTTTGATGCCGAAGGTTAATACCGTCCCAATAAATCTCGCGTTATTGAGATTAAGATTGAAGTTTTTATTTAACAAAAAGGAATACTCTCGCCAAAAGAGCAATAATGACAATAATGGTTGGTTAAGTGCTTTTAGAAAATTGGGTGCTAATAGCAAAGAAATAGAATCTCGTAACCTGGATGCAACAGAGAAAGCAAAAAGAGATAATGCTAAGGCTCAAGCCCATCACGAAGGTAGCTCTTATTTTGTCGATGAAGAATATGATACTGGTGATTATCTTGTTCTCTTTTTCACTTCTATGTTCTTCCTCGTTTTCTTGATTCAAAATATCTATAGACACGTCCGAAGACTTGGCCAGAGACGTAATAATGACCAGCCAGAAAACCAAAACCAACCAGACCGGAATGAGAACCAAAATGGGAATGGTTTTCATTTCGAATTTCACTTTGTTGCTCTCTAATAAGTTTTCGTGCTTTCTCAAGGCTACAGATGTATATATATAAATAGATAAATAATGATAATATTATGCAATGCAAATGAATATGTAAATTACTTAGTTAAGTCGTTGACTATATCTCTCAAGACGGGATTATGGTTAACTAGTTTTGAGTCAGGGTTAAGAGAGCTGGATTTCAAATTTGATGATCTCATTGATCCTGTTTGTGTTTCGGGAGATTGGAATGCAAATTGATAAAACATATTGGCATCCTTAGGTAAATCATGAATCCATTTTCTGTCATTCAAAAGATCAATGAATCCCTTTAATGTATCACTATTGTACAAGGTCGACTTAGAACCCAATAGAATAAGCTTGGATCTTGACCTGGTTATCGCAACATTGACCCTTCTCCACTCTTTCAAGAGATCACCAACTCTCTTTTCATTATTAGAACGCACAAGAGAAATAATCACACAGTCTTTATCACGACCTTGAAATTGATCTGCTGTAAGAACCTCGACATCAGGTTTGCTTATTAAAACACGTTTCAATGACTTAAGATGATGCCTATATAATGTCATCACACCAATGCTGGATTCAGAGACTCCACATAAAGTAAGACTTTCCACCATCTGCCTAACTAACTCAACTTCAGTTGGGTTTTCAATTTTCTCTCCAATCACCTTTTCCAATGCCGGTAGATTGTCATGGTTCAAGAAGAGGACCTTGTTTTCTGGGTTGAATACCAAGTTCATCCATAGTTCACTTTCTTTAAGCTTGAAGTCATATTGTGAAGATATCTGGAAGTCAATCTTCTCGGGGTGTGGGATATACAAGCTTTGTTTTGCAACTTTCTCGGATCCACACTTCAAACGAAAATTATAAACAAGAACATTAGACAATAACATAATATCCTCACACATTCTATATTGATATGTTAATTCTGCAACACTTTGAGGATACAAATCTGCCAACATTTTGAATAATGACAACGACAAACCTTTCTTGACTTCTGCACTTGGATGAGTAACGAGCGGAGGAAGTTGGTTGTGATCACCAACCAACAAAAATTTAGATGCTAAGGCAATAGGTCCCAAGCTAACGGGCATGGAAACCTGTGATGCCTCATCAACAATGCAGTAGTCAAACTTCTTTCTCACGCTGAAAGTGAAGTCATTTATACCCAAACAAGTGGCTGCAACAACTGGAGTATCCAAATAACAGTTGCAAAAATCTTGATATGTGTTGATCTGCTTACCTTCATCGTGATCCGGGATGAATTGTCTTATATCCTTGTGGACCCTGGATGGATAGCCAACTCTGAGGATATCTATACCAAAATCCTTAACTTTTAACAAAATGTTATCAACGGCAGAATGAGTATATGAAGTCAAAAGAACGGTTTTTTTTTGCTCAACAATCCACTTTATGATCTGTGCTATAAGGGTTGTCTTACCTGTGCCCGGCATGCCTAGGATTAAACTATAATCATTGGAATCCATAACTTTCCTGAAGGCAATTTTCTGGTCTGGATTTAAGTTTTCATTTTCAACTTCAAAAGACTGCTTAGAAGTGAAGGTGGGAGCTTCTCCATCAATAATCAATCTCCTGTTCTTTTCAGCACCACCAGGAATAAACAAATCAAGAATGTTATATCGTGCTAAGCCCATTCCATAGAACATTTCATCTTTGTCAATCCTATAGGTTATAGCGGTTTGGCTACTAGAATTTTGTGTATGATGTAGAACACTTCTGATGGCAGAATTTCCACCATTAAAAGCATTAGACCTAAAATCGGTATTTACGATTCTTCTGCTGGTGGTGATGGTAATCATGTTCTCTCTCAAGAGTATAACTATACCTTGACTAATTGCAAACCTACCACTCTCATCACTAATAATAACTTTATCGAATTTGGAGAGTGCGCTGCTAGTGAAAGGAGTCATATTAGTGCCGCTTCTGGTCAATGTGTATTTAAATTGTCTTTGTTCATCTTTTGAATCATCGGCACTAACAATAACCAAATTACCTAGGGCATTTCCTTGAGAAGCTTCCCTTTCTTTAGAAGTCATCATCCACAAATCTTTTTTGACTTTGAAAAGTAGGCTTTCTTCTTTAGTGATCAAATAATCCCAGTGCTTGTAGAAATCCTGATAGTGTTCTTTTCCATCTAAATGAATTGTTAGTTGGTCATATAATTCGGGATTAATACCACTTTCATCAGCTGTACCGTTCTCTAATAGCTTGTTGACGGTCATGCATGGAGCTTGAACATCACAGGTATCACACACCGACAGCCTTTGTAATTCTGGAAGTTCGTGGCTTTCACTTTTCAAAAAGTGTGTAAGCGTATTTCTTAAGTTCATAAGGGTCTTCAAGTCTTGCAAGTTGATGTCATATTTCTTCGACATACCCTCCTTAGTATAAACTAGTAAGAACTGAAGTACATCTATATTGTATCTATCCTTGAATAATAGCGAATACAAAGCCGATTGTGCTTGATGCTCAACGTACTCTTTACCGGTTTTAATTTCCATAGGTAAAAGAACCTTCTTACTTGAGTTATTGTCTCTGAAATTAGCATCAAGAGTGACATCAATCATACCTTTAAGACCAAACATAGGAGACCAAATGTTCTCTTCAATATCCAATGCTTCTGAGACAGAGAATAATACATCTTGCTTATATTTGTTTGTTGGCATGAGGGTTGGGGCTTTTTTATAATATCTTTTGAACCAAGATTCAATGAAAGGAATCTGACCCAAAACGGCTTTCTTGACTGTTTCAATTTCATCACCCACAGAGAATATTTCAAGCTTTCTAGTCTCTAGTAGCAGGTTCAACTCTTCTTTCATGAATTCGACATTATAATTCTCCTGGACAAAACATTCTTGAAAAATTTCATGGATGATATAACCAATAATGAAATGGATTGCCGACTCGCCTGGGAATTTGAATTTACTGTTAATAACTGTCTTTCTAGGGCACCTGATTTGCTGCGAAACAGTAGTTGCAGCGACCAAGGTATCGGGATTCCATATCAACAAATTATGAGAGTCATCAACAAGTCGCTGATTACCGCTATTAGTGAAAATTATGTGAATAATATCGCCCACCTCAAACTGAAGATTGGTATAATCACCCCTTACCATTACCTTTGTTTCTTGTAAATTAGAGTCCCTAACCGACAATATTATTTGAGGTTTTTGTCTGTCTTTAAGCTTATATGAACTCTTTAAAATTCCCATAATTTGGTATCTCTTGAAATCTGATCGTGTAAATGAGAGCTTAGCTCCATTCTCATCAGGCAAATTGGAAAGAAAGTTATCATTAGACTTCAAAAATTCTGTTCGCTTAATTCCATCCTGGAAAGATTTGGCATGTTTCAAGTCGGCGAATTGTTGTGTTGTTAATGATCCACTTTTCGATATATCGAGTTCAGCTATGTCTTGCACAGGCGGCGTTTTACCAGTAGGAAGCCCTTCTAAATCATCATCGGAGAAAGGATCCGAGTCGGTATTCTGATCAGCTGCTTTTGGCTTTTTAATTTCATTCGGGTTCCCATCGTATTTGTCATTATGTACATTTGTTGGAGCTTGGGTCTTTAGTATTGATATTATGTCATCATCATCATCCGAAAATGGATCGTCACTATCTTCTTCAACAGTTGGGTTTTTGGCTTCTAGAGCGCCAATGGTTGAAGCTGTTGGGCTACCGGTATTGGAAGGATCCTTAGTAGAAGGTTTTTCGAGAATATTTCCAATATGTGACTCTTGCTCCGGCAAAGGATTAACTTTATTAGACGTGGATTCTTTTGGGGAACTTGGAGCGTCAACAATTTCACTATCTGTAAAGTCATCATCGAAATCGATTCCCTCTAGGATATTGTCTACCTGAACACCTGGTACAGCATGGACACTCACGTTTTCTTTATTTTCTTCTGGGTTCACGTCTTTCTTAATATGCTTGTGAAGGTCATTATTGACCTGTATGGGTTTAGTGAGGGCCAGCTCACCACCGGTAACATGTGGCACTTTGAATCCTTCGTTTTTAGGTTCCAGAGATCCTGACATATCGAATTTATCTATCCAGCTGTTTAAATTCGATGACTTTATGGGACCGTCTTCTTCAAAGGCCCTAGAGTGAGTAGATATGACAAATGGATCGTGGAAATTATTCCCTCCAGATCCTTCTGCAGCAGACTTAGCTCTATGGAGGGAAGGTGACTTTTCTAGAAGTTTTTGTGATCGTAGAGCTCGGGAAGACGATGAGTCGGAATGAGTTCTATTTAAGTTTGGGGTCTGGATAAGGGTCTGGTTAGCCCCGTAGCCGTATTTGGAAAGAACAGAATCTGTTTGTTCATTAATGACTGTGGAGTTATTTGGATTCACCGATGTCGACACATCCAGGGATACTTTCTTTAAAGGGGAGGACAAAACCGGAATCAGATTCAGGTCTTTTGAACTAGGTTTTCGAGGGCTTTCCTTCCACCTTACCCCATCAAAACTGTCGTCAGAGCTATGATGATCCGAAGGAAGCAAATCATGGCCAGCAGATGATTTTGAGGGAGTTCTTATTGGTTTACTGGATTGAATGACTGATTGATGGTTATTTGCATTCGTAGCTGCAAGCACAGTCGAGGCACATGTCTTGGATACTGCTGCTGGGTTTCCCTTGAGAGTATTGGTAGGTTTGAAGAAGTATATGGTTTTCTTCAGCTTATGGCTAGTCGAAGTTGCATCCGCGTTTTCGTCACTGGGTGCTATCGATACCCTTGATCTCGACTTTTTCGCCACTCCCTTGGGAGATTCCTCTAGGTTCTGACGGAGTCGCTTCTGCATCACCAACAGAGACTTGGGGAACAATGTGATCTAAAGGATGTACTCTAATCGCTATCAGTTTAAGGTGACGCGTAAGAATCCACAGAGGGAAGCCTGCGAGATGGATCGAGATTCCTGGTGTACGGATGTACATTCTGAAAAATTCTGCACGTGATCTCTTCGCAAAATTTGTGTAAGTTTTTTTTTTTTTTTTTTTTTTTCACACTGTAAGGGAAAATTTTTGAATCTCATCGGTAGGAAATTTTTCAATCAGAAAGTCATAATACTATTTTTTTGACCAACTCCACCCCTACTACATTCAGTTACATAGGTGTTCTCATACGCAGCATATATATAGCTTGTCTTTTGTGATTAACAAGAATTCTTTGGCCGTTTAATTTCCATAAGAATATATCATAAATAGATTGAACCAAAAAGAGAGTAGGTGAGGTAGAATTCAAATATATATATAACTGACAATACATCGAATAAAATGGCTTACGTTTTAACTGAAACCGCTGCCGGTTATGCCTTATTGAAGGCTTCTGACAAGAAGATCCATAAATCATCTAGTTTGATTGAAGATTTAAATACAGCAGAAAAAGTTGCTGAACAATTTAAAATTCACCGTTTTGAAAAATTTCAATCTGCTGCCAATGCTTTAGAAGAAGCTAATGCCATTATTGAAGGCCGTGTTTCTGATAACTTGAAAAAATTATTAGAAGACTCCAAATCTGATAAAAAGGCTACTTTAATTGTTTCTGAAGCTAAATTAGGTAATGCTATTAATAAATTAGGATTAAATTTTTCTGTTGTTTCTGATGCTGCCTCTTTAGATTTACACAGATCAATCAAGGAATTTTTACCAGACTTATTACCTGGTTTAGATGATTCTGCTTTAAAACAAATGTCATTAGGTTTAGCTCACTCTATTGGTCGTCATAAATTAAAATTTTCTGCCGATAAAGTTGATACCATGATTGTTCAAGCTATTGCATTATTAGATGACTTAGATAAAGAATTAAATACTTACGCTATGCGTTGTAAAGAATGGTATGGTTGGCATTTCCCAGAGTTGGCTAAAATGATTACCGACTCTGTTGCTTACGCTAGAATTATTTTAACTATGGGTATTAGATCAAATGCTTCAGAGACTGATTTATCAGAAATTTTACCAGAAGAAATTGAAGAACAAGTTAAATCAGCTGCTGAAGTTTCTATGGGTACTGAAATTACCGACATTGATTTAGAAAATATTAAAGCTTTAGCCGAACAAATTGTTGACTTTGCCGCTTATAGAGAACAATTATCTAACTACTTATCATCTCGTATGAAGGCCATTGCTCCAAATTTAACTTCTTTAGTTGGTGAACTTGTTGGTGCTAGATTAATTGCTCATTCCGGTTCTTTAACTTCTTTAGCTAAAGCTCCAGCTTCTACTATTCAAATCTTAGGTGCTGAAAAAGCTTTATTTAGAGCTTTGAAAACTAAACATGATACTCCTAAATATGGTTTATTATATCATGCTTCTTTAGTTGGTCAAGCCTCTGGTAAAAATAAGGGTAAAATTGCTAGAGTTTTAGCTGCCAAAGCTGCCGTTGCTCTTAGATATGATTCTTTAGCTGAAGAACGTGATGATTCTGGTGATTTTGGTTTAGAAGTCAGAGCTAAAGTTGAATCTAGATTAAGTGCCTTAGAAGGTCGTGATTTAAGAACCACCTCTAAAGTTGTTAGAGAACAACAAAAAGTTGATATAACCGAAGCTAGAGCTTACAATGCTGATGCCGATGCTCCAGCTGCTGAAGCTCCAGAAGCTGATTCTGATGATGAATCTGAAGCCGAAGAAGAAGTTGCACCAAAGAAAGAAAAGAAAGAAAAGAAGGAAAAGAAAGATAAAAAAGAAAAGAAGGAAAAGAAAGATAAAAAGAGAAAGAGAGATGACGATGAACAAGAAGAAGAAACATCTAAAAAATCTAAGAAAGACAAAAAGGAAAAGAAAGAAAAGAAAGAAAAGAAAGATAAGAAAGAAAAAAAGAAGGAAAAAAAGGAAAAAAAATAAATTAGATAGTATATCCTTGATGTCTGATTGAAATACCAATAGAATAAGGATCATTAAATTTTTTTTTCTTCCATTCAAAGTATTCCATTTCATTTACGTAAAATTTCAAAAAGAAAACATCCTTTGCATTCGATTCTTATATTAGATCCAAAATCTTGTCTTTTTATTTGACTTATCTTTATTTTTTCATTTTAAGTTTTCTGCTTCAAGTTATACCTCTAACTTGGCTTCCTTTTTTTTTTTTTTTAATTCCCTCTCTCTCATGGAGTGGGTCTTGGGTATTCATCGATACTCCTCTTCTATACTTTCTAGTATATCCAATTGTTCTATAGTATTATGATTACAGTTAAAAGCTTGGTCATCATGTTTTAATATATACATTTATATTTGATATTTAATCTTTATTAGTTGCAATCCAATAACTATGGCCCTGTAGATTTTTTTTTGCACCTTGCACGTGCAGGCAAAACGTCAAGCTAAAACAAAAAAAATTTAATGAACTTCATCTTCTATACTTTTATTCAATCAACTATACAAGTCTTTCAAGTTTGCATTGACACTTGAAAATGTCTGATATTCAAAACATGTATACTAACGAATATGTGGATGCTAAAGATCCATCCCATCCAGCCAATTTGATTTGCGAATTGTGTCGTTTATTTTATGATAAAGACTGGGTAACTGGTACTGGGGGAGGAATTTCCATTAGAGACACTGAAGGAGAAAATCCTAATTTGGTATACATTGCACCATCTGGTATTCAAAAGGAAAAATTGCAGCCATGGGAGATGTTTGTAGTTGAATTGCCGGGTACTAAGATTTTAAATACTCCAAATAATTGTCCTAAGGAGTTGACTAAATCGTATAAGTATAAACCAAGTGCATGTACTCCATTATTTCTTAGTTGCTACAACATGAGAGACGCAGGAGCCTGTATCCATACCCACTCTCAAAATGCAGTTATGGCCACTTTATTATGGGAAGAGTCTATTGAATTCAAAATAAATAATATTGAACAAATCAAGGCCATTCCTAAACTTGAATATAATAAAACTACTCAAAAAGTGGAAAAAATCGGGAATTTAGAGAATTATGATACGTTAGTATTACCCATTATCGATAATGTTCCTCATGAAGAGGATTTGGTTGATGACTTAGAAAACGCAATCTTAAAATATCCTGGAGCCACTGCTGTATTAGTTCGTAGACACGGAATCTATGTTTGGGGTGAAAACATATGGAAAGCAAAGGTATATAATGAAGCTTTGGATTACTTATTAGAATTGGCTGTTAAAATGAAATTAGCAGGAATTCCAACCGTTAAGAATAATTAAATAGTCTTGTAACAAAATATTCAATAAAATTAATGCATTTTTCAACCCCTATAATGGGTTTTTAGTGCCTTTGAGTATTTGTCCATGCTCCTTGAGCCAATCTATATTAGAATCTATCTCTTCGTCAATCTCTCCAATGCAAACAATGTTGGTACCACGCATCAAATACAAACCAATCTTGATTTCTTGATTTTCATCGTCCGGGTAGATCAACCTCTCTATACACTGGGTGATTATCACGTTGGTCGAATTGTCAAACCCATCCAAAATCCCTTCAAATAGCCTGGCATCGGTAGTAATGATTCTTACCTTCTCTAAATTAATCAGTTAGTACTATGTTTCTCGCCATAAGTAAACGCACATGTTACATACTTGTAAGGAACTCTTTCAATGCTGACATCTTGATATGCACAACAACAAGTAATTGATGAATAAAGAAGTGATATCCAGATTTTCATGTTGTCATACTCTTCTCAAGTAGTTATATATAAAAAAAAAAAACAACTGAATAAAAGCAGTATATGCAGGACACCATAAAAATCTCAAATTAAAGTGTTCTTCACTTGATTTAAAGTGTTGCAAAAAAGGTCTACTTCATCTTTCCAACCAATAAGATTTGGCTTAACGGTACGATGTCCAGAAGTAAGTATACTGACTATAGCAGCAGCCCATCAAGGGGCTCGTTCTCGGATCTCGATCTTGATACGAGTGTTTTTACCCAAACCAATTCCAAATGTTATGTATCGCAACCAGCGAAACAACAGGTTACCGATTCCAGACAGATCCAGGTTTCCCAGTTTTCCAAAGAAGAAAACCTGAGGATAGAGTCGATTATTCTGACACATGCTGGTGGTGCTTCTGTAGCCGATGAAGAGATGACGCTGGGAGAAAGCGAAAGGCTGTTGATTACTTGGGCGGCAAGACTTGAACTTGAAGCGGCTAATCTAAGACAAAGTCTACACCATGATCGAGCAGACAAGGTAGATGCGCTCGAAAGCTCCAACAGAGATCTATGGAACCGAATACGTGGGATGGAGAAAGAGATGCAAAATACCAAAGAGTCTGCCACTTCGATAATGAATGTGCTAAAACACACAGTAGAGGTGGAAGTGGAAAAACGAACAAACCTTTTGGTAGAACCATTTCAAACACTGCAGCAGGACATGGTTCACTCGAGCCGGCAGATTTTCAAGCAATTGAGTGAAATGATGCTTAAGCTTATCGATGATATGAATGTGTTGAGTGTTGGTAACGCAGAGCAATACAATAATCTTCGTAGGATCGAAGAATCGCATCTAGAGCTCCAAAGAAAAGTCAGCGAACAGACACTGTCTGCCAATCAAATAAGCGAATTGAAATCCAGAATCTACCGTCTCGAAAACTGGAGTAGCAAAATAGCTACACACAACAACGCATTTGCTGCCTCTATGGATTCCTTCTTACAGGACTACAACTCCTCTAAACAAACGATTGAACGCCTGATCGGTACTCACAATACACACCACCAAATGTATCCATATCCAAAAAACTCAAAGCAAACAACATCCCAACAGGAAACAATCCCCACACTTCCTCAATGCAAACAGGTAAATTGCATGCATGAGAAGCAAATACAGAGAGGAACACCTGCTAAAAGCAAAAGAGAAAGACCTGCTGGAAAAGGAAGACCTGCTGGAAAAGGAAGACCTACTAAAAAAAATACATCAGCTTTTATTGCAGCCGCCAATCAACGAAGCCTCGCTTTAGCTTCGCTGCATACGCTGCAGCTCCATCACTATAATCTCCCTATAGATAATACTTTCCTGCCAGAGTTTTCCTTTCGCATTACTAGAAGTATGACCAAACCCTTCCCAGCCAGCCAAAATTTAGAGGTAAACACGAACCACTCCCCAGGTATCAAAACTTACAAACGGAGGCCAAAGACGTTAGGGGGAAGTGGTCAGCACAACGGCTATTAGCACGGTATCCAAACCCAGATTCTCAATAGAAAACCCTCGCGTGCACAGTCTTTTTTATTTTTATTTTTCATTTTTTATTTTTTTTTTTTTTCACAACCAAACACAATCTCTGCACCTGTGTCCGGGACCATAATTGTGTTTTTGTTGAACACTTCTATATTTGGAAGCATGGTCTTCGGACTAACTAAATGACGCACAGAATAAAGAAATGGATTGACACCAATTGTGAAAGTAACCTTGCACAATACGTCAAACTCAAAACTTTGTGGAAACTGATTGTTGATTTCATACAAGTACTAGCACAAATCAAATACAGAAGCATGGGCGTTAGGATACGACCTACACCAAAAATCGAAAACCTTCGATTTTTAGGGAGTAAACCATCAAAATAGAAAAAAACAAAACATCAGGAGAAATTTTTTTNTTTTTTTTTTTTTTTTTTTTGTCCCTCAACAGAGAAAGAGGCCTCTTTGCATCCACGTGTGTCCCCGAACTATGGGTATATACACCGGTATAGGTATGTCTATGTACTTTGTACAGGCGATCACTTAGTATGAAATTTTATATATTGAAAGAAAATCGTTAAAAACGATACTGGAAGCTTTTTTGTTGTTTTGTTACGAAAGAAAAGGTTTTAAAAGTGATAGAATACTTTGTGACTAATCTATAATTAACTGGTTTGCAGGATAATAGCTCGGATCATATTTGGTATTCCATCTGTTATTTTTTTCAAAAAAACATTTCAAAGAACGGATCCCAAAAAAGAGAAACCTTCAAAATCGCTCAAAATCAAAATATCGATTAAATATTAAGCCTCCATAAATTCCCACAAGCTGTTTTCAGGTGTTAGGTCATAAGACTATTGGGTAAATTGTTTGAAGAACGATTTTCCTTTTTGAAGAACGATTTTCCTTGGATTATTCCTGATTGTTTCTTGAGCACTGTATTTTTTTAACTACTTATTGTTGTCCTTGTTTCATTAAAACTAAACAATCTTATCAGTACAACCAAGTTACTTTATTCTGTTAATTTTTTTTTTTTTTTAAGGTTTGAAACATACTAGCTATTCAAGTCGTATCCCTTGTATAAAACGTTTGGGCCATCTTTAAGTATCGTCAGAAATACTTTTTTTTTTCTATTCTATCATCGAAATTATGGCTACGTTCCATCGAATTAGCAAAAGAAAGTACAGAAATTTACTCTGGAGTGCCTTTTTAGCTGTTGGTTTAAATTTCTTACTATATGTGGTTTTCCTTAAAGAAAATGGGAAATATAGTGTTAAAAACCTCGATGAAATAAATGATGCTACTTTTGATATCATTTTGAAAAATCTTTATAAGAAACCACATCAGTCAAAGGATATTAATATCCAATCCACCACATATGATCAAATGTTAGAAGAAAGCTCCTTTTTCGAATTTTTACAAGGAAATGATTTGAAAAGTCGTTGCGATTATTATTTCAAACAATTATACAAGACTGACCCTAATTGGAAAATAGACCCTAATAGAGGGTTTTCTTATAATAAAGACCATTATCGTAATTTTGAAGATTTTAAAAAATGGAGACTTGAGAATTGGAAAGAGGAACAGAAAGATAAAGAAAATAAAGATTCAGAACCAGATGATAAATTCTATTCTAATGAGTATTCTCAACAGTGGGATAAGATAAGATTGGAAGAACAAGTTTTGCATGATTATTTTTCTCATATAAGGATTTTCAATAAGTGTTATTTGCTTCAAAATGATCAAGATCAAGTATTCAACAATACAAACTTTATCAAAGATCAAAAAGATATGTTGACTTTTATTAATTATAAAAAAGATCACAATCCTATTGGATCTCATGAAGTTCAAACTCCATCCTCTCATAAACCAAACTGCAGGGACTTAGAATCCAAAATATACCCTTGGTTGACCCAAAAATATCCTAAATTTGAATACCATGATGGTTCTGTTTACTCTTTCCCACACTTAAAAAAAGGGTTTTTCAATAAAAATATGTTTGTTGAAGCAATATCCCCGGCTTCGGAATATTTCAATTCCAAAAACGGCTGCTTTCTAACATCTTTCAAGAAAAACTTGAATGGAAGAGGTATTGTTCTTTCCATTGCTGATATGCATCTTGAATTGACTATCAAATTAATTCAGCTTCTTCGTGCACTTGAAAACACTTTACCAATTCAAATTGTGTACTATGAAAACTTGTCTGATGAATCCAAAAGGCAAGTCATTCAGGCCGCAAGGTCAGATTATAATAAGCTTCCTAAACAAGATATTTGGTTTGTTGATGTTAGAAGGTCGGTCAAGGGAGAGTATATCAACAAATTTTCAGGTTTCGGTAATAAAATATTGGCAACTTTATTTAATTCTTTTGAAGAAATGATCTTGATTGATGCAGATACTGTCATGTTGAAAAAACCTGATTTTTTCTTCAATTTAGAAAAATTTATTAATACCGGGACCGTTTTCTATAAAGACCGTTCCACCTTTGAGTTCAGACCTAAACATGACTTGGTTTTTTTCAAAAAATTATTTCCTTCTTTGAAAGATACTATAGTATTCAATATCCCTCAAGTTACCTCTTATACCTTGGAAAATGAATTTTTCAAAGGTCTCAATCATTATATGGAAAGTGGACTTGTTGTCATCAATAGAAGGAAACATTTTACGCAGCCACTTGTTATGGCACAAATGAATTTCTGTTTACCTATTCAAAGTAGAGTTTATGGTGATAAAGAACTTTTTTGGCTTGCAATGGTTATTTCGGGAGATGAAAATTATTCTTTCAACAAACATTTTGCAGCCGCAATTGGTGAGTTGACTCCTGAACTGGAAAGAATTGCCGATGTCAAGAGAGCTCAAGCTTTCAAATCTCAGGAAATTTGTAGTAACCACCCTGGTCATATCAATGACGCTGATAACAAAACCATCCTTTGGTTCAACTCTGGATTTCAACATTGTGGTCAAAATAAAAACGTTAATTTTGAAAATGAATTTTCTTCAAAAAAACGTTATACCAAGGCTAAAACACTTGAACAGTTCAAAAGTATTTTTGAAAATAAGTTAATCTTGACCCATGCTATCATTCCACCTTTTGACATGGATCATCTTACTGCTAGAAATAATGAACACGAACCTGAAAGATCATGGCTCAACATGAGAGAATACTGTTATGGATATACCTGGTGTGCTTATTCGCTGATGGGTGGAAACTGGGTAGATGACTCCGGCAAAAATAAAGATACTCAAATCAAAGGTTTAACCATCAAATTCTCTGAAAAAGAAGTCAATGAATTCAAAAGACTAGGCGATGCTTGGTCAGCATACCACAATAGCAAAACCCTAGTAAACGATTACAATAAACAGGAATTTAGTGATTCTGTTAATCATGATCACGGTGGAGTCGCCATTAATTAATGAATTACCCAAACTAATGCCTCTGTATATTATTATTGCATATTTCTTCTATTTCTTCACTTTCTCCTATTTATTTTACTTATTTACTTATTTTCCTTTCAAGCATTTTACTTTAATCTTTAATATACCGGCGTTTTTTCATTTATAATACCGTCTAGATACTGCCTATGTATTTTTTTGTATCGCACTAAGCTTGCAACCCATAAAAAGTTATTTAGACAAAAACAAAAAGGAGAAACGAGAACAAAGCAAAGACAATAAAACGAATCGTGTGCCCCATCTTTTAGTTTGCAATCTTTTGAACACATCCCAGCTCTTCAGTTAGCTATTTAAGCTCAGCTCAACTATAACACTGACACTTCAATCAAATATATTTTTATTCCAGAGATTCCGAGATTTTAAAGTTGAATATGATTGCCAATTCTACCCATATATCAAACAGAATTTTTAAAACCCAAAGGCTAATCACTCTAATGATAGCATCTGTATTGATTTTATTTTTATTTATAACTGGATATGCCGCTCACTCACAATTGAAACAAAATCCAGAAGCATATAATAAGGCCAGTGATAAGTTGGCAAATTATTACGGTTCTACTATAGGCAAGATTTTTAGTGACGATCTTGCTTTAGAACAAGAAGCAGAAGCAGAAGAAGTCAAAGAGGCCAAGTTGAAAGCAGAGAAGGAAGCGTTAGATCAGAAGTCGAGTAGAAATTACAATCGCTTACTATAAATGTACTTATATATGTATATAATGATATTATTATGCCAATTCATGATTTGTAAAATTAAAAGATGCCTAAATATTCTTCCAAACCCCCTTTTCAAGAAAGTCATTTTTAGTTTTCTCTTTAAGGAACCCCATTGCAACTAACTCAAAACAACTTTGCAAGAACCAAGCATAGGTTAGTTTATTCCAGGTAGTATCCTCTATTTCGTCGCTTCTCAATTGTTTAACTATATCCAAGTATATTTTTGAATAGGCATCCTTGTCGGAGGCCAATTTATCGACATTCGAAGATAACTCATTTATAATTTCAGATTTTAACAAAGACTGTTTGAAGGCAACGTAAAAATCGTAAAGATTAATAGAAATGGGAGCATCTTTATAAATATTGTAAAGTCTTGAAACCATTGGCGATAAACTGTTTCTTGGTAGTTCACTTTTTGTATCAGTCTTGACTAAGTCATTGTTCAAGTAGGCGCTAGAATCGTTAAGTCCTAATTCAAGAACACTTCTCAAACTTGGTCTGACAAGATTTATCATTAAGTTATCTAAATTTTCTTCGACAAACTTCAGAGGTTTCAATAATTCCAATTCACTGACTCCACCGTCGATGGTCAAAATTTCATTAAATAAATTATCATTAATTTTTTTGTTCAAATGAGAATTCCCATTAAAGTACTTGGTGAGAAGATTTCGTAAATCTTGCTGTATATTTTCTTCGTCTTTGAAATTCAAACTTCTTATTTCTACTTGTAATCTCAAAATATAATCATCAGTGACACTTTCATTCAAGACACTTCTTATATCGTCTGATTCGAGAATATAATTTGACAATTCTTGAACATCTTCCACAGGTAAATTTTTGACTGAACGAAGACAATCACTAAGGTACCCTGAGTTGATTAACTGATTATTAGTGATTAACTTATAGATTTCAAACTTTTCTTTTTGGAATGGATCGAATTTGTATAATAAATTAACAGCATTTATAATTGAATTTCTATAAATTTGGAAATCTTTTTTAGCATTTGCTAACAATTCTTTTGATTTATCATTTGAGTTAAGTAAGGCTTTAATCTCATCTTTCAATTTTGTAATGGTGTTTTCTTTTTCTTGGAATCTTTCATCATTTTCTGAATATAGCTCCGCTAATGTAAGTCTATCATCAGCCAATTCTTTTTTCAATTCTGTAAATTGATGTAATTTGAATTCAACTACCTTTTTGAATGAAGGTAGTTTTCTCAAAGAGTCGATATGTAATTGTGTTGGTTCAAATTTGGAATCTACTAAAATTGACAAGGGAGACTGATAGAAATAAATCATGTAACTTAGTTTCAAAGAAGCTACTAAACTATCAATTGAATTATTTGAATTTTCAAAACGATTTAAAATGATCAGAGCCAATCTTGAATCTAATGAGATTGGAGCATCAGGGGTGATTTCATGGTTTAAGAACAATTTACTTAAAACATCATAACCTAAATCCTTATTATCATTTGATTCAAACTTAATACCATTAATAATAGTTCTTAAAGTATTATTCAAGTTTGTATTGATCCAATTACTCACATTACTTGAAGATAATGCCATGAAAAAGTAGATTGGCAACCTGTTTGAATAAGAGTGGAACAATTTGATTAACTGATTCAAAACATCGTTATCAACCGAATCGGCTTCCTCCACTATGATTATGATTCTTAAATTTGTATTATAAACGTCAGTGTTAGTTTTACGATAATGATTATTACACCATTCTTCGAGAATATCAAGATCATAAGAAATCCTACCCTTTAAGGTTGCCATGACTTGCTCATCGTTTTGATCTTCATCAAACCCATCTTCTTCCTCGTCTCTTTGTTCATCTTCTTTTTCTTCATCTTCTTTTTCTTCATCTTCTTTTTCTTCATCTTCTTTTTCTTCATCTTCATCTTCCGATGCTTCGGCAACAGATATGACTTGATTAGGTACTGGCTTTTTGACCTTTAAGTTTAAAAATTGACGAATTGTTTCTCTCAGGGCAGCTTTTGCATGAACGCAGTTTTTAGAATTAAGACTAACCGCTTTTAAATCAAGCGAATCGTCCAGTTCATTTTGCTCATGCAAAAACTGCAACAACTCTTGTAAGATCCTAGTGTTATTAGCGGTGTTAGAAGTAAGCGATAAAAACCCAACTGGAAGCTTATGTGATTGGGTCTTGATAATTCGACTAACGCGTCTAAAATCATCCTTCACCACCGGCGGTTGCTTGATATAACTCAATAAATCTTGAAATAACTGAGTATTGGTATTATTAAGTATGAAATCAATCTTTTCCAACTGGTTCTGCCAAACCTGATTGTATAGATTATACCGATGCTTTACATGCTGACTGGATTCTTTGGTATTCAATAAAGGATTGAATGGTGTTTTATGAGTATTCTTCTTGGACTCGGGTCCCAACACATTAAAGACATTGGCCAACGAACTCAACGGACCTCCGGTCTTCTGACGCTTTCGTGGATCAATAAAATAGTGGGTTTTCTGATTATTGGTGTCCATCAGAACCGTGGCCGCCAGACCATTTCTCGACCCTCTTTTAGCCATGCTTCTCGAAAACTAAACCAACGCAAAAGGGCACCTACCAGATTAGTACAACCGATCACCTCGCAAACTCGAGTCAGGGGTAACGATAAGAAGTGATTGCTAAATCTGACGAAAGATGTGCTCATGCTTTGAGCAACCGAAAGATTAGAGAAGAGTTTGATCCCCAGCCAATGCGACAAACAAACAACCCCGAGCAAAATTATAATGTTAATACAATAGTAATTTATACGCAGACAATTCCACCACTTTCCCAATTCTCCAGACATTTTATATATTAAGCTTTTTGTCTCCTTATTCCTAGAGTCTTCTTACGGAGTGTATGAATATATATATATATATTGGGTAGACATTCTACTTTGAACGGAGACTGATTCCTAACATTTGTGATTTGTTTTGCGGTTACTAGAGAAATCGCATCATTTGATACCCTTAAGATTGTACTTGCTTAGCTTGATCAAAAGCTATAGGTTAGATTCAGGCTGGACTGGGGTCAATTGGATATTCGGATCAAGTGGAAATGCCATCCAAGCAAAGTACTTCTGCCACAGGTGTAGGCGGTGAAGACAAACTGGGGGGTTTGCATCATAGATACGAGGTTGATTCTTCTTCTCAAAGTTCACAAGAGTCGAAAAGTGTCAAGAATAATGGTAAAAAGCATCGGAGATCGAAGAGTAAGAAGCGAAGATTGAATTTTGCACCCCTCAATACTCCTTTGAAAAACAGATTGGAAACTATTGGGATAATTTGGCATACGATCTCGATTCCTTTCTTTATTTGCTTATTTTTGGGTTTGATTTCATTAGGGTGGATAGTTTGGGCTCTAGTTATTTTACCCTATTTCATTTGGTGGTATGGCTTTGATTTACATACTCCAACCAATGGGAAAGTGGTTTATAGAGTTCGTGATTGGATGAAGAATTTATTGATTTGGAAATGGTTTGTTGATTATTTCCCAGTAAGAGTCCATAAAACAGTTGAGCTTGAACCTACATTCTCGAATGTCTTGGTGGAAGAGGATTCCATACCTGACGATGAAGAGGATTTGATTAGTGAACATCTGAGAACGATGATTGATAGTATTTTCAAGAAATTGGGATTGAGTAAACGTTTGAATGATCTGGACTCTTATAGTCCTCCTCCCTCTGGTGAAAATGATTCTGTTAATGGCAAGAGAATCTCTAAAAATGGTTCTCATGTGTATAATTATAAAAAAATCTCAACCGGTCCTCGTTATATCTTTGGGTATCATCCTCATGGAGTAATTTCAATGGGTGCAATGGCTACTTTTGCAACCAATGCCATTAGAAATAAGCCTTTCGAACCCCCGGTCAAATTCTTAAAACCATTTTTCCATGATCCTTCCAAACATGAGTGTCTTTTACCCGGTATTGGATATGTTTTCCCCTTGACTTTAACCACTCAGTTCACTTTACCTTTATATAGAGATTACTTATTAAGCTTGGGTCTTACCAGTGCATCCGCTAAAAATATTAAAAGTATAATCAACAATGGTGATAACTCGGTTTGCATTGTTGTCGGTGGGGCTCAAGAATCGCTTTTAAATAACATGGTCTCTGGTTATACAAAAGTGGGTAATGGTTATAAAGGAGACCAATATCAAAAAGAAGAAGAAGATGATGATGATTTCCAAGAAGAAGAACCTTCTAATTTATCTTCAGATAAAGACCACGATGATGATTATTACTCAGATAATAAGCCCAAAGTTAAAAGAGAAATCAAATTAGTTCTAAATAAACGAAAGGGCTTTGTTAAGTTGGCCATTGAATTAGGAAACGTTTCGTTAGTGCCAACTTTTGCATTTGGTGAAGCTGACATATATAAATTATCAATTCCAAAACCTGGTTCTTTTGGTTATGCATTTCAGCAATGGATGAAGAATACGTTTCTGTTTACATTACCTTTTTTCAGTGCAAGAGGTATCTTCATTTATGATTTTGGATTTTTACCATTTAGAAACCCTATTGATGTCGTAATGGGTAGACCAATCCTTATCCCAGAAGGGGCATTATCAGAATATAGATTAAAACATCCAGAATCTGAACCTTCTAAACCACAAACCGAAACTAATTCTGATAAACCCAAAGCTAACAATGAATCACAAGTACGTAGGTCAGGTGAATCATTCACTAATTTATTCAAAAAGAAGGAACAACCTAAAAGTAAAAGTAAAACACAGATTCCACAAGAACTTTTAGATCACTATCATAGATTATACGTTGATGAATTAAAGCGTGTTTACGAGGAAAATAAACACAAATATGGATATGGTGATGTTGAATTGTGCATCATTGAATAATCTTATAATTCCCAGGATTGGAATTGTATATATTCTTTCTTTTTTTATATTTAAGACTGGCTTTCTTAATATTTATTTCGACATTCATGCTAGCATACATTTAATCAGTTTTAAATAATTTTTTTTAATCATTTTCTATGGCTCACATTGTTTTTTTACAGCATATATAATTGTTTATACATTAATATCTACATTATGTAAGTTAAACTTGATTGAGAATTAGTACTATGTGCAAGGGTATTTAAAATATATAAATTAAAATTTATCATTATCATCATCATCTTTTGGAATCTTTCCTTCTTCTTTCAATTTTTTATACTGTTTGAGTAATTTCCTATCCAATTTTCTACGACCTTTACTATTAACCGAAGCATTACTTTCTTTTTGCTGATTCATATGAGCGGCAGTTTTTTTGAATAAAGATTTTGAATCGTGTAACTGGTTAAGAAAATCGCTATACTCTTTCTTATGATCTTCTTTGATACTTTGTTCTTTTCTTAGTTTTTCTAATTGAGAATTTTCCCAATTTCTGAAAGAGTTTATATTCCATTTTTGTTCAAAAGGTGGATTACCAAAAGGCTTATTACGAGGAAATAAGTCCCACAAGTACTCATCATCAATATCTTCCAAATGCGGATTGAGATTAATCATACCGGATAATGATTTTTTCAAACTATGTTCAGGTAATGGTTGATAAGTATTTGTATCTTCATCATAGTATAGTTTAACAACACTAGCATGTAATTGTCTGATTTCACGATCATCGTTTGACTTGACCATATTATCAAGGCCATCAATTATGGCACGATCTTTCTCGGTGATCCTAGCCTTTATGGTTGATTTTAAATGATCATCAGGAATGTTAAAATCAACAAAGGTGTTTTTCTTTTTGTTCATCTCTTCTTCTTCTGGAGGTGTCAAGCCGATACTTTCATATAAATCTTTAGCAGACTGATTCAATATGCTTTCAGGAACTTTTGGGAATTTCGTTATTGGTATATAATTGAGTTTTTGTTTAAAATTCGTGGATTCATTAAATTTAGTATTTACAAGATTAGATGCAGAATTTGATACCTGTGATTTAGCATTTATAGCCTTTTTCGATCTCGAAGAAGTAGACTTGGATTTAACCGAAGCAGAGTCGTTGGACTTGGTCTTACTTTTAGCTGCCATGGGATTTAGTCTTCTTTTAGAAGGAGTTGGATGTTTTTCATCGTTGAGCAAATCATGGTCAGATTTGGGAGGCGATTTCGACGAGTAAGCCCTAATCGAGGGTGCCAATCTACCCAACCCCAAAGGTCTTAGAGCAGGTTGTTTTAAAGCTGATGTTAGCTTGATAGAAAGCATAACGTGGTTTGGTACTAAGAAGAAGAATATCTGATTATTAAGTAAAGGGACCGTTTTTTATACATGACGGATTAGTATTCGCTCGACTACAACACCCGTACATCAAATTGAAAATAATCTCACCCGTACATCAAAAGAAAACCTCCAGTATAGTGTAACAGTATAAGTACTAAGAAAGCTTTCCCTGGACAAGCAAGCTCCCTAGATGAAGTACTCTTGTTGGTGAGTCTAAGAACAGGCCTATAATTGACCAGAATGTAAGCCACACTAACGTGGATCAAAGATAAATGCGTAATTGGTACCCACGATGGAAGCTTGTCGGCGAAAAAACAAAAAAAAAAAGTCAATACTGAAAAGATTCGTAGTAGTTTATGGTAAGGATCAATATTGCCAAAAACAACATAAGCAGACTACTCAGGATGTCATTACACAGAGGAGAGAAAGTTGACTTGAGTCAATTGCCACATACATTTGATAAACAAGTACCATTAGCCGTGATTGGAGGTACTGGGTTGTATGATTTACCAAACTTGAAACCAGTTGCAAGAGTTACTGTTTCAACACCATGGGGGTTCCCATCGGCACCAATCACTATATCCGTGACCGATCAAGGATATCCAGTTGCATTTTTGGCCAGACATGGACAACACCATGACTTATTACCATCGGATGTTCCATCTAGAGCCAATATAGCAGCATTGAAGAAATTAGGGGTTAAAGCCATTATAGCTTTTTCAGCAGTTGGATCCTTACAACAAGAAATCAAACCAAGAGATTTTGTAGTTCCAACCCAAGTTATCGATAGAACCAAGGGGATCAGACCATCCACCTTTTTCGAAAAAGGATTTGTTGCCCACGCAATGTTTGGGGAACCGTTTGATTTAACCTTGAATCAAATCATCAGTGACAGTTTACCATCCAGTGGATTTTTAGAAGGGTTTGATACCGAACATACTCCATTATTACATACCAAGAAACACACCAATAAAAACGAAGATTTGACCGTGATCTGTATGGAAGGCCCTCAATTTAGTACTAGAGCAGAACTGAAACTCTACCGTACTTGGGGAGGATCCGTTATCAATATGTCCGTTTTGCCAGAAGCAAAATTGGCTCGTGAAGCAGAAATCGCTTATCAAATGATTTGCATGTCTACAGATTATGATTCCTGGAACGAAAATGAAGAACCAGTCACCGTGGAAACCGTGGTTGGTAACTTAAAGGCAAACCTGGCCAATGCCTGCAAAGTCGCCGCCCATTTAATTGACATTGTCAGTGCCGAGTTAGTCAGTGGTGAAAAGAATTTGGGTACGAGCTTAGAAGGTTCGATGAAGTACTCGGTCAGTACCAGTCCCCATGGGGTCAAGAAGGAATTGTTAGAGAAAATGCACTTTTTATTCCCTGGCTACTGGCCAATCAACTAATTATATATATATATATGTGTCTAGATTAATGTATGTTCTTCGGAGTTGACCTTCGGACTTCTCCTCCAGTCTTGACTTCTCCCTTAACGGTTATTGCTGTTGCCAGCAATGGCACTGATCCCCTCAGCCTTCAACATACCCATACTGGAACGTCTTCTACAAGCATATTCCACCCTGGTGGGGATAATCAGATTATGAATCAATTGATAAGAGAAACAGTTATCCTCCCCACCCATTTGGATTTTTTCACATTTTGTTCCTTTATTCTTTTTTTTTTTTGTTTTGTATTGCAAAAGGTTGTCACACAATTTGGGTTGCAGTCATTTTAAGCGAGTCGTGTGGGTGCAGCCAAAAAAAAGAAGCTTTACTAGCACCATATCTTTTTCTCCCCTAACAAAATAGATAGGCTGATTGATCAGTAAGCCACCCCTCAAATCAGAGTATATATATCAGATAGGAGTCTCCCTTGTATTGGATTTGGAAGAAAAGTAGACACCATACAATATGTCATTGAGAACCTTAGGATTAAACTCTACGTTGAGTCGTTTTTTCGCCAAATCAAACGATTTGACCAAATCAGTTCAAACTATACTTGATTTCAAAAAAAATCCACAAGAGTCGTTTAGTAATATAATGACCCGATGTGACCAGGAAATGGGAGGATACTCTACGGTTAATTTTGATTACGACGAACTGCGGAAAATGGGCCATTTCCATGGATACTTGAATTTAGATTTGCCAAAGAATAATCCAGAAATTACTCGTTCAGGCTACGCCATGTTTAGAACCAAAGACCAAAAAGAATCCTGGCTTTCGGGAAACGTGTTTTGGGATTGGTCAAATTTCCAATCTTTGGTTTTAAGGGTTCGTGGTGATCGTCGTAAGTACTTGGTCAATATTCAGGCCAATACTCCTTTGGTCACTGATTTATTCCAACATCGTTTGTTTTTAAACCATCCAGGAGAGTGGGAAACGGTGGTTATTCCATTGAATGATTTTGTCATGACTAATTGGGGGGTTATTCAAGATGGCTCGGAAATTAATAAACTGGAAGTTAAAACTGTTGGAATTGGGTTATTAGATAAACAATACGGTCCTTATTCTCTTGATGTTGACTGGATCAAGGTGATGACCGGCGCAGAAGTAGAGAAGGTTGCCGATAAATCAAGACACGAGAGGTTATCCATCCTGTCTTCCTCTGAAAATGAAAATAATTCCGGGGTAGAAAGTGATATTCCAATTGGTAATGGTGGCTCTGCCTTGAACACCACCAAACATCAAGAGCCAAAAGATACCGTTTTTTAAACTTAGTCATATGCATACATGATCAAATCGGTTGGTTATCTTACGGTTCCACAAGTATTAAAATCAGCTCACAAAGGACTTGTTTTTTCTGTTTTTTTTTTTTTGGCCATCTTTATCAGCTGATTTAGAGTCTCTTCGGCTATCTACTGAACCACTGATCTACTACTAGATCAGCTCAAGTCTATAGTGTTAATTGACAATTGACTCTCTTATGCTTTTTTTTTTTTTTGCATTTTCTACTATAACAAATGAAATTTGATCAGTACTGTCTAGTGTAGCACTCCTATAATTTGTACATTTACGGTATCAACAAAGACTCTATACTTGATGCAGTAACAATAAACAAGACAAAGATAAAGAGGGTTATGCTGTAGTGAGGAGTAAAGGTACATAATAAAACTGTCTGCTTATCAGTGAATTTGCGACTTACCCTTGAGGATTATTTTTTGCATTTTTCACAGCAATTTCCAAATATGTGGAGAACAATATGATCAATAAGGTCTTCTATCCTTTTCATAATACACCTTTGGTTAATCTTACATTGAAAATAACTTGGTGCACAATCAGTCATGGTTTTCCCAACTTTACTCCCAATTCTTTCAATTGTTATACGAAATTACACTAAAGGTTCTTGGTTTACCCCACAGACAAAGGAATCAACCGAAACCTGTGGCTGCATAAAGCTTACTACTGCAAAACTAATGTGCTACTCAACTTGATCATGCTCTTAGACAAGTGTTTGGGTGGTTTACAGTCTTCGAACAAAACAAGGGCTTGTGCCCTATATGTCACGTGCACTCACACGCACTTTCTTTTCTCTTGACCGTTTGGGTCTTGAAAGGTTTTTTTTTTCGCATTTTTCAACTATTATATAAATGATAGCGCATCCATTAAAATTTCAATTTTCACCTTCTTCTCTTAATTAACTAAACAAACTATTATCAAAAATGGCAAGAGGCCCGTATGTCTTATTATTATCATTTAACTTCTAGAGGTTAAGGATAATGGTAGCTAGCAAAGGCAAAACTATAGGAGGAGTACAATGTTTATTGGAAACTCTAATCATCGTTTGAACTTTATGTTCTGTAAATCGACACCAGTCATCTTTTTCTTCGGATCAAGTTTGGCTTGGATGGGAGCCTTGTCATGATAATTTGTTTGGATAGTTGAGTGGTTGTCTGTTGGTGCAGGAATCAGCGTTCCCCCAAGCAGGCGGCGGCATGTTCATTTCATCGAAGTTGTTTCTTGAAATTTTCAATTGTCAGCTTCGTACAGTGGAGAAGAGGCTTGATTTTTGAAAATATAACATCATTTCTGTCAAGACCTCTGCCCAGGTTAACCATTCACCTATTCATCGATTATCATGCTACCTTTATCTATACCTCGTAGACCGTAACAATATACTAACAACCAATAGACAAAAACACTTGAAAAGATTAGCAGCTCCATCCCACTGGATGTTGGACAAATTGTCCGGTACTTACGCCCCAAGACCATCTGCTGGTCCACACAAATTGAGAGAATCCTTACCATTGGTTGTTTTCTTAAGAAACAGATTGAAGTATGCTTTAAACGGTAGAGAAGTTAAAGCTATTTTAATGCAAGAACACGTTAAAGTCGATGGTAAAGTCAGAACCGATGCTACCTTCCCAGCTGGTTTCATGGATGTCATCACTTTAGAAGCTACCAACGAACATTTCAGATTAGTTTACGATGTTAAAGGTAGATTCGCTGTTCACAGAATTACCGCTGAAGAAGCTTCTTACAAATTAGGTAAAGTTAAGAAGGTTGCTTTAGGTAAAAGAGGTATTCCATACATTGTTACCCACGATGGTAGAACTATCAGATACCCAGATCCAGTTATCAGAGCTAACGATACCGTTAAAATCGACTTGGCTACTGGTAAAGTTACCGATGTCTTGAAATTCGATACCGGTAAATTAGCTATGGTTACTGGTGGTCGTAACTTGGGTAGAGTCGGTGTTATCACCCACAGAGAAAAACACGAAGGGGGTTTCGATTTAGTCCACATCAAAGATTCTTTGGAAAACACTTTTGTCACTAGATTAGGTAACGTTTTCATCATTGGTAACGAAGCCGCTAGACCTCATGTTTCTTTACCAAAGGGTAAAGGTGTTAAATTATCCATCTCTGAAGAACGTGACAGAAGAAGAGCTCAACAAGGTTTATAAGCTGGCTCTTGCATGCTTAACTAGCTAATGAATATATAATCTTATCCTTCTAACGATTTCTCTAATTTGTACAATAGACTTAATAATTTATCGAACTCGATGATGTAGTTATTGATAACGATTTTTTTTTTTTTTTAGTTTTGTCGGGGTGTGTAGTGGATCAACGTGCGAGAGGAGTTTTGTATTTGTATTAATATTGGACTTTTCGAAGATAAAGTTGCTTTAAAGTATTCAATTGAGGTTAGAATCAAGAGTTTCAATTGATTGGAAATGACATCAAGATATAGAGTGGAGTATGCTCTTAAGAGCCATAGAAGAGACGAGTTCATTGAGTGGATCAAGGGTCTTTTGGCAGTTCCATTTGTATTACATGCCGATGTTAACAATTATGGTGACGAGATCAGTCCAATTTACAACGATTTTGAAAAATACGAAAAGTATATCGAATCCAATGAGGAAGAAATTGCCAAAGAATGCCAAAAACGGTATTTAGAGATATTTGGAGATGTTGAGTTATTAATTGATAATACCATATTACTTGATAGACTAGAAATTGAGAAGGGATCTGGTCAAGTATCAGCTAGTAGATTACGACAAGTAGTACCGTCAGTTGGGAGGTTTTATACTAGATTGCCATTGAGAAAAGCATTTTTAATTGAAGATGACAGAAAACAAATATCAAAGAGAAGATTGGTAAGTCCAAGTTTTAATGATATTAGATCGATTTTAAGTACTGCTCAAATACTTGCATTAAGTAAAATTTATAAAAATGGAGACGTTTCAGGTACAAAATTGAAATTGATTACATTTGACGGGGATGTGACCCTATATGACGATGGAAAATCATTATCAACTGGTAATGAACCGGTGGTTAAAAGATTACTTAAGCTACTTGAGTTAGACATTTTTGTTGCAATTGTTACTGCTGCCGGGTATCCCGGCCAGGAAGGAGTACCAAAGTACTACGAAAGATTGAAAGGTTTAATAGATGCAGTAACTGAGTCAAAAGTATTGAGTCCGCATCAAAAGGAAAACTTTTTGGTTATGGGAGGAGAATCCAATTACTTATTTCGTTATAACAATGAAATGAAGAATTTAAAGTTTATCGAAGGTGATGAGTGGTATTTATCAGTTATGGAGAATTGGAGTAAAGATAAAATTAACTTTATTATGAATTTAATCCACAGACATTTGATTCACCTTCGTAGAAAATTTAATTTAGATTCTGACGAAAAGACTACAATTATAAAGAAAGAAAGATCGATCGGAATTATACCAGCACCCGGTTTTGAAATTAGTCGTGAACAATTAGAAGAAATTGTCTTATCGTGTTCTTTAAAATTGACCGAGATTTCTAATAAGTACGATCATAATTTAATACCAATCCAATTGCGCAAGAAAAGCGATTCTGGAGTCCCGACTACTAGCATTGATTCACAACCGGAAAATGAAGGATCCAAAATCAATTTCTGTGCTTTTAACGGGGGCAGAGATGTTTGGGTCGATGTTGGTGATAAAAGTCTCGGAGTTGAATGTTTGCAAAAATATTTATGCAAAGACGAAAAGTATAATCACATTTGTCCAATTCAAAAAAGTGAAAGTTTGCACATCGGGGATCAATTTGCTTCATTGGGTGCAAACGATTTCAAAGCAAGATTGAGTGCCTGTACGGTTTGGATTGCAAATCCTAAAGAAACGGTTGCCATCCTAGATGATTTACTCCATGAAATTGGAGTATCTTTATAACCAGACTAAGCAATAAATTAGAATACATTAGAATAAACTTTTAAAGTAATATGTAAGCATTCAAGGAGTCTTGCTTTGATTTATAAAATTTCCACATGCACTTATAAGAAGTCGGAAAAACGAAAAATGTGCGATACTTAAAGTCGTTGAACTCTCTGGATTGAACGCTCTGTTCACTTCTGAGCCAGGTATCTACTGTACTGACTAACCAGAGATCATGGGATTTTTTGATCCAAGCACCGGAGAATATTTTGATCCTTCAGTGGATCGCCGGGTTGTGCTCATCACCGGAGCCAACTCCGGTATCGGGTACTATACTGCGTTGCATCTTTACCTACATGGGTATGTTGTATACATTGCTGGAAGAACTGAATCCAAGGTGTTAAAGGCAATGGAGGATATAAAGGAAGAGTCTAAGAAACGAATTGAAAACTCTTCAGAGCAATCTAGCAAAAAAATTGTCGGAGAGTTGCATTTTATTAAGATGGATTTGCAAGACTTATCAACTGTGGTCAAGGGAGCAGAGGAGTTCAAAGCAAAGGAGTCCAAATTACACATTTTAATCAATAACGCTGGTATTATGGCGGTACCATTCGAACAGACCAAAGATGGCTATGACGTTCAGTATCAGGTCAACTACTTGAGTCATGCGTTACTCAGCTTTAAAGTACTTGCTGAATTGAAGGCAGTTGCACAAGAAGGCAAGGTTGAACCCCGGGTTATTTTTGTTTCCTCCTTGGCCCATGCGTCTTTCACGAACGGATACGAACCGGGCGACTTGATCAAGAAGAAGCCGGAGGCTTGCTATTCTTGGATCAGGTACGGTAAATCCAAAATGGCCGAGATTCAGTTCATCCAGCGGTTTGCCAAAGAAAATCCCGGCATCTTGGGATTGAGCGTTCATCCAGGGATCATCATTACTGATTTATACCAGTACTGGTCCAACGTTCCGGTTGTTGGGTTTCTATTCAAGTCTTCTTTCTGGGCCATTGGTAAAGTTGCCGGGGTTTCGACTGAACAAGGTGCCTTGGCTACGTTGAGGGGTGCCATGGATCCTGGCTTGACCATCGAGAATGACAATTGTAGGTATTTCAGCACCGGAGGCACCGATGCAAAATCCCTGAAGGCCTCCCACGACAAGAACTACACCGACAGACTCTACACATGGACCATCGAGGAACTCGAAAACAAGGGTTTTCTCTACTGACACGAACAGTTGAATATAAATAGATGAGCAGTAAATGTTGAATATAAATAGTTGAGCAGTTGTCTCAATGTTGAATATAATTGAGCAGTTGTCTAAATGTTGAATATAGTTGAGCAGTTGTCTCAATGTTGAATATAAATAGTTGAGCAGTTGTCTAAATGTTGAATATAGTTGAGCAGTTGTCTCAATGTTGAATATAAATAGTTGAGCAGTTGTCTAAATGTTGAATATAGTTGAGCAGTTGTCTCAATGTTGAATATAAATAGTTGAGCAGTTGTCTAAATGTTGAATATAGTTGAGCAGTTGTCTCAATGTTGAATATAAATAGTTGAGCAGTTGTCTAAATGTTGAATATAGTTGAGCAGTTGTCTCAATGTTGAATATAAATAGTTGAGCAGTTGTCTAAATGTTGAATATAATTGAGCAGTTGTCTAAATGTTGAATATAAGTGAATATTTTGCAACAAGAACACACCCATACACCAACCGTGTATGTGGCTATCTTTGTAAGTAAACGTTTATCGCAACCCGCAACACCCCTTGATTTTGCCCCCTCCGAACCACTAACAAAACAAAAAAAAACGAGGTCAAAAAAAGATTGCGTAGTATGGGGTTTAGAAACGAGATAATCTCTTATCGAATTCCAATTACTTCTTTTACTTAGTCTGGACGACTACTGGCTATCACCACTACCTCTACTTGAACTATTTGCTTGAACTATTTACTTGTTATACTTGAACTATTTACTTGTTATACTTGAACTCTCACTCGATTGACTACCAACTTTCTTGCCATGGTGTTTGGAATGATCAAGTACGTTTTACATTTGTTTTAGCCCAATGGGTATGTACTAACCATATAGTAATGGAATTGGATTGTTATTGCCAATAATTTGTACTTATCGTGCTTTTGAAAAGTATACTTCGCATTCCAATCGGATTGCAGCCTCAAATGTCAATATTGCTGGGTTTAATGTACCCATAAACAGTTTGTTCAAGAAGGCCACCGGAGAACAAGCCGAACCAATTGATTACGAAGAACGATTATTACAATATGAATTGATCACTTTACAGAAATGGATAGTGTACTGGTTGGTTTTTGGGTCAGCCCAATTGGTGGAAACGGTTTTTTTTTTGTATTACTTGCCTGGCTATTCTTTGATTCGCCTAGGATTTTCAATTTGGTTAATGGTGCCAATATTGACAAGCAAGTTTCAAAAAATTGAAGTTAATTCGATTGATATTGAAAGTCAATGGTTAAAATTCACCAACGATGGTTGTGGGCTAATTTACTTTCTGTATTTGAGACCATTGCTTGATTCTTGGTTGGGGGAAGAGGACAATACCCCGGCTGATTTTGATAAGTTGAAACAAGTAATCCAAACAAATGCCGGTACTTTGATGTACTATCTTAGTTTATTATTGAATCTTGCTCAAAAGGATTCTACGGATGCTAACACTCCAGCAGCTCTGAAATTCAGCAATGTTTTCAACTCGGTGAAGTCTTATGTGCCTTCTTTACAAGCCCCGGCAACCCAAGAAGCCAAACCGGTTCCGGAATCAAATGTCGAAGATGAATACGATGTTATCGATAAACCTAATGACGATTCTAAGAAATCAAGTGCTTCTACCTCTGGTGCGGAAGTCAAACGTGGTTGGTTATGGTAAAGCAGTTTCCCTTTCTCTATTTCTTATGTTATCGTCAAATTTATGGTATGATATTTATTTCCTTATAGTTCTCTGATGGTTGTTTAAACTTTTATCTATTATTATTATTTTATATTATTATTTTATCTTATTATTTTATATTTTCTTTGATACATTGGTCGATTTAAATCTAAATTTATATTTGTAACTTATATACATGAAGAGGAAATTTATAATCCAAGATAGTTAGAAAGAAGTTCTTTATCTTGTTTGGATTCGGAGTGTTTTTTATAATCTTGAACAATTGAGGATCCTTGTTTCTTAAGTCTCTTGGGAACAAAGGTGTTAACCAATTCTGGTCTCTTATATAACCCGTCAAATGCCTTACTTTCATTGAGTTCTTGCATACCACCAAGTGCCTTCTTTCTAATAGCATCTTTTTGAGATTTGGCTTGTTTCGTATATTGATCAATTTTTTCTTTAGCATGTTCTGGCCAAACAAATGGTTCATCCATTTCAATAGTCATGGTCTTAACTTGTGGTCTTCTATAAGTAGAGTAATCTGCCCCAGTTCTACTTAATTTAACCGGTGATAATTGTGAAGTAACATTCAATGCTCTTAAGCCGTAAAGATTCCATAAATAATCTCTTAAATCCATCTTATTGAAATTTCTTGGAACTAAAAATCTAGCTTGATATGGGGTATGTTTGGCACTTGGTTTCAATAAAACAACCCTTGCCTTTGGTAAATAAACTTCATTTTCACCGATTCTGAAATGGGCTTCTCCAGTTGCAATAGCTTCTTTATAATTCTCATAATGTCTTTTGGCAATCAAATCACTATTGTTTCTGTATCTTATTGGAACAGGCTTTCCGGCTTCAAGGTACGCCTGCTTGATATCTGCCGATGGATATAAAGTATCGGTGATTTCTTGTGAAAGTAATGCTGGTCTCTCCTTTCTGAATCCGTATCTTGGTTTTTCAAGTTCAACGTCTTTTATATTCACTTTTGGATAGTTTTTGGGAGTGACTTTGTAATGCACAAGTCTCTTGGACACGCCACTCCATATGCTCTTCACCACACCTATATTTCTATTCATTTTAACCCCTTCAAAAGCCGTGGTAAACTTCAAAAAGATGAACTTTTCATTTTTCATTTTTCATTTTTTTTTTTAGTCTGAAAATTTTGTGAGTGGAAATGTCGTGCAAGCACCGGCTTTGTTGATTTTTTTTTTTTCTTCTTCTGTTCGCTTTTGGAGGTGTTTTTGTTATGGAAAAAAATGAAAAAATGAAAAGATTAGTATTATCAGAAGGCAAAACATCATTAACGAACCCACATCCATCTAACCTTTGCACCCTATCCGTATACCCATCGGTGAATCATCCACATTTCTTTCTTTAAGTCAGCTACGCCAACGCCCCCTAGTTTAGAGAGAACCATACGTTGATCATGTCACAAGATCAAGCGGTTGAAGACCCTTATATGTATGATGATGACTCCAATAGCATTACACCAGAAGATTGTTGGACTGTTATATCATCATTTTTCCAAGAAAAAGGTTTGGTGTCACAACAACTAGATTCGTTTGATGAATTTATTGAAACAACAATCCAAGAACTTGTTTGGGAAGATTCTCATTTAATTTTAGATCAACCAGCTCAACATACTTCGGAAGATGATCATGAAAATAGACGTTATGAGATTACTTTTGGTAAGATTTATATTTCTAAACCAACCCAAACTGAAGGTGACGGTACTACTCATCCAATGTTCCCTCAAGAAGCCCGATTACGTAATTTGACTTATTCATCACCATTATACGTTGATATGACCAAGAAAGTATTCAAATCAGATGATAATAATAGAAAAGAGAATGAACTAGAGTGGATAGAAGAAAAAGTTCAAGATGAAGAACCTCAAACTAAGGTCTATTTAGGTAAAGTTCCTATTATGTTGAGATCTAAATTTTGTATGTTACGTGATTTAGGAGAACATGAATTTTATGAATTGAAAGAATGCCCTTATGATATGGGTGGTTACTTTGTTATTAACGGTTCTGAAAAAGTTTTAATTGCTCAAGAAAGAAGTGCTGCTAATATTGTTCAAGTTTTCAAAAAAGCTGCTCCTTCTCCAATATCTCATATTGCCGAAATTAGATCTGCTCTTGAAAAAGGTTCTCGTTTAATTTCTTCAATGCAAATCAAATTATATGGTAGAGATGATAAAGGTACTTCTGGTAGAACCATTAAGGCAACTTTACCTTATATTAAAGAAGATATTCCAATCGTTATTGTTTTCAGAGCTTTGGGTGTTGTTCCTGATGGTGATATTTTAGAACACATTTGTTATGATGCTAATGATTGGCAAATGTTAGAAATGCTTAAACCTTGTGTTGAAGAAGGTTTCGTGATTCAAGAACGTGAAGTTGCCCTTGATTTTATTGGTAGAAGAGGTGTCTTGGGTATTAGAAGAGAAAAACGTATTCAATATGCTAAAGATATCTTACAAAAAGAATTATTACCAAATATTACTCAAGAAGAAGGTTTTGAAACAAGAAAAGCTTTCTTTTTAGGTTATATGGTCAATAGATTATTATTATGTGCATTAGAAAGAAAAGAACCTGATGATAGAGATCATTTTGGTAAAAAAAGATTGGATTTAGCCGGTCCTTTATTAGCAAACTTGTTCAGAATTTTATTCAAAAAATTAACTAAGGATATTTATAATTATATGCAAAGATGTGTTGAAAATGATAAAGAATTTAACTTAACTTTAGCTGTTAAATCTCAAACCATTACTGATGGTTTACGTTACTCTTTGGCTACCGGTAACTGGGGTGAACAGAAAAAGGCAATGAGTTCTCGTGCTGGTGTCTCTCAAGTTTTAAATCGTTATACTTATTCATCTACTTTATCCCATTTAAGAAGAACTAATACTCCAATTGGTCGTGATGGTAAAATAGCCAAACCTAGACAATTACATAATACCCATTGGGGTCTTGTTTGTCCTGCTGAAACCCCTGAAGGTCAAGCGTGTGGTTTGGTCAAAAATTTATCTTTGATGACTTGTATTTCTGTGGGTACTCCTTCAGAACCAATTTCATATTTCTTAGAAGAATGGGGTATGGAACCTTTGGAAGACTATGTTCCTTCCAACTCTCCCGATTCCACAAGAGTTTTCGTTAACGGGGTATGGGTTGGTACTCACAGAGAACCTGCACAATTAGTTGATACTATGCGTAATTTAAGAAGAAGAGGTGATATTTCTCCTGAAGTTTCTATTATTAGAGATATTAGAGAAAAAGAATTCAAGATCTTCACTGATGCTGGTCGTGTTTATCGTCCATTATTTATTGTTGATGATGATCCAGATTCAGAAACTAAAGGTGATCTTAAGTTACAAAAGGAACATGTTCACAAATTAATTAATTCTGAATACGATGAATATGATGAAGATTCTGCTGATTCCGCTTACACTTGGTCGTCTTTAGTTAGTGATGGTATTGTTGAATATGTTGATGCAGAAGAAGAAGAAACTATTATGATTGCAATGACTCCAGAAGATTTAGAAGCAAGTAAGACTTCTTTATCAGAAACTCAACAAAAAGAAGTACAATTAGAAGAACAAGAACAAGATCCTGCTAAAAGAATTAAACCTACATTCAGTGGAAGTTTACATACATTTACCCATTGTGAAATTCATCCTTCAATGATATTGGGTGTGGCCGCTTCAATTATTCCTTTCCCTGATCATAACCAATCTCCTCGTAATACTTATCAATCTGCTATGGGTAAGCAAGCTATGGGTGTTTTCTTGACCAATTATGCAGTTAGAATGGATACCATGGCTAATATTTTGTATTATCCTCAAAAACCTTTGGCTACTACAAGAGCAATGGAACATTTGAAATTCCGTGAATTACCAGCCGGTCAGAATGCCATTGTTGCAATTGCATGTTACTCGGGTTATAATCAAGAAGATTCTATGATTATGAATCAATCTTCTATCGATCGTGGTTTATTCAGATCTTTGTTTTTCAGATCATATATGGATTTGGAAAAAAGACAAGGTATGAAAGCTTTAGAAACTTTCGAAAAACCATCAAGATCTGACACTTTGAGATTAAAACATGGTACATATGAAAAATTAGATGACGATGGTTTGATTGCTCCAGGTGTTAGAGTTAGTGGTGAAGATATTATTATTGGTAAGACTACTCCAATTCCTCCAGACACTGAAGAATTAGGTCAAAGAACTCAATATCATACCAAGAGAGATGCTTCCACTCCATTAAGAAGTACTGAATCTGGTATTGTTGATCAAGTATTGTTAACCACTAATGGTGATGGTGCCAAATTTGTTAAAGTTAGAATGAGAACCACCAAAGTTCCACAAATTGGTGATAAATTTGCTTCTAGACATGGTCAAAAGGGTACCATTGGTGTTACTTATAGGCACGAAGATATGCCATTCACAGCTCAAGGTGTTGTTCCAGATTTAATTATCAATCCACATGCTATTCCATCTCGTATGACAGTTGCTCACTTGATTGAATGTTTACTTTCCAAAGTTTCGTCTTTATCAGGTCTTGAAGGTGATGCTTCACCTTTCACTGATGTTACTGCCGAAGCCATTTCTAAATTATTGAGAGAACATGGATATCAATCCAGAGGTTTCGAAGTTATGTATAATGGTCACACTGGTAAGAAGTTAATGGCACAAGTGTTCTTTGGTCCAACGTATTATCAAAGATTAAGACATATGGTCGACGATAAGATTCACGCCAGAGCAAGAGGTCCAGTTCAAGTCTTAACCAGACAACCGGTAGAAGGTAGATCTAGAGATGGTGGTTTACGTTTCGGGGAAATGGAAAGAGATTGTATGATTGCTCACGGGGCAGCAGGTTTCTTGAAGGAAAGATTAATGGAAGCATCAGATGCTTTTAGAGTCCATGTCTGTGGTATTTGTGGTTTAATGTCTGTTATTGCAAATTTGAAAAAGAATCAATTTGAATGTCGTTCTTGTAAAAATAAAACCAATATTTATCAAATACATATTCCTTATGCTGCTAAATTATTATTCCAAGAATTAATGGCCATGAATATATCACCAAGATTATACACTGAAAGATCTGGTGTAAGTATACGTGTTTAGTGACTACCGTTGGCCCTGGGGGTGACATTGAGATAATATTTTGAGAGAACTCAAATTATCCAAATAAAAAAAAAACTTATCTATCTGTATTCTATAATTTTTAATGTTTGTTAATCTTTTTTTTTTCCTTCGTTTCTTGATTCCTTCAAACAAGAAGAGTCAAAAGTATCTAAAAACCTATATATATATATATATACATATCTTTTGTAATAAAACAATTTTGCAATACTTATGCTTCAAACTGTTACAATCGATTGAAAGTTTAACGAATTAACCTAATTTAATTTATTTACAAAGATTATTTAATTATATACATAAGATATTTTAGTTTTTAACAAATTTTTCACGAAGACCGTTAAGTTGGGCTTCTTGCTCGTTAAGTTTAGCTAATTTCCTCTTCATATCCGGTACTTCATCTGCAAATGCAATTAAATTCTGTTTATATGGATGATCATCACCGTCATAGACCTTCAAACGGTCCAATCTAGCAAGCCTTAACTTATTCTTTGGAATCATCCCTTTGACAGCCTTCTTCAAGACTTCTCCAAATCCTTTGTTTGAAATCATGGTTTCCATAGGAACTAATTTTAAAGACCCTGGACGTCCGGTGTGAGACCAATAAGTCTTTTCTTTCATTTTATTACCACTGACCTTCAAATGCGAGCAGTTAGTCACAACCACGTAATCACCGTGATCGTTATTATGGGAATATGTTGGTTTATGTTTTCCTTGCAAGGTAGTAGCTATACTAGAAGCCAAACGACCTAAAGTTCTTTGGTCTGCAGCAACATCAACGTGGTGCCACACCCTTGTCATGGCCACCACCGAATTTCCTATTCTCTGGGACATGGTCTATCACTTATGCTTAATTTAAATCAAAATAGCCTGTTTCTTTGATCAAAATTAAAGCCAAAAGTGAAAAAAAACTGAAGAACGATGTGAAAAATTGAGATAATGTCGCACAATGTCGCAAAAATCTACAATGTCGCGTTTTTCCCATTTTTTCTAAATTTTTTTTTTTTCGTTCGCATGGAAAATGAACTGTTGATAATTTTGAAAAGTTCCAACTCCATGAAAGCACGGCGATCTTTATATATACATACACTTTATTAGCTGGGGGTAATCCATACTGTTTTTGCAAGCTTCGTATTAATACTTATTTGGGGAGAGTGTTAAGTTCAAATTTTTTCATTGAAAAGACTGCTCGTTTTGACTTTAGTCCATCATTTATCATCAACGAGATAACACACAAGTTTGGTATTTTAGAAACCATCAGAACAATTCACACACATAACAATCATAACTAGAGTTCAAGAATCATGTTTTTCTTGAAAGATTTAGCGTTAAATCTAACTTTGCATCCATCGTATTTTGGTCCACAGATGAATCAATATTTAAGAGATAAATTACTTAGTGATGTGGAGGGAACATGTACAGGTCAATTTGGATATATAGTATGTGTTTTAGATTGCATGAATATTGACGTGGGTAAAGGTCGAATCATTCCAGGTTCCGGTATGGCTGAATTCGAAGTAAAATATAGAGCAGTGGTTTGGAAACCGTTTAAAGGTGAAGTTGTCGATGCAGTTGTTACAACAGTCAATAAAATGGGATTTTTCGCTGACGTAGGTCCCTTATCGGTATTTGTAAGTACTCATTTGATTCCTTCCGATATGAGATTCAACCCATCTGCTAACCCCCCGGCTTATGTGAGTGCAGAAGAAAATATAGAAAAGGGATCCAGAGTTAGATTGAAGATAGTAGGTACAAGAACCGATGTTAACGAAATTTATGCCATTGGTAGTATCAAAGAAGATTATTTAGGCCCAAGTCCTATGTAAATAATCATAATAAAACAAAACTATGTACTATATATATTTTCCAGATCAAAAAACTTTCAGTAAAAAATCAATACATTAATTTTCGAATCATAATAATGCTATTTTACATTGTATATATACAAGAGAACTTCTCATTAGTCGAGATCTATAATCTCATCTTGATCAATTAATTTAGGATCAAACTTGAGCTTATAATTACTGATCTTACGTGCTAGAGTTTTATCGAGAGTCTGGCCACCACCAAAAGAGCTTGTATTAGCATCGCTGCTTCTTCTTCTTTCTTGGTTTCCGTTAGGTGCTCGAGCAGGTACCTCACTCTCTTGGTCATTTGAATTTTCATTGTTAGCCACAGTCGAGTCATTTCTAACGCTGGCCGTACTCGAATTAGCCCCGGATCTGTTATCATCACTGTTCATACGCTTGTTCCACACTTTGTCAATCTTATCCGGGTTTGACAATGATCGCTTCTTAGAATTCGGTGTTTCCAATGTCATTGAACTTACTTTGAAATTTAATGGTGACACTGATGTTGCCTGGACTTTAGATTGGTCACACGAGTTCACAAGATTATCATAAACCTCAATATTCAACATGCCCTTAATCTTACTAGATGCTTTTTGCTTGTTAATCGCATTATGCATGAGATCAAAAGCAGACTGTGAATAACGTGCTTCATTCTCGGAAATCTTTGAGCGATCTTCTGATGCAGTTGGCTTGTTCGGGGTTTTCATAACAGATGGCTCAGAGAGAGGTACATCGTTTGACTGTGTTCGTTTTTCTGGTGCCGTCATCCTTTCATTATTACTTGGAGATCCCGCTTCTGTAACAACCGAAGGAGCTGAATTATCTTTATTTGTAGTTACATACGAAATTGGAGTCGCAGTAATTTGATCTGCTCCCAGAGAGACAGTAGTGCTATCTGCTATCGATGGAGAGCCAGCTTGACTTACGATGGTTTCACTTGATCTGTTTCTTCCAAAAGCATTTTCTCTCATCCTGTTATAATCCTCTTTTTGCCTAGAAAGTAACTCTTTCCGGCGCTCTTGTTCTCGTAAATGTGGGGCAAAAATCTGAAGCCCTCTGTTTTCAGGTATTTTATCATTTTTGCTATTTAGCGAAGCTGCCGAATCAGTGGAGACGGGCATTGGCCTATTCTGGCTATTGGTCAGAGCCGGTACTATTTGAGGTGAAGACAGGCTCGATACATTTTCCAATGGTGGCCGATCAAGAGCAGTAGGTCTAGATTGCCCTTCTTCAGCAGTTCTATTTGGGTCTTGGAGCGTATGAGAGCCACTATTTATTGCTCCATTATCAGTATTAACGGAAGCTTCCTCCGAGCGAATCGTCTCATGATTAGACAACAGACTACCATTAAGAGACTGTTTTTGGATTGGTTGGTGCTCTACCGGAGAGTCTTGACCATTATAACTTACTGAATTTGAAGATGCAGTTGTGCTTGCAGTTGGCGTTTGGGGATTTTGGGTTTGGGAATGTTGGCTTTGCGCAAGTAAAGATGATTCATTCAAGGTATTTGTCCGATTTTTTGCTTGAACTGATACAGGTTCCATCACTTTGAATAACCAGGTATCTCTATATATTGGAACAAGTGGCACGTTTAGAGATGACAATTGTGCACGTACGGAAATCAAACGTTGTACTACTTGTTGTAAAGCTGTATGATAGTTTTTCCGAGTCGTATCATCCTGAGGTACCCATCCTTTGTATTTGTTAATCCATTCAATAGACCCAAGCTCGATATTTTTCCAATTCTCAATTAAAGCTTTTGGCCCAAAAGATCTTGAAGCAATGTTATTTGGAAAAAGATTAGGTGAGACATTATTGTTTGATGCCAACAGCGCCTGTTGAGGGTGTGACATCACCTGTTCCATTCTGCTTATTTGTTCGAAGGTCAGTTGTAATCTAGCTTTTTCATTTAGCATTCTCTGGTGATCTGCTTCCAGTCGCACTAATAACCTATTATATTCCGTTTGATACGCTTGATCATAGGTTGTTGGAGACCGCATAGCAGGGGCAGGATTGTTTTGCGGCAAAGAACCTTTCCTAGCTTCGAGTTGAGCCTTGAAAAATGCCATTCTTTGTCTCGTGCTTTCTAATTCCAGAGCATATTTGCTGACTGTATTTGACAATTGAGCAGCTCGTTCCTCGAGCTTGCGAAAATCTTCGAATTCTCTTAGATTGTTCGATACAGCTTGAGCCTGACCATAAGGAAAGTCTGAATACTGATTATTTCCATATGTCCTTATTGGGTTTGGAAATTGATTCGAATCCGATGGCAGCATTGCAGGTGATGAAGTTGTATGAACTGGCACTGGGTGACTGTTACCAACATTATTAAAAGAGCTTGAATTAACCGCATTGATATTCGTACTCTGGTGATGAACATTAGTATTGGAAAAGGTTTGATTATTTGAATTTGATGTTTCCTTACTTGAAGGCTGCGAAGAGCCATAACCAGTTAAAGTACTTTTTTCAATCACATTTTGAACTCCCCTCTGTTTATGCTGGTTTTGCGGTGTTGTATTAGATCTTTGCACCAATAGATCCTGATGTGGATTAGCTTCGCGAAAGTTACTTACTGATTGTGACCTTGGAATTGTTGGCTGGGGCTCAACCATTGGTATTTGGTTTTGTTGTAATGAACTGGCACCATTATGACCATCTGATCTTCTTAAAGTTTCCCTTGAGCTTTCATGAATTCTCAGTGGTATTTCTTCAGGAGAATTTGAAGCCACAGATCTCTCAGATTGCATTGTTGAATCGGCCTGCTGGTTTGATGAAACACTTGCAATGGTGTTTTCTGATGCTTTGTAGGGCTCTGAAGGGTTACTATTGTTTGCTGCATATGGCCCACTCGTATTTCGCTGATTCAATGGTACGTTTGAAATTGTATGATCACTCGAAATAGTTTGGTCTGATGTTGTACTCGTGATTGTTTGATCTGATTGTGCACTAGCGATTGTCGGATATGAGGATACACTGGCAATTGTTTGGGAAGATAGTTCAGTCGACATTGGCCTGGTCGAGCTGGTTCGAGTAGAAGGGGGCCGAGTTCTATCTGCCAGATGGAGTGCAGCTAGTGGAATATTGTCGTTTGATTCTGCTTGGCTTTCATTTTCTGTCCCATCCTGTGCCATATCCTGTGCCATATCCTGTAGTATTGCTGAGTCCGAAAATGGGATAGGAAGAGCTTGGGTTTCATTATTAGAAATAGGATTTGACGCATGAGTCGATGTGGGAGCTTCATCATGTATAGAATTAGTTCCGTCTTGATCCAAATTTGGACCGGAATCCATCATTTGGTCAATGTGAGAAGTCAGAGGAACAGTTTGACGAGGGGTGGTATCATTCAGACCAGTTACTATTCCTGCAGCAGCAGGGGCATCTAATTGGTTAGGCTCAGCAACTGGTGGAATAAAATTATTAATGGTCTGGGGAGCGGCCATAGCATCCCTATCATCATCATCATCATCATCTGTTTCCAGCAATAGTTCGATAACTATTGGGGAAGGGGGAGATAGTTGTTTTTTTTGCTCATTGCTCACGGATTCAACATTGTTAGGTGAGGCAGCTTTATTTTCATTCGAGCTTTTATGTTGGGTATCTTCATCTCCTTCATGAATTGCTTCCCAGGAGCCATCAGGTTTCAAATCAACTTGTTCCACATCCTCGGAAGTTTTTTGTAAAATTTCCATTAGATAATCACTAATGGCTAAATCTTTTAGGTGTAATGGACGCGAGCATATAATACATTTCCACGAGGGAATGGTTGCTTGAAGTTGCAAGTAGGAAAGACAATCAAAACATTGCAAATGTTGACAAAATATACCTTTGGACGGAAAATTTGGTCTCTTATATATAAGAGGGCATTTCAAGGGCAATGAAGAATGAGCTATGACCAAATCATCACCATCGGCATCCTGGTAACTTTTCTTGATTTCTGACACCGTACTACTTTTGTGGATATGTGGATGTTTAAGGACAGTCTGTAATATGTCTTCGGGTTTTCTTGTTTCAACGATATAGAGATACGTTAGAAAACCTTCGGTTGCACCATTGTAAAGCATGGATATATTGTTAGTTTTAGATCCAGAGTGAATGAGAGGCGTTAAATCGGCTGGAGAATCGGTACCCACTGTGTTTTTGAACCCCTTTACACTATTTTTAATGACGTTCCCATTACAGCGTATTTCAAGCTGAGGAGGCCACTGAACATCAATATCGGAATTGCTCTGTGTAGTCATACCGGAAAAGAAGTAAAGTTTCATCGATGGTTTTGATCTTAGAATCGCCTGTTCTTCACTGGTAAGTACAAAGGAGGATTCGAATGTGCTTCTTTGAGATTTTGGCACGCATGGGTTAACGTAATTTGGGTCTATTCGAATTAATCTTTTCTGGGTGTAAAATGGGCTTGGCTTGAATAGTAATACAGGACCTGTAAACTTGGAAGAAGATGCTTTCTTAGGCTTTTCAGTTGGCTGTGATTGTGATTGGGTATTACGATGACTAGTAGGTGGATTATTCGAATATTGATTGGGAATATTTGTATAGTTAAATGCGCCAGTTTTTAAGGCTTGAGTTAGTTGATTATAATCTGGAATGTCTACCCCATTGACTACCTTCAAGGCCATGGTCCGCATGGCCAATAACCGAACACCATCTCCATATTCTTTCCCGCCATCAAAGTGAGTGTTAAGTCTCCCCATCAAGTCGGATTTATTGCCTCGCAAGGTTAGACCAAGCGCTTTAGCCATTTTCTTCAATTCTGTTAATTTCATTTGGGAGAACAAGTTCTTGGTATCATCGAACTCAGCATCTGACAACGCTAGTTGCCGGATCGCTGGTGTACTCATCTTACTCCAATATCAATACGTGATGTGCAATAGAGAAAGAATTTGGACTGATGACAATATATTCATATAAAAGCTTGAAAATTAAAAGGCGTACTCAAATAGAACCACTGCCCTTGATGATCTAGTGAAATGTGACGTTAGTAAAATACCTATTCAATGAAGTTATTCACGTCTGTTTGCCAACCACTTAATGTTTCAGATTTTATTTTTTTTTTTTTCCTCTTTCCTTGTCTTCTGTTGTTTTTTTTTTTTTTTTTTTTCTTTTTTTTTTTTTTTTTTTTTCTATTCTTCTAGATAAAAGAGCTGCAAACTTAAGATTCCCAAGGAAATACACATCAAGAAACATGAAATATCACTTTGCTGTGGGTCCTCCAGGTTAGTTCAGCTGTAGGGTTTATCTTCACTTATTTTTAGGAGGTTCGAAAGCAATATTTTCGTTACAACCGTCTAACTAGTTTGGTTCACTGGAAACAGCGTACGGTTAGTGGTTTACCATTTTCATGAATTTAGAATGTGTTAAGCCAGCAGGGTATTTCGGGGATCTATGTAAGGTGGAAAACTCTGTAAGCGGAGGCACTACGAAAATGAAGATAATACTTTAGATAATAAGTTTATAATTAATATATATATATACATTCTTACATTCTATCAACAGGGGTCAAACCTAACAAGACCATACCGTTATATAAGACTTGTCTAGCGGAAGCGTATAAAGCTAATCTAGCGGTAGCCAATTCTTCAGTTTGACCGGCAACCCATAAGATATCGTAACATTGAGAGACAATATGGGTCAAACTGAATAAGTAGGTGACGATAGTTGATGGTTCGTGATTTTTCAAGGCTTTCTTGATGGTATCTGGGTATTGGGCCAAGGTCCTAATCAAGTTTTCAGCACATGGTTCGACCAATAAGTCGTAGTTCGCATCAGCTAATTTAGATTCATCGATGTTAGATTTTCTTTGAACTGATCTCAAACGGGAGTGAGCGTATTGTAAGTAAGGACCAGTGTCACCTTCAAAAGAGGTCATTCTATCCCATTTAAATTCGTAGTTATTAATACGTTTAGATTGCATGTCTTGAATCATAACAGCAGAAATACCGATTAAGTCAGCAATCTTATCAGGGTTTTCAATTTGTTTATATTTATCTTCATTCTTTTTCATGACTTCATGCATTTTTTCTTTAGTTTCTTCCAAGATGTTATCTAAAAAGACAACGGTACCTTTTCTAGTGGACATACCTTGAACCATACCAAAATTAACATGTTCTAAATTCTTAGCCCATGGGAAATTCATTTGTTTTAAAATTTCAAAAAATTGAGCAACATGTAAATCTTGTTGAGAGGCGATGACATAAATCATTTTATCAAATTTATATTGATCATAACGTTTAATAGCTTCACCAACATCTCTAGTCAAGTATAATGAGGTACCATCTGATTTTTCAACTAAACATTTACCTAATTTTTTATTGAATTTAGTCAAGTCAATTAATTTGGCCCCTCTATCTTCATGAATTAAACCTTTATCAGCAAAGATTTGAGTAGCATTTTGCATACTTTCACGAGAAACTTGAGATTCACCAGAGTAAACATCGTATTTAATATTAAGACGACCATAAGTATCAACATATTTTTCAATGGATAATTCTCTGAATCTTTTCCAGATAGCTAAAGCTTCTTCATCACCATTTTCCATTTTTTTAAAATAGTCTCTAGCTTTAGCATTGGTACCATCTTCTTTATCTTCACCTTCTTCGGTGATATCTTTATTAATTTTGACATAAACATCAAATAAATGATTAATTGGATCTTTAGCTAATAATTCTTCACTACCGTATTTAGAGAAACCAATTGCTAAAATACCAAATTGTTTACCCCAATCACCCAAATAATTGATTCTGGTAACATCCCAACCAGCTTTTTCATATAAGTTAGATAAAAACCCACCAATAATGGTTGATCTTAAATGACCAGCATGGAAAGGCTTAGCAATGTTTGGAGACGAAAATTCAACAATGATTTTCTTACCAACGCCTAAAGGTAAAGCACCATATTCAGTAGTTCTCAATAAAGTATCTCTAATAACAGTATTATATAAAAGAGATTTATTGAAGTAAAATTGCAAAAATTGACCTTCAGGTCTAACTTCTGATAAAAATTTACCCTTGTTGAAATTTTCAGACCACTCAATAGCTTTAGCTTTTAAATCGATACCTTTCAATCTCAATCTTGGTAATGGAACAAGTAAATCCCCTTTATCTAAAGTTGCAGGAATGTTTAAAGCATCAAAAATGATGGCCTTATCAACACCACTAACTGCATGCAATTCAGTGGTAATATAGTTTCTCAAAACATCCAAGATGTTAAAGTCTGGATTGGAATCTTTAATAGTTTCTGGTTGTTCCAAACCTAATTTTGATAATCCTTCAGCTATGGATTGGACTGAAGGAGTAGAATGGATGGCAGCAGCTGACATTCTGAACAACGACGAGTGATCTAGTAAGTGACGACGATACAAGACGGGGCGAGCACACAACAATGAAGTTCTTAAACTATAGTAAGCCTGGTGTCTTATATAGTTCATCAACGAATCTTCAAGATGAGATAGCAGATTTTTCTAATGATACCTGAAAAAAAAAAAAAAAAAAAAAAAAATTTTCGCTCTCAAAATGAATGAACAAAACTAAAAGCAGGTGCTATGCTCAGTTCGTAGTTGAGTCATAATTTTTGCAACTGGGCCCTTAGCGGGTGGGATTGTTTTTACTTTGACCGGTTTTTGCTCTGGATTTAATTGCAATGTAGTCCGTGTATAGCATCTATAAGTAGTCAAACGCAAGATGGTATTTGGTAAAAGAGTGCACTTTACAAAAACCCATCACGATAAAAAACCAATTGAAGGGAGGTTTTCAGTGAAGATAAAGTATAGGATCAATTGCGGTCAAGGATCGAAAGAAGGATCAATTAGTGAATATGCTGGAGAATATCAGTCGACTTACCGAGATGGGGTTCAGCCCCGAGCAAGCACAAGAAGCACTCGATATTACTAAAGGGGACGTATCAAGAGCAATCGGGTACTTATTTGGAGATCCCATTGAGACAGAAGCACCGGAAACCACTCAGGAGGGAAAGCAATTGGTGAACTCACCAACTGACGAAGAAGGAGATGAGAAAGCCGATGACTATATGGGGGACACGGTCAATGTTAAGAATGCACAGGATATTCCCCAGTTTAATGAATATAGACAAGTACCGGTGGAAGAATATGGAAGTTACCAATATATCGAGGATGACTCCATACCAGCGCTTAACCCGCAAGTGGAAGAAGCCAATATGTTGGAGGAACGGTTGTATGAGCAAACCAAGGACGAAGGGGTCCCTACTGCGATAGTGTTGAGTAAGAAGAAATACTTGGAGAATTATTTGATCCCGGTTTTGGTAATATTGGGACAAAGTCAAAAGTTCTATTCGTTGATTATGATTGATTTGGAAGAGAAACACGATGAAGAAGATAAAGAGAATGGTGGCGATATTGAACAAGCGTATAATTTTTTGAAAGAGGTTCAATATTTACTTTACGTTATAAATCATCGAGATGGGAAACGTCAGTATATTAATTTTGATGAATTGATTAAGAACGTACCTAAAGATTTCAAGCAAAAGCTTACTGAGGTTGAAACTGTTGATGAAGTGGTATTGAGAATATACGAAACACTTAATTATAATTATAATTTAGTTGTTGGTAAAGACTCTCCAAATTATAATAAGATTGAAGAATTATTACAGTCGATGGTTGAGAGTATTGCTGATAATGTCAAGAGTGGATTATACTTAGTTGAAATTGATAATGATTCCAGATCATCAACGCTATATGGAACTTTGAATCAGTTATTTTGGGAAGCTAATTTTAAAAAATTAGGGTATATGCAATACGAAAGAGTCAGTCCAGTGGTTAGTTTCCATTTAGTTGGAGATGGGGATGACGACGATATTAATATGGCTGATGAATTACCAAGCCAACCAATTCACTTGGATGAATGGTTTTACCCGCAGATATATCTGAGCCAATGTATATCAAGTGTAATGGATTTACGAGCAGAAGAAGTTAAGCATGAAGAAGCACGTAAAAACCTGACTAGAGAGATTTTGCAAATGAACTTCTTCGAAGGGAAGAAGATCGATCAGGTTTTGAAACAATCGTTAAATTATCTAGCAAAACTGGTGAATGAAGATATATATCAAGATTTAGAGAACTTACGGGTTAATATGGAAGATGAACGGGCTAAAAATGGGGCTAAACAAGAAGAATCTCGAGAATTGATGAATAAAACAGACATTAGAAATTACCAAAATATAGTTGACCATTATAATCAACTGGGAAACCCTCCATTAGCCAAATACGAGCTAAAGGGAGTTATTCTAGATGATTCTCGTTATTTCTTCAAACAACAAGATGCTTGGTTTTATTATGAAGCGTATAGTAAGCAGTTTCTGAACAATAATAAGGTTACTGACTATAACATTGTGCAAATGGAAGATTTTGAAAAAATTCAACGAGTAGTCTACAACCACACCACTTCCTCAATTAACGGATTGACCTTAATCTACGTCGAAGACTCTAATGCCGATTCCAGTTTACCCCAAGTCAACTACTTGCAGACCCGATTCGAAAACGAAGAACACAAGTTCTTGCAAAAATATAAAGAGTATCAAGAATGCAAAAGCCCGCCAATCGAAGAATCATCTGATCTTCCATCCAACCAATTAGTAGATTTATAATCATTGCAAATACACGATATACATGCCCATACAGTTTCCCCGTGTGTACGGGTGTCTGCCCCGTGAGACAAAACGCACATGCTGCTAAACCAAAAGGCGGATCTCCCATACGGTTTACAAGAGGAATAGCATACTAGCCCGGACTGACAGTTGGGTGAACTAAATTGCAATGACAATACTATGATCTAAAGCACAGAACAAGATGGATAAAATAATCGCGAAAAAGAAGCCTTCCTCCCGCTTGAAGACCGATTATACCCCCATAGGGGTGGGTTCAACAAAAGCCCATTTGCAAGCCAATCGGAAAGTTGGGTATAAATACGAAGCAAACAAATATCACGGGCCATTGATATATACGGGATATGTGGTTCTGGATTCACGTTGGGTAATTTAGAGAAAATCGATGTACGGCACCTTAAACCAGTGCTGTTTGTAGATAAATTAACGCTCAATCTGAAATAGCGTTTTAGACGAAGCATCGCCCAAGAATTGCAAGAAGGCGGTCTAAGCAAGTTAGCGCGTTGGAGTTTTCCATCATCAACGCGTTGGAGTTGAGAAAAATGATAGTTCCATTCGGTTACAAATCTAAATTAGGTTTTGTTGTTGGCCTACCCTTTCGTATTCTGATAGTTTATTGGAGTTTTCTTTGATCTTGTTGTGTTTTGCAGGTATTGTACTGTGAATTGTACTCTAGATTGTACTTTAAATTGTAAATTGTATTGTAAAGTTAATTGTAAATTGGTAAAGTTTTTCTTTTCATTATTATTTTTTTTTTTTTTTTGTCAATACTTATAAATAGAAAAGTCTTCTTTCGCTTTTCTTTTTGGAGGTTTGTTTTATAAATACCAAACCAAATCATCAACCTATCCATCCTTGGGAGCTACTTATCAACCAATAATGAAACCGCTACGGTGCTTTAGGATTCGCAAAGTGAACCTTTTAGTAATCATCCTAACGTTACTAGGACTAATAATATATTCATTGAACTACCATTTCCAAGTATCGATAGATAAGTCATTACTAACGTCAAGTTCTAAAGACTTAACCAGGTTATTCCCCGACCATTTGGAAAATCCTTCGGTAGAAGAGATTCTTGCGGTTAATGCAACCATCACCTCCATTGAGATAAGAAGATGTTTGAAATATTTCACTTGTAATTCCATTCCGGAACCAACTGCTAAGAAATCAATTCTTGAATATAAGACTCCGTTGAATCTTTATTCGAGTTCTTGGTTTGATTATCATATTTATATGGTTTATGAAAGAACTGATGATCTTGAAAATGTATTAACTGATATCCAAATATTACCAAATGGTAAAGATCCAATAACCCCAGCCAATCAACCGGGCAAATGGATTTCTAATAAGTTCAATTCTAACATTAATATTTGGTTATATTACTCTCCAAATACCCATCAAACAAGAATGATTAGGGATATTGATGTTCTTTTCGGTCATAATGATCTTTCGGATGATCGTCCATATTGGAAATACCAGCCAAATCCAATTCTGCTCCCCTTTACTCTGTCAATACCTCCTCATTTATCTTTATTGAAATTTAGTCAAGATGATTTGAAGGAGGTCGATAGTAAATTTAATGATTTGAAAGCGAAAAATATCATTTTGAGCAATCATGAAAATTATAAAATTATGCAAATTAGTGATTTACATTTTGGCCAGAATTTAGGATTGTGTCTTGATGGTGATAATTCTAATTGTAAATCTGATTATAAAACAGTTAAATTCATGGAACTGGCTATAAAAGCCGATAAACCAGATTTGGTGGTTATCACTGGAGATTTAATTGATTTCAGAAGATTGAAAAATTTTAAATCAGTTATTTTGAAGGCACTTTCTCCAATATTGAAAAATCGTATTCCCTTTGTTTTCACTTTTGGTGAATCGGATTATAATATCGATAATGATATTACTAAAAAAAGATTTTTAAAGTTCATCAGTTCTTTACCTCTTTGTTATAATAAACCTGAACCTGAAGATAATTCTTTACACGGATTATCAAATTATAATTTAAACGTTTATTATGTTGAAAATAATGATATTGATATAAACAATCTTGCTTTAAATAAACCAAATGCTCATATTGCAATTTTAGATTCGGAAAATAAAAAAATTGATTCTTCTCAAATTAATTATTTATACCGTCTTAATGGTGATTTTGATGCTACTTCTAAGATTTTTAAATTACTTTTTTTCCATTATCCTTTACCCAATTTCCGTCCTCAAGGTAAATTTAAACTAATTGGTGGTTATAATATGAAAAGTAATTTGAATTCGGCTTCAAATCCAAAATTTAAAAATGATATTATAAATATGGGTTATCATGTCGTTTCCGTTGGTCATGAACATGAAAATGATGCTTGTCTATTAAGTTACTTGGATAATGATGATTCTAAACTGATTTGGCTTTGCTACAATAGTATCACTGGTGATTCCGGCCAAACTGATTTAAATAATGATTACCAAAGAAAACTTAGAATGTTTAGTATGGATCTTGCTGATAATTCCGAAAATAAAAGATTATTAAGTTGGAAAGTTGGCGAATCTGACGCAGGGGCCATCGATTATCAAAAAATTTTTTCCTTCTAAACCTTGTATTATCTACTCGTTGTACTATCTGTTATTTGTTATGTCTTTACTTCTTTATGTATTAATTCTATTTATTATGTTGCAGCCATTGCTTGTAGAAAAAAAAAACGAGATGAACGGGTCAATTTTGCACAAAAATAAAGAAAAAAAAAAATTGCCATAGAAAAAAAGCATCGCATCTCAAATAATTACTACTTATCATCTTATTCATCTTATTAACTTGATTTATTTACTCTTTTGTTAACTTTAAAATGGGTAAAGCTAAAAAGACCAAGAAGTTCGCTTTGAAGAAAAGAACCCTCAATACCAAGGATCCCCGTATAGGACAAAATAAACCAGCTAATAACCAAACCAATAATAAACCTAAAGATCCAGAATTAACTAAATCAGTTCCACAAGTATCTTCAGCACTTTTCTTTCAATATAACTCAGCCATCAAGCCACCTTATCAAGTTTTATTAGATACTAATTTTTTCAACTTTTCAATTCAAAAAAAAATTGATATTTACCGTGGATTAATGGATTGTCTTTATGCAAAATGTGTACCAATAGTCACTGACTGTGTAATGGCAGAATTAGAAAAATTAGGCCCCAAGTTTAGAATTGCTCTTCGATTAGCCAAGGATCCAAGAATTAAAAGAATCAGTTGTTCTCATCTGGGAACTTATGCTGATGATTGTCTTGTTAATAGAGTCATCCAACATAAATGTTATATTGTAGCTTCTAATGATGCTGATTTAAAAAGAAGAATAAGAAAAGTCCCCGGTATTCCCATCATGAGTGTTGGGGGTCATGGTTATGTTATTGAAAGGTTACCTGATGTCTTTTGATTTTAATGGTTTGTGTGCCAGTGTATATTATATTCTCTTGATGAGTATTCAATTAATGAAAATTGCATAAGTACTGATTATTGTAGTCTTAATGTAATCTAATTATAAGCTAATTATAAGCTGTTTTAGAAAATCGCAACTCAACCAGTCAAATTTTTTCCCTCATTTCTTGCAAATTGTTGCAAAATTATTTGATTCTTTTTCACAAACTCTACTCCAGACCTTTTTATATAGACATGGATACAACCAGAGAAAAGGAAAACGGGTTCCTTCTCGCAGACTGTTTGAACCTATCTTCCTGTAACAATTCTCCAGTTAAACGTATTCAACTCAATAAGAATAAGTTTACTCATTTTGATAAAACTTCCTCTTCAACAGGTTCAATCATTGTCCCTGATGAAGAGTATGGTAAACAATCTTCAAATACTTTGGAATATCAAGCAAATTTGAAAAATAAAGCTGTCAAAGTAAGAAACAAACAACAAATGGATAGAATAAATGAAGTTTTGTGCCAATTACAAGCATTATCGTTACCGAAATTCGACTCGTCATTGAACTATCAACTGCAGTTTAGACAATCATTAAGGGTTGATGGGAATAAAATTGCAAATTATTTTTCACTACTTGAATTAATAAGTGACTTAATCGACCAAATTAATCGAATGGAACGAAATTTAGATCTTTATGAGGTTAAGAAAAAAATCCTATTGAAAGATATCACCCTGTTGATAAATGAAGATGAGTACCTACAAAATTCGAAAGTAAATTCTGAATCTAACTCTAAAATTCACCAACCTTCTGGAGACCAGTTAGAAAATCTTTTTGATTATTTAACAGTGAAAGAGAAGTTGGATAAACTCTCAAATACAAGTGATACCGATGAGGATTTTTCGGCTACAGATTATGACTTCCGTTGAGTGTTCTACTTTTTGGACTGAGATTAACATATATTAATTAGAGCATTATTATAAATATTATTAGAAAAGTTATTAGAATTATTATTAGAATTTGTAGTCATCTCTAATTCAAACAAATTAATTAAAAAATTAAAGCAGCAATACCAGCGGCAGCAAGACCAGCCCCAACAATACCGGTACTAGCATCAACACCCATCACACCATTACTGGAGGAGGAACTTGATGAGGAAGAGTTTGAAGCCTCAATTGAGGTCAAAGTAGCAAGAGCAGCAATGAAAATTTTAGATACTTGCATTGTATTTTAATTTGTTATATGGAGAAAACAATTCATAAACCTGGAACTTTTCACTGTATTTATATATTTTCCAAAGAATTATGAAAATGGTCAACGAATGACAACAGCAATTTGTAAATATGCAATAGCCAGTTATTCGAGTACAACAACCTTTGGTGAAACATTGTATATCATGCACAATAGAGCAACATTTTGATAAGACCACCAAAATGATTTATCTCTTTTCGTTTCATTCTACTGCGGTTGGGTTTGCCTTGACATCTTTTTCATAAGGCGAACCAATATTTCATCCAAACAGTTCAGAAATATATAATATGGGAAGTGAAGCTAGCGTCACGTCAGGATAATATTTTTTTTTACCCAAATTTACAGCCCTATTTTTAGTATTATCTGATATTGACCCTATAGCCCTATTTCCAACGGTTTAACTGCCCTTGACTTCATTTTCGAAACTAACCATTAGTAGAAAACACATGAATTACCCATTTCATTCACACCTGTCGGCTATATAAAATTTCAAGGCTTATTTGTTATAAGCAGCAAGCTTGAGGGCTTGTGATTATCATTGGTTCCGCTTGGTTGATATGACTTTTGTTGCGAATCCTTATCTAGTACGGTTCCTGTACATTATTATACAGTCTCTATGCTGACAGCTACTGTCAAATAACAATTTGCTTGCCTCGTTTGAAATCGTGACATAATTGTAAAGGGTTTTAGACCCTGAAACTCGAAAGTATTGTTGAATTTTATCGAAAGATTAAAGAGACAGCACTTGCAACATCGTTTAATTAAGGTTTATCCTTTATATGAACACCGTTCTTGCTTAATTGAGAAATTCGTAAAAAAAATGCAACTCTATTACTATAGTATTTTATTTTAGTAATACTACAGTTGACCATTTAAATGAAATATGCTTGTATGACGCTGGAAGTTTCTAGCAATCCAAGCTCTCTAAAGCGAAACTGTTCTGATCCAAGCTGAAGACACCGTCAATTAGCCGAGGACAACACCACCAAAGCCTAAGGCCTCTTGAAAGAGATCCGTACATGTTACTTTATTAAACGATTTTTGAAGTAAATAAAGTAGTTAGATTAACCTTTGAAATGCATTAGGAATAGGACGCTTGGTATCAGGTAAATCAAAATCATACCGGACCAAACATGACAAAGTAGCCAAACCTTCAACTCTCTTTTTTTGATTAATGTTGATGCTACGTCGAGCAGTTCACGTTTTTCTATTTTGCAGCAAGATTCAATTCAAAATCGATTGCAGACTTCCTAACCTTTAAGCTGGGCCTTAAATTAAAACCAAGAAGGAATATCTATGTAGCTGAAGCGACTCACTAGATTCATGCCTACTTATTTTCCTATTTTTTCTTAGTATATATGGAGGGAAGCCGAGATAGTATATTAATAATTTTTCACATTAAAAACTCTATTTAAATCCATTTGAATTGGAGTAAAATTCTCCAAATAGACTAATTAAAGAATAGACAACTCACTGAACCTGAAATAAGGCTAAAAAGCCAGACAAAATTTGAAACCCGAATAATCCTCCTCAATGAAGAGCTCACTCGTATGACTAACCATAAACAATTTCACACGTGATTGAAGCCTGGTTAGCTCAATGGCTAGAGCGTGTGACTTTTAATCACAAGGTTGCGGGTTCGACCCCCGCATCGGGCTTTCTTTTTTGATTTTTACATCCAAATGCCCTCTAATTAAGACACCTACTACTTTGGATAGCCCGTAGTCTAATCACGAGAAGATTGAATGAGGATAGAATATGTTATGGGTCCCTAATTTTTTTTGGTGCAATTGAGGCTAGAACAGAAGCGTTGAATTTGGCTGCTAAATCAATTAAAGAACATGAGGATAAAACACATAATGCCTCCCCGAGCCTTAGCTGTAGCGAAAAGTTTAATAAGCTATGAGCCAGTTAGTATCAGACTGGATGAAGAAAACAATAATGAAATGTGATACATCATATTAGGGGTATCAAGCCTTGAAAGGAGGCTACATATTTTTTCCTGTTCTTTTGAGGTTACACATTTGAAACATATTTATTTCATGGATGCTTATACTCCTTGTTACTTCCTTTGTTGATACTAATTATGTCTTTAAAGTCAGTCAATTATCAAAAGAGTCGCTCAAATCATAGTAGTTTGAACGGTTGTGCATCTTCTAAAGGCGTGAAAAGAAGTATATCTAAAACTTCACTTAATTCGACATTATTATCAAGCCCAACAAATTCCACGAGCGGCAAGATGAAGAGCAATATGATGTTTCAAGAAGACATAACAAGTCTTGAGGTGAAGTACGCCGACTATGGAGAGCAAACCTCAGCTAGAAACGCAATGATTGATTTTGACAGACTCAATGATACCTCAAGCTCAAGTCCAATCTCCTCACCCGTATGCACTTCCACTAGTTTAGGATTCTGGAAAGGGGATACTTCGGGGCCTTTGGAAAACACGCTTCAGAGCAAAGGTTCATTTAGTCCAAGAATCAAACCCCCCAGAGTACCAAGTGTGGTGTCAATGTCTGCTGCAGATAAAAGACCATTGTTTCTCAGGATAACCAAACGAAAAACGTCTTCTATTCCAGCCACTCCTCTTCAGGATTCGTTCCCTCCGTCGGAAAGTGGTTCAGCTAAACTTAAGCAACGAATTGGAAGTTTCAGCACCCACAAGTCGATCGATGATGTTAGCTCCATGATATCCGTTGACAGTATATACCTGACGGTGTCCACTGTTGTTGATAGGACAAAAGGCAGAATGAAAAGCTTCATAAAGAAAACCAGCAGGTTGTTGACAGATAAAACCAGGGCAAGCTATGATAACGATTCCGGAGCCATTGGGGTCTCACATGGTGCGAGTCTGAAGGAATCAATTGGTTGCAATTCGAATTTGGATGCGAACAGCCAAATCCACACCCAGCATGTCTTAGTACACCAAACTTCCAGAAACTCTCTGAAAGCTTTACAAGACGATTGGCCCTATGGGACTCGTGCCCCTGCCTCCTCTCACACTGCTGCTCCCTTGGAGAAACAAAGTCCGATCTCCAGCATCACAAAACAAACTTCCCTCAGAAATTTGAAATCACAATGGTCTTTTCCTTCGTTATCTTCAACTGAAGATCCTGAACAATTCGACTTACTGAGGAGACTTGAAATGTTTGGGATCTCTCAGAAAAGTAGGCCACAACAAGCTACTACGGTGGATATCAACTAACGTTAAGAATCCTGGACCGTTTCCATGCTCATGGCGGTAATATTTCTCCGACGGTTATGGTAATAGTTTGATTGCACGTGACCCAATGAGCGGAATTTTCTTAGTTTTCATTTTGTTTGTGGTGACTAGAGGGGCCGACTTGGTTATGATGCGAAATGAACGGCATATTCATTTCTTGTGGAGCTACGGAGCTTATGCTGAGGATTTAGATAAAAATCGCACCGAACAGTGGTGGAAGATAGCCAAAAGAACAAAAAAAACCCGGCAGAGTGTGGGTCACTATTGAAAAAAGAAATAGTAAAGAAAAAAAAAATAAAACAGTTGCCAATATTCAAATATTTCTATCGTTTCTAAAAGTAAAGTTTTTAAACTAATTAGTTTATTCATCAGTTCTAAACAAAATTCGAGTTGGGTATAAGACAAGATGGTATATTCAACAGGCAGAGGAGGAGCAGGAAACATACAGAATGATCCAAGCCTTACATCCCATGAAAACCACATAACACCAGTCAAATCACCAGGTAATCCAATAGCACCTCAAGTATCGAATCAACAGCAAAAAGAGGGAGATGATAAGAAATTCTACTATTCCACCGGTAGAGGAGGGGCAGGCAACATACATTCCTCATCGTCAATACCTTCACCTAAGCTCGTACCCCAAGGGTCAAATACTCCTCAGTTACATACTAAGAATGTATCGACCGGTAGAGGAGGATACGGTAATATGTTGAAGAATGATAATCCGGAATTGACCCGTAAATTACAAGATGTTGATGGTCCTCCTTCGGTGGCTAAAGAAAATGAGTTATATGCTGTTGCATCCAATAAATCGTTCTCTATTGGGAGAGGAGGATTTGGAAATGTCATTAGTCAAACAAAATCCAATTCTAGTAAACAGAGTAATAAATCTCAAGATCAGCCTGTTAATTTAATGGCAATCAGTAGTCATGGGGATCAAGATAAATCCAAGAAGAAAGGGTTCTTGGGGAAAATCAAAGAGTATTTCAGTTGAGAGATCAATGTTCAGCATTGCATTTTGTTTCAAATAGTTCATGTATTGTTTAGTTATTGTCTTAATCATAATTTAATTTCGTTACGATCAAATACTCCTAGTAGTACATATTCTTCTATTTATATATTTACTGACTAGTCAAGAAATCTCTTAATTTATCTAATGCCTTGAATCTATGAGAAATTGAATTTTTAACTGATTTATCCAATTCAGCATAAGTCTTATCAAATCCTTCTGGCTCAAAAATTGAATCCCAGCCAAAATTAGTTGGCCCTCTACTATCGACAATATTACCTTTAGTTTTACCCTGGAATAATTTAACTTCGCTATTTGGACCTTCACAATAACCAAAAGTGCAAATTGCGTGAGCTCCCTTATTGTCAAATTTATATAACATATCAACTAACCCTTGTAAACCAATTGATTTTACAAACCATTTGATATAAGGACCTGGCAAGTCATTGAATGCTTCGAACCCAAGGCAGGTATCTTCAACCAACACCGGGCCATTAAGGATGGTGGCTGCTGATTTTGCTTTATGAATTGTAACTTCTTCAATGGTACCTTGAACTTCATCAAGATCTAAAGATTTATTAGTGATTGAGAATTTCCCAACAGTTGACGTTCCGTCTTCAGAAGGGGTTCCAGAAGACAAAATGGAGACAACTTCTTTCAATTTGTTGGCATTACCAGTAACAAAAGTAATGGTGTTTGACATTGCTGATGAAGAAACTAATGAAGTGAAAAATATGATTCATTAGCCTTTTTTTTTTTTTTTCAATTTTTGATGTCTGCGAATTAAATGTAGTCATAACACAACTACTTCATCATAATAACTACGATTCCAAGGACTATCATAGTCCAGCTCCAAAGGTACAAATGACTCGATGTATTAGATAAATGAATAGAAAGTATATACAGAATTGTTTTTTATAGAGAACTTACTCTGAGGACGTGAGAAAATGATATATCTGGGTTTCATAGGAAGTGACACGACATGAACGAATACGATATGGTGGATTAGAAGTTCCGTGCTTTTTTGAAAAGGATGCTTAAATTTTACCTAATCTCTTCTTCAACGATCTTTGAGCTCTTCTTCTTTTTCTTAACTTATGCTTCTTCATCTTTAATCTTCTCTTTCTCAACACGGAGTCCATGTACATGGTATTATCGTTTTCTAATGACATATCGGTGTCTTCTAAACCCGGGGTTTCCCAGGCATTCAAATTAGAAGCTATAGATGATTGTGGAAATTGAATTTGGTTTATGAATGATTTTGAGACTGGGGATTGGTTCAAGTTGAAAAAAGTTGGCTTGCTTAAAACCGGTCTGGCTATACTAGCGTACATTCGGGAACCGAATGCAGCAGCCCCTCGGGAGAAGACACTTCTGAACATGATAAGAGTCTCTTTCAAATAGTAAGGCTTGTGCTTTAGATGAAAAACTGTAACGAATCAATTTTTTCACCTATTATTGTCCATTGAACAAACTAAAAAAAAACCTGAGGAAAAAACAAAAAAAAAAAAAAAAAAGCGCTTACATAATAATTTCCAAATGTTACATAATCCATATAATCTATAACTGCTAAAAAGATATTCTATTTGAAGCTAACTTCAATAGTCATTACAATGTCATCACTGGTTTGCACGCTGAAGCCTTTTGTCCCGGCCACACCGTTGCTTGTACTCATGTTGCCTTGGATGCTGGATTTCCAATTTGTCATGTCGTATTTCAATCCCTGGGAACTCAATATGGTTTCACGTCCAAATGGTAATAGTCCACATTTAGGTGCTGTATCAGATACGTTGAAGCTTTGCTTGTTGGCGTATTGGATGAGGGTCTTACCCTTGCGAAGGAGGAAGATGATATCTGAGTCACTTATGAAGAAGGTATGTAAATGGTTGAATGTGTTTTTCAATTTATAAAGTTGAGCCACTGAGCTGATTGTCTGGTCGAATCTGCCACCGATTCCCCCCAATGCGTAGATTCGTATATCGCTCAAGCCCGGGGTTTCAAGGAGCTGGTGTGCCAACTCACCCAACCCGTCATATCCATCTACATCGCCTTTGAGTAGTTTGGCTCTAAGCTCGGGACCAGCAAAGTATAGTATAGTGGCGTACGCAGATTTGGTGAAGTCAGTAGACCACTGGGTTTCTTGCTTGATGACAGTCGTACCTAAACCTGAATAGTATTTTGCAACTTCTGGCTTTAATGAATCAAAATCTCCTATGATCAAATCGGGGACGTAACGAGACCGATCTTCTGGGTGGGAATTGAAATACTCGTAGAGATGATTGGCTGCGCCGTCGGCACAGATATGTAATTGAGTACGGGACCAGAACACCTTCAAGTCCATTGATTGCACCGGGGTATTCAAAAACAATAAACAGGATCTTTCTTGTCTGGTGGAATCAGTAAATATCTGGAAAGGACGTAGCTGGTGATCCAGAGACTCACCCCCGACTTCAAAGTCATAATTGTCGGGTCTTTCGACCACATTGGTCTTCTGGGTATCCGTATACAGCATGATAATCAAGAAATTGGAATTGCTGGGGGAAAAGCAATATCAAATATATCGGTTGATGTTAATTGCTTGAGGGTGTTTCTGAAAGCGTACCATAATTTTTCAACCAGTGCGAAATTTTGACACTAAAAAACTCATAAACAAAAATTTGACTTATCATTCATTCATCATCAACATCCAATACTTGAAGGTTGATCCATCATTCATTCGCCATCGTTCATCGATCAGAGATGAGTTCACTCGAGAAACAACAAAATGGCTCGGCTTCCAATAGCTCGGACGCCAACCCAAACAATAAAGCATCTACTACTATAGTTCCCAGAGATGTCAGATTACTACATTTAATCTTTGCTACCCAAGGGATTCAGAATTACCAGGATCACGTACCTTTACAGCTCATGGACTTTGCCCATAGATACACCACGTCTATCTTGAAAGATGCCGTTACTTATAATGATCACTCCAAAGCTGCCAGTGCCACTGCTAATTTGAATTCCTCAGCTCCAGCTACGGTGAACACCGATGACATAAGGCTTGCCATAGCAGCAAGAACCAACTACCAATTCAAACCAGCTCCTCCAAAAGAGTTGATGTTAGAGCTTGCTCAAGAAAGAAACCAAAAAAGTTTACCACCGGTGATTCCAAAATGGGGGTTGAACTTGCCTCCTGAAAAATACTGTCTTACTGCCAGAGACTGGGACAACTTGGACGACGAACCAGACGAATCCAACGACTCTTCCAATTCAAAGAAGAAACAAAAGTCAAAGTAGTTACTGAATTGCTTGTTCTCTCCACCTGTACATTAGTTATTTGTGTATCCACAATATACACTACTCTGTTCTATCATATACCACTCTATAGTGCTTAGTGATCTGCGTCGTTAAATCTGTATCATCATATACATGTATATATATGTCTATATATATCTATATATATTGATTACATAATCCATAATATAAGATCGTTACTAGGTTTGTGTTACGTAGCCACTTTACTGTTTTTTCTTCAGTCTTGTCTTTCCACGCACTGGTACGAAATCTTTGAAGATTTAATAAAAACAACACAACATCGACTTGGATCAAGAACCAATCCCTTCCAGAGGCAAGTGCATTTGTTTAACCCATTAGAAAAGTCAATTGAGAGAATGCTTCAGGCTACTGTGGCTTCAATTCCTGAGTACGTATCCTTAGAACAATTCTTTTATTCTCCTTTTTGATATACTAACCTTTTGAAATTTAGAGCAAAAGAGGAATACCTTGGATCATCTATTGTTGAACGTACTAGTCGATTACACTCATTTGCAGATTTAGGTCCTGCTGATTTATGTAATATACATAAGCAGTCTACGACTTCAAAGAAAAATACTGAGATTGGGACTTTTTTATATTTTACTGGGGTTGATACTTCGAATTCTGCTTCAATTGCAGCTCATTTACAGAGTTTGGCCACTTTAATAGGTTCTAAATCACAATATTGGTTTGGAGAGAAAAAACATTGGAAAGTCCCCGAATTAACTTATTGTACTTATAATGCTTTCTCAAAAGTTGATATGAGAGTCACTGTTCATATTCCTGGGAAATTTGAAAGTCATGTTGTGAATAATGATGGCAAATTTGTTCATGATAAGATTAGTGATGAAGAATTGGATAATTTATGGTTGGAAACTTTTGTCAGTTCAATAGTCAGATGTATGATTGATTCCGATGATGACGATGCCAATAAAGTTGGTGGGTTGGTTGAAGTTCGTAAAATTAATCCTTTCAATAATGGTAAAGCTTCTCATAAATTATTAAAATATTTTATCGAAGGATTTGAGAAGTTTTTTTGGGATGGTCCTAAATTAGGTTGTGGGGTGGAAATTCCTCAACCAAGTTTGATTTCTAATTATCTTGTTGATGGGTTTTTGAAAGTAATCCAATTAACGCAATCTTATGATTTGGCTCTTGAAGCTTTACAAAGATTAGAAGAAAGAGAACCAAGTGTAATTACTTTGATTGCTCAAGTTTTGTTATTAAAAGATGAAGAAATAAAAGCCGTTCAACTTATGAATGAAGGTATTGAAAAAAACAAACGTGATGCTGATTTATTATTACTACAAGCTCAATTTTGTATGGATAAAAAAAGATACGATTTAGCTTTACACTTAGCGAAACAAGCGGTTAAATCGTCTCCTTCGGATTTTAAAACTTGGGCTATTCTTGTGAAAGCCTATACAAAATTAAATGATTTTGAAAATGCTTTATTGACCTTAAATTCCTGTCCAATGAATTCTCATAAAGAAAAATATTCTTTGAAAAGAGTTGTTCCCCTTAGAGGTGGTAACGAAGATTTACACTTACCTTCACCTGTTGATGTCACTTTAGATGAAGTTTCAAATTTACAGAGTAATGAAATCAGTTATGAACAAAGAAACTTGGATCCTCAATTAGTTAATTTACCTGCTGCTAATTTAAAATCAACTTTTGCGAAAGCTTATGACTTATTGACTGAAATCGTAATGAAAACAGGTTGGGAATCTCTATTGAAATATCGTGCCAAAGTTTTCGTTATGGAAGAAGAGTATCGTAAAGATAAACACGCAAATGGCCATACTAGAAAAAATTCAACAAATTCCGTAGCCAATGGCGGAGAAAATGCTTCAGAGAATGGTAATGCTTCAGAAAATGATGCATCTTCCACCGTGGCCATTAAATCTCCAAAGAAAGAAATCAACGGTACCAGTGAAACTTCTCCGAGTGATGCTTCAACCAAACTCGATGAGTCTTATGAAAATGAGTTTAAAAAGAAAAGATTGTGTGAAAGATGGTTAGATAATTTATTTATGTTATTATACGAAGACTTAAGAGCATATACCATTTGGCAAGCCGAATATGTTCATTTCCAAGCTCAACAAATGGAGTACAAGAAAACAACATTAGAGTGGGAAATTTTAGGTTTAATAGCCTTCAGATTAAAACATTTTAAAGAAGGATCTATCGCTTTCGCAAACGCTTTAAGTGGTCGGTTTTCTGCCAAATCACAAAGAGAAATCTTGAAATACTATATAATGGAAAGAAGTAAGATCTTATCGAAAAACTCAAATAATTCATCATCCCAATCCTCTAATGATAACTCATCAACTTACACTCATAATTATACTAAAATCGTTAACCAATTAAACGAAAGAATCTTGGAAAGTTGTATAAAATTGTTGGTTTGGAATCATAGATGGTATGTCGACTTTTCTCCAACCTTGATAAATACTTTAGCTGATCTTGTTTCAAAAGAAGGTTTAATCAAAATTCAATCATTGGTTCAAGCAGTTTACTCAAACAATATAAACCCATCTGACAACACCGGTAATCATGGAATTACTGATATGATGGATGACTTATATACATTCTTCAAAGAATATGAATCCCTGGGTTTTGACAATTAGAGACTCTAATGTTCTCCCCTTTCGATGCATAGCTACGACTTAAAATCTACGAGCTACGCTCAAAAAATTTTTGGCCTTACGCCTTTCTAGATCACTACTCTTGCTTAATTTATAGCTTTTTTAATTTCTTGATGATAAGTTTTTTTTTTTATTAACTAATGTAGTTAAGTGCTTATTATGGTTTTTTGCAGTATTTAAAGTTGCGTCACGTGCCATCGCACAAAAGGTTACATAGAAAATTTTTCGTAATCGCCTCTTATTTTTGCGACCTACGGACCTTGATCTGATATGGATTATGACAGATAAACGAAAGACTAATTGATTTTCAGTTGATTCGTTGAAGGAGTCAGAAAGTTTATATATTCAACAGCTTCGAAATAAGATATTCACATATCCAACTTCTTACAAGTTTCACCTATCCTTTATTAACCCTTTTAGAAGACTACCGTTTTTTTTTTAGCAGCATAATCAACTAAGCTATGACAAACCCCAGAGAAAGACTAGCAATGCTCCATGGCCACATACTACATAGAAATGAATCAGAGATACAACCAATGTTTCCTATGCTATCAGTAAATGAGAGGAATCAATTTTTCGCTCAAAGAGTTTCTCCACCTAATATAAGGATGAAATCTACCCATCAATTTGGTGCAAATAATTTGAAAAGTGAATTAAAGGCACCCAGAACCTTTCACAATACGTCACTGATTTCACCAAAAAATCTTATCAGACTTGACGACAATGAAGCAATATCGAGGGGACTCACCAAACAAATAGAGTCACTTTACCAAATATCTGGTTTAAATAATCGTCAATTAATTGTTGATGAAGACACAAATTCTTGGACGAAAATAGTATCAAAAGCTTTAGAGAACCCTTCAGAACAGGTTTTGCTCATTACTAGTGGAGATGTAAGTGATTTTGTTAATAAATGCAAAGCTGAATTTGACAACTTCCATTCAAAATTTATGGTATTCAAGGTAAAATCTGGCCATAAATTGGACAGATATCTACTTCAAGATATATTGACATCCCAGAAGTTTTCCTTAGCAATTATAACCCACACTAATATGAACATTGGTATTCAGCTAGATATAAAAAGAATCAATGAAATCATCGGTAAAGTGAGCCCTAAAACATTGCGGGGGGTCGATGTTTCATCATCGATAGGAGCACAGGCCATAGAACCAGAACAATGGAAGTCAGATGTTGTTTTTGGGGAAATGAAAACGATATCTATTATATATTTATCAGGAACTTTTATCGAGCGATTCGGGCACATCGAATCCAAAAAAATGGATACTGATAAACTTTCCCAATTATTTGGCGAACTAAAAAGGATTATTGGGGACGAGGAATCTATTAGCACGCTCGATATCAAATTACAACAGTATAAGTTAATCACAAATACTGTTTATGAATATTTACAAAATTTTTTTGAGATTTTGCCTGAACTTTCAAGGTATAGAACCAACTGCATATGTTCATTTAAAATAGCGGAAAAAGATTTTGAAAGAAATAGTGAAGCAATCGAAAAATTGGGCATCTCAGTTAATAAAGGTTTCTTGAAGGATATAGATAGCCATTTTTTGGCCTTTGATTTCAGGGACTTTGAATTAACCTACGATGAAAATGGGGTCGAATTAGAGGAATTACTTGAAGCATTTGAGAACAACTATCTTGAAATGTCATAAGCGTATATATATATATATAGATGATTTATGTACTTGGTCTGATAAAAGATCGTTACGGGCAATAAACGTATTATTTAGAATTTTCTAGTTCTTGTTCTCTCTTTTTAATTTGATCTTCAAGTTCTTTATTACGTTTCTTCAAATCTGCTTGATTTTCTTGAAGCTCATCAGTTTTTTCAATCACTCTTTCTTGATTGAAACCTTGTTGGGCAACTTCTAATAATTCTTTTTTAGAGTCTTCTAATCTTTTTTTACGAGCTTGGATAATTGCATCTCTTCTTTCTAATTCTTCAATCCAAAGGGATTCTCTTAATTTTGCCTTTTCCCTTAACTTATCGTCTTTAGTCTTCTTTTGCTCTTTAGTTTCCTTTTGGTAGTACCAACCACCAACGACCAAGGCAACCAAAGTTACAGCTTGAAACCCAACTCTATAACGGAAATATTTCTGTGTATTAACTCGTTCACCACGTCTAATTGATCTTGTTGCTAAAATAATTGCACCAGTGGTAGCAAGACATCCCAATGGGACCAAAGGTTGTTGTTTGGATTTGAAGATCATTTTCTCCATTATATCCATTTCTCTAAATCAATTGTTAGTACTGAATGATTGCTAAAACTTCTCTCAGTACATACTCTTCATCTTGGGCAGCTCCATCGAAGGAGGATGGCAACTTGCTAATCATTTTAAAGATATCAAGGGGTAAAGCTTTAGAAGTAAGTTATTTACCCAAAGAATAATGTAGTTTTCAAGTAAGAAACCAAAGCCCGGTGATATCTCCCCATAAAAGAGAAAAAAAAAAAAAAAATCATGAAAAAATGTACGGATGTTGCGAAACTACAAAATAGTATTGAAGAGTTCTATTGGTATATTCTAAAGAAGTAGTTAGTCATACGCTATTGTAAGAGGGTGAAGGGCCACTAAAAGGATGCAAGAAAATTTTAGAGAAAGATTAAAACAACGTAGAGAAAAGTGATTCGTATGAGCTAAACTATGGACCCAACATGATCCACCCAGATTTAAAGTCAATTGAGAGATGCTTAGTTTTCATCTAAAATGAATTCTTTAAATTCTTTATAAGCCTTTTCTAAATCGTCATTAACGACAATTTTGTCATGAGCACCAGTTTGAGCATATTCCATTTCAGCAGCAGCGGCACCGATTCTTTTTTCAAGAGATTCTGGAGTTTCAGTACCTCTACCTTCTAATCTTTGTCTTAAAGTTTCAATAGAAGGTGGACTCAAGAACAAGTATCTAGCATTCAAATCAGAGTCTTTAACTGACTTAACCCCTTGCATATCAATATCTAAGATACAAATTCTATTTTTTTCAGCAACATCATTAACTGATTTGATAGAAGTACCGTAGTAATTACCTGAAAATTGAGCCCATTCAATGAATTTTTTTTCTTCAATTAATTTTTTGAAATCATCAACGGTAGTAAAGTGATAATCAACTCCATCAACTTCGCCTTCTCTTGGTTTTCTGGTAGTATTGGAAACTGAAAATCCAAATTTATCTGGATATTCAGCTAATAATCTTTTCAATAAGGTAGATTTACCAGTACCACTTGGTCCAGAAATAACTAAAGGTCTATTTACCATACTGTATTGATGTGAATATCTCAAGGAAGCCCAACGAGTTCCAAATGAACGAATGAATGAAATTTTAAACACTGTTCAAGAAGAGAAGAACAGCTAATATTTTTTTTTTTTTTCTTTTTTCTATTTCAGACAAGATTCAGGAACACCATACCAAAATACCAAACAAACGCTCTTCTCGCTTCAATTGTTTTCTAATTAATTTTTTCGTTTGCTAATCCGATCATCGTGACTCGGGATCTAAGGTGGGTATCCTCACATGGCTCATCCACCTGCATAGCTTTAAGTGTCTGTAGGCTAACTTTGACAGCCTTATGTTGTTCATCGGAGAAGCAAGCACCAGAAGCACACCCGTACACCGGAGATCGATCAATACTCCCTGGGCTGGTCGTGCAGTTTTACCAAAATCATTAAAAACGAAAAAAAAAACTAGTGAAGAAAACTCTAAGCGCCAACCAACTAAGCTAGCCGCCAGGTTGAATTCAGTTACTTCTTTGGACAATCTATTCGAATCTTGGTGAAAACACTTTTTGGAAAGACCCTGCCGTTTCTTTTGTTATCCTGTTAATAGTACTTTGTTTTTGTCGATTCCGTTTGCTGGTTATTTTAATTTTTAATACACTTTCTTTTTTTGCAGATAATATAGATCCACCATGTCAGATGAGAAATCCCGTATCGTACAAGCATTGAGTACTATGTATAGTAATGCTGACGCTAGTGTTAAGAAGGAGGCAACCAGTTATTTGGAAGACTTTCAAAAATCACCATTGGCATGGGAAACAACGCATGATATATTGAATGATTCAAATCAATCAGTAGAAGTTAAATTGTTTGCTTCACAAACGTTGAGATCAAAAATTGTATACGACTTCACCCAGTTACCTCAATCATCATTGGAAGAATTGAAGAATTCTGTGATTGAAATGATTTTAAAGTATTCCCATATTAGCAGTGATAAATTGATTAGAACTCAATTATGTATATCATTATCACATCTTGCATTACAATATACATCGTGGCATAATGCCATGCATGAAATAATCAATAAATTCTCAAATGATAATGAAAAGTTACCATGTTTACTAGAATTTTTAAAAGTTTTACCCGAAGAATTAAGTGATGTTAAAAAAACATCACTTACCGATGATGAATTTAATTCAAGGACTCAAGAATTAATATCTAATAATGTTGAACAAGTTGTATTTTTATTATCTAAATTGAGTGAATCATCACAAAATATTGTAATCAATTCCTTAGTATTAGATTGTCTTAATAGTTGGATAAAAGAATGTCCAATTGAACAAATTTTACAAGTTACTTCATTAACAAATTTGATTTTCCAATCATTATCAAATGATGAAAGTTTTGATAAATCAATTGAATGTTTATGTACTATAATGAGAGAAACCAGAGATATTGAAAACCATGAATTAATTGATGCATTATATCAAAAAATCTTAGAATTACATCAATATATGGTTTCAACCAATAAATTCATTGATGATATTGAAATCACTGATGGATTAACAAGGTTATATGTTGAATCAGGAGAATCATGGCATGTATTAATTGCTAAAAACCCTCAACATTTTAAACCTTTAGTTAAAATCTTGTTGGATTGTTGCAAAAACGATGAGGATTTAGATATTGTTAAATATACTTTTAATTTTTGGTATATTTTAAGACAATTAATTGAATTAAGAAATTTTGAAAATTCGAAATTAGAATTCCAAGATATTTATTCTGAATTAATTGAAATCATAATTAAGCATTTAACTTATCCAATTAGTGATTCAACTGATTTATTTAATGGTGATAAAGAACAAGAAGATAAATTCAAAGAATTCCGTTATGAAATGGGTGATGTATTGAAAGACTGTTGTGCTGTTATTGGAGGTACTAGAGCATTAAAAATACCATTTGACAAGATTCAAAATTTTTTAAATAGTTCTCAACAACCACATTGGCAATATTTAGAAGCCCCATTATTTTCAATGAGAGCCATGGCAAAAGAAGTTAGTAAAAAGGAAAAACAAATTTTACCAACCATTATGCAATTATTAATTCAATTACCAGAACATCCAAAAGTTAGATATGCAGCAACATTAGTTTTGGGTAGGTATACCGAATGGACTTCTAAAAATCCCGAATTTTTGGAACCTCAATTAAATTATATTATCAAAGGTTTTGAAATTGAAGAATCAAATAATGAATTGAATAAAGATATTTTAATTGCTGCATCTCATGCGTTAATGTTTTTCTGCCAAGATTGTTCGGAGTTATTAATTAATTATTTGGAGCAGTTGTACTTATTATATGGACAGGTACATTCAAAATTAGATACTGATTCAATTTATAAACTAGTTGATGGATTGGCCCATGTATTACAAAAATTACCAATTGAAAATCAATATGAAACAACTAAGATGTTTTTAAATCCAACAATTATTAAATTAAAAGAAGTTATTGAAAAATTTAATAAATCAGAAGATTCAAATGTATTAATTGCTGATCAAATTGAAATCTTGACAATTTTCATGAGTATTTTAAGATGTAAAACTTATGAAGCCCAGACTTATCCAATTGCTAATTTATATATGGACGAAATATGGCCTATTATACCAATACTATTGAAAAACTATGGGGAATCTTTGAAAGTTAGTGAACGAGGATTAAAATTAGTAAAATCAAGTATACAAAGTTTTTCAACCTATTTAAATCCAATTTTGGGAGAAATAGTATCATTATTACATCAAGGATTCCAAACCACCCCCTTTGGATGTTACTTATGGGTTTCTGGTGCAGTAATCAGAGAATACGGAGATGAGTATACAACCGAAGAAGTTAAACAAGAAATTTATAAATTTGGTATTGGACAAAGTTATTCATTTTTCCAATTCATCAATCAAGGAATCAATATGAACGAAATCCCCGATGTCATTGAAGATTATTTCCGGATGATGAGTGATTTATTAATGTATTTCCCCTTTAAGTTAATTCCAGAATCCGATTTATTAAAATCAGTTAAAGAATCAAGTTTAATCGTTTTACAACAAGTGGACGAATTCGAACCTTTGGTAAGCACTCTACATTTCTTAATTGATCTTGTATCCTGGGGGTTTGATAATCCACCAGTTTCATTTTTCGAAGAAAACCCAATTTTCATCAAGGAAACTGTTCAAAAATTTTTGATTTTTGAAAATCAAGGTTGTGAAATACTAAAAGTCTTGATACATGGTTCAATTTTTAAGTTCCCCAACGATATTCAAATCGACGCCAATGATTTATTAATAAAATTACTAACGGTGATTCCTGATTCCACTTTATCCGTAGAGTGGTTAACTTCCGTTATAAAATTATTGCCAAACGTTAACGAACGGGAAATTACAAAATTGATAAAAGTTATTCAAGTGGCAATTCCAAACAAAGACACCAAAAGGATAAGAACTTCGTTAAAAGACTTCATTAATTGGTATTCTAGAAAAAATGTCAATCCAAGATTAGAACATTAGGTTTATAATAATAGAACGGTACCTGTTGCAAAAATAACTGTAGTCTGACACTTACGCACGCGCCCTGCTGCGTAACTCCCAGTCCAGGCCGCCCGGCAACCCAAATCAAAAAATAGTAGCGCGCCTTCCGAAAAGAGCACTCCTCGTCAGCGTCTGAGCCTTGGAGCCGCTCAAAACGGACTCCATTGGTCTCAATCAAGCATCCAGATTTTCAATGCATATATTGTGATCCGGCCATTGGCCCAAGCTAATCACCATGTCAATAATTAGTCGAAACCTTACTCAATGTACGCCACCATACTACTATCGGGCCTCCCTCCTCGGCCTCCCCCCATACTCCTGGCCCGCCCAACTCTCCTGGCTCACCTGGCTGACTCCCAGCAGAGCCTGATCCAGCTTTAAGCACTGGCTGACGCAACGCCTTCCCAAAGGGGAAGGCGAGGCAGCAGAGACGTAAATGTGAGAAACGCACAACACAAAAGAAAGTCTGGAAAAAGAAAGAAGAAAGCTGTCTTATCTGCAGGGGCTGCCTGTCTAAAAGAATAAAACATGTTACAATAGTCTATTTCGAGCAGTGTTTGGAATTTCCCGCTGTAACAACTGCCTTTATTTTTAATTGTTGCATTGCTAGTCTGCGCCCGCTTTTGTTGTGTTTTTTTTTCTTTTTTTTACCGCCAGATTTTTTTTTTAATTCTTTTTTAATTTTTTTATCTGCTAAAAATGACCTATCGAAAAAGTATATAAATGGATGGATATTTCTGGTTTTAATTTTTTATTCCTTCTTTTTTCTTTATTCACTCTTAACTTAGTCTTTCGCTCAATAATTACAATGCAATTCTCCACTGTCGCCTTATTCGCCGCCGTTGCCGTCGCTGCTACCGTCACCGAAACTGACGCTTCTTCTACTTTGGTCACTGTTACTGACTGTGCTTCCACTGTCACTGACTGTCCAGCCCACAAATCTTCTGAAGCTCCAGTTGCTTCTACTTCATCTGCTGGTAACTACACTGCTCCAGCTAATGTTTCTTCTGCTTACGAAGCTGGTGCCGCTAAACAATTTGCTGTTGGTGGTGTTGCTTTAGCTGCTGGTGCTTTATTAGCTTTATAAGTTGATTGATTTACTATTGGTAGATTTTATGTATTTTTAGTTTAATTAGTTCACTTCTTATAAATCCATCATATAGCATGGTATAATACACAACACTTATTTATTATTTTGCTGCAAGTGTAGATTTTAGGTTGTTGGCGTCGACAACGATGGCCGCTGGGCTCCCAATGGAATTTATTTTTTTTGTTGATGTCGTGCGGGTTTTTTAAACTACTATAATTTACTAAAAACCATATGGAGTTCATAAAATGTAATTTTGAATTATTGGGCTAGCACAGTGAATGTAGTCTCATTTGAAAGCTCGCTAGTGCGCAAACAGCTTTTGTTAGCGGAGCCACTTTGGTTTATTGGGTCTTTGTCGTGTTTGTGGGACGCAAAAACCTCATGGGGGGTTTCATGGGAGTCTTGCCAGGTGGAATTTGGCCAATTGGATGGATTGGTTTGCAAATCTCACTCAAGTCAAGCACTCCACTATCAATCAATTGAGGGATTAATTCGATAATTAAATCAATAACTCCTTGTCTGGTATCGGGATCGGTGACTGCATGTTTGATAACGTCAACTGCTAATCCGCTGGTTTTCAAAGCTTCGAAAATCTCTTCCCAGGGTATGACTTCTCGTTCCAATAAGTCGGCAGTCAACTCGACGACTCCGTGTCTTGTAGCATCATCGGTAAGAGAGAATTTAACAATTGAGTTGACAAATCCACTGTTTTTCAATGCAACAAATACTCTATATAATAAATCATCCACTAAATCTCTCTTTATAAGAAACTGCTCACTGCTGGTTTTTGCAATCTCCTTGATATCGGCAAGAATCTTCTTCAACGCCTGAACTTTACCCGCTTGTTTCTTTGCCTTGCCAAACTTTTGCTTGAGCTTGTGTTTAATCCCGTAGGCTTCAACTGGGTCTTGCACCGTGGTGCATTCCATACTACTGTTGGCGAGCACCGCTACTTCATTGACGGCAGGTACGTATAACGATACAACTGGAACCGCCACTAAGGCTGCGAAAATCAATCTTGACACTTTCATTTGGTTTTGGTGAATGGGAAAGCTGGTGTTGGTTCAGGTTGGCTTGCTTTAATACTTTGTCTTTTCTCGGTATGCTGGGATTTTTGCAGCAAGCTGCTAAAATTCAAAGTGACTTACTGAATTCAAGCGAAGCCTAGTCAAGCTAAACATACTGAAATCATCAGCCTACTACAAGCCTAATACACTCCTATATGATCAGGATACAATATGTTAATTACAGTATATCTTGAATACGGTATAAATATAAGTCATTTGACAAAATACCACAAAAAACAAAAGGCTAAAAAAAAAAAAATTTACCCTCACTAGTGCGACTGCAAAATTAAAGTATGTAGAATAGTTAACAAGAATTGAAAATATACGAATATCTATGGTGAGGCTTCGGGTGATTGGTTTGGCAATAGTTCAAAGTCGGCACTCTCATTTCTCAAATGAAGCTTTCTTTCATTTTTTTTGAAAAAGTTAAAGTTGCGCTTAACTCCATTATAAATTCTTCCAGTACGAGATCTTTTCCCCATGAACTTATCTCCCAAACCACCTCTTTTAATTGTTTCAAAATCATCTAAGTTTGAATATTTCAACGTGAAATTATCATTCACCCCCATTCCGGATTCCAAATCATAATACTGCTCTGCAAATGATCCAAACTTGGGTGGTTTCCAATTTTTTAATAATAATGAACTGATAACAACACTAACTGAACTCATCGCCATCGAAGCTCCGGCTGCTATAGGTGGTAACATAACATTGAATGGTAGGAAACATCCCATTGCAAATGGTAACATAATCAAATTATAAACTGCTGCCCATATAAAATTTATTTTAATTCTTTGGAATGTAGCATGACTGATCCCTAATGCAATTGGAACTCCATATAAATCACCAACTTCTGATTTCTGTGATTGACCAATCAATACGATATCAGCAGATTCAATGGCAATATCAGTTCCTGAACTAATGGCCATACCAATGTCAGCTTGTGCTAAGGCTGGTGCGTCATTAATACCATCTCCAACAAATGCAACCCCAACGTTACATACGGAATTATCTCCAGTTTCATTATATGCTGCTCCACCGAAACGACGCTTGATATCAACGATTACTTTGTCTTTATTGACTGGTGAAATTTCACTGAAAACATTACCTTCATTGATCCCTAATTCATGGCCAATCTTAATGGCTGCACCCTTATTATCACCAGTAACAATCCCAACTATATAATTTTGTTGACTAGTCAAATAATCAATCAATTGTTTGGCATTAGGCTTCAAGCAATCAGTAAATTCATAAAACCCACTGTACTCACCGTCAATGATTACATGGGCCAAAGTATTAACTGATTGGTCTAACTCGTCATTTAAATACTTTTGTAAGACTGGCTTCAAATGACTGAACATTTCATTAATCATTCGGTCATTACCAATGAAAACTTTATGCTCAGCAGATCTATTTGACAATTGAATACTTGCCCTGATTCCAAGTCCTGTCAAAACTTTGAAATCACTTATAATGGAATTGAAATTATCTTCTTCAAATGAAAGTCCCAATTTATCTCTTGCTTCTTTAGTGATAGCGCGGCCAATTGGATGCTCAGAATTACATTCAACAGATCCCAGCAAATTCCACCAATCCTCGCAGTTTAATTTAGAGTTTTCCAGTAGTATTACTTTGTGATTGACCAAAGTCATATCTCCAGTGGTTAAAGTACCAGTTTTATCAAAAAGGATAACATTTATATTATTTGCCTTCTCCAATACATCACCACCTTTAATCAATGCTCCATGAGCAGCTCCAACACCAGTACCAACCATAACGGCAGTAGGTGCGGCTAGCCCAAGAGCACAGGGACAAGCAACAACAATGACTGATATCGCTAATTTCAAACACACAAAAAATTTTCCATTAGGCTCTTTTTGGAAAGCTAAAGGTAAATTTGATTGAACATGGGCAATATAACAGATAAATAACCAAAAAGCAAATGTAATAGTGGCTAATATCAAAACACATGGTACAAATCTAGCAGCGATATAGTCGGCAAATCTCTGAACTGGTGCTTTATGAACTTGAGAATCACGAACCAAATTAATAATTTGCTGAAGTTGAGATTTTCTACCAGACCTTAATACTCTGATATGGATTAAATCAGGCCCATTTATCGAGCCACCAATAACATGGTCACCTTGTTGCTTGAAAACAGGCAATGATTCACCAGTGATTAAAGATTCATCAATTTCAGACTCACCAAAAACGATTTCACCATCAGCAGGGATTTTACCACCCGGTAAAACAACAGCCACATCATTCGTTTGAATTAAATCTATACCAATATTCCTAGTCTGTAAATCAGTCATAGTTGAAGAAGACAGATTATTCTCTTCACGGGGCAATTTCTTCTCAGTATTAATCTGTTTAGATTTCAAAAAAGTTTCATATTCTTCGAGATTACTTACTATAGTACAGTTGGTAGGAGTTAAAGAAAGTAACTTGGATAAGGCATTAGAAGTAGCACCTTTGGCCTTGTTTTCTAACCATTTACCCAAAGATATGAACGTTATCAACATAACACTAGTGTCAAACAACACGGTTGGTGGGCCGTCTTTATTTCCAGACCAAACATTTAAACCAATTGCCAAAATAGAAAACATATATGAAATCATTGTAGATATACAAACCAAGACATCCATTGTAGCGTTTTTCCCTCCAAGTTTGATAAATTGAATAAATTTTTTGATGAAAACTGATCCTAAATTGAACTGGACATGTGTAGTAATGATTAATTCAATTAAAGTGACTAAAAAGAAACCTGGGAATAACAGGGTATGTTTCCAAAACTCCATTTTTTCTGTATGGGTGAGAATTAAGGTAGGAATACCAAATCCAATACATTTTAAGAGATTATTTTTCCAATACTTAATATCGGCAATACGAGTAAGTAAACGTAATTGAGAAGCCAGAGACTGGTCAACAGAATTAACAATGAGAAACAGTATATCATCATCAATATTATTTAAAGTGTCGACCAAGAGACGTACTCCCAAAGCTTGCGTATCATAGATAACACTTAACTCATCTATTAAATTTTCATTTTCCAGATAATCATGATTATCGCGCAGACGTATAGCTTGAATCCCATTCGAGTTTGAATCGGTGAAAAGTGGTTGTTCAGGAGTTGATAAGTTACCAACCGAAGTAGAGGACGAACCATTGCTTGAATGGTCGTTTTTGAAAGCCAAATAAAAGTGAGCTATACCGGGGAGACTATTAAGAGCAGCTTCGATATTATATTGTAGGTGAACCAAATCGGTATCGTCCTTAATTCCGAAAATCTGTAAGCTTGTTTCATCTTCATTATCATCATCGTTATTAGAGTTTAGGTCATTAGATATAGGGTTCGACGATTTGACATTAGCATCAAACCCACAGTCTTCAATGGTTTGTTTAATTAAGTCGGGGGTCACTGATTCTTCATGATTGATAAGAGCCTCTTCTGTTATTAGGGAAACCGATACTTCGGACACACCATCCATAGCTTGAACCGCTTCGGTGATGGACGAACTGCAAGCACCACAAGTCATACCGCCAACCGATATTAACGTTACGTACTGGTGAGTCGATTTCGATGTTATTCTGGACGACTCTATACTTGCGTCAAACCCACAGTCTTCAATTGTATTCTTTATTGACTCTGCCAGAAGTGAACTTACATGCTTGACAGACCCACTAGACGTAAGAAGCGATATTGAGCACTCCAAGACCCCATCCAAAGCCTGGACTCCTTCAGTGATTGAAGCACTACATGCTCCACATGTCATGCCTTCAATATTAAAAGTCGTAACCAAGGTTTCGGGCGCAGTATTTTTGAGAATTCCTTTCTTCTGTATATGATTCGGCAGTAGTTTAGCATCAAATCCGCAATCTTCTATTCCCTCTATAAGCTGACCAGCACTGACTTTGGATTCATCGTAATTGACCTTGGCTTCTTCTGTAATAAGGGATACCGAAACTTGAGATACCCCATCGATTTTAGATACTGCCTCGGTGATCGACGCAGAGCACGCTCCACAGGTCATCCCAGACACCGACAAAATGACTTCACTACTCATAATTTATGCTATTACCAAGATGAATGGAAGAGGTATTGATGAATAAAGGATTAACCGCTGTTTTATATTTAAAGCTTTTTTTAAAAAAAAAAAAAAAAAAAAAAAATCTAACAATTAATAAGGCGATTTACCTGCAGTACTATCTTTTCCATCAAAGAAAAAATTATGTGTAACGGCAGGATAAATTAACATCCGAAGATCGGATGACAATATAAATGGGTTTGGACTAGAGAGTAAGGGTCGGACCTACTAGCAAATACTCAATACTATCAAGTGTACTTAGTTTGCCCAGAGACGTAGTTGTAAAGTAGATATAATTTTCATTTACCAGTGAAATATTGACAGGTTTGACGTGCCAATAAGAACAATTGAGATGGAAATGGTTGAAAAAAAAAATAGTTTAAGAGAAGACAAACGCCTAACAAAATTTACGAGCAATAAATTATACAATAAATTAATGTATTAGGGGTATATATATTATTCTATGATTCGTTCAGTGGTATTGGACGAGTTTAAGTCATGTTGTTTGCGCAACTTTTTTTCAGTTTTGGCTTTACCAGGACCGACACCATGAAATTTATGCGATAAGAATTTGAAAGCCTCTTTAGTGTTGAGCTCATGGCCTTCTTCATCTCGGTAATCGAGTTTGACTTGGGGGTTGTATCCGGACAATCTGTCGGCTGGTTTATTGTATCTTCCTCTTTTGTTGGTTTCGATTTGTGGTAATACACCCTTTGCACGTAGTCTATTTTCAACTTCTTCTTGTATCTTAATGGTTCGTTCTTCTTTTGGTAAGTTTATGAACTTTTTATCTGCTTGTAGTTCTTGGGTGACTATTCTTTCCTCAATTGACAATTGCAATTTTAGCAATTCGGCTTCTTTAACTGCTTCTCGTTGTTTTTTGTTATGCTCTTGTTGTTCACTGGTAGGCTTATTGATAATATTCTTTGATTGTAAGAACTTTAATGTGCCAGCAAGTCCCAGACTAAACTGTGTCTGTTCACGAGCGCTTGAAGTGGGTTCTTGTTTTGTAGAATTTGGTTCTTCTTTTATAGAGTCACCTGATTCTGCTTTCACGAGAATGCTTGGTTCCTCTTTCACCAGACTGCTTGGTTCTTCTTTCACAAGACTACTTGGTTTCTCTTTCACCAGACTGCTTGGTTCCTCTTTCACCAGACTGCTTGGTTCCTCTTTCACTCTTATCTCGTCAGAAGAGTTCACCTTTGGCTCCTCATTAGGGGTTAAAGTATTTAGAAAATCAGTAGTGTAATCGAAAACCATACCGGAACTCGACAAATTACTTCTCTCCTCAATCTCATTCATCATTTCCCATTGCTTGTTCTGTTTCACTTCTTGTGCTATTTGTTCAGGCGTGAGTCTTGATCTAGATTGCTGCTTTTGTCTTCTTTTCAAAGCAAGAATCAGTTGCAACTCATCTTCTTCTTCAAATGTCTCCTTCTCGTTCATGCCTTCCAATTCAACTCTCTGTAGTGGTGCGTATTCAACTTCTTCAGCTGTTTTATTACGGTCCTTCAGCTTCAGCTTCAGTTTTTTCAGTAATTTCTTCATCTTTACCGGCTTCTTAGGCTTACTGTAATCATTACCCAAGTGCATGTCTTCGTCCTCATCGAATAAGCCCAGTAGCTTCATAGTGTGGCCTTGCGGTTTCGAGTCTCGTTCCTCGGGCTCTTCTTTGGATGGCAAGAAGATAGTAGATCCAGTAATCGCAGTTTCTTCTTCCTCTTCTTCAGCTTCTCCTTCATTTTCCTCATAACTCGTTCGCCCATTGAATGATATATCATTCTGCCTTTTCTTCTCTCTCATATCTTTCTTTAATTTCTTTGCTGAATTTAACTTTTCGTTTTCAAGCAGATCCTTTAGGTCTTCAGTATCTAAAATGTCTGTGTCTTTGAGTGTTAAGATCTCTCCATCTTTTATAGAAGCCAATTCTCTCGATGAGTGCCCGATTGCCATATCAGGATCGGTGGCGGCCTCTGGAGTCTGCTTGCGTTGAGTCTGTGATTGTATTTTAGTATCTTTACCTAATTTATTCAACCACGAGCTAGTGTCTTCCGAACTGTCAGCATCCTCCCACAACAAGCTAGTCACTGCCTTCTTCCTTTTCTTGATTTCGCTTTCCTCGTTCTTTGGTTTTCTTTTCAACCTGTTAATTCTCTGTTCGAGTTCATTCGACTGAGACGAATTATTCTCCCTGGACTCACCACTGGCTACACCACCACTCCCTGAATTAGAATCAACAGGAATAGGACGTAGCCCAAGCGATAGCCTTAGCTTATTAGTTTCTTCAATAGAAAGCTCTGTTTTCCTCACGCCGTCAGACTTGTCTCTATTATTTTGCATCGATTTTGACGATGATGACTCCAGGTTCTCGGTGGCTGCAGACTTCTCGACTGCAATGAGTGGAAGCCCGATCTTAGCCCTTAGCTTGTTCGTCTCTGCAATCGACAACTCTATCGACTCTGGCATCGTATGTATCTTTATCAGGGATTCAAAGGGTCTAGCACAGTTTCTTATAAACTAAACACTATCTACTCTTTTTTTTTTGTTCTAGTGATGTAGATGATCCTGCACAAGACCAATCCTTCAAAAGTTGCATCAATTGAAACTAAAGAGATTTTTGTTTACTTTTTAGATCGTTTGTTTTTCTTTTGAACATTTCATAGAACCAACATCGACTCCAGCTACTGATAAAGCACAAGGACACGGTAGTATTTAGCCTGAGGGAATATAAAACACCGTTTAAAAAGCGGGAAAAGTAATTTTCAAGATTTTTTTGCTCTTTTCTTTTTCAAGACAGAATTCGAATCGGTCAGGATGCTGGACCTGGAGGTAACTAAGACTCATTTAGCGAGTCAATTGAAAATTGGTCAAATTGTTGGAACGTCAGCACAAAATGCACATCAGATCGCTGTAAGAGGCAATTTATTAGCTTATACGGCTAGTGGAGGAGTCGTTGTTTGCACCCTTGATTCAGATAATCCGTCAATAGTATCTCAAAGATTTTTTTGCGCCAATATTAGCACTAATAATTCAAATACTTCGTCCACCTCGTCTGCCAATGCTTATTTGAACATGGCATTCCCCAATGAATTGGGCCCTGCATCTGAAGGTGCCGAAAATAAAAAAGATTCTTTTGGATTCCCAGTTTCTCAAACTGCCGCTATAGTTGCCGGTTCCAATGTTCCTCAGAATGATACCTTGTCCGCTGATACCTCTAACAATTCTCAGTCTAATGGATCTAAATTAAAGGATCGTGTAAGGTCAATTAGTTGTATTGCTTTGTCTCCAAATAAGAAGGTATTAGCTGTAGGTGAAGCTGGATATCAGCCCAGGATATTGCTTTTTTCATTGGCACCAGATCTGTCCAGTAATCCTGTTGCTATCATTCATGAACATACCTTTGGTATTACTTCTATAGCATTTTCTCCAGATCTGAAATACTTCTGCTCTTTAGGAATGGTCAATGACGGATTTTTAAATGTTTGGAAGTACAATTCATCTTTCGTATATCTCCATGCAACTAACAAGTGCTCATCTGTCATTAATCAATTACTTTGGCACGAAAACTTTATCATAACATTAGGTTTAAGATTGATAAAAGTTTGGTATTATGAACCCGAGGAAAAAGATGCTGCAAATCATGGATCAACCGGGCCACCCAAGACTCTGGCATTAAAAGGAAGAAATGTTTTATTAGGCTCTAATATTAATTCTAACTTCATCTGTGGTCATGCTCTTAACAATGATGAAGTACTATTAATTACTGATAATAATCAATTTCTTTTATTGAAACTTACTTATGATAGCTTGAACGTCGTTCCACTTGAACCACCAGCTAATGAGTTCAACAATATTTTCGTGGATTACGAACTGCTGAGGCTCTGGTTCTCATCCACTGGTACAGAAATAGACAGTATCCCAATTCATGATATCTGCCATAATAAAGATGTGAGCCAAACACCTTCTTCGCCTTCTAAATTGAACATGATGATTGCCAACCCTGCATCTTCTCCTCATAAATCTACGTTTCACGACAACAATTTTCAAATAAGTTGCATGATAGATTATAACGAAGACTATTTCATTTATATGACGACCTCAGAAGAAATAATACTTCGAAATAAATTTCAAAATGATTGCGAAAAAAAATTGGTCCCATCGCTATTGAAAAATATATCGGGTGTGACTGAAACCTTCTCCAGAAATTTGATTGCGTTTTCAAGCCATGGTGTTGTCAAAAAAATTCACGAGTCTTCGGAAAATGATTACACTTGTCTTGATGAAGTCTTACAGTTCAACTTACCTTCTAGTGACGTTGTTCAAAATGGATTGACTGCTGCTAATTCGTCAAATATAACGCAGAACCTATACCTTGGTGATAAGTTCGGTCAATTATACATCTTGAAGCTCGAAAACGAAAAGCTGTATTCTGTTCAATTTCAAACCAAAGCTCATTCTTCTTCTGTGAATGATATCACATACTTCGAAGTTGAAAATTTCGAATTCATTTGCAGTGTTGCAAGAGATCGTATGATTCAAATTTTTTACAAATCACCCCAATCAAATTGGGAAATTCTCCAAACAATACCTACACACACCGGTAATTTACTTAAAGTTGAATATAAAGACTCTAAGGTTTTCGTTTGTTCAACTGATAGGACTGTATCTATCCATAAAGTTGCCATTGGAGAAGACGGATCTGTAAAAGTTCAGCAAGAAAAAATCATTACGTTTAAGAATAGTCCGTTGAATATGAAAATATTTGGAGATGATCTTATAATATCCACAAATGACCGCAGCATGTTAATATACAAGGCGAATGATACTTACGAATTACAACGAACATTGAAATTACATAACGAACGGAATGAGTCATTGTTAGTTGAAAATTATGTGGTTCACCATAATGTGATTTTCGTTCTGGCTTCGGACAAATCTTTAAGATCATTCAGCTATTCAACCGGTAAAGCGCTCTCGATTGCTTGGGGGCATCTGGAAAGTATCCTTAGTCTCTGTATGAGTAGTGAATCAGAAAATGAGTTGTATTCTATTAGTGCTGATGGGTGCTTGTTTAAATGGAAATTGGCTGAAAATCAACAAAAAGCGAACTCTATCAGCCATGAAACCCATAATACTACTGCGAATAACAGTCCTGTTCAAGACAGCGTTCCTTTATATTCCAAGGTAACTAGAAAAATAGTTCCAACAGTTCCATCTATAAGTTCTACTCAAACCCCGACCAAAAGACGCAGTTTTCACTTCTCTAATCTGGATACTCACGCGGATACTGAAAGTAGATCACCAAGTCCTAAGTTATCTAATGCTACGTTGAAACGAATGGAAGCTCGAAAGAAACAAGGAGAATTATCACCTACAAAGGATGTCGAGCAATCTCAAAGATTATCAAGGCCTTCACACTTATCATTACAACCACATAAGGCAGCTAGTAATCAGCGTCCGATATCTCCCACAAGAGCAAGATCGCCAAGTAGGGTTCATTTGTCACCATCCAAAATCCAAAGTTCACCATCAAAACCACCAAGGCCCAATGCTCTGGTCTCTCCCATTAAACATGATTCAGGTTCTATAGGGGTTGGTCATTTGAGTAAGAAGCCACTGATTGATTTATTGCGGAACTTATCTCGTAAACCGAGTGAAACCGATTTTGCCATGCACAGAGCAGCCATTGGTACTGCTGATGCCCATGCCGAAGACTTTATGGAAAGATCCATAGCATATTTAGCCATTATTAAGAGTCGAGTTAACAGAGAACAATTGACAAATGATGATAAAAGAAAATTGAAGAACGAACTTTTGGGAATACTCGAACTTATTAATGAAGAAGCAGATATTGACGAAGTAGATTTGGATGTTGAATCCGATGAGGAAAACGTCACTGAAAGCATGAATAAGCTCAAGATAAGCAATAAGGAAAATATACCATCGGCTTATGTGCAAAATGATATTCTAGAAAAATATAGCGATAAATTAGTTGAAATGGTTCGGGAAAAACTTAACAAGAAAGACGGCTTTCATTAAATAAATAAGTGGTATTTAGCATATATACAAGAGGAAATAAAATATTTGAAAGTAGTTTTACTTTCTGGGTTTAATATTTGTAGTTTCGATTGGCGAGTCTTTGGATTTAGACTTTGCATCAGTTTCAGCCCAAGGATCATTATTTTTAGGTTTTAAGTTTGCAGGTTCAATTGGATCCGAGTCCTTATTTGAATCGGCCTTGGCCCACGGATCATCTTGAGATTTCTCTCTATTAATGGCTTCCTGTTGTTGTTTTTCGAATTCTTCCGATTCCTTTTGACTTCTTTTCAATTCGCCTTTTAATTTCAATGCTTGTTCATTTTCAAGTCTTAATTTTTCATTTCTCCATTTTTCATCTGCATGTTGAGCCAAAATTTTTATTCTTTCTTGTCTCATTTGATCGTTAACCAATTCCTGTAACGTAGGGGGTTCTCTTCTGGTTCTTCTCAACCAAGATAACCATTGCGGCGGGATTGTGGAGAAGTAATCTGCTTTAAATAACTTTGGCTCATATGGTTCTAATTTCCTTCTTAACCTTTGCATATTACCATCAACGGTGAATTCCCAGTAAGTATTCCCGTGAAGATCATAGCCCACAAAAAAGCTACGGCGAAACGGGATATCACGACGAGCCTTGAACCGGTGTAGTAGTTTCTGGAAATAAGTATACTTCCCACGAAGAGGATCCATGTTGGACTAACCTTTTAATCTATAGAGATGAAGATGCTTTTATAAAAGTACGTGAAAAACGAAAAAAAAAAAAAAAAAAAGAAGGAACTGCAATTAAAAAAAACTGAATGCACTAACAAAACAAAAAAAAAAAAGCTATCATTCGAGGATAATCAACTAACAAACCCTTAAACCCTTTCGAAACCAGTCAAACCGATCGTCTCTAATTGTTATTAGGAATAAGAAAAGTACTACAGCAACTGCTCCATGGAATAGAATGTCGACGAACAAGGGCGTTCAAGGTGGTACCAAGACTAGTATTGCAAATGGACCAAGCACCGGCCGCAGAAGAAATACCATAACCCAGCTCAATAAGGTGCTACCGGTGCCCATTGAGCTCGAGTCGGCGTCACTAGAAAACAACGACCTCAGCAAAACTTGCCACATCACTGATGTCTTGGTCGGGGATTACCATATAATTCAAGGCGAGAATGGAAGCAAGTACTTGGTTTGGGCAATCAGAGTGATCATCAACGATGCATCCTTCTCCTCCATAGTGGTTTACCGCAGGTATAGCGACATTGAAAGATTCAGAGCCAGCCTAGTCCGTCAATTCCCCAAAGAAGATATTCCTCCTCTACCTCCCAAAGATCTGTTCAACATCCAACGAGTGCTAATGGCCGACCAATGGCTCGAGGTCAGACGCAAGGGCCTCCAGTGGTTTATGACAAATGCATTATTGAACCCCAAATTTCAAAAAAATCGTACGGTTACTGATTTCATCTTGACATAACCTCCTTTGATCTAATAACCTCATCTGATCTCATGACATCTGCCTAGATCGCACCCCATAAACCACTCATATAGTCAGCAAGTAGATACACCATCATAAAGCTTCTTACGGTGTTCCTACCGGGTTGTTACTAATGTCAAGTCTGGCCATCTCTGATTATAAATTTCTATGACAATCAATAGGCAAACATCCGTACCTCACCAAACCATCACTCCTACCCTCGGTAAACGGGCTAGACTAAATAGTTAATTTATAAGAGTTCTGGAAGCTCACACTAATTTCTAATGATTTTTTTCGTTCGATTTGAAAAAAAAAGAAAAATTTAGGAATATATATAAGCTTGATTTCCACATCTTTGGATTCTTATATGTTATATAACTTAACTAAGTTTAATTCACTTAAGACTATATTATCAAGACATATCATAACAAGAATGGTTCACCACAGAGTTACTATTATTGGATCTGGTCCAGCTGCTCACACTGCTGCCATTTACTTATCCCGTGCTGAAGTTAAGCCAACTCTTTATGAAGGGATGTTGGCTAACGGTATTGCTGCTGGGGGTCAATTAACTACTACCACAGATATTGAAAATTTCCCAGGTTTCCCAGAAGGTATTTCAGGAACTGGATTAATGGAAAATATGAGAAAGCAATCGGAACGTTTTGGTACTGAAATTATCACTGAAACCATTTCAAAAGTTGATTTTTCCCAAAGACCATTCAAATTATGGACCGAATGGAACGAAGATGCTGAACCAATCACTACTGATGCTGTGATCTTGGCCACTGGTGCATCTGCCAAAAGAATGCATATCCCTGGTGAAGAAACTTACTGGCAACAAGGTATTTCTGCTTGTGCTGTTTGTGATGGTGCGGTTCCAATCTTCAGAAACAAACCTTTGGCTGTCGTTGGTGGTGGTGATTCTGCTTGTGAAGAAGCATTGTTCTTGACTAAATATGCTTCTAAAGTTTACTTATTAGTTAGAAGAGATGTCTTGAGAGCTTCTCCAATCATGCAAAAAAGAGCTAAACAAAATGATAAATTAGAAATTTTATGGAATACTTCTGCTGTTGAAGCTAAAGGTGATGGTAAATTATTGCAAGCTTTGGAAATTCAAAATAACAAAACTAATGAAAAATCCGACTTGAAAGTTAACGGTTTATTCTATGCTATCGGTCATATTCCTGCTACTCAAGTCTTTGCTGACCAATTAGACACCGATGACACTGGTTACCTTAAAACTACCCCAGGTACTGCCAAAACTTCTAAACCTTTCGTCTTTGCCGCTGGTGATGTTCAAGATAAAAAATACAGACAAGCAATCACCTCTGCTGGTACCGGTTGTATGGCTGCCCTTGACTGTCTTGCTGCTTTTGATGAAGAAGAAGTCGAATAATTTCATGACATCTAGATTTTTTATGATTCTTTTCTACCCTTTCTTATAGATTTACAATGTCTTAATAAAACGTTTAATTAACTATAGTTGTAGCTTATCTAATCGATCAGGTTGGTTATATCCCGGTTCTCGGAGTCGTCCTCCAGATCCCCCTAAACGAAGCATCCGTACATCCTGGCTTTATCACAAGAAACTCTAATTTTTATTTTGAAGTCTAATCAACCAGGTCTTACTTGATATCGACTCTGCTATCATCAAAATGTCTTTCAATCAACAGGGCTCGTTCGCGAACGACCTAGAGAGTGATGCTGCAGATGCTAGATCGAATAATTACAAGGATTTTCCCGAATTCGATTCGTTATCCCAGGCTCTAGACAATAATCTCTATAATATAAATAACAATCAATTTGTATCATTAAAAAACCTCCTACAGCAGTATGAATCCTTACTTAATGATTACGATACTACCGAAATCTCTTCTCCATCAACACAGCAGTCAAATCATGCCAGTAAGCTAAGTTTGAGAATTAGTGAGTTATTCAAAAAAACAAATGATTCATTCAAAAATTTGAATAAAACTACTAATCAGTTGAATGAATACCTTAATGAATGTGAGAATAACCATGAAGATGAAGATACTTTACGTTATTTGAGACAAAAGGAATCTATTCTAATCAAACTAATTAAATCAAGTATTAATCAATTCAGAAAATATCAAAAGAAATACGAATCTTTGCAACAATCATATATCAATAAAATTGGTCAGGTAAGAAACTCGGCATTAAACGATGAGACTAATGCATCAGGCGTTCCAGAACAACAACAGGAACAACAACAGGTTTCGGCACAAGTTCAAATAACGTATGAACCGATAAATGCTGAAGAACTCGAACAACAATCTCTAATGATCCAAGAACGTGAACGGGAAATTCACCAAATAACCCAAGATACTTCTGAAATTAATGAAATATTCCAAAATTTACAAGATATAATCCATGAACAACAATTCTCTATTGATAATATAGAAGGTAATATCATAAATTATGCTAATAATACCCATGGGGCTTCTAATGAATTGAGACGTGCGGAAAGGTATCAAAGACGTGCTGGTGGTAGAATGTTTTGTTGTCTTTTGATCTTAATAGGTGTTTTGGGTTCCATAGTATTTATAGGGCTAGTCTTTTAAATATATTTATTTGTAAGTTATATACATTAATTGTAGGGTTTTCAAAGTGACCAAATGTTAATGTTACCGTCATCTCCAGCAGTGACAAGTACTTCAGCACCATCGTCCAATGTACAGAATGAAACGCAATTGATTTCATATACCCCATGAGCAGATTCTTTGTTTGATTCAATCTTCCAACCATCATCATACAGATAAACAACTAATTGACCATCAGAACCAGCACTGGCAATTTTCCCTGTTTTAGCTGACCAACTAACGGAATAAACTGGATATTTATGAATCGAAGGTAATATCACTTCTTCTTCCCAAATCATTTCTTCCGCAGTATGTTTGATTGAGCTTGGTAAATTGTCCCCATCAGATTTATTGTCCTCGTCTGGTACGGAAGAGCTCGACCAAATTCTAACACTTAAATCATCCGATGCTGACACCAATCTTATGATTCCCTTCTTCGATGTAGGACTAAGTGGATGCTCAAAGCTTGAACACCATACAGTTCCTTCGTGACCATTTAATAATCCCACACAGGCCCACTCATCATCCCCGTCGTCATCGTTTTTATATAATCGTATAGTATCATCATACGAAGAGCTGGCCAACAAGTTGGTCGTTGGATGCCACGTTATATGTTTGATATCATGCTGGTGATCATTCAAAACGGATATGCATTCAAATTCTTCTAAGGTTTCGGGATCGGTCTCCCAAATCCAAATAGTCTTATCTCTAGAGCATGATGCCAATAAGTTCCCTTGAGGGTTCCAGGCCACTGATTTAACTTCATTCTCGTGCCCTTCGATAATTGCCATCAAATTCCATTCATTTTTACTGCTAGTCAATAGAGCTGCCTGCTGTTTTGCTTGATCTAACTCTTCACTTTCGTCATCTTCGTCCATTAACTCCTCTGGCTCATCAATTCCCCAAATTGAAATAGTTGAGTCGAAAGATCCACTAGCCAATGCTGGTAAATCCAAGAAATCAGTCACAGGATTCAATGCTCCACCTAAAGGTGGCTTGAATGCTACTGATCTCACCGATCTTTTGTGTGTGTCCTCTAACTTTGCCAATAATGGGAAGTTTCTCTTTGCTGATAAATTATACACATGAGATGTCTTATCTGTAGACGCAGTTGCCAATAACGGCAAAGTAGGATGCGAGCTAACGCTCCAAGCCTTATCGCTATGGGCATTTAGAGATTTAAGCAATTCAACCATTTTTCCACTAATCGTGAAGTATTTTCAAGTCTTGTCAATTAATAGATATATCTCTTTTTTGCAATGATATGGACATTTTTTTTTTTCGAAACCTAATCGATGTGCACTGCGTATTTTTTTTTCGTTCTCTTATAGTTTTTGAATATTACTGAAAGATTCAACGGCTTGAAAACTGATTCAGTAAATACAAAATGCTTCGCCAAACGTGGTCCCCTTTGAGGTTGCCATTGAAGTCTTTTATACGACCTTCTCGTGTCCAGCAGTTGGCTTTTACAAGGTTCAAGTCTTCTAAACAGGATGATTCCACGAAAAAGTCTTCCGAGAAGAAAGAACTATCTTCAAAGAATAATGATGATTTATCGAGCTATAGTGTCAACCAGGAAACTTCAAGGTCTGCTCCTGCTCCTATGAGTCATGATCTCGGTGTTGAAGAACTTATGAAGAGCGATAACAAGCCATATATCCCCAAAATGAAGCATAAAAGATTGACGTACGAATATCCAGGTTTACCAAATGAAGACGATTATTCCAAGCATTCCAATGCCGCTAAACAACCAAAGACTAGATCACGTTGGTCTAGGTATGTTCCTAAGATAATCACTGTTCTTGTGGTTGCTTGGGGTGCTTATACAATCAAAGTTTGGGTTTATGATGATAATGAATATTCCAATGAGAATGACCTTTTGGATCCAAATGAATTTCACAAATTTAGAATTACTCATAAGGAGCAGATTGACGATGACCACTACTTGATAGAAGTGATGCCGACAACTACCCAATGGCAGTATAGTTATTACGCCAACTATGAAACTAAGTCTATTTGGAACGGGGATAGAGTATGGTCAGTTGATATTAAACAACCACAAATAATGGTTGTGAGACAGTATACACCATTGCCTTTATACTTCATGAAATCTGAATATACGTATAGTGGAGAGAAAAAGCCACTTCTTAAAGTCATTGACAATGAAGTTGATGATTACGATAAACAGGGTACAATGTGCTTTTATATCAAAAAGTACGATGACGGTGAAGTTTCCAAGTACGTTGTCAACAAAAATGTCGGTGATGAAATCGAATTGAGAGGCCCTAACATTGAATATAAGTTTCCATATCATCCTTTGAAGCCATTACATCGTCGACCAGTATTCAAAGATTTGCCTTCGAAAGTTGAACCTGAACTACTTCTAGAAAACATAAAGAAAGCGAATAATGTTCCTGATTTTGATAATTTGTCTTTCTTCACTGCGGGAACGGGTATTGCACCGGCTCTTCAAGTGTTGTTATCAAGAAATCCTTACAGAGGCTTTATTGATCTTCATTATTCTGCTCAAAAACCTGGAGAAATCAAACCTTTGGAGAGATTTTTGTTTTTTCTCGAAAAACTTGACCGTATAGAACTACATGAACACTATGATAGCAATCCAAAATCAAGGTTGGCTATTTCTAATGTCAAATCACCCGAAAAACCTTCTTATGTTAGTCCAATGCGTCAAGAGTCAGAACAAAAATCGGAAAATCTTTCTCCAGAAGAATCCTTGAGATTGAGAATGAAGATTCTTGACGAAGAGGGTCGCTCTGATGCAGCTAATTCTGACTCGACGAAAGAACGTCCTACTCGATATGAGAATGCTCTTGAACAAGCGTTCGTTACACGTCAAGAAGCTAAGAAAGATGCAAGTTTAGCACTTGTTTGCGGCCCTGATGGATATGTAGATTATGTTGCTGGAAAGAGATACGATGCTACTAATGAGCAAGGTCCTGTTAAAGGTTTGTTGGGGAACAGAAAGTGGTCTAACGAAAATGTTTTCAAATTATAATGAAGTATAAAAATACAGTTTCAAATTATTATATATAGATGTTTATATAAATATACTTGTACATAGGTTAATAAGAAAGCTCATCTAGAATACCAATTTTTCTTCCAAAATGTATAAGTACCCGCTGAGCATCTCTATTTGAAGCACATGTAAGAATGATTTCTTTAAGTAATTCATGTTTATCCAACCCACAAACTTTAGGATTCCATGTATGATCGAGCTTTTCGGGGTCTTCTGCATCTTCATTTTCTGAATCATCGGAGACTGGTCCTAATAATTGATTACATATTTCAAATAATTTTGCTTTAAATCCTAATTCACAAATTCTTTTCGCATATGTTATAAGAAATTTTTTGAAGTCCTTGAATTCCCCTAATAATTCAGAACAAAGTATTCTGTTCTCCAAATGGCTTAAAGATATAGTATTCTCTAAATTCTCAAACCCTTCTTTCATTATCATATTTTTCGATATCTTATTGAAGTATTTTCCTCGTCCAGCACGGGTCTTCCTCAAAATCTCCTCGTTGGTCTTATTTTCAAGAAGACCAACAATTGAAGATTCATCTTCACCTCCCAATACAGATAAAGCTTGAGGTTTATTTGAGGAGTCGTCATTACCCAATGAATCCCAGTAGTGCGAACCAAATGCCCACCAAGATTCTGTTATTGTTTGCCATGCTCCTAGATCATTATTGAAAAGATAACCTGATCCATTCGATAAGGTGACCAAGGGGATACCACGAGACGTTATAGAGCACATAGTCAAGCTATCTGCCTTGGATAAACCATCATCCTGATATTTATTGGATAAATCTAATAAGGGACTCAACGACAGAGGAGATTTCAAATGAATTTTTCTATCTTCTATATTCCAAACATACAATTCACCAACTGCAGTGACGGCCATTAAATATTTACCGTGGCTTTCCAAGAAAGAAATTGGGGTACCGATGATCATAGGCGGTAAGATCCTTCTTCCAGAAAGACTTGAATACGTCAAAATTTGGCCATCAGCAGTACTTAGAGCCCAAAAATTAGAGCCTTCTGTCACTAATTGAATATATCTTGGTACAAAATCGCACCATAGTTGTTTATCTTTTTTAAAGTAGGTTATACGTGTAGGTGTTGCTTCGTTTCCTTGTCCATTTCTAATATCTAAAATAAATGGATCATCGCTGTTTGGGTTTGTTTTGCTGATCACTCTAATGTTAAGCCGAACTTTTGGGACTGATAAACGGACTTTGGCAAAAGTAGTATTGGGATTAACGATGATAGACCCCACGAATTTGATGGGTTCCAAATCTCTTTTAATCTTTTTAGTGGATTGTTCTTCTTGGTTTGCTCTTAACCTTTTCTTTTCTTTGAAGACATCTTCATGCACAGAATAGCTAGGTTTATCAAATTCCATTAGAGACTTCCCAGTGGCAGTTGAGGGCTCAGAAAACGTACTGTTTCCATTTAACTTTGTTGGATTTGGGCTTTTAGTCTCGTTGTTTTCGGATATAAGCAATGGTTGAACTCGTTTCTTACCATTTTTTGTTGTTATTTTTTGTTGTTCACTCGTAGGCTGTTCTTTTTGTATCGGCTTTGCTGTGGTCTTCTTAGAAACTTGTTTGGATGGTTTGGCCTGTCTATTTGACATTGTCGATTGTAATATGTCATCTACTTCCATTGAAGATTCGTCAACAGACGGAGCAGCAATGACTTGAGGAACGATATCGGTTTTCTTGTTTTCGGGCTTCTCTTTCTGCTCCATCTTTGGCAGTGGTGGTTTTGATTCCTTTGCGGGAGTCTTGGAAATATTGTCTACTTGGATGGCATCTTTCTGGTCCAAGATTTCAATTTGTTGATCGGCTTTATTCCTTGCTGAAGTCTGCGCTTCATATTTATGATCAAACGGTTTTAAAGATTGTTTCTCAAATTCTTTTAATTGATTATATAGTTCTGGAGGGGCTTCGCTTCCTATTTCTGCTGGTTCAAAATTAACAACTGCTAACAGACCATCTAATGATGCCAAAAACAAATGACTACCAGACTTATCCCAGCACAAATCAACAATTGCTTTTGATACGAGATCCTTCAAAACAAATATGGGGGAAGCCTTTGAGGTATTCCATACCACGAGTGTTTTATCAGAACCTGCAGTCGCTATAATATTGAAAACGTTTTCAGCACCTTCGGGTTTTCCCTGATTTGAATCTTCTTTTACGGTCGCAGAAGTGAATATTTTGGGATTGAATTTTACAACCTCGCAGTTAAGGTCATGACCAACAAGACTGATTTTATTTGTCCAATTTTGAGACCTAGAGATTAACGAAACTAATGAAGTTTGATTCTTGATTGCAGTAGGCACAGATACAAACTCCCCATCGCAAGACCAAGAGATCCTTTTATACTTCACATTCAAAGGAGTTTTATTAATAAGCTTGGATATTTTATGAATTAAACGAAACTTATAATTACCACCTTCTTCTTGGAATTGGTAAACGTATATCAAAGTATCATCACCCAAGGTTACTAGGTAGTTATCAGTAGGGTCGAATGCAATACTTCTCTGTGTAAGTGGCTTTTCTGATTTGCTTAATTTCGTTAATTCTTGATAGGTATTTTTTTGGTAATCATATATATGAACCTTCCCATCTAAAGTACTCCATGCGAATAGCTTCCCATTGAAGGACCAAGATCCATCAATGACGTTGTTTGACTTAGTTTCAGGACTCTCAAATGGATATATTAACTTTTGAGTATCTTTTTCCAAGTCCGTAATGTAAATGTTCCCAGATCTATCGCAAGAAGCAAATATCTGGTTATTTGTAGGACACCATTTAGCAATGGTGACAGTGTCATTATGGTATTTGAAGCTTTTCAAGCTCTTGAACCCAGTTATTGCTTCCTTACCTTTCAAGCTAACCAAATCAGGCAATGACCATATGGCAACCGATCCATCTTTACCAGCCGTTAGTAGTTTGCAGTTAGAACTATCAACGTCAACTGAATGGACTTCTCCGTCGTGAAGTGGACTTGGAAGCACTAACAAATGCATTTTTCTCTGATCAATTAGCAACGAGACTCGTCTTGAGTCTATCAACAAACAAAAGCTTGACTAGATCTAAGTCTTTAAAGTTGAAGATTGTTTCCCAAAGACCTGGTTTTCACTGGGTTTTTTTTTTTCTCTATATTTCGAAATATGCAGGACCGAGTGTCCTTTGGTTCTTTGAACCAAAAAAAAAAAAAAAAAAAAAAAAAAACATCCTACCGAACTTGATGGATATATTGAAGAAATACTTCATTCCATAGGGACAACCGTATTGAACTATTCATACAGCAATCATTGGATACCAATAAGAAGCAAGAAGGTCTGCCCGGATACTTTTTTTTTCTTTTTCTCTGCTGACTAGGAGTACATATAACCAACTAGCATAAATCAATCAAGGATGGCCAGTACAAATCGAGACGACTATGTTACCGACTCCAGTTCTGATTTCACGGAGTACTGGATAGATTTGTTTTTGGGAATTAAAGGTAATGAATATTTTTGTGATATTGATGACGAATATATTCGTGATCGATTCAATTTAACTGGTTTAAATCAAGAAGTTAGTAAATTACCAACGTTGATAGATATAATAACTGATATTGTTGATATAGAACTGCACCCGGAAGAACATCGAGACACACTTGAGCATAATGCTAGAATCTTATATGGATTAATCCATGCGAGATATATTTTGACTTCCAGGGGGTTAACTAAAATGTTTGAAAAATATAGAAACGGTGATTTTGGTTACTGTCCTAGAGTACATTGTCAATTACATCCTCTTTTACCTATTGGATTGAACGACCAACCAAGACTTACTACTGTTAAGTTATACTGTGCCAAATGTGAAGATCTATATAATCCGAAGTCTGGTAGACATTCGATTGTCGATGGGGCTTATTTTGGTACTTCATTCCCAGCCATGTTTTTCCAAAATTTCCCCCAAGTCATACCAATTCATAGTAAAGATACTTATGTTCCCAAAGTGTTTGGATTCGATGTTCACGAGTACTCTAAATTGGATAGATGGCGCAGATTGCAAAGAGCGAAACTAGAGAAAAGACTTACTGATAATGGAATTGAATTGAATAATGTTGTTGGAGGGTTTATCAGTGATGATGCAACCACTACTATCAGCACTTTATCTAATAAATAAGAATTTTAAGTATTCTTTCTTTTTTCTACGAATGTTAATCTAGCTTTTACTTTAATATTTTTCTTTTTCTTCTAATCTATCTTATTTTTTTTTTAATGTATAGTAGAATAAATTCGTCATTTTGATGTGCTGTTGTATATATTCTCGTTCAGCTGAAAGTGAAGTTAAGATTGTTGAAAAAAGTGCAACATCAAGTTCTGAAAAAAAAAAAAAAAAATTAAATTGAAAATTTTATTTGAAGCACATCATCTTTTGGGCATAGATATATATCAATGAAGATAGATAGAAAGGGCTGTGTTTTGCTTGCTCGACAATACAGTCAGCGTGCTAAGTCGGTGTCTATTCAAAGTAGCATCCAAGTTCCACCGAATTCCAGAGTATTCTCACTTGTTCAGCCAACCGGGAAAATTCATCTAGGAAACTACTTGGGAGCTTTACGTAACTGGAAAGAAATCTCCAATAGTGACTCTCCCGGAACTGAGTTTATCTTCGGGACTGCTGATTTGCATTCCATTACGATACCTTATGATCCAAAAGAATTAAAGCAGTTTAGATACGAAGCCATAGCCGGGATATTATCTAGTGGGATCGATGCATCAAAGTGTACTGTTTACCATCAGTCATCAGTCCCGGAGCATTGTGAGCTCAACTGGATTTTGACTTGCTTAACCAGTATAGGAGCATTGAATAGAATGACCCAGTGGAAGCTGAAAACAAAAATTGAACAGAATGATTCAATTTTTGATGATGAAATAATGGGTAAAACTAAGGCAGGTTTGCTTTGCTATCCGATTCTTCAAGCAGCCGATATCTTATTATACAAAAGTACCCATGTGCCAGTTGGGGACGATCAAAGTCAACCATTAGAATTATGTCGTGATATTGCTAATACTTTCAATAACCGATTTCAAAGCGGGTTTTTCCCCCTTCCTCAGACACTATTAACCCCGGCGAAAAAGATATTGGCCTTGAGAAACCCGGTGAAGAAGATGTCCAAATCAGATAAGGATCAAAGTCTGTCATTGTACATGACCGAATCGCCGGAAAGCATTGCTAAAAAAATTCGTAAGGCGCAAACCGATTCTATCCAGGGTAAAATCTACTTTGACCCTGAAAACAGACCGGGGGTTTCGAACTTAATCAATATCATATCCGGATTAACCCAAAAGTCCATTGACGATACCGTCACAGACTTGGAATGGATCCAAGATCATAAACAGTTGAAAGATCATGTCACCGACTTGATAGTAGAAGAGTTCAGCGAAAGCAGACACACGTTCAACCAGTTAATGGGCGATTTGGCCCACATCGATAGAATCTGCCAGCAAGGAACTGAAAAGGCCAGAGCCATTGCTTCCCAGAACATTCGTGATATCAAAAAACTTACTGGTTTAGATTAACCCATCTACATAATCTTGTATATACTCAAATAAACCTATGACCGACTCATGACACCAATACATTATCTCTTATCTATCAGTCCAATCTCCATTGTAAGCACTTGTTTAATACGTATTTTAATTACACAGACACCAAGTACTGAAGACGTATTTACGACCGGCTCCCCGACCCTCTCATCGAGACGTGATTGTGGTGCGTTCTCCAACCACATCCCACCGAGACGTGTTGACCTCTGATCCAGCGATCTCCAATGGCTGGTCGGTGGGTCTTCTAATGCCCTATAACGAGAAACTGAGTTTTGCGGCATGTTCATCCAATTCCAGCGGCCAAGCACCCGTGCACCCATAGTAAAAAGAGGTGCAAAAAAAGTTTTTTTTTTTTTTTTTTGCAAATTGAAAAATTCACATCCAAATCGCGTAACGCGTTGTTTTTCTTTTGCAAGTCATTTTCCATCACCTTTTGGTGGAATTGGCCTATAAGAAGATCTCAACGATTTGAAATAATGGGCAATTGGTGCTTAGACGCTGCCGTAAACACAAAGAATACCTCCCGAAATTCCACAACTGTAAACAACACCAATTAGGCTGGCGTTGTATCAGTGGGAAGATAACATTGTAAGCACTTAAGGTTGGAGTCGTTTCAAGTAAAGATTCCAACCCAAGCCCGCCTAAAGTTAATTTACGTGACTTAGCTGATCTGCTTGCTCGGCTTGGAACACTGTGGGAGCCTGGTTTGTTTATGCTGCTCCATACAATTGGCAACTAGAACAGTGAAGTATCTCACCAATAAAAAATTAGACTGAATACACAAACAATTAACCATAACAACACCACGTCTCCTGCTTATAGGTTTGTTTTTTTTAGTCCCGTGAACTCCATTGCTCGATCAACAAATCTTTTAATATCTAATCCTGTTTACCGTTTTCTGTGTATTTTATTGTTTTCGTTTCTGTTTCTCTTTTTTTTTTTTTGTCTTCTTAGTTTTTGACTTCTGTCTATACAACTTGTTTTGATTTTTACGAAAAATCTTCTTCTTCAAAAATTTATACTTCTTCTTCAAAAATTTATACCTCCTCTTCTTCTTTTTCCTTGTTTTATACCTATTCATCTACATCTGTCTTCCCGTTGGTGTAGTGCTTGAAATCAAAGACTTCAGTAGATTATACTAGAGGTGCATCCAGATTTGACTAGGTTCTCCAGGTTCAGCTACTGATTGTTCATTTACCCCCCAATTCTCTCCAATGAGTCAGCAAGATGAGCCTACTTATAGAAGGATGCAAGTGAAAGTCTTGTATTCCTTCAATAATAATGGAACTGTGTTTTTGTCGAGATCAAGATCTCAGTACTCAGTGAAAATTGCTCAAATACCAATGGCTTTGTCTTCAAACCCGCTTCAATCCCAAGAACAAGAGTTTCTTACCTTGGGTGCCTTTGACTTGAAAACTTGTACTCAACAGATTTTGAAAAACTCTCCAGAAAATTTCCATTTGAATATGGAAGACTATGCAGTTTATTATAAAGACATCACAGAACAGCCGGATGAACCGTTTGTTTCTCAAGGAGAAATGTCTTCGCTTCTAAATTCTTCAAAATCACATCTTATACCGGGAAGAGTGTGCCAAAATTTATCGGCTAGTTATTTATTTGGTGATAAATCAAATTCTTCGTCATTAACTCTAGAAATTAGATTGAAATTACATACTATTGAACGCTCTCAACAAAATCATGACCAAGACTCTGCTCCTGCAGTTTCATCCAATACTAACCAACTGAAAAACTCAAGAAGACCTAATAATGAGTCAATAGTTGCTAATAATTATTCGGCTCAAAAAAGACAACGTCATTCAAATAAGCCAACTAATTCTTCAGTTATCCCTTCTTCATCTGCTTCGGTATCCGCCTCTGCATCTGCTTCTGCAATAAAAGCTACTAGAACTAAATCTTTACCCATCTTTTATCATCCTCATAGTCAACAAGTTTTCAACATTATAAACGCAGATAAATTGAATGCCCCTTCAAAATATGATAGTAAAAGTGTTCAAGATCGTTTTAAATCTGCTCCTTTCCTTCAAGCAAAAATCATTGATAATCCTTCCACTAATAGAATACGTCAAAAAAATTATAACAGCAATACAAAAGTTGCTTCTCGGAACACTACTCCTACCATTAATGAAAGTACAACTCCAATTGACTTACCACAAAGAGCGGTTCGTACAAGGTCAATGGCGTCTACTCAACCCATGATTTCTTCCCCCATTAATGAAGAAGTTTTATTTGATGTTAGTGATGGCTCTGATGATACAGAGTATAATGAGAATTCAAACGAAGTCATGAATAAAGAAAATAATAATAATGAACACAGTCTTGACGAAGATGATGAAGATGATGATGATTATGATGAAGATCAAACAGAATCATCCCCTTATACCCCTCAACAACCTCCTTACAAACCAAAAAGTGCTCCAGTAATTTCTTCTGGTAATCATCAATTTCATTCTTTACCAGACTTGGAAGATTTGGATAGCAAAAAAACTCATACAATTCCTGATACTAAATTACCAAAAGATCACGGTTTAGTGTGTACTAATAGTAATTGTGCAACCACTTCATCAATGACCTGGAGATACTTTGAAACAAAATTTCATCCAAACTACCTTGCTATTCATAGGGCAAAAGAGTTTAACAAGAAAAACTATGAAGGAATGTTCGGTCCCTTGTGTAATGCCTGTTACTTATTCTTAAGAAATAAAGGTTTCATGAGACCAGAAGGTGTTGTCAAGAAATACTTACAACAACAAAAATACAAAAAGGACTTAAAACAAAAGGACTCCAGTCTTCCTTTACCAGCACCTGCATCAGCGAAATCATTAACTCACCCTTCAAATATGTCCTCTTCTTCCCCATTAAACCCACCAACAGTTCCATCTACTAATAAATTCTTGACTCCTTCTCACACCCCGTCTGCTATCAATCAGGTCATTCAAAATAATAATAATAATAATAATAATCTTCATAAAACCAACTTTAATGATTTAACTGATTTCATGAATCAATTAAATTCATTTGGTGGGCCCTTAACTGATATAGATCCTTTGCCTCAAGATAGTAATCAACAACAAGGTATAACCCCACCTATGATGGCGACTAAGTCTAACACTCGTGTCATCAATATTTATGAAGATTATGAAGGCGAAGATAAAGAAAACTGGCCCCCAGTTGGTGAAGATGACAACGAAGACCAAAACGATTTTGATAAGATGATCGCAAAATCTTTCACCCTGAATAACACTCCTGATCACAATGAATGGTCAACACTATTCGGTGGACCAACTCCTAAAGATCAAACTACTCCAAAGAATAATCAAGACGATAAAAATCAACTCCAAAACGCTCAACAACAAAAAACCACTAATTCTTCTAATTTACCTCAGTTGAGAACCTTTAAATCATCTCCTTTGAAATTAGACAAAGCAGCCAGTGTTGCTAACATGCCTTCATCTCCATTGCTCAGCTCTAACATAGAAAATATAGAAGATGAAGTAAATAATCTAGTTTCTAATGAGATGTTCAATGATTCATCATCTCCTGCAACCCATGCATCTCGTTTGGATACTGTCATGTCTTATAATCACAACTTGGGCAAACAATCAAGTCCACTGAGTGACTTCTATTCGAATGACGAAAAACTCAATCACTAAATTTTTCAATTCATTTCTCTTGTCTTTTTTTTTTTTTTTGCCTATTACTTTCGGTGTTACACCTTTTATTAATAATTTGTATAATAGTTTCTCTCAATTAGCATTAATAGCATTAATTCCCTAGAATTACTTAGACCGTAGGTTTTGTGGTTGAACTACTCATATCATGTATTCATTACTCTAAGTCTTTTTCTCAAATCTTAGCAAATTTGAGTCAAAATGTCAGTTGAAAAAGCTGCAAAAAAAAAGCGAAGAAAAGAACGATTGCAAAAAAAAAAAATTAAGGTATGAGCGATATGCAAAGAAACTTGAAAGCAGCTTTGAATAGTAATTTTTTTAATCAAAACCTTTGAGGAACTATTTCGTTAAAATTATAAAATGGTGAAGGTATGGGTTTACATAGGTTTAAAAGAAAAAGCTCAAGAAAAGTTTTATATGAAATGGACTTTGCAGCGACAAGAGAGCTTACTTTGAAGCTCTGGCCAATGAATATAGGTTTAAGAGAGACGTATTCATGGACTCATTCACGTGTGGCTTAACCAGTCCTCAAAATTTATTCTTAATCACCATATTGGCCCCTTTAAGTCCTAATCTAATAATTTCTCAACTTTTAAGGACAGTTCTTCTTTCAATCTTAACATAAAACAAGTTGCATTTAATAATATAAAAGAAAATTTTGAATCAACGCCCCGCTTTAATTTGGTATAGAGTTTTAGACTAAATAGCTTATTCGATACCTTTTTATTGTATATCGATACAGCCGATTAAAGAATATATACTTCTTATAGCTTTGCTTCAAAACTTTCTTCGTACTAATATGAATCTTGGATCTTTAACATAGTATACAGCGAAGCTCCACTAACTGGATAGAAATTTAAGTTTTGTAAGTGAACTTTCTGGATGTTTTAATAATCCGAAATCCAAATTTTTAAGGCTTTTTTAAGAACTGAAGATTAATTCTAAACTTCTGTCGTCACCCAAAAAGAAAATAAAACCGATTTTAAACTTTTTTTTGGTTTTTTTTTTTAACATATAAGAATATATATTTAATAACTATTTACTAATATTCTCCTAGAGTGGGAAAGACTATGGTTATTCAAGAAAACCCATGTTGAAGTTTTTTTTTTTGACGTAGAAGTTTTGATTAATGATAAATGCATAGGCCTGAATACCCATGTCCTATTTTTCGATGTAAAGCGCCTGGCTAGCTCAATCGGTAGAGCATCTGACTCTTATTAGTGAGATCATCAGAAGGTTGCGGGTTCGAGCCCCGCGTTGGGCTTTACTTTTTGCATTCTTTTTCATCCTCAACTACGGGGGTTATGATGAGGTGATATGTTAAATGGCATCGCGGTGTTAGCAAATATCGCAGGACTTAGCAAACTGATATAGCTGAATAAGTGTGCCTCAAATTAACGGTCTGTAGCTAATCCTGGTCTGATTTTGTTCCCTTTTTTTTTTCTGCACGGAGTTGTTTTTTTTTGTTAAATATCACAGATATCTTTTGAAGGGACTTCAATCAAATAAAACTAAATGTCGTCGGATTTGATAACCCCAGAGCAATACATTGACTTGATTGGCCAAGCTGTTAATAAAATCCAATCGGTTTTGCCAACAGATTCAGCTATATCCAAGCCGAGAGTATTAATAATATGCGGATCAGGGTTAGGTGGGATAGCCAGTCTTTTAGACAAAGAGTCCCTAATTGAATTATCTTATAAGAATATTCCAGGATTTAAGACATCGACTGTTCCTGGTCATGCCGGTAAACTAGTTTTTGGACTAATCGGATCGAACAAGGTACCTGTGATATGTATGGTTGGACGTCTTCACTACTATGAAGGGTATACTTTCCAACAAACTACTTTCCCAGTCAGAGTAAGCAAAAAGCTTGGTGTCGAGAATGTGATTGTTACAAATGCAGCAGGTGGAGTGAATCCATCTTTCAAACCAGGTGATCTAATGATAATCAATGATCACATTGATTTTCCAGGTCTTGCTGGCCAACATTCATTGAGAGGTCCTAATTTGGAGACTTTTGGAGATCGTTTCCAACCTTTGTCTGATGCTTACAGTCACGAATTGCGGAAGAAGTTCTTCACCAAAGCTAAAGAATTGGGTGTTACTCGTAATATTTATGAAGGGACTTATTTATTCGCCTCAGGTCCAACTTTTGAATCAAGGGCTGAAGTGAGAATGCTTAGAGTAATTGGAGCCGATGCTGTTGGTATGTCGACTGTTCCTGAAGTCGTTGTAGCCCGTCATTCGGGCCTCAATGTTTTGGCATTATCCTTGATAACGAACTCTGGTAATGGAGAGAAACCACCAAGTGTATTTGATGAAAACGCCAAACCCCTCAATGAGAACATAGCATCGCATGCCGAAGTTTTACAAGCTGCAGATGAAGCTTCCAAAGACGTTACAAGAATTTTTGAAGCTACTATCAATGAATTATAAGTTGCATTCAATTATATGCATCTAAAGATATATGTACGATCAAGAAATAAAATGAATGGTTTTCTTAAAATTTTAAAGCACAGTAATATACGCCTTCCCAACACCAATCATGTCTTAACTTTACCAGTATTGATTGAAATAAATATACCACGATGATTTGATGCTTTTTTTGTTTTATAATTTTCATTTTACGAATTTTGTCATGTAGTTTAATCTTTGATTTTGATTTTTTTCAATTTTTTTTTTATTTTTATGTTTTAAATTTTGAAGTCATTAGAAGAATTGCTCCCATATTACTGGAGATCAAATATAGTACATTTATTGGTCAACTTCACCAGCAGATTCCCATTTACCTTGTAAATTTTCTCTCCATAAACTGATCTTATTATCACCACCGGAAACAGCTAAAATGTTACCAGATAAGGACCAAGAAGCTCTCCAACAAACATCGGGGAATTTTTCTGAAGTTAATGGTTGCTTTTGCCATTTGCCTGTATTATCTTGAGACCAAATCAAAACGGTACGGTCTTGAGAAGCAGTAGCAATATAACTTCTGATCAAGACTGAAGGAGACCAACAGACATCACGTACCCAATCTGTATGTCCTTCTAATTTAGCTTCTTCAACATAGGTATTGGAGGAAGAGTCAAACTTCCAGATTTTAGCCAAGTTATCAGATCCACATGTAACAAACCTACGCTCATTTTGAGAATCCTTACCAGAGGTATTTATAGGAGCCCAAGAAGCAGAATTCACCCCTATGGCATGTGCATCGAATATAACATGAGAAGTAGTACCATCTTCTTTAAAATCAACAACCGACACTTTACCATCTGAAGAGGTACATAATAATACTGCACCAAGCTCATGAGGAGCCCAGCTTACAGAGTTAACACTTGCTTGATGCACTTTATGTTCAGCAATAATAGACCATTGTTGAGTTTCTGGTTGCTCTTTCCAAATCAACGCTTTCCCATCATATGAACAAGTAGCCAATATGGAGCCGAATTTAGGGTGAGCCCAGGCAACTTGCCAAACTGGACCTTCATGACCGACCAAAGTTTCAGCCAATTTATATTCTTGAGTTCCCTCAATATCAAAGATCTTGATGGTTTTATCAGAAGAAGCAGTGGCTAATCTTTTACCATAATAATCCAAGACGGCGTCATGAATCAAATCATCATGTGCATTGCCAATTGTGACCATATTGTATTCCTGACTATATTTATCTTTGATTAACTGTTGTAATTGAAAATTCAGAGATTTGTTTGCTTGCAAAGAATGTTGGAACTTCTATTTTTCTTTCAAAACTTGTTCTCTCTTTCTTGCTTCTCGCAGATTATCTTTATCACTGAAAGTTTGTATCCTAACCCAAATTGAATTTGATGCTTCGATTGGCGTATCGGCAGATGTTGTCAAATTGATCAATTTGTTGATCGATACTCGATTGAGACGTGTTAAGTCGGATTTTTTTTTCTAGTTTTCCAAGTGAGATTGTAGTAGCTACACAAAAATTACCCGGCAGCATTTCGTTTGAATATCGAACTACTATAAACCATAGTATCGACTGTGCAAGTACTATTGATTTGAAAGTTGGCTACAACGAAGGGTGAAGTATGGATAAACCCAGTGAAGAGATTCAGACGTTGAACTATTTGATCCAGAGTTTGGGCAATCAAGTTAATGAATCGTCAAATCAGATTACATCGTTACAACAATCTGCTAGAGGTCTTGTATCATCTGGAGATTATGAGAGTCTTATACAAAAGGGGCCCGAGGTAGAGAGCGACTCTAGTGAAAATGAGGTGAACAGGTCGGAAGAAGAAGGGGAGAGTATCCAAGCTCTAGAAAAGGAAAGAATACAATTGGTGATGGATATACAGAAACAAGACTTCATTACCGAAAAGCTACTCGAATTGAATGAACAGAATTCAGGAATTGTAGAAAGCTTCCAGGAGTTTGTACAGCATAGAAATCAGATGCGTAAAGATGACGAGTCTAACGAAAATGATCGTTTGAAATATTTCAATGAATCTATTATGGATCCAAAGATTTCCTTATTAGATGTAAATATCAAAGAAATGAATCATGCAGTCCAGAAGCTTGAGCTCTACTATAAGAGCTTATCGGAAGAGATAATCCAAGAGAACAAAACAATTCTTTCTGATGATTATCAGAAAAATTTAAAGATCTTGATCAGTAGTTTGAATGCTGTATTTAATCGATATGTTACATCAGATCCTACGCTACAAAACGAGAAAATATAAAAATAAGTTAGTTTTATCATTAATTAGAAATGTGCAGTCACAGAGACAAGGAAGAACTGGAAGAAAGTTTGTGTTCGTCATTACTACTTGATTCCATAGTAGTTTCATTTTCATTTGCTAGGCTAATATGCAGAGGTGATTCATTCTCTGGCTCATCTTTTTTCAACTCCTCTATGTCCACACCTCTTGTTGGGTCCCTACCAAGGTAACTATATGCTTTGTTGATGTATTTTCTGTTTGGATCAAGTTTACCCCAAGATTGCCTGATCCTATCCAAATTCATTTTGGATCGATCGAATTTGAAGAGTTGGAAAATGAAATCAATCATATCGTAAATGAATATGACAATTAATCTGAAAAGTCCCTCATTGTCAATTGAATTTTTATCCACTCTATTAACCAACTCACTTTCTGAATTTCCTGTGAGCTTCAATACCAACTCATTTCTTTCATCTGGGTCGTCAAAGACTTTCTTGAATTTATTCAGACGGACCAAGTGATTAATAATAGTAGCTAGTTTTTTCATACATTGATCATTTAATTTACTATCAAACAAGTTAGAATTTTCTTCTAATTCGTTAATTCTTTGTACGACAATTCTAGTTTCATAAACAATTCGGTCAATTGTAGCTGTTAAATCACTAATCTTATAATCTAAATTTCCAGATAGGTCTTCGTCAATGATTTTTACTTTATTCGAAACCATCTGGTTATGATTATTATGCAGTCTGATTAATTCCAAATTCAATTGTTGATACTTTTTATTTATGCTTTGATTAGTTGGTAAGGGTCTTGAATTAACAATATTATCGATTCTATTTCCATCTGCATCCCTCTTTGCATAATCTAGTTTTAGGAATGAGTCAATTGTATTGATATAAGAATTAGATATTTTATTAATTGATGGACCAGATTTTGTGGAAAAGAACAAATCTTCTAAATTTGAAAAACTTCTGGTTTTTTTCAATCTGTAATCATTCATAATCTCTAAATTATTGTTTTGCAAAGAATTATGATCTGAATTTTTGTTGTGCCTTTTCTCTTTCGTAGTGACTTTTTCATTTCTTAGAAATTCAATAATATCTAAGTTTATCTCTCCCTTTTTCTTCACAAATGGGAATGAATTCCGTCTATTCAAATTCATTTGAAATTGATGCAAGTCATCCTCTTCAAATATATCGCGGTTTTTATTCGAACAGTCATTTATTTGATTTGAATGTTGGCCTCTGTTTTCATCAGCAGAACAATTGATTTCTCTGGGGTCAGTAGCACCATTTAATTCATTTGCATAACTGATATCTTCATTGGATGAATCATCTTGATAAGGTTTTGATCCACTTTTTTGATCTGCGTTTGTACTTAATAGCCCTCGCTTGTTCAGTAGACCAAATTTCATTTTATTCAAACCACGAGAATACCTTGAGGGTTCCGAAATGAGGGAACTATTTGGATTTGCAAATCCAATCCCTTGACTTTTTGTTATTGAATCTTTCAAACTGACAAATTGATAATTCTTTGGTATTGCTTTATCAGCAAAACCATTCTTATGACGACTTGAGGTTGAATAATTATTGTTATTGTGGAGATGATGATGATGATGATGATGGTGATGATGATATCCGTGACGTTGGTTACTAGAGGCAGTGTTATCATTTCCATTGGTGAATTGAGAATCGTTACCAAACTTTTTGTTGGAGGAGGTATTATTTGAAGTATTAACATTATTACCGCTTGACGAAGTTGCATACCAAAGTCGATGTAAAGTTTTACCCACCAAGTAATTTTTCACCAAAATTTCTAAATCAAGGGTTTCCACGTCAATCGGGCTTACACTATCAGCTAGTTTTGCTATTCTATTTCTAAGCTTGGCTCCACTTGATTTCAAATTAGTTGAAGAATCAGTGAAGAAGTAATTATCATCATCTTTTGTAGACATATGATCCTGGACAGTATTTTTAACCACATCGGTAATTTTCTTCATTTCTTTTCTATAATAATGTTTATTTCTTCTATAAGTAGCTGCAGACATGTTAGCCATTGAACTAACAGGATTCAAAATCGAGGAGCTATTATTAGAAGGAGGAGGTAATTTCGGAGATGCTGGCGATATGACATCTGAGTACTCAAAAGAATCATCTAGGTCATCTTTATTGTAATCATTAGAAGGAGAAGAGTTATTGTAATGAGAATTATTATAATCAGGGAGAAGTTTATGATTAGTTATAGTGAATAATTTATTGATGGTATCCAAATCCAATTTTCTTTTCTTTTCTAATTTAAATTGTTTTTGGAACTGTCCGATTGAAATCATGAAATTTTCAAAATCAAAAGGATCCTTTGGGGCATCACATCCACCAATTAAATGTAATCTTAACTTAACACTAATAATCAAAGATATTATTCCAGCAACAGTTCTTGAAGGTAGGATGCCATGGTGGTTATTAGGTTTAACATTAAAGTGGGGCAAACCAATCAAGTTCCACCAATTTAAAATAGCTTCTTCAGTTTTATTACAAAGTAAACCATCGCAATATTTAGCATCTAATAAATCAAAATAGAAAAGACAAGTTTGAATAATATTAATCAATTCTCTAATGGCAAATTCAATTGGAATAGTGGTATTATAAATCTTATACATATGCCTGAATTTATCTTCATTAGCATCCGAAATCTTATCAGTGATTAAATAAGTTGACCGACCACTACAATGAAGTTTTTTCAAATTTGAATTTAATATGAAAAATTCTTCAATTACTCTTGCATCATTCTGTGGAATTGGAATTAAATTCAAATTTGGTGGTAATGCAGTCAAGTTTGTAACAAATAAGTATTCATTGACATGATTATCAATATCACTTGATACTTTAGATCTTGACTGATCCATTTTTTTCAATTTCCCATGATTTAACATCACTTCGTTTAAATATTCTTGAAACCTCAAAGGATAATTCTTAGTTGGTTTCTTCAAGATCGTAAATTTAATCACGGATATTTCAGAAGACATATTCCCAGTGAAAGTAGATACTATACTACCAACTTTTCTATTATAAACCCATTGTTCAACCATATATATATCAAACCCGGAGGCACGGGATTCTTCAATTAAATGGAACTCATTCAACTGCATAAACTCTCGTTGGAAATACTTAACTGCATTAAAATCAGGGAAAATATACGTTATAAGTTCATTAGATGGATTTATACTTAAACGACCCGGATCATGGGTACTAGTGGCATTAGAAACCGGATTAACATTCAGAGGATTGGAATCAAGAGAAGGTATGTGATCATTAGACGAAACATGAGGTGGCTTTTGATTGATTTTCCTTGAAGCTTCCATCATCTACTCCTTGGATTCTTACTCTAGATCATTGGTATATAGGGTCTGATTCAATTTTTCTGTGAGAGATTCATTAGGTGTCTCAGTTTTTCTACTGTTTAGATCGAAAATAGTGACTGGAGACTAACAATAAGACAGAATCTCATTCATTTACAATATGGAGACTCCAAGGTCAAGTAGTCAGTTCTTTACTCAATCGATCAGTATTAAAACTGCTCTACAAGCGCTACAAGCGGTAAATTCAAACAGAACGCCCTAAAGATTCCGTTAATCACTGGTTGACTCCTATCAATCAACTAATTCACTACCCATCTACTGATGTAATCAGTCTATTACGATTCTATCATAACGATCAATCGATAACTGATAATCAGTAAGGAACCCTGGAAGTGATAAGCGGGCCTATTTATTGGTCGCGGCGCGCAGTGTTTGCCTATCGTTTCTGATTAAAGGTGATGTATCGTAACATCCAGTGTGATCTATCGTCTTCAAAAAATGATTGAAACGATGTATCACATTCGGACCTTGATTCAAAACGATAGATCACATCCAGTAAAATGACCTATCATCCAGTAAAATGATCCATCACATCAAGATTAACTTAGCAAGTGATGGATCACATTTGGCTAATGTGACACATCGTTTTCATGAAATTTCGTCCTGCTATCAAAGGTGCACCAGGGAGGGCGTGCACCGACCCTCCCGAGAAGACGAGGGTGGTAATTCATTTTGATAAGGCAACTTTAAATTGATAAGAATTTTTGTTAATTAAAATCTGACGCTGCGCTTCGATGACAAGATTGTTCTCCTCCAATCATGTAGAAATGATCTTTTGCATGTTTGATCTTGGGCAGTTTAACTGCAAATGCTTCGCCGTTCTTTCGGTATACAGGAGAGAGAAGCAATACTGTATTATTAAATCTCTACTACAATGATAAATTAAGCAATGGTAACTGCCGTATAACCATTTATAGCATTTACAGCTATGAACCCCATTTAAATAACTGAATAACTCTTTCGATGGAGTAATTTTTTTAATTTTTTTAATTTTTCATTTATTTAATTTTTCATTTATTTAATTTTTCATTTACAAGTTTCTTCATTAACTATGTCTGATGTTAAGAAGGATACTATAGTATCTGCTTCTGATAATGTTAATGATCAAGATTCGTTTAATTATGAACAGAATACCTCGAGCTCTTCCCGTTCGGAGTCTGGGGAAAAGTCGATATGGACCAAGATTAACTCGGTTCTTAGAATAGATGAGCCAAGTGACTTGACTAAGACCCAAATGTTCTTGTATAATTATGACTTGAAACCAGTGGAGTATGCTAGAAGACAGTGGAATTGGTATAATTATGTTTTCTTTTGGATTGCTGATTCTTTCAATATTAATACTTTTCAAATTGCTGCCACCGGGGTTGCAGCTGGTATGACCTGGTGGCAGACTTGGTTAAGTGTTTGGTTAGGTTATTTACTATGTGGGGTCTTTGTCAGTATTGGTTCGAGAGTTGGGATCATGTACCATATTAGTTTCCCGGTTGCAGTTCGTAGTTCCTTTGGTTTATTTGGTGCTTTATGGCCAATTATTAATCGTGTGGTGATGTCTTGTGTTTGGTATGCGGTTCAATGTGCGGTTGCTGGTCCTACTTTTGAATTAATGTTAAGAAGTATCTTTGGTAATAACTTGGAAGAAAAAATTCCAAATCATATTAGTGATCCTGACTTGACTACTTTTAAATTTTTATCATTTTTCTTATTCTGGTTGTTTGCTTTACCTTTCCTTTGGTTTCCTCCTCATAAAATAAGACATTTATTTACCGTCAAGGCTTATATTGCTCCTCCTGCTGGTATTCTTTTCTTAATTTGGACTTTGGTTAAATGTAATGGTGTGGGTCCTATCATTCACCAAAAACTGTCTTTACATGGCTCAGACTTTGCTTGGGCTTTTGTCGAATCTACCATGAATGCCTTGGCTAACTTTGCTACCTTAATCGTAAATGCTCCAGATTTTTCTCGTTTTGCAAGAACTCCTTCATTCTCAATGAAATATATCGTTTATACTGTCACCATTCCTTTGTGTTTTTCAATCACTGCGTTGATTGGTATTTTGATCAGTTCTGCTTCTACCGTCTTATACGGTACTACTTACTGGTCTCCTCTTGATGTTTTATCAGAGTTCTTAAACCATGATTATTCTTCAAAATCAAGAGCTGGTGTCTTTTTCATTAGTGCAGCTTTTGCCTTGGCCCAATTAGGTACTAATATCTCTGCTAATTCCTTATCTTTTGGTACCGATTTGACTTCCATACTACCTTCGTATTTTAATATTCGTCGTGGTAGTTATATTTGTGCTTTATTGGCTTTAGCAGTTTGTCCTTGGAAACTTAATTCTTCCTCTTCAAAATTCACTACTTACTTATCTGCATATTCGGTTTTCCTTTCTTCAATTGCTGGTGTGGTTGCTTGTGATTACTTCTATATTCGTCGTGGTTATTTGAAATTAACCCATCTTTTTTCAACTTTTGCTCCAGAAAATCCTTCAATGCCTTCTTTCTATTACTACTGCAAAATTGGTTGCAACTGGAGAGCTTACATTGCCTATATCTGTGGTATTTTGCCAAACATTGTTGGTTTTGTTGGTGCCACCGGTACTCATAAAGTTCCCCTTGGCGCCACCCAAGTTTACCACTTGAATTATTTCATGGGTTTCTGTAGTGCTTTCTTGGTTTATGCTTTTGTATGTTACTTTAGTCCAGTTCCCGGTACTCCTGGTGTTGGCTTCTTCGAAAAAGGTTGGTTTGAAGAAGCTGCTGATGTGGAATTCTTTGAAGAAGAATTACAAGGCCACGTCCTTCACGAAGGTTTAGAAGAAGATACAGCCTACACTACGGCTAGAAACGATTCTACTAAAGATTATAAAGGTGATATTTCGGTTTAGAGATTTTAAAAATTTTAATTCTTTCAATTCTTGTCTTAATTTAGTGCATTTTTTTTTTTAATAAAAAGTAAAAATTTGGGAAAATCACCTGTATTGTACCATTCTAATGTAAACTTGAATTGTATATCAAGCACCAAAGCAAGGAGCTGTGGTTTCAATGGTTGCAATTCATTGCGGATCAATTCTGATATCACTCACAGGGCAGAAAAAAATATATTTCAAAATAAAAGTCCGGAGTTCTCACATGAACAGAAACAAATAGAACACGACGACGATAATAGCTTCGGTATATTGACAGTATTACTTTGTTATCCATGATATGCTAGTGTTATCCCACATCAACAGAAAAACAATAAGATGTCGCTTGCCATATGTGGCACAGGCTATTCGTCAGTTCAATCTTCCACCAAATTACAAGCCAAATACAGCTATTGTCGATGACTTACCATTTGCTAAAAGCTTTGAAATCTGGTATAACTCATTCCAACCTAATCGATTAAGGACTTTACAAGATGAGTTGGTTAAATTGATGTTATCACCAGAGTACGTTGAGAATACAGGACTTAAACATAAAAACTTGAAAGTACCAATTGATGGTGAAGGAAATTATATAAATGAACTTCAATTTGAAATTGTGAATAATTCAGATTTACCTACCAAGCATATAGTGTTCATCCATGGTTACGGTGCATCCTTGGGGTGTTTTGCACGTAACTTCCAATTGATCAACAAGCTTCGTGATTTGAAGCATAATTATACGATTCACTTCTTAGATAATATCTCATTTGGGTTATCATCTAACCCAAAGATTAAAGATGAATCTGGAATGGATAGTATTAAGATAACTTCAGCTCCTAAGATAAGATTGAATGACAATAAGCCAACCGATCCTAAGAAATTACATAACAAGTATTATAAACTTATAGACTCATATGAACTTGATATAGAAGAATTTAAGAAGTATCAAGATAATTTCAAACCAATTTTAGAAAAAATTGAAAATTATTATTTGTCAGCAATAGAAAATTGGAGAATTAATTCAAAAATCGATCAGATTGACTTTCTCGTTGGTCACTCATATGGTGGTTACTGGTCGGCATCGTACGCCCTTAAGCACCAGGAGAATTTAAAAGATTTAATACTTTTATCACCAGTCGGAGTCGAAAGACACGTTCATTCAATCAAAAACCCTTTGAATCTCGATATTATCAAGAAACTTGATAATGGATTAACTCAGTTCAGACCAACATTGGATCCTTCGTCGAATAATTTCTTAAGTCGTTGGCCAATTCTATCAAATGACCATATTAACAAATGGTACAAATGGCAAGCATTACTTCCAAGATTTTTGAAATTCTTTGGACCTTTTGGTGTTGATATGTATTATAAGATGTGGTATTTGAAATTATTCAAAATTAATAAATTAATACATAAAAAAGGTGGTGCTAAAAGAGTATTCAAGAATTCAAATGATTTGATATACGGTACCAATAAGGAATGTTTATTAATAATTGAATATCTCTACAATTCAATTACTTCATGGACCAAATCAGATTATTATATCAAGTATTTGTTAACTCCAAGTACAGTTAGTAAATGGCCGCTTTTTGATAAATTCACCGATGAAGAAACTCGCTTGAAAAAACTGGATAACCCAATGAATATTCATTTCTTATATGGTCAATACGACTTTATGAATGCCGAGGCCGGTGCCAAGTTGTCTGACCAAATAAATCAATTACAAGATCAACAAATATCAAAACTACATAAAGTTAGCGAAGGTGGTCACAATTTGTACATCGATAATCCATTTGAGGTAAATCAATTGATTCACGATATTATTAAAGAGATTGACTAGTTTACCCTTCAACCTTTTTTATTCATCTTATTTATTCATCTTATTTATTCATCTTATTTATTCATCTTATTTATTCATCTTATTTATTCAACTTATTTATTAGAACTCCCTTTCATTTCTATTCCAACTTAGTATTTACCTTTTTCTTGATAGAGATCTTATTCAAGGCAATTATAGTTGTCTATATACTCGATGTCAACTTGATTATATTCCCATTTTAGCTATTCTTTATCTCATCTGCTTAAAAATCTCTCCAATTAAAAGTTATGCTAAGAGATTAGCTTTTCATTGTTATAGAGTGATCCCTTTATCATCTTCTATTGTAGTTTGAGTTTGCTGCGAACAGTGTATTTTGGTTTCGACATTTCATTACCTTAAATAGAAATGTTATGAACAGTGCAAAAAAAAAAAAAGGTCTGATAACATTGACTTTTTTTCACAACCAAAGTCTATACTTTGCTCCACAACAATTGAAACATAGCAAGTCTGTTTCCAGGGAGGGATGTGATCAGTTGAGAGATTTTCCCTAAGAGGAGCTTGGGTAGTATTTGAAAGATTTTCAAAATTCTTAGCTGCTAAATGTTGCGCTGCTGTATTTCCAAATCAAGGAATTTTAGGGTTTGACGTTAACTTTGCAGTCGACCATTTCGACGAAAAAGGTATTTTATCTGCTGATGTTGAAAGTTCACTTGCAGCTATTCGTATAGTCAAGCCAATATATATATCTTGAAGCCTTGATAGTTTTTGAAAAAGTTGAAGACTACGAGATTACAGCAAAATAGACTTCGTATGATGAACGTATTATTGATTCATCTTTTGCTTTTAGCATTGATAAACGTTACACAAGCGTGGTCCCCTACAGGCAGTTATGCACCAGGGAAAGTTCAATGCCCCTCGAACCATGATTTACTAAGAGAAGGAGATTCCATATCTTCTGAAGAGAAGGATTGGGTTAAGGCCAGACATGAAAAGACCGACAAGGCTTTGATTGAATACTTGAATAGTTCCAACTTGACTGATTTTGATGCAAAGAAATTCATTAGAAATGCTACTAGGTCTCCTAATATTGCACTTGCATTTAGTGGAGGTGGTTATAGGGCCATGTTGAGTGGAGCAGGCCAATTTGCAGCATTAGATAACAGAACTGTTGGAGTCGATGAAACCAATGGGTTGGGAGGAATATTTCAAAGTTCCACCTACTTGGCTGGATTACTGGGTGGTGGATGGTTAGTGGGATCATTAGCGATGCAAGATTTTCCTAGTGTTGATGAAATTGTATTAGAAAACCCAAATGATCTTTGGAACCTTACTGAAACAAAACAGATTATAACAAAAGTATCAGTGATACGCAATTTAGTACCAGCTTTATGGGGTAACATTCAAAATTTTTTCAAAGCTGTTAATGGATATAATGGTAAAAATGGAATTGGCCAAGAACTTCAAGAAAAGGAGGATGCTGGATTCAATACAACGATAACTGATATCTGGGGTAGAGCTTTGGCCAGACAATTACTTCCAAAGGGGAAAGATAATTATATGAATGCATCTACATGGTCAGATATAAGAAACAACACTGGCTTCAAGAACCATAATTATCCATTCCCAATGGTTACAGCACTAGTTAGATTTTCCAAAAGTAAAGCATATAATTCAAGTCTGCCGGTTGTTGAATTCAATCCTTTCGAGATTGGATCATTTGATTATTCATTGAATTCATTTTTCGATACTCAATATTTAGGTACAGAAGTTAATAACGGTAAGCCGGTCAAAAATAGTACATGTGTCAAGGGTTTTGATAACGCCTCTTTCATTCTTGGAACCACCTCTTCATTATTTAATGATTTTTTAAACAGTTTAGTTTGTGATGATTGTCATTCGGTTAATTTTTTCCTAAAAATGATTTTGAGACGGGTTTTAACTAAATTATCGAATGCTTATTATGATATAGCGGTGTTCAAGCCCAATCCATTTTACAAATCTCGCTATGCAAAAAATGAAGAAATCGTTAATAATTCCACCTTATACTTAATCGATGGAGGTCTTGCCGATGAATCACTCCCCTTATCTAATTTAATGACCAAAGAGAGAAAATTAGATGCTGTATTTGCCCTCGATAATTCTGAAAATTGGCCAAATGGGAAATCAATCATCAAAACGTACGAACGTCAATTCTTGGATGAAGATGATAAGACTGTTTGTCCCTATGTACCGGGCGAATCATCATTCCAACATTTTAATTTAACTGCAAAACCAACATTTTTCGGGTGTGATGCTAAAAACATGACCGATTTGGCAAAAGACGGGGTTGTTCCACCGATTGTCATCTACTTAGCCAATAGGCCATTTGAATTCTGGTCAAATACATCACTTCTTGGGTTAAAATACTCGGACCCCCAAAAGAAAGCCATGATTCGTAATGGTATAGATGTCACTTCCAGGTTAAATCATACCCTTGACTCGGAATGGCAGGCATGCGTCGGCTGTGCCTTGATAAGAAGAGAACAAGAACGTCAAGGCATCAAGCAATCAGAACAATGTGAACGTTGTTTTGCTGACTATTGCTGGGATGGCTCCACGTTTGAGGTTGAAGGTGACTACTTTCCAAACGTCAACTTCACCAAGACCGGATTAACCAACGATAGTATGCATTTATGGGACACCAAGCCGGGCACATCTACAAATGTCTCTTCCATCTCAGTTCTTTCTTACCTTGGATTTAAAAAGAGACAATTATTTGACTTGTTTAGTTGATTTAATTCTGTAAATACTTTGCACTGATACCCAATATCTACTACACTTTAAAATATAATGATTTGTATAATATAATGTTCTGTATAATATAATGATCTGTATAATATAATGATATAATATAATGATTTGTATAGTACAATGTTTGTATAATATAATAATCTGTCCAGAGCTCCAGAGTAAATGTTGCAGCCATTGACCCGTCGAGGTTCCAAAACTCAGGGCAAGCCGCTCCCCTGGTCCGAAACATAAGGTGCACGGATGTATAACCGAAGATGAGGTACGGATGGGGAATCCAGCCAATCAGATCATGTGATTTTGTCAGCACACGCCATTAATTTCCGGGGTTTTTGTGTAATTGTGGGTGCGGTAGCTTAAGGATTCGGTTCCGACCGTGCAAAAGTCAAAAAGGTCATTACTAACAAACAGCACAAATAAAGGAAGAGCTTTTATATAAATAAAACGAATCCTCCATTATCGAAGATTGATTTCGGACATTTTTTTCCTATCATTAGACTCATAACTGTTGATATTCACTTATTGAATACTCGTTAGTCACAATAGTTACGCAGAAACAAGAACTCCGGTGATATTTCTCCATTTTGCTATATATATAATTTGAATTATTTCAATTTTCCAGATCGAACAGTGTTAACAGGATGATGTTGAATACTAATAACCTCCTTGCTAGAGGAATGCTGAAGAATTTGAAGAGTTTGCAATATTTTTCTAGAAGACTATACTCTTTCCAGACATTGACCACCCCAAATGAAAATGCGATCAAGTTTGTATCGCCAGAATGTGATATTTCTCCAATTCCTTCTAAAACGTTTGAGTTTACTTCTTCTATGCAAGCCATTCATTCTCCGTTGGCATTGAAATTGTTTAAGTTACCTGGTGTTAAGTCTATTATGTTTGGTGAAGATTTTGTTACTGTTAATAAGCAGGATCACATTAACTGGGCTCATTTAAGACCTGAAGTGGTTGAGTTATTGGATAACTTTTTAACTAGTGAAAAGGAACCAGTCATTACTAGAGAATTAATGGAAGAAAATGAACGTTTGGAAGAAGCTGCGGAAGAAGATTCGGAATTGGTTGCTATGATTAAAGAATTGATTGAAACTAGAATTAGACCTGCAATCCAAGAAGATGGTGGTGATATCGAATACAAAGCCTTTGATGAAGAAACTGGTACTGTTTTCCTTAAATTACAAGGTGCTTGTAAGTCATGTTCTTCAAGTGAAGATACTTTGAAACACGGTATCGAATCAATGTTGAAACATTATATTGAAGAAGTTAATGAGGTTGAACAAATCTTGGACCCTGAAGAAGAAATTGCCCTTAAGGAATTTGATAGATTTGAACAACAATTAAAAGCTAAGAAATCTAATCAAGCTTCAGCTCCTCCTCCATCATTATAAGCTTAATTCATGATTGCATTATTTTAATTCTTATTTATTTATTGGGTGTGTATATTTATGTATATTTCTATTTATTAACTGCATTTTGTTATTAATTTTTGTAATTGATTTCTTGTAAAGCTTCTAAATTAGTCAAGATTTGACTTTTAACCTGGACAAGATTCTGTTCTTCTTGATACTTATTCTTTAACTCCTTTAATAACCCTTCATCAATACATTGTTTACCAAGTAAGATTCTCACCTCTTCAAAAAAATCACTAGTCCACTTCATTGAAAACTTTTCCCAAACTTTAGAAACATAATTAAATCCAACTACCCATCCAAGTAATGCTAAAGCCCCTGCAGTTTCTAATTCAAACCCAAAGAAAAGATAAGAGCAAGCACTCACCACTGAAACTGGTAATTGGTAAAATAAAAATCCTTCTACTATACTATTATAAACCACTGGTTGAATTTCATTTTCAATACGTTCACTTACTAATTGGTTTTTCAAATTTAATATTGGGTTATTATTAACTTCGGTTTTCTCATATAATCCATACTTTTCTTGTTGAATTTGTGAATTTATTAAACCTCGGAAATAATTATAATTTTCAATACTTTGATTCATGAAATTTCTATTAAAGTAATCTTTTAAATCGTATTCGATATTATCATTCTTTAAGTATAACTTCCACCATCTTAGTTTTTTCTTAAAAAAATGAGTTGTTTGTGGAATTAATTGATACTGTAATTCAGAATGAAGCTGTTCACTAAAAATGGGAATCTCTATTGTTTTCAAATTCTCATATGTCTTAACAACGGAGTTCTCTTCGTTGATGGAATTCTTTATATTCTTGATAACATTCTTCAATGTCCATTGACCCAAAATGTCGGAGCTCAGGTATAAGTGAATGAACTTTAATGCCTCGTATATATTACTTTTTTGCATTGATTCAATGAATTGGCTGGCGGCTGAAGTATCATTTTTGAGAAATTCAATTATACCTTCGTAACTCGAATTAGAATCAACTTTGATAACGTGATTGCTTATTGAGGTGGGTTTCTGTTTCAATTCTTGTGTCTCAGTAGATCTTGGAGTGTACTCAGGGTTATCAATGATAGTAACCAAAATTTGTTTTTGAAGTATTTCGGGATACTTGTTGATCGAAGATTGTAAGTCATTAGTAATAAGAATATAGAAATGGCACAAGTTTTCAAAATCATTTACCAAGTTCAAGTCATTGATCTCGTTTATCTGAATATCATTGAAAACATTGAAATCACTCAACGGTGTCTTCTTGATGGATGCTTCTTTATAAAGTGGTCTTGAGTCACTGCTCAATATAGGTGATGCAATAGAATATATTGTGCTTGTTATGTTTGTCTTGTCATTGGAGCTGTAATTAGAATTGGGTGACTGGAATATGTTATTCTCCTTTCTACTTCGGTTTTCAATCTTCTTAAACCATTCTTCGTTCCCCGATGCAAATGGGTCTGCCAATAAAGATTCAATCACTTTGCTTGACTTGAACGCTTCTTCATTATCATAGAGGATCCCTATCTTGATGTCCTGCTGAACCTTCTTATCAATTTGAATATATTTACCCAATTGCGCCTGGGTAACTTTATCCTTGGGAAACCATCTTGTATAAAGATGATTCAATGCACCGGGACTCATTGGCTTTTCTTCTTCTCTTTTCTCTTGAGTCACATATCGCCTAATGGAGTTTACCTGTTTAATCGAAATCACAGATCGAAGACTGCAATTGGCTGCACATGCTCGAACCAGAATACTGGGTTGGATACTAGCGATCATGATTTGATTATGTTCGAGCAAAAAAGGCACCAGCTACTCGATTTTAAATCCTTAAACTTTCAGCCCAGTTGCTGCTTTATATGTTTTGTAATCACCGGTTCCCCTGGAATTGTTGAATACTCCTCGAGTGGAGAGGTCTAGAGTCAGCTGGATCTCTGGTTATTCTACTAGCAGTTGAGTTTAGCATTTTTTTTTTCGGTAGTAACACCATTTTTCACTCTGCAACTCCGACTCGGGTCCAACCCGTACCCTCCCAGCTTTCGACGTCTTCGCCAATAATCTTCCAAGCTTAACTAATCGACTGGCTAAAGCCCCCGCAAGCAGCTTGCTCGTACACTACAGTGCAGTGGACTAAGTGCATTCCGGTGGGGAGATTGTTAGCTGTAGGTTGCACAATAAAATGGGTTTGCATTTTGGAATCAACTGCTAAAAGTTGAAGTTGCAAAATTTGTAGCAACTTTTTCTTTTATTTATTTATTTGTTATATATATATATTTATTATTGTGCGTTGGGGAGCTTTGAGTAATTCCAGCCAACTCCAAGACCATCTGATATCTGGTTCTTAAGTGCTCATCACATCTATGCATTTATATACCAACAGGTATGAAAAAACCTAGCAGAATTCTTAGCATTTTGGGTTGGTGATCATCGACAAAGTTAGTTGAGCTACGATTACCCGTGAGACTTGTGCCAAAAAACCATCAATCTTCCTTTATTCAGAATAGTACAAGGTTCTGCTTCCATCCAGTAAGTGTATCACACCACCTTCCTTAATACTACAGTGCCTCGTACGCGTATAAGTTTGTGGGTGCGGTGTACGGGTGATGTCTGGGAGAAAGCTGGGGGATCATTTCTGAGGTATTCTAGGTATATAATGTCTGGGAAACAGTAGGAAATCAACAGAGACTCCTGGTTGAAACTTTGAGTTAGTCAAACTGGTTAGTCTTTCCTTGAAAAAACTTTGAAAGAAAGTGGTAACAAAAATATAGCAGTTAGTTGGTCATGAGTGCGTTATCGGAGTCACCTTTCCTGAATTCCTGGTATAAGTTGAAGAAGTTTGCTGCATTTATTGGTCCAGGGATTATTATAAGTGTGGCCTTTGCTGATGCTGGGAACTATTCCACTGCAGTTTCTGCAGGTGGTATGTTCGAATACAAGTTATTGTTTATTATATTCCTTTCAAATATCTTTGCAGTTATATTACAGTGCCTTTGTATCAAGCTTGGTACCATAACCGGATTAGATTTGGCAGAAATGTGCCGTCTTCATTTACCGTATCACCTCAACTTGTTCATGTATGTTTGCGCAGAACTTGCCATCATTGCAACCGATTTGGCAGAGGTGGTAGGGACTGCAATTGCATTGGAAATTCTTTTTGGAATACCTTTGGTTTATGGGGTTATAATCACCGTTCTAGACGTGTTGATTGTTTTGATGGCTTATCATAAAGATGGTAGTATGAAACAGACTAGAGTCTTTGAAATCGTAGTATCAGTGTTGGTTTTCGCTACTTGTTTATGCTTTATTCTTGAATTATTCAAGTGTGATTTTAAAGACGGCTCAGTTGGAGACATCTTCAAAGGTTTCTTACCTTTCAATAGAGAGATTTATAAGGATGCTAATGCATTATTCTTGAGTTGTGGGATCGTTGGTAGTACAGTTATGCCTCATTCGTTGTACTTGGGCTCTTCGTTAGTGAATTCAAGATTGAAAGATTATGACATTAAACACGGATTTCTTCGCCAACAAGTCAATGAAGATGGACTTTTAGAAGAGAATAGTAGTATCGTCACTACCGAACAACCTTTAGAAGCTACACATAATAAATTTCGCTCTATTTCTGATGGTACCCTGCTAGCAAGAAAATATAAGCCTTCTTATCCTGCAATTAAACACTGCTTGAATTATTCTTATATCGAATTATGTATATCCTTATTACTGATTGCTGTATTTATAAATTCAGCGATCTTGATTGTCGCTGGGTGCACTCTTTATGGTAAGCCTGATGCTGAAGATGCTGACTTATTATCTATATACGAAATGCTCTCTTACTACATTTCTCCAGCTGCCGGTTTGATTTTTGCTCTTTCCATGTTATTCTCTGGTCAAAGTGCTGGTATAGTCTGTACCATGGCAGGCCAAATCATTTCTGAAGGGTTTATTAATTGGACTTTACAACCTTGGATTAGACGTATTATCACTAGAGTGTTAGCGATCGTACCTGTTGTAATTGTCATTTTAGCATTAGGCCGTGAAGGAGTTTCAAAAATTATGAATACCTCTCAAGTTATCTTGAGTTTTATCTTACCTGTGGTTAGTGCCCCATTGATCTGGTTCACATGTAGTAAGAAGTTAATGACGGTTTATGATTACCAGCCTTCCAACCCGAACCCTGACGAAAACTCCTTGCTACTCAACCATAGCGGAGAACAACGTGCTATTCCAAGTGAATCCAATAATAATGTTAGAAAAATCACTTTTGAAAATGGAACTGCTTTGACCGTTGGAAGTATTATATCTTGGTTGATTATAACCTTTTTAAATGTTTACTTGATTTACTTGTTTTCAATAGGTGTTCAAGTTTAATACAAACTTTCCATTAAATTTTGTGTTCATTATATTATTAAAGCTAATAGAATAACTTAATTTATACTACAAAGATATATATTTATAGAAATCAGAAAATACAATTTTATCTTCTTCTTCTTGCAGAACTTCTTGTAGGGCGATTGGAAAGAGTTGGTAATCTGTTGGCCTTTGGTGCAAGCTTAGAGGCAGGAAGTCCCCCTGGTAATGTACCATTATAATCATTCATTAGAACAGGGATTTTCTTACTCAATTGATATGTGACTGGTTTTGAAGCTGAATTCTTGAGCTCGAAAAGCAAGGTTGTAAGTTTTTCTGTCCTTTTATACAATCTTACTTCTTCCTTAGAAGGCTCTGACAGCTTACTTGATTCTGCACTCAAAATTCTTTGCTGACGAAGCTTATTCAATTTGAGCAAGTTTGTGGATATTAGTCTTTGAATTTCTCTTGGTGATTTAGATATTTGGTCTTCATTTTTTTTCATTTCTTCGAGTTGTTTAACTCTTTCTGGATCAAATTTTACAACATTCAAAAGATTGATTTTGTTATTTTTAGAATCAGATACGTCACCCATATCAATATCATCATCGGATTCTACTTCATCAGCCTTATCTTCAGCTTTATCATTATGATGGTTTTCTTTCTTTTCTTCTGATTTTCCGTCTTCCTTTTCTTTTGGAGCTTCCCTTTCATTATGGACCCCCTCTATATAATGCTTTTTGATGGTTGCAAGTTTTTCAAAACCCAAATGATTCAACCAAACCGAATTAAGTAAGTCCACGCAATGAACTCGGCTTCTAGAATCTGAAGATGGAGCAATAGATGAAAGTACCCCACTGGTTTCGGAAGTAGTTTGAATACCATGTTTAGAAGATTTAATCAAACGAGATTCAACTGCAGGTGTAAGAACTTTTTGTCTATACAGTAACCACTTGGAAGAAACAAAATTATACCAACTTGGATGGAAAATTTGGTCAGTGATATGACTTGGTTGAGTGGTTGGAGGAGGGATTTGGCTTGGGGCAGAAAAGGATTTCAATGTCTGATAATTATCTGTAACATTTTTATTAAGGGGAATAACTTTGGAAAGCTGGTATGGATCGGGAATTACTGTTGGACGAGAATCAACACCTGATTTACCGACTAAATGTGTGAATAATGGTTGCTTGATGATTTTAACTTCTGGTGATTGAGATGCCGAGTAAGATAAATGGGTGTTTTGCGAAACTGGTTCTTCTATTTCATTTATATACACAAGGACCTCACCATTGGTTACACTGTAACTACTCGAAATCTTTTCAAATCCTTCAGCGATTTGAATAGCAATTTCAGAATCCTCGAGTTTTACTTTAGGTTCATCTGTTATAGTCAAGTCAAGTTTAGTGATTTCTCTTAATAAAAGTTCTGTTGCAAATTTGTAGAAGAAGTCAACATTGTCATATTCTGCTGATCTTACCCTAAGCTTTTGAATAGCAGCAGCAGACGCAACTTTGATATCATGGAAAATGGAATATGGATCGGTATACTGTTTATCTTCGTATTTCTTCAAAATTGTAGTTTTTTCAGCATTAGGGTTTGCATTGATGAAGTCAAAGTAAGAGCGCACTATGTCATTTGAGTTTTCTTCACGGAAGCCGACAGGAATAATTTCATTTCTCAATATATTAGTATCTTTATCAGCCTTCAAATACACTGAAAAAAGATCAGCTATTATTCTTTCAAGAGAAGCTAAAAAAAAAATGTTAGTTTGGCAATTCATATGAAGAAATCACAGCATTTTGATGAATTTATCATACCTTTAGTTTCGACAGTCATTGAAAGGTTGTCTTATACAGTGTAGATGGCACCGAAATTAATGGATGGATTATCACAAAAAAAGGTTGAAAACTTCACAGATTATGTTTCTTATTTTGTTTTTTTTTCGTCTTGAGAGGAAGCGTTTTGTTTTTTTTGTTTTTTTTTCTCTCGGTGTAAGGCTTTTATCACGCCGCACGACTGTTGCATATTTCAAGACCCCATGAAAACCATCCTTCGTCCACCTTTTGCAACAACAGCTTCTTGGACCCACCAACGAATGATGTAAGAAACTGAACTATATGCTCTGATGGATTTTCATCTGATGAAGCTTGGGTTTTGGTGTGGTCTAATAGTGTCTTATCACCAGCTGCCAGCTCAATAATGTCATAAGACCTTGTATCGAGATACCCTGCTAAGTTATGAACCGCTGTCCCATATTCACATTGGTTCTTATTAATAAGCGACTTTAAGTTTGTCTGGCTACTTTTGTCTTTGGTTGGAACTGCTTGTATTTGTTGATTGCTACTGTCTTCCACAATTTCTGTCAAACACTCCGAAGGTAAACTTCGTTTATCCAGAGTTTGCTTCGGAGTGCTTGAGCAAAGAAATGCCAACTGTCTTTTGGTTTGACATTTACGCTTTAGGATTGGCCTTATAAGATCTGTTACCAAAGGTTGTTGTTGTAAATTTGTTGTCTTCACTTTTGTAATAATAAAAGGATTCGACAAACTTACGCTTTTAGATATTGTTAAATCTTCATTTGAGAAGCTAGAGTCCTGGGAAGGTCTCTGCTGATTTACCGCATCACTTGGAACTGATTCAAAGTCATGCATAGTAAAGCTCCACTCATCAGCAATTGGATTTTGCAACTCTGATTCCTTTTCAGAGAATGAGCTGTCTTTCGTTGTTTGTATTGTCGACGATTCCATCGAAATTTCTTCTTCTAAGTGACCCCCATCAGCTATCTCATCTTTCGGAAGGGTCTGAGCTTCTATCTGATTTTCCAAGGCTATCACAAGTTGCTTTCTTAATTGGCGATTCAACGAGTCAAGAATAGCAATTTCCAATTCTGGATTGGTAAAACAAATATCTGTTTTACTTGGCTCTATATTGTAATCTAGAAACTTATTGGGGACATTAGATATATGGACAACCCAAATTGATAGAGTCTGATGGCTAAATTCTTGACATACTGAAGATACCACTTTACTAACTTTTTTGTAGATAGAATCAAGCCCATCCTCCATTACTGGTCTTTTGTTTATCGCTAGTACTCTCAAACCTTTGGAAGAGTAGATATTGTTGGCACAGATGTGCATGTTGATGTTGATTTCGCAGCCGAACCCAACTGGGCTTTCACATTTAAAACTAGTGAATTTCCTTTCCAAGTTTGCAATTTTGGGCAAAAAGATAGAAATGCTATTAAGCAGCAGGGTACCCGATGTGAATACTTGATCTTTGCATTTTTTACTAGATATGCATTTTCTAGAACTGGGGTTGTAATCAACGAACTTGAGGTAAAATCTTACGCTGGGATGGCAAATGGAGTACGAGACTAGCATTTCTTTTAACTTGGATACGCTGGAAGATGGATCCTTGCATAGAATTTTATATCGTACTGGAAAATGAAAGAAAAGCCCTGTAATGGTAACTTTAGTGCCAAAATCACCCGTGACTACTTTTCGGTTCAACAACAACATCTTTCCTGTAGTAGCGTCTATCGACCACTCCATACCAAACTTATCGGTAGCCGTTTTAGTAGATATACTGAAAGTTCCACTCTTGGATAATTGCCTCAAAAAAAATAATCCTTCACCTCTGAAGCCAAACGTACAGAATGATTCCTCAGTCAAATCACCTAAGCTCTTGATTTTCAGGGTGTGATTAGGTTGGCAAACCAATGGGCGGTCACCATCTGCAATCCCAGTACCATTGTCTGTTACAGCCATATAGTTCAACCCACAAGTTTTATGATCAACCTGAATAGTTACCGTGGTGCAATTTGAATCTAGCGAGTTCTCAATTAATTCTTTAGCACAGTATACCTGCAGTTGCATCGTCTTTCCGGACAAGATGTCATTGTAGACTTTGGAAGGTAGCTTATGAATGGAAGTCATGGTACAATTAACTGGGTATGAAGAAACTACAGATCGTTTTCAAGTAAAGAGCGGTTAATTTTGTTTGAGAAAAGATGGTTGTGAAAATTTCGCAATTTGCAACTACATCAAAGCCGAAAGAACTGAAATAATATAATCTTGATAAATGAATAGTTTAGAATTGAATAAAAAGTTACTCCTTGCCCTGGGATACTATAGCCTCCAATTGGTTGACTTGGTTAGAAAGTTGATGAGTTAATCCATCAATGTCTTTTTCTCTATCACTAGCTGTTTTGAATCTATATTTCCCTCTTGCAAACCAGTAGATAACACAATAGATTCCAAAAACGCCAATAACAACAGAAACATAGTTCATATTACCCGCAGTTACTGGCATAACCGGTGGGAAACTGTAGAAAATAGTTGTGAAAACAGTCCATAATAAAACAATGACATTAGAAACCAAACCAATTTTGCCCATCCAAAAGGGTCCATGTTTGATATTGTTGCGTCCCTTTATTAATAAAAAGACGATAGGAACAGAATAGGACAATAATAGGAAAATAATACACCCGGTAACAAGGGCGTTGTAAGCGGTGGTAGAACCCATGTAAATACACCCAATGACTGCACACCAGGCACAGGACATTAAGTGAGCAGCTACTGGGACCCCAGTTCTCTTGTTGACTTTCGACCAGTAACGAGATCCAGGTAAACCTTCATCTCTGGCGAAAGACCAGCATAATCTAGCTTGCCAGGTGTGCGAAGCAATGTTACAACCAATAGCAGTTAATAAAATCAAAACTTCCAAAACAATTGCACCTGCTTTGCTTTGGAGGGCTTGATAAAAAATGTCCATGATTGGGACACCAGTATTGGAATTTAATAATTCGTCAAGGTTTCTCATTGAGAAGAACATTGATATAGCATAACTGAAACTAGTTAAAAATCCAATAATAACTGTACCAATGATTGCTTTTGGAATATCAGTTTGAGGAGTAAGTGTTTCTTCAGCAAGATGGGTTGCAGCATCTAAACAGCTAAAAGACCAATTTGGGTTGATCAACCCAACAATGAAAGCAATAGCTGAAGACGACCATCCGGTCCCGTTACTGAATTCAACAAAAACAAATCTAGCTGATTGGTAATGGCCACTGGATTTAGCCAAAACCGTTATGGTGATCACAATGAAGGAAAATATCGAGATATATAATGCACCTTGAGAGATTCTTGCCAATGGCTTTTCCCAAATGTTGAATAGAACAAGCAATACGTTAACTATTTCATAAGTAATGAACACTTGCCAAGTTTCAACTGTTGTATTTGCATCCCCTGATCCCAACACATACATTCCAACAAGTGCGGTTGCAATAGATACTGTAACTGAAGCACTTGTGAACACGGCACCAGCCCAGGCAAATGCACCACACATATAGGAAGCAAAAGCTGAATATTTAGGAGGAGCCAATTTTGAAGTCCAATAATATTGACCACCGGCATTTGGTATTGCTGAAACTAATTCGGAAAGACTAATTGCAATAGCCATCGATATGAAAGCAACAATAAGAATACCATATATGATAAGAAGAGGACCACCACTCGATAACCCAGTAACTAAAGAGGCCAGGATACCGAACCAAGAATTAGTTAATCCAAACCCCACTCCTAAAAGTGAAATAATACTAAAGCTTCTACGAAGTTCAGGTGTATAACCAGTTACTGCTGCCAACTCTAAGTTAGCTTGAGCTTCTGCCAACAATTTTTTAGCCTTTGCTTCATCACCAATGGCATCATCTATACCAAGATGTGGATCTCTTTGGGTAGCATTAGATATATACTGGTGAATTTCACCAACTCCATAGCTTTGAACCGGCTCAATATGCTCTTTTTCGAGAGAACTATGTGACATTCTTGATATACATAAAGATTGAAAATTTCAAATCTGAAAAAAAAAAAAATAATGTATAGATGAATGTATATATATATATATGAAATTTATTACAATAGATTGATCTTCTGGCGAAAAAACGGTTAAATGACGATATCTTCTTATCTCAATTTATGTAATTTATGTAATTTTACTTTCTTGACAGGCGCATTGATAGCCTTTGCCAATGCCTTGGAGCCAATTTAAATTGAAATGCCGAAATTAACATACGAATACATTACAATAATAAAGCGAACTAGTGCAATTAAAAATTCCATGAATCTTATTATGTTAAGCCTTATATCATTGGATAGTTTTACAATTTAAAGCAAAAACAAGAATATTATTACAATCAGATGAAAAATTCGCATTCAACGTTTTGATAAGAGATAAGCATTCCTTCACTCCGTACATTTCATCCAATAAGCCCCCAATCATAAAACAACTAAAAGAAGTGCCAGTTTTCCGACAGTTCTTATTGGGTAAAAGTTTACAGTTAAGACTATTGTTGATTATTTATTAAAAAAAAAAATCACTCGATTGATGAAGTTTCAAAGTACTCATCGTTTAATATCCCAGCTTTCATCATGATTCCTTCCCAATCACAGGTGATGATAACTGCAGTCTCTGTTAATGCGATGAAAAACATTCCACTTCCGATACTAATCCATAAACCAAACAATTCTAAATCAGTAAATTTAGTAAGAACTAATGCAAACGGCATTGCAAATGCGTAATATGCCAAAAAATTTATAACCCCACCGATTTTTTGTAATCCTTGAGCCCGTAAGATACCACTGGCCACCAGGGCAATACCATCGAAGATTTGAAGGATTGATACTAGTGGGTTAAATAAACTTATAACTAATTGAACCACTTCCTCATCGGAGCTGAAAAGTGATCCAATTTGATTTTTAAAAGTATATAATATGATACAATTAAAGGATGCAACAATTATTGCAGAGTAAAGACCGGTTTTAGTAGCTATTTGAGCCAGTATCATGTTTTGACCACCAATGAAATTTGCAATACGAGTTGAAGATGCAATACTAACTGCAAAAGGTATCATATAAGTTAAAGATGCAATACTGGCAACCGCACTTTGGGCAGCCAATTGACTAGTTCCAAAATAAGATGCAAATAAAGTCATGATTTCGTATGCCAAGTACTCTGATTCTAACATAACGATTCCAGGAATTGCTAGATGGGAAAGGTTCCCCCACTGGTGGAATGATTCATTTAATTTGAAACCAAACCAACATTTTTTACCATCGATTAATGCAACGTATAAGATTAACAAGATCACCATTAACCAAAAATTAATTATTGTTGCAACTGGAGACCCATAAAATCCAAATTCTGTATTCCAGACTAACCAGTATGATAATCCAATGTTTATTGGTGCACTCAAGAATAATACCCCAGTACCAGCTTCAAAGATACCTTGGGCTTGTAAAAATCTTTTAAAATTTTCAAAAAAAATATAAGCGGGAGCTCCGAAAACCATTATCCTTAAATAGTTAACTGTTAATAGAGAAACTTGATCATTTTCAATAATGTATTTTAAGAAAAACCCTGAATACCACCATAATAATGCACAGGGAATGAAAATTATCCATGAAAATACCGTACATCGTTGAACATGTATACTTACCAAGTCAAAATTACCCGCTCCGTAAGCTTGAGGACAAAGAGTATCTAAAGCGGTTGCAATACCTTCAAATATAGCAAATGTAACTGTAGTACACATTGATCCAAGCGAAACCGCTGCTAATTCATTCTTACCTAAATGCCCAACGACTAATAATGATACAATTGAAAATAAATGTTCTAGTAAAAAAGTTATTATAAGAGGGAATGAATATCTGGCTAATAACTTCATCTCAATCTTATAATTTGTATGTAAATTTGCAAAATCTTCTAAATCACTCAGCGATTGTGCATCTTCCTCGGTGCCGGGCTTGCTCCGACGTTCTTCTTCTCCGTAATCTTCATCTTCGGAATTCACTGCCGAATATCTTCGTTGATGTTCTTCCAATAACCAACTGTGAAAAGACTCCTGCCCATCATTTGCCGAACTTAAAGTCGATGGTAATGAACGAGATGTAGACACACTGGCAACCTCACTCGCCACGTCGTCTCCTTCGTCGGTATATACAGATCCATTTTCGATTAACGAAAGAAATGATCTTTGATCATCACCTTCACCGTAACTGAATAATGGGTAATTGGTGGATGGAGGAATGAACAACCGTCTTCTTCTACTTACCCCTGGCCCCGTATGAGGATTGGCGAATTTGTTGATAGACGGAAATAACACCATGATTCTTGGCTGAAGGACTTACTATCCAAATCTTCTGGCTGGATTGATCAATGATTAGAGTGAATTTTCAGTGCTTTCTGAAGTTCTTCGAACATGAGAAACGAAAAAAATTGCAATGATAAGAGCAAATATGAGTGCAAAAAAAAAAATTTTTGATTAGACATATAAAAACTAAATATAACCTACAGATGCAAAATTAAACCTAACGAAAAACAAGCTAATAAAACTATTTTACTTATACACCTTCTAGAACTCTTTCAGTAGAATAAAAACAAGATTAAAAAAGCATCCAAATCGCTCCACCAGACACACTTAGCAAGACAATTGCCGTCAAGACACCGGCACCAGCTTTATCCTTGGAGGACACCTTTAGTTCGTTTTTATTCTTCTTGTCTTCGGTATCAGTACCAGCATTGACATTACTTTTCGATGTGCCACCAGTGTCAGCAGTCAAAGGGGGCTTCACTAGCAACGACATCATAGCTTCTAAAGCAGACATTTGCTCACCAAGACCAAAGTTATTATCCCAGCTACCTTTACTCCAGTCGGTACCACAGGTGACACCATCTGAACCACCCGAACAAGATTTAGCTGCCCCTTGAGCACTTTTTTGCAACCACTGGTCAATAGTATCCTTTGTTGAAGGAGCCAACATTGAAGTTAAACCTAGACAACGGGCAAACAACGATCGGAAAGACCGTTGATCGTTATTACATTTACTACCACCACCACAAGTGTGCTCGTACATATAACCATCTTTAAAGAAGTAGTCGGAAGATTTGATGATCTCGTTGACACGGTCTAACCAAGTGTGATCATTGGTGTAATTATACATATAAGCACATCCTGATAAGAAGATCCCGTAAGTATAAGACCATCTACTCTTGGTCACATCAGAACAGTTATTACTAATTTTAGCACCATCATAAACAACTAGTTCGTCTTTAACGTAAGTAGCAAAACCAACGTCTTCCATCCAATTCCATATCTTCTCCGCCATCTTAGCATAGGTTTTATTATCAGTGAAACGGGCCAATCTAGCAGCAATATTGAATAAACATCCGTTGGCAATTGAATTTTTATAATTGTATCCTGAATTCCAAGTGAAAATCTGCCACCTAATACCACCATTACAATGTTTAGTATCCCATCTTGCATTCATGGTATTATAAATAGCCTGGGTCATTTCTAACCAACTATGGTCTTTTGGATCAGTGAAATTTTTTTCAACCGCTTCCAAGACCGCCATCCCCCACACACCTTGATCATCATTACCCTCAGTCATCGATTGATTAGAGGGAATGTAATCATAATGGTCACCGGCTTGGTTATACATACCATCGTAAATCAACTTTTCCAAGGTCTTATTATCAGAATCACAATAAGTATAATAATCAACTAACCCACCAAAGGCTTCACCAGCATGCCACCAGTAATATGGATTCGAAAACATCCCAATAGTACCTCCTTTCTTGGTACCCTCGTAATAATTAAGCTCACCATTGACAACTTGTTTGGCTGCCTCACAAATTGAATCCTCATCATCGATGTCCAACTCCACCGACGCAACCTGCTGTAAAAGTAGCAGTATCAACAACCACGACTTTAATTGCATTCTTTATAACTATATGACTCGGAAGGTTGCAAATATGTCAACTCAATCAAGAAAATCCCCTTGGCACAAAAAAAAGATTAGGAAAAACGAGATTCTTGGTATTAATGAAGCTTTTTTTTTGCAATCGTTTGGTATTGAGGAAATTTCGACTTCACCAAATCTCGAGGTATATTTTAAAGAAAATATATATATAAGACTAAAAGATAACAGATAGACTAACGATGTTCTTCGACATCTTTTGTTAGACCTTTTTGTTCTTTCAACTTTTGCAAATGGGAACTGGAGTGGCGCGTACTTTTCCTGAACACATCGGCTATGCATTAAAGATTGCAAAAAAAAAAAAAAAAAAAATGCAGCACTTCGCTATGAACCTATTATTATCACAGTGTGAGATTGATGGTTTATAAGCCAGAATCTGTATTTCAACTAACACAGAACCCGAGTAAGCAACCTAAGCACTCGTGTGGAATACAAAAGTGTTCTTAACTCGTAAACAACTATAGAGCTTATTTTACCCCTGCCGCGAGATGAGAAAAGCCCAAAAAGCCTTCGGCCCTGTAATTGTGATTCTGTGCAACGGCAACAACAATAAATCTCGTGCTGTGTTCATCTCCTTTAATGACGTTTTCGGAATAATTGGGCCTGTCACTTTCCTGTCAAGATGCTTTAGTGATACGATAGTTTTCAGCAGATGTTCCGTTAACATTTTTTTTATTGGGTTTTCACTATTTATTTGAGTATTGAAATATCAGTTGTTCTGCTTTTATATCTGGTCGAATGATTCTTTCTGGCGAACCTGGTCTTATTTCAGCTTCCGTCGCATTCAGTCGAGGTTCACTGGTTTATCTATGGATTGCCGGTCAATTCTAAAGTAACTTCCTGATGTTTTGGGCTGGTCCTTTCAAAATAACGAAAAGTGATAGAACTGGCGAATTAAGGAATCTGATCAGAATGACAGTCCAAAAGTCTGTCTCTTATATCTCACTATTCATTAAAGTTTGTGTTTGAAGTTTAGTTGGTATGATTCATTTTGATGGTTCAAACTTGAAAAGAGAAGTTGCCTGGATAACAAGAAATAGATATGGCCCCTATTTTAATTCTTGCGCTTGACGCTTCTCTGGTTTTTTAGATCAACAATATTATAGGTTGCAAAATGTCGAAAAAACAGAGTAAAAACTTCAAACAAGTCTAGTTTTTTGTACAATAAAAGGTTCAAAATGACGAAGTTTGGTGCAAATGCATTGACCTAAAGTAAAAGTATACAAGTAATATAATGGTTTAAATGAGTCATTTCGAGTGATATTTCACTTTGGAAGACGATCAAAATAGCATCCATATAGAACCTCCAGTAATAATTAGAAGTACGACCGCTGTTAATACCCCGGCACCTGCTTTGTCTTGTGAAGTTACCTTTATCTCGTTCTTGTTTTCTTCGCTGCCGGTATTGGTACCAGCATTAACATTACTCTTGGAGGATCCTCCAGTATCAGCGGTTAAAGGAGTTTTGACTATCAACGCCATCATGACTTCTAATGCGGACATTTGTTCTCCTAAACCGTATACGCCATCCCATGATCCTTTACTCCAATCTTCTCCGCAAGTAATACCATCTGTTCCTCCGGAACACGAGGAAGCGGCACCTTGAGCGCTAGTATCGATCCAAGTACTAATAGTATCTTTTGTTGAAGGAGCTAAAATTGAAGTAAGACCTAAACAACGAGAAAATAATGACCTGAAAGTCCGTTCATCATTATTACAGTCACTCCCACCTCCACAGGTATGTTCATACATGTAATTGTCTTTGAAGAAATAATCAGAAGCTTTCAATATTTCCTCAACCCGGTCCAACCAAACTGATTCTTCAGTGTGGTTATACATATAGGCACAACCTGATAAGAAAATTCCATATATATATGACCACTTACTTTTGGTAATATCAGAACAGTTATTGCTAATCTTAGCACCATCATAAATGTCAAAAGTGTCATTATTATATTCAAAAAATCCAACACCTTCCATCCAATTCCATACTTTTTCAGCAACTTTAGCGTAAGTTTTATTATCAGTGTAACGGGCCAATCTTGCAGCAAGATGGAAAAGACATCCGTTAGCAATTGAATTTTTATAATTGTATCCTGAATTCCAAGTGAAAATTTGCCATCTAAGTCCTCCATCGCAATAAGTTGTATCCCATCTTGCATTCATAGTATTATAAATGGCCTGAGTCATTTCTAACCAACTATGGTCTTTAGGATTAGTGAAATTTCGTTCGACAGCCTGCATTGTTGCCATCCCCCAAACACCTTGATCATCATTACCTTCAGTCATTGATTGATTAGAAGGAATATAATTATAATCATCCCCGGCTTGATGGTACATTCCATTATAAATCAATTTTTCCAATGTTGTATTATCAGAATCACAATAAGTATAGTAATCTATAAGTCCACCAAATGCTTCACCAGCATTCCACCAATAATAAGGACTGGAAAACATTCCGACAGTTCCACCATATTTGGTTCCCTCATAATAATTAAACTCACCGATGACTACGTCTCTGGCAGCTTCACATATCGAATCGGTATCATCAATATCAATACTTAGTGCAAGAACTTCAGTGACTAGCAATGATATCATATATAAAACTTTAGTTCTCATTATTGCTTTAATCAAGTTTGGGTATGGTTGCAAAAAGATCGTTGAAAAATTCTTGGTATTGGTTTTCTCGAGTTTAAAATACAACCTTTCGAAGAGGTTGTTCTATATCTTTCCCTTTCCTTCCAACAATCGCCAAATGTCCTAGCTAGAGAAGCAATATATATTTAGAATCGAAAAGGGAAGTAAAAGTTGGCTTATCTTTATTGAGTCTGGCAGCCTTTTTTTTTTTAGTGAGAGGCGCATTTACGCTAATATATTTATAGAAGAATTGCAAAAACACCGCAATACCCATAATAATTGGAGACTTACAAGGCTTAAATTTATGACAAATTTGAGAAGTTACCCAATATTGGGTTCATTATGAGTTGGAATCAAGCTGTCAAATGGGAGTGCGCCTTGCTGTTTCAATCACGGATATATTCGGGATGATGTCTCAAATATTTCCAAATAAATACTCGAAGAATCACAAATCATCCTGGATGATTTATAGCGATGACTACTGTGACAGAATATACTGTTAAAATACGATTCAGAAATTTATTGAAAGAATATTTCTACATAATCTTGCAAAATGAAAGATTTAGAGAAATGAAACTCCTAGAGAGTGTTATAAGAAAGGAAATAAACAAATGATAAAATTTTAATTCATACAAAAAAACAAAGTTAAAAGAGCATCCATGCAGCACCCCCGGTAACTACTGCCAATACAATTGCAGTCAAGACACCTGCACCAGCTTTATCTTTTGAGCCTATGGTGATTTCATTTTTATTTGTTTCATCATGAGTATCAGTACCGGCATTTACATTACTCTTTGAGGTACCACCGGTTTCAGTACTTAAAGGAGGTTCTACGAGTAGAGCCATCATGACTTCCAATGCGGACATTTGCTCACCTAAACCATATAAATCATCCCAGCTACCTTTAGTCCAATCGGCACCACAAGTGATTCCATCTGAACCACCCGAACAAGATGCAGCAGCCCCTTGAGCACTTTTTTGGATCCATTTATCGATGGTGTCTTTTGTTGAAGGAGCCAACATTGAAGTTAAACCTAAGGAACGAGAAAATAATGATCTAAAAGAACGCTGATCATTATTACATTTACTACCACCTCCACAAGTATGTTCGAACATGTAACCATCTTTGAAGAAGAAATCAGAGGATCTCAAAATCTCATCAACCCGGTCTAACCAAGTATTATCATTGGTGTAATTATACATATAAGCACATCCCGATAAGAAAATCCCATAAGTATAAGACCATTTACTTTTAGTTAGGTCAGTACAATTACCGCCAATTTTAGCACCGTCATAAACCACCAATTCATCATCCACATAAGTGGCAAACCCAACATCTTCCATCCAATCCCATACTTTTTCAGCAACTTTGGCGTAAGTTTTATTATCAGTGAATCTGGCTAATCTTGCAGCAATATGGAAAAGACAACCATTTGCAATTGAATTTTTATAATCGTAACCTGAATTCCAAGTGAAGATCTGCCATCTCAATCCACCATTACAATGTTTAGTATCCCATCTTGAATTCATGGTATTATAAATGGCCTGAGTCATTTCTAACCAACTATGGTCTTTTGGATCAGTGAAATTACGTTCGGCAGCCTGCATAACTGCCATCCCCCAAACACCCTGATCATCATTACCTTCAGTCATCGACTGGTTAGAAGGAATATAATTATAATCATCCCCGGCTTGATGGTACATCCCGTTATAAATCAACTTTTCTAAAGTTTTATTATCAGACTCGCAAAAAGTATAATAATCAACTAACCCACCAAAAGCTTCACCGGCATGCCACCAGTAATATGGATTCGAAAACATCCCAACAGTACCTCCGTACTTAGTTCCTTCATAATAATTTAATTCCCCTTGGACAACGGATTTAGCTGCCTCACAAATCGAATCTTTATCGTTGATATCAAGCTCAACCGACACCACCAGCTGTACCAAGAGCGTTATTGAAAATATGGTCCCAAACTTCATTTTCTCTCACACGTACTTTGAAATGCTATACCAGACCTGAAAGACTATAAGCTCTTTATATTGAATAAATTGGAATGTTCTAAATATAATTCTTGAGCGTGGAAGGAGTTGAAGCAAGAAGAAAAAAAGAAAAAAGAAGGAAGAAAGAAAGAAAAAAAAAAATACAGCACACGAAACAAAATTGAATACTAAGAATTCTTTCTGGCCACTTGTTTGAGTATACTGTTCCTCAAGCACCTACCTGTATACTTTAAAACAGTCAAGCTAGCGAATAATTAACGAAATCTACCTGATTTGCTTCAAATAGACCAAGTTTGATGTAGGTGAAAAAACAACAATTGTTTCAAAACTAACGACTTTTTCTGCATTTTTTTTTTTTTTTGTTTTGTTAGAGAGGCGCATTTGGCCCGCCAGCCTGTGTGCAGGCGTACACCCAGTCACTACAAAAATAACTACTGTTTTACCCTAAAAAAAGAGATTGCAAAAATATCAAGACTGCAAAAATGTCAGCATTGCAAAAAGATCATGTAGGAACTATGTAGACTATATCTGGTTGGACACCGACTGGGAGGGTTGTGCGGGATCAAAGTCAAATATACGAAGAAGCTGGGTCAAGTCTGTCATGGCAACCCTGTTGTTGGCTATGAGTCTTAGGTTGTCGTCGTCGATATCGGGTTCTCCACGATCAGAGAGGAAACACGCGTCGAGCTTCAGCTGGGGCTGCTGGTGGTGACTGAAGATCTTGCTGGTGCGATGGCGGTCTAGCAAGACCCCGTTCCACCCGGATTTCACTGAAGGGAGAAAGTCGTTGGCGTAGCTGTCACCGACGTGCCAGCACTGTTCTAGAAAGTCTGGTTTGCTTTGAACGTCGGATTTTTGGTAGAGACTATTTGCAATGGTGTGGAAGAATTTTCGATCCGGTTTTCCGTATCCAAGATTGGTAGATAAGTAAGTCAAGTCTTTGGGGAAAAATTGACTCAATTGTAAGTTTTCTAGGATTTCGTATACTCGTGGATCTGAATTGCTTGACACCAATAATGGGACACCTTCGTCACTCAATGCTTTTAAAGTTGGAATCACGTCGTCATACACTCTGTAAGCTTCGTTGGTGGTGAAATGAGACAACAACCGATCGCAAACTTGCATGGAACGCTGACTCTGCTTATAGTGAGGAATCTCAAGGAGCTCAACTATAAGCTCGGACCACCATTCGGAAGCGTTACTTATGTTTGGTGACTCTTGGCCGTAATTTGGGTACTTGGACAAAAGCTGTTCATAAACAATTGGGAATTGGCTGCTGATTCTATCCAAGGGGACATCAATCCCGAACTCTCGCGTGGCTATATCATGGTACTGTTTGGGAACTGGCTCTCTTGGAGTGTAGAGAGTGCCAAATAAGTCAAACGAAATAAAGGCCGGTTTGGGGAAGTGATTATGAGTTTCTCGAATTTTTTTAACATGATCATCACTAAACGGATCTGAGCTCAAGCTCATCCTTCTGCAAATGGGCTTTAGGCTCATGGCCGTTCTTCTCCAATTGCTGATATACATCCTTTTATAAAATATGTTGCTTTAGAAAAACAGCTAGTATTACGGTTCTTCTGTTTTTTTTTTTGATGTTAGCCAACTTTCTTGCTAGCGCAACTAAATTTCGGGCCTACAATTTTTCGCAATAAAGTTGCAATTTTTTTACTTCTATTAAACCTAACCTAATAATATTTCCCAATTCCATTCTCTCATTACAGTACTCCAGTGCATTCTGCTATGGATGGTGCCCTTGAGGTCATCTACCACTGCAGCTTGTGATTCGTTATTAACAGCAGCCATTAATCCACTTAGTTGTACTGCAATGTCACTGTTTGAGTCGGTATTCGAAATACCAAACTTGATCAATTCTTCATCTCGACTTCTCTTATTATTATATTCATCTTTTCTGGTCCAAACTTCTTTCACCACTTCTAAAGCACGGTCTATATTACCAAGCCATAATTTCCCTGCCAAAACTGCCCATCTGGCTTCACACCATTCTCTTTCTTCACCAGATTCTGCTTCACATGAAGCAACTAATAAAGGGAAAATGTGAATAGCTGAACAATTAGATGTAGTAGGTATTGATGCTAATAAAATGAATATTTTCTCTGCTAATACATGGGATGCTAACAGAGGAATTTCAGGAACTGCTTGATGCAAATAAATTAATGTTGCGTATCGATAAGCTTCCGCCGATGCAATACATGATGGAATATCCCATCCAGAGTCTGCATTCAATTCTAATGGACTTTGATCAATCATGCTTGCCGAAATTGATGGCTTCCAATTAACTATTCTTTGTCTCAATTGAGCAGCTCGAGTTATGGTGGTTAATGAATTTCTAAATGACTTCCCGTCCTTCTTTTTCGATTTTTTGATTTTACTAATTAAATTAGCAACATCACCCATGATTGAAAATAACGACTGGGCACATCCTAATAATGGATCAATATATTCATGATTGAACGAATCAAAATTCTCAAATAAGTTATCATTCCCAAGTAAAAAATTAGTCTCTGCATTTTCTCCTAATGTTAAATCACTAGAATCTGAATACAAACTTGGTGATCTTTCCTTCATTTTAAGAACATTTTTTTTCTTTTCATCTTTAGTACGTTTCTTTTGGGTTTCTTGTAAGATATTGGTTATAGTATCAACTAAATCTATACCTTTATCGTCATGATTAGAACATGTTGTCATTTGAGCTAAAACTTCAAAATAAATCCAAATATTAAATAAGAATTGTAAAATTTTTGGAACAAGTAGGTTTTCATCTTGACAAGTATTTGATAATACGTCCTCTATCATTTTATCCCAATCACTATCGTCAACTAACACTAATTTTTTCTTGAATACTTTACATGCTTCTCTAGCTTTTCGAAGAGTATCTTCTGGTGATTGAGAAGATGCATTGCTGTCTCTTCTGATCTTTGATATTGTACGGTAAAATTCCCTGAATAATGATAAAATTTTTTGAATCATGCTTTTGGCACCCTTCAAGTGGGCAATACCACTGGAAGTATGGGTATCAAAAGATTCACTAACTGCTAAGTTTAAACAGGTTGCTAATGCAATATCGGCTGGTAATGATTTTTCACAATTCAAATCATCATTCATTTTTGATAATCCAGATGCAAGCTCTAAAATACACCTTTTCATGTAACCGCCTCCCCTTGACAGTAAATGCTCTTTATTTTCTTCTAGCCCTGGATTTCCTGCTAAATGAAATAGAGTCATACATGCAATAGAATCAAATAAACAAGGATAATTCTTCGCCATGGGAGCAATGACGCTTTTCCAGGGGTTCTCATAAGGTCCGTTTTTGATTGACATCATGGAACTAGTGTATTGAGAATATAAGAAAAGAATTTGTTGCTGTTCCGAATTCAATAAATCATGTTGAGAAGAACTGAACTCGAGAGATGGTGTAGCCCCTGCGGGAGATTGTACGTTAATAAAGGGATCGAACTTATGAGCAAGATCGATATTACGGAATCCTGGTGATTGGACCATACTTGTGTGGTTTTTGGAATTGTCCTTCTCTTGAGCAGCAGGATTAGATAAGGCCAAGGGACTCAATGGAACATCGACTAAATCCGAAAGTTTATTATCATTACCGAAATAATAAGCTTCTTCATTGGAACCGGTGAATGCATAGTTGAGTAATGCTGTCAAATGAGGAGTGAGATTTAAATCAGTAAAAGAATTATTGTTATTGGTTTTTTGGTCTGGTTTTTGCAATTCTTCGATTACTTCTGAAGGTGGAGTTGGCTTAGAACTGTTCCTTATGTCGGAATAGTCTTGTCTGACCAATGATAATCCCAGTGGAGAAGATACGCTAAGAGACCTAGCCATGGGGGGACTAATAGAAAGGTGGGAATCTTGAGGTGTGGATTGACTTTGGCTTCTCTTTAGCTTTTTCGTCGAGCCAATAAGAGCATCTGGGGTGGGATTGACTCCACGCGATATCATTTGATAATCACGTTCGATTTCTTTCGATGATTTACCAGTAACTGATAATGATGCTAATTCCAAGTGCTTTTGGATAACTTGCTCTTGGTTCGACTCTTTGGTTTCGGCCTTTCTTTTCTTTGATGTATTATTTGAAGTGGTTGGCTTTGCGTTGGACCCTTTTGGTTCAAAAGGTTCATCATTGAATGATCTCCATTTGAAATTCGTAGCATAACCTCCACAAGCTATATTCTTTTCAGTGCATCTCAAACAGCTCGGGTGGGTTTCATCACATTTCAAACGTTTCTTCTTACAGGTGACACATCCATTTCTTGACTTTGTTCTTTTAGTTTTCACCGAAGTGTCTGATGAGTTTTCCAGATTCTTGACATTCTTCGGAGGACTAGGCGAAAATCTGGGATTCTTTGTCTTTTCGCTCGACGCAGGGTCTTCTTTCAAGCTATTACCAGAATAAGTCGAATTATGCCGTTGTGGCTGTCCAATAAGCACCATAGTTTTTATGATTTATGTGGTTTTTATTATTATATTTGTTTGTCGTTTTTTGCAACAATCTGAAGCTGTAGCTCGTATATAGTTATCTCTTTTTTTTCTTTTCAGGTCCAGCTGAAAAATCAGGCGATCTGGCTTATTTGCTCTGTTTTCAGATCTCTCAATCTAAACAACCATAAAACAACCATTAAGAGCAAAATATTGCATTTTAATAGATTTTTAGTGGGAAAAATTGATGGAATTGAGTAAAAAAACTGATAAGATAAGAATTCACTAACAAATCCGCTGAAAGTAAATTCCTTCCCGATTAGGAAATGTTTCGCGAGCTGATAAGTCTACCGGTATATATATTTGCGCCAAAAACAATTAAAGGTCTATAAAGGTCTGTTTATTCAGCGAATATCTAAATATTATTTATGAATTGGTTGCAATTAGTTAGAATAACTGAAAGCAATTGGAACCTAGTTTAAATCTATAGTTACAACTCTTATCGTTTCTCGAGATTTCATCTACTTTAGAGTCTAGTCCGAAATTAGATTCCGATTGTGTAACGTATCTTACCCATGGAAAGCAAGAATACTTCATTGATTCTTCATCGACTCTCAAGTAATTTAGTTTTAAGCCTGAGTATGCAAGCATCGGTATACTGAAACGTAAGCTTACATGGTTGTGATCTTTTTTTCTCTTCAATTTTTTTTGTAGTTTATCAAACAGTGAAGACGATACCCCGTTGACCCCATAGTATTGGTCTAATTCCTTTTTGGTATCGTATTCTTCCGTATCACTATCTTTGTCGTTTGAATCTGGTTGCATCAAGTTACTTAGCAAAGACTGATCGATTGTGGTTAAAGATTCAAGGTGATTTATTTCATTCAAGGATAATTCAGCCATCATTTTTATTGACTTTCTAGCACCATTGACTTGATCGATATTCCATATAAGTTCGGATGCATCAACTTTGTAACTTACATCCCCAAGTTCGGATTTATATTTCAAATCGTCTGTTTGATTTCGATTATCATACTTTATGGGGAAAAGTGATGGATTTATTGGTAAACGAATTTGTAAATTATTACAATGAAGTTTCTTTTTGAAATTCGTGCTTAAAACACAAAGCACTTGAAGCTTTTTCGTTATCCGGTGGATTCTATAAGTTGGTTTAATCATAATCAACGGTAATTTACGTCTTTGTTTTTCTTGCTCCACTTGATACGTCAATAGAGTAAAGTTATCATCAGGTGGTACAAAGCAAATTAAGTTATCCTTATAAATTGATCCGAGCTCTATGCACTGATGGAATTGTACGTTTCGAATAGGTATTCTTCTTCTTTGTTTCTTAGTTTTTTCCGAAAGTAATTCCTCTTGTTGTTCATCTTCCTCTTCTTCATCGGGTTCTACTTTTAACTGATTATCTTCTCTTTTGGAATTTGAATCATGAGTTTCATTTTCCTCATCATACGTTTCATCATTACCAATTCTTGATATATTATGTTCGTTAAATCCCAATTTACAAGTCGGCATTCCCGAGAGAAGTGACTTGACAACACACGTCCCGTGGACTTCATTTATTTTGATGATTTCAGTTTCTAAATCGTAATAAAATTCACAATTTTCAATGATATCAATATAAATTTCATTTTTGGCATAAAAGATTCCCTTGGGTCTCCAACTTATATTCAGAGCCGCTGTTCTTAAAATTGAACTATTTATCTTTGTGTCTATTGATTCAAGTACATCGGTTTTAATTGCTTGGTTATGGGTGGATTTGATATTTTTAAGTTTCTTTTGATGTGCTTTAGAATTTTTCTTTTTATCTCGTTTATACTTTTCATTAAATTCGTCATCGGATTTTGAATCTGACAGTTCATATTCATTGCCATCATCGAGGATTTGTGATGTGGACTTAGCCCAGTTCGTTTCAACCTTAATATATTCTTTTAAAATATTATAATCAGTCAATTGAGCCACTCCGAAATCCATGCATTCATCTAGTAGTTCATATATTATCACAAAATTATCAATGATTCGATCTTTATCTAGCCTTAATATAGTATTTAATATCTGATCCTCTTTATTAGAAAATTCAGTAAGGCTTTTAGGCTTTACACACAAGTACTGAAATAGTATTCGATAAAAATTATGAAGAAATGTAATAATCGACATTACATTAATATTACTTCGTGAAACCGCCATGATAAATATATTATTATCACATTGAATATAAGTATAGCTGATTCCATTCGAAAAAATAAACGGACATCTCTCTTCTGGCTTCAATCTCTTATATGCTGCGTCAAAGTCGGATAATATAAATGATTCATCGGGAACATCGTTATGGTACCCTCTATGTAGAAGAAGTTCAAAATGCAGTATTTGGGTATCGACAAGGGGCCCATTTAGTATATAGATAGCTGAAACCATGAGCCACTGTGGAATTTTTTTCTATCTCAGCATATAGGTTTCTATATCTATTTGTATGAATCAAATATTTGCAGGGTTCGGGCCGTTGATGTCAATCTGATCAAAACTTCTTACACGATGATATCTTTATTCGCGACACTTGGTGGGTTCCTGGTGTATGGGTTTTGCTGGGGTTTCTCCAGGATTTTTCGCTTTTCGATGTTTTTTCAGTTAACAAAGTGATGAATTAGGGTATGCTGCTTCGTTTCTTTGTTTAGTCAACTGGTGGATATGTCTTTCAAACCTGGAAGAGTGGTGCCTCTCAATGTTCTCAGTAACCAGATAGTGAAGCTCAATGAGCTCGGGTCCAAACAGTATTGGCGTCTTCAAACGAATAAGCTCGATGATTCCAAAACTGAGCAACGCCTAGAAGCTGACTATAAATTTAAAAGCTTTGCCAAAACATGGGAATTTCTCAACATGGTTGCATTGAAAGCAGCCACTTTGAAACATCACCCCACAATCATCACAACTTATAACAAAGTAAACCTTCAAATAACAACGCACGACGTGGGCAACTTAATAACCTACGATGATTTAAAGTTAGCATCAGCAGTGCACGATGAATTCGTCGATAAGTTTTCAAGTGCCAAATCTAAAACTCCTACGACCACCGAAGGAGAACCTAATAATGGCTTGTCTAACGTGGAAAAGACCTCACAGTTAATCGATGACTTGATAAATAAACCATAAGGTTTAGCATACCTCAATTACTCACTTTTGAGCTACTCCAAGCCAAAATTTCGGCTTAGTTCAGTCTCAGTTCATATATAAGTAGTACCCGGCTTCTACTTAGTTATATACTACTCTCATTTAGGCATACATAGTAATACAACGTTCCTTATACTCGTTCTACAATTAATTAATTGCCTTTTTGCAAGAAAAATTCGCATTATCAAAAAATGTTGTTGGAACAAATAGTAGTTTTTGCAACCCTCATTTTGCAAGCAATAGCCCTTGAAATTACACCCAGGTACTCCACTCCCCAGACAAGCGTCTTGCAACAGTCGTATAGTGACATTAAGAAAGAGATTATTACTGTTCCAGAATTCGATGCTGTCACCCCCAAAATGCTTTTGAAGTATGGTGTTGTGAGAGTTTCCTCCTCCAATTCCATTATTGCGTCTCAATTACTCGCAGAAGAAGCATTCAATCCTAATTATAGCCCTTCGTATCAGTACGAGAAAGAAGAGGAGGAGTCGGAGGCCTTTTCCGTTGACGCAGCCAGTGACAAACGGAAAACCATCTTTTATGAAGTCTCATATAGCGATGCTCAAGTTACTCGCAAAGTCAGTGATTGGATTCCTATTGGTGGTTGTCACCCAAATACGCTATCGGAAACCTCTAGTTCCTTTTCTCAAGGCTACACAGTCACGGCCGGATCAGGTATCACTGCCTCTGTTAAGTTTTCCCAACTACTCGGAATTTCGCCTCAGTTTTCCTATGACCTTGCTTACACTGTTTCTACTGGAGGAAGTTTGACTTGTTCGGTCGAGGCCGGTAAAACTTTACAGTTCCAAGTCATGGTGGAAACAGTAACTATATCTAATTTGAAACAAAGACAAATCAAAATTTCGGGGGACTACCAGTTTGCCAATGGCTATTTGGCCAGGATGAGCGTAGGTGATTGGGAAAGCGTTGAAACATTCTCCCAAGTCAATAAAGGTAACGTCCAGACCGCATGTGTAACTGATCCTCAATACTTGATGTGCTGACCTTACACTTCCTTGATAATAATATATATTTATATTAGACTATGTTACAGAGGGTACTAAACCCTGTTATTTTAATTATGCGATCTAAAAAGAAGGAAAAAAAAATATCAATTGACAGGAACTTCAATATCATCTCTCTTTGCTCTGCAATATGCATCCCTGACCTCAATAGCTTCATAGGTACCTTCTAAGTTTGCATAGACTGTATACTCATGGTCCCAAATTCCTTCAACCACTTTGGTTTCTAAAACTTTATTCTTTTGCTTTCTATGTTTAGATAAATGCTTCCTCTTGGAATTTTGATCGATATTCTCTATAGTTCTGATGTATTTCAAGTAAAATGGTGGGGTTCCGGTGAATGTGAACTTGATTTCAGTCTGGTCACCTTCATGAAGGTTACGGATTATATTTTCACCTTGACTTACTTCCACTGATGGAAGGTCATAAACATCCAACTTCAATGATTCATATTGTGAGGTGCCTTCAGTGAAATTAACCGAGCATTTATTCACAGACGAATCTCGCAAACCATTGATTGTAAGGACACCAGGTTTCGAAGCTAATCGGTAGAATCTATGAGACAGTTCTGCTCTTTGTGATTTTCCATTGAAAGAATAAAAAACAGTGAATGGAGAAACCCCACTCATATTATAGGAAATGTGGTCACCCACACAATAGTAAGGTTTATTTGGTTGTTGTTTTGATATGTTTGGTGCCTCAGTTACAGCAATAGCATATCTATTATTGGAGGTTAAATCTTTCTTTTTACAGCCATTTGCATCTTGGACCTCATGTAAAGTGATCAAGTGTTCACCTACATGAAGATCTTTCTCAATGTCTAAACTTCGTTTGTTTGAACCCAACGCATTTGATAAATGCAAATAAGGTTCATCGATGTTTTCGATCATAAACTTTTGACTTTTACCATTCAATCCTTGTTTGAAAGATGCTTTTATCGTGAAAGGATATTCTCCAGAGAATTCAACTGGTATTGCAGGTATTGATGATTTCTTAGTTTTCAAAGCAGTCTCACATATTTGGACAAAGTTAGATGACTTAGGGAAAATGGCATTAGGTAATGGGGAAATATCATACCTCACAACAGGGCTCAATCCTTTAGATTCCCCAAGTCTCAAAATCCTAGATTTGGTATACAATTTATCATAGACACCTTTGAAAACGACTTCATAGTCTCCACTTTGACTTGTTGGCAAGTCAAAATCAATGTTATTCGAATCAGCACTTAAACTTTTCGTCTCGACCTTACCGCCAGGAAATTTAATGTCGTAATCAACGATAAATGGGGCTGACCCCTGGAGATTCAATTGGACTCTATTTTCACGGTATTGACAAACACGCTTCAAATGTACCGAAGCAAAATTTTCCTCCAGGTGTTGTTTCAAAACTGTTTCTGGAAGTGCAGATACAGTAAGATTAGGTCTAGGGTAAAAGCTTACTCGAACTTCTTCTTCATCACTGATTTTACCACTGCAACCACCATTCATCAACGAAGTGAGTTTATATATACCAGTATCTCTAACAACAAAATTATTCAAATTAGTGAGCTTTCTTGATTTGGATATGCTGCTATCAAACAAATCAGTAATTGTGTAATTCAATTGATCACTGGAAGACATACCAATTGAGGACTTGAGTGATAACGGTATTTTGACTGAGTCACCTTCAATAATTCTGAAATCTCTGGATCCTTTATCAAAGGATATTTCTGGTATGTCTGATCTTGTTCTCACATAAATTGATTCTTCAGTGTCAAATTCAGCATTACAACCCATTGAATCAACCGCATCTTTCAAAACAATAGAATAAGTACCGCCTTTTTTGAACGATGGTAACTCAATATTATAAATACTATCAAACCAATTTGTAACTTTTTGATTAGAGACAGCCTTTTCTTTCGATTGAACATTGACAACATCATAAGAAAAAGAAAAAGGCAGATTTCCAGTGAAATACAAAGGTACCGTAGCAGAACTATTGAAGCAGGTAGATAAAGTTTTAGACTTACCACCATTTTCAAAAAATGATGCCGACGATCTTTGTTTGAAATAGGTCAGGTATGTATGTTTCTTCTCGTCAAGAGGGATTGGTTGTTTATTATAATTAACGTCTTTGATATTCTTGAAAATAATAACATACTCACCTTCAACACGAGGTTTATATTCAAAGTTATAATGTTTCAGAGAAGATTTGATAACCCTAGTCGTAAGGCCATGCTCATTGAGTATAGGCTTTAAAGTTCCACCAGAAATATTCTTGAATACTTGATATTGGACCAGAAATGGAGCGGAGCCTTCGAAATCGAAATCAAACTTATAACCAATCAGACCAACACATTTATCGAGGATAGGTTCTGCCATTATATCTACTTGTGGTGGGCCAGCTAAAACAAGATCAATTGCAGTTGGATCAGCCTTGCATGGACAAAATTTATTGAATGCCTCAACTAATTGATATCTTCCCTCTTTACTTACTTCAATACCCTTTCTTAACTCTTGTACATTTTTAAATTCTCTTTTAAAAGTATGATCTAATAGCGAATTTTCGTTACTTGTATAGGATATATTGACAGTCAAAGGGAAATCGCCATCATAAGCCAGATAATCTAGATTCAAAGTTTTTGAAGAATTTACCAACAACGCTTTGCTTGCACTTGTGTCTACAAGTCTTATAGGTTGTACTGGTCTTAAGTCAATTTCAAACCATAAATCATTATCCTCAGAAAGTGGGTTATATCTTTTAGAATTACCTAAATGATCGGTAATTGCCCTAATTTGAATGCCAACTTTACCTGTATTTTTCGTCGAAAGAATTAATGGGTTCCATAATAATTCTTGCTCGACCAAATTACGAGTGAGAGTTTCGGTCCGAATTAGATCTAGTTCAGTATTAGTTTGCTTTTCAGTTTCAACAGTTTTATGAAATTTGAATAAGGTTCCATCAGTCAACTTAGCATCAAACTCAACATTCAATGGGGCAACACCAGAAACTTTAACCAAAGGTAAATTTAAATCATTATCTTCAATGTCTGGATCCCCAACACACTTATAGCTCTTTTTATTAGGGAAGGGGTAGACGAATTCTGAATTGGGGCATCTCGCTATGAGAAAGTCTGATTTGAAAGAACGAATGACTGTACCTTTTAAATCAGTGACTTTGCTTATTCTGTATTTTCCAGGAGCCAGTATTGGAACTTCGGTATAAAATACTCTTTTGTCAGTACTGATAAAACCAGAATGTTTTCTTAAATGACTTGTATCTTTTTTCAACAATTTGTTTAAATCATTTTTTATATAATTCACATGATGAATCTCATTTTCAGGAGTTATATGTTCTATTTGTAAAAACCCAATATCAGTAGTGGTATTAAATTCTATTGGCATCATTATTGGAGCTGGGTGATTGGTATCCAAGCATAGTTTATCGAAATGGAATGGATTGAAATGAGCAGATGAATCAGGCAAGTATTGAATAGTATATTTACCTTTAAAATGAGAATTCATATCGATGACGTTTGTGGGAGATACAGAATCACCGATGATGGTCAATTCTTTCTTATTGAAGATGTATTTCCAGAATGGTAGAATTAAGTTGGCAAAAAGAGGAATTGCTGCGTTACTAGCAAGAACAAATGTAATAGCATTCATTCCAAGTGTTAGAAGTAATGTTAGCAATGGAGAAAACGTTAGGTATGGAATATTCAAGATGGGAAGAATCCATAAGAACAGCCCATCTATTATGGCATATTTTATCACGAAGGTAAAATTATTGAGATTGGTCAACGTAACCGGGTTTGTAGTTAAAGTCTCGGTCCTTATCAAGATAATATCATAGACTTTCCAACATTGTATAAGAATAAACACTGAAAGTATAAAAAGACGTTGGGAAGCATGATCCAATACATAGGGTGGTATAAAACTATCGTTAGCACTTCGACTATCCCCTTGCTGTTTCTTGCTGTTCGACAGCTTTTTAGCTGTTCCACCAGAATCCATTATGTGTGGCAAGGGTGATTGGATTCAAGAAATCAAGTATCGAGTAGAGTCTTATAGCTTAAACTGTTTACTTCTCTGTTTTCATTTTTTCGTGGGTTTCTTTTCGCTAACTTCCATCTTCGCTTTTGATGCTTCAAACAAAAAAAAAAAAATTTTTTTTTCTGCGAAAGTTTTGCTACATTCTGAATTTTGCAATCTAATTTACATGTTCATTAATATACAGTTATTATGCTTATATACATCCAATGTTCATTGAAGGGCATAAGGCTAGTCTTCAATGACCCAGGAACCATGCTTTTTGACTTGGTAGACTTTGACCACTGGCAAGTCCCAACCGAGACCACCATCACCAATAGCAGCACCAAACCTTGGTACAACGTAACATTCTCTTTTGGAAGGAGTGATATTCTTTGGGGCATATGGATGTCCCAAGGGCTTGGAATAAGTAACCAAGGAAGAAGTTTTACCAACGTTAGCCAATTGTTTACCTGTGATGTTGACTAATGGTTTCATTCTCAATTTTTTAAGTTTGTTCTCCTTTGCGTTGGCACTTAAATTCAAAGAAGAGTATACAAAATACTGAGCAGGGACTTCACCACTCTTCACGATGACCGAGTTAGGGTGGATATAAACATGAGGATCAATTCCATCGTTATACACTGAACTTGGGAATAAAGTAGAATACGGAATGCTAGCGATGTTCATTTTGTTAGTGATGCTGATATCAGCATCTACCAAGTCACCACGGACTGCTATTTGATCAATGAATCCCGATGCCACCATTTGTTTTATTGCTGCAACTTGAACTTTTGAAGGCACTCCCAATTTTAAAGTTTCTTCTTTATGAGCAGCTATAGAGTCTTCACTAGTGTTAACTTTGACTATATAAGTGATTTGCTTTCTTAACTTTTGAATTTCCTCCATGACCTTGGCTCTCAAGAAATTTGAATTCAAAAAGTCAATTTTCTTATTCTGTGGAACATGGTCAAAGGCACAAACTGCTGATAAGAGCTTCAATGCATCGGAATACTTATCTAATCTAGAGAACATTGCATTAGACTTGTGGTACTTGGATCTCAACTGTCTTCTGGCTTCGATATCCTTATTAGATTCATCTTCGCTTGATTCATAATCATCTTCATCGGAACTATCATTCGTATCGTTCAGTTTTTTTTGCTTTTTCTCCTTAGGTTCCTTATCGAGGCCCAATTCAAACTCATTGATAAAGGGATCACCGACAGACAATGCAGAAACGATAGCAATTATATAATTTAAACACTCTTGTTGATTTCCGATGATTAATACCTTTGCAAATCTAGGACTCAACGGAAACAAGGCCATGGTTCGACCCAATTCAGTGATGGATTTACTTTTCTTATCTAATGCACCCAAATAAACCAACAACTTTTCTGCCTTATAAAGGGAACGTCTGTCTGGTGGAGTGGGAAATGGGAAATTGACAATTTGATCAATGCCCATACTTTTCATCGATAAAACAGTACTTTCAACCGGCATTCTTAAAATTTCAGGCTTACTAAACTGAGGGAAATATTCTTCATAGATTGCAGAAGAGAATAACCTGTAACAATGTCCTGGACCGGTTCTACCAGCTCTACCAGATCTTTGATCTGCTGAAGCTTTAGATATCCAATCAACTTCAAAAGATTGGACATTGGTTTCCTCATTAAATTTACGTTCTTTGGATCTACCACAATCGACAACGTAACGAATTCCAGGTATAGTCAAAGAAGTTTCTGCAACATTAGTCGCCACAATACATAGTCTGCTTCCTTTAGGAGGGTCTTCAAATACTTTCATTTGTTCTTTTGTAGGTAATAAAGAATATAATGGCAAGACATACAAAGGATCTTTTTCAGTTTGATGATCCTCCAATGTTTCTTCAAAACCTTCTTCTTCTTCTGAATCAGATTCATAATCATCATTCTCTTCTATTTCTTCTGGTTTCAATTTAATATCCATTTCAACATCCTCTGCTTCAAGTGAAATATTTTTAGTAGCACCGACTTGTGGTATCTCAGTATCATAGTATTTCTCCTTTTTAGATTGAGGGAAAGGGAACTCTTTTCTTAATTTTTTCACAGTAGCAGTGATTTCATTTTTACCAGTAAGAAAAATCAATATTCCACCTGGGGGTAATTTTTTATGAATTTTGCATGCTTTCTTGAAAGCTTCTTCCAAATAGTCAAATCGTGTATGACGGTTGAAATGGACACTGACAGGGTATTGTCTAGCATCAACTTTTAATATAGGTGGAGGAGTAGTAAATAAACTTTTATTTTCTGAAAAATCAGAGACCCTTAATGTGGCAGACATGACGATAATTTTTAATGGCTTATAGTTTTGAGGATCTTTTTCATGATATTGTCTTCTTAATTTTAAAACCCTACTTAGCATACCAATTAGAATATCGGTATTTATATTCCTCTCATGAGCTTCATCAATAATAAGAGAAGAGTATTTCTTTAACAAGAAATCGGTCATCATTTCTCTCAACAACACCCCATCTGTCATGAATTTCATTGCGGTACCATTTTCAGTACCTTCATTTTTAATTGTGGTATCAAATCTGATTTGATAACCAACCCTCTTACCATGCTCTTCACCCAATTCATTACCGACACGTTGGGCCATGGAAACGGCGGCCACACGTCTTGGTTGGGTGATACCGATCATGCCAGGATATAAATCTGATTTCAAATTACCAAAGCCGGCTTCGTATAAAAATTGGGGGACTTGGGTGGTTTTACCGGAACCAGTTTCACCACAAATGACAATGCAATCATGGTGATGGATAGCTTCCATTATTCTGTGTTCTTCACCAAAGACAGGAAGTTGCATTCTTTGTGATTGGACTTCAGGATCCCTAGTGACATCCACAAAAAATGCATCTCTTTTTAAATCTTCATTAATAGGAATGATTTCTTCATTATCAGAAGGCAAATCTTCTTCATGAATTGTTGGTTTAGAATATTTTTCTTTGACTTCTTTGGATAACTCGGGTAAAACCACTTCCTGATCACGGTTCTCGAGCTTACGAACTTGACTTTCAGCCCATTCTTTAAATGTTTCAGCGAGTTTTGAATGCTTAGGTTTACCTCTTAAAAGCCTTGGAACATCTTCATCATCTTCGTTTTCGTCCTCATCATCCTCATCATCATCCTCATCATCCTCTTCCTCTTCATCACCGTCATTATCCTCTTCCTCTTCATCACCGTCATCCTCCTCTTCCTCTTCATCACCGTCATCCTCCTCTTCCTCTTCATCACCGTCATCCTCACTTTCATCATCGTCATCCTGCTCTTCGATATCTCCTTTAGTGCTTGATGTGCTGGAATCAGATACATCTTCGCTTTCTTCATCCAGGGCGCTTTCTTCATCCGATTTAAAGTCATCTTCCTCTTCGATCTTGAGTCTCTTTTTCTCTTCTTTCTCCACAGCTAGTCTCCAAGTATACTTCTTCTTTGGTTTATTTTTTTCAATTTTTTGCAAATTGGCAAAACCAAAGCCAAACCCACTTCCACCAAACTTAGCTGGTCTATTATCTATGAAAGAGGATTTTGACTCGGTAGATGGAAATTCGTCTTCGTCCTCCTCATCTTCTTCTTCACTTGATGGGAACTTACTAGTATATGTGTCTTGAGATGGAGCATCTTCTGGCCAGTCTTTAACTTCATGCTCTTCGTATAGAATTTCTTTTGTACGCTCATCACCTCTACCTTGTCTTTCCAAGTCAAGAGCTTCGATCATTTCCTCACGCCTAGTTTGCTTACCTGTCCCCAATAACTTTGAAGGTGCTAGCAAGTCGGTGTCTATCTTTGTTTTGGATAATTTTTCAAGTAATGTCTTCTTTTCTTCTCTTTTTATTTGATGTTCAATATATTTATCCAAACGCTTCTTTTTAGCCTTAGATAATTTATTTTCCTTTGAATTTTGATCGTATAATGACTCCTCTAGCTTCCTTTTACGCTCAAGCTTCTCGGCTTCCGTCACAGGCTTTAGTATCGCAGCATTGGGATCTTGTTCTTGTTCAAGTACGCTATTCGAAGTACTTTTTGATTCATTCGAATCAGCGTCCTCATCGGCATATCTGGTGAATTGCTTGTTTCTCACCGCCTTCAAAGCGTTTTGCTTTGCAATTTGGCCGGATCTTGCCTTCTCATTGAACCTTTTTCTATACTTACCCATACCAACTTAGAGTATATCGTCGGTTCTATGCTTATTCAAAAACCTTTAACCATCACATCTGATTCAGCTTTTTTTTTTTTCAGCTCTTCTCAAAAGCTCTTCGTAGTTAGATAGTGCACGTGACCTCCACAGTGTGTGTAGACAATCAAATTGTTTAGTTGGTAAATTGGGACGACAACCCTAAAGATTCAAGTTATCGATTGATCACGGATATTGAAAAATTATAACCAAATCTTTGAGTGATACCCCCTTTTAGAGCTTGTATTTCAATTCGGCATAGTCTCAACTACGTTTTCTGCGAAACATTCATATCAAATTTGTTATTCCATTGCTCAAATTGGTGTAATAATCTACAACGATTTAAGTATACATGCAAGGATTTAAATAAAAACCAATTAACAACATGATCAATAAAGACTTATCTAAAAAACGTATGTAAATCTGCTTAATTTTCGAAAAGCTTTTCTGGTTTGGAATACTTACAAATACTTTTTCTTTTTTAGTAATTCATACAACGCTTACTCTTAATTCGACCACCCTTTATACTACTGAAAATGCTCAGTTGGTTCATTTAATCAATAACTTGAATTGTTCCGAGTTGATATCACAGGAACTCGGGCTTATAAATGCTTCTAAAACACTTATTGGCTCGATTCCATTAACAAGTAGCAAGATTACTAATTTTAATCTTTTACTTTATTTTATGAAAAAGACAATACATAATAGTGATGGAAGTACCGATCTAGTAACGGTTATTACAATTACTGATGCGGAAGTTAATAAGACTTTGATTTTATCAGTTTTAAAGAAAATAACTGATAAATACGTTGAATTTAGACTGGATATGGAAAATAATGATAATCAAGGTAAAGCAAAATCGGGAGAGTTCAAACTCTATATGAATCAAATTATTAAATTTGAAGAAATGCATTATGATAGTAATCAACGTATATATAACTATGGATCAATCAATGGTCGTGGAGATCGCGATGGATCAACTAGTCCATCTGCAAATGACGTGATTAACCCAAACCAGCTTCTTTTAGCTAATGAAGAAGTCGAAGAAGTTCGAAATTTGATGCTTGATAACATTAATAAATTACTACATAGAGGTGATAAAATACATTTATTAGTTGATCAAACCGATCGTCTTACCAATTCTTCTCTGGTTTTCCAAAAGAGAGCCCAGTCCATTAAGAAGAAAATGTGGCTAAGTAAAACTAGATTGATGATTATGTTGATCGCAGGTGGTATATTACTTATATATCTACTTTTAGGTGTTGAATGTGGTCTACCTTTCTTTAGCCAATGTTTCCATCATTAATTTAATATATATATACATATAAATCTGAAATAAACTATTCTTCGTCCGATGATTCACCACTTTTAGCATCGTTTTGGTCTCCATATTCTTCACCACCCAATTCATTCTCTTCTTGTCCTAATATTGCAATTGGGTTAGACTGCGGAACTTCACCTTCTTCCTCCCCACCATCTACATCCTCTTCATCATTTGCATCATCTTTTGCGTCTTCAAAATTATCTTCCTCTTCTTCTTCCTCTTCCTCTTCATGTTCAATTTTATCTTCCAGTTTCTGAATACCTTGTTCTGAATTATCCTTTAATTTCTTAGCAGCCGGTTGAGTATTTGGATCTTCAACCTTAGCACTCTTATTCTCTAATCTTTGTTTCTTTTTCAATACAGTATTATTTTCAAATGCACTTAATTTTTGTTTAACTTCACCAGTAAATCCATTGAATTCAGCTCGTTCTAATGCATTTAGTATATCTTGTGCATTGACTGTTTTACGGTCTTGTTCCTTAGCAACTTCTCGAGCATGGAACATTAGATGAGAGACAAACACCGTAGCCGATCTTTGTAACGCTAATCCTGAATCTTTTGCCAAAATCATATTATCATCACCAGTACCACTGGTGATGTTTTTGGCAAGCTTCATCACGGTAGCTTTAGGAAAAAGTATATCATCGATGGAGATTATTTCCGACTCTTTTGAAACTTGAGGATATTGACCATCAGCATTCTTTCTCCAACCTTTAGGCGGCATTTTCTCTATCAGACCTAGTTTTAATATAGCTTGGGACCATTAGTTCATCCTCCTTTGTATACGCGTATCTTTTCTTTCCTTCTAAATGTCGCGTGGAAATCAAAGGGTCGAAGAAACGACAATGTCGAGTCGAAAGACATCCTCTTTGTATAAAGACCTAGTTGAAATTCATTAACCAACAAAGCCCTACTTCTTACAACAGTGGAAGCTACAACTCATCAATAAGACGTCACTGCTCATAATACACTTTCGTTTGTCTTTGCTTTCACACCACTTCTTTTGGGAAATTTTTTTATTTTTTAATTTTTTTTTTTTCAACTTTTCATATTCATCTCTGCTTCCATCTATTGATAAGATACTCGGTAAGGTGCTTGGAGAGAAAGCCACTCGTTAATCATCGCCTGTATCGTATTGGACTAAAGCTCAAATTTTCTCATGGGCAACAGTCAGAATCAGAATGGTACCAAAAAGCTGAAAAAAGAAGAGGAAGGGACTTATGGGATTCTCGATAGCAGAAATATCGATCGTGTTCAGCTAGGTGATTACGAGTTCGACACTTGGTATGGAAATGCTGCCTATTTCAGCACTCAAGATCACGAGCATGATCAATTGGGTATTGATTTTATGAAGAATCCCACCATCCCGAATGGAAAAACAAAGGGACGAAAGAAAAGTACCGACCTCAACAAGTCATACTGGATTGATCGACTTTACGTCTGTGAATACTGTTTCAAATATACTTCTGATGAGTCGAAGATACTGCAACATAGACAAGCGTGTGATATGAAAAAATCATTTCCCCCCATAGGCACTTTGGTTTATCGAGATTTGGTTACTCCTTATATAATCAAACGGGTTAGGGGATTCAAACATCCTCTTTTCCTTCAGAATTTATCTTTGTTTGGTAAGCTTTTCCTAGATGATAAATCGGTATACTATCATCTTGATTATTTCGATTTCTACATCGTTTACGGATACGATCCCATTGATAGGAAAAGTCCGTCTGATCCTAAACCGAATTTCAAACCAATGGGATTTTTCTCCAAAGAAGTCATCACTTTGGATAACGATAATAATCTAAACTGCATCTGTGTGTTTCCTCCTTACCAACGACTTCATCTCGGGTCGTTGTTGATTGAATTTCTGTACTCCTTGGCTGGCCTAACCAGGGGCCAGTTTAGAAGTGGCCCGGAATTTCCTTTATCCCCATATGGTAAGTTAACCTACTTGAAGTTTTGGTCCAGAAAATTGTCTTATGTATTAGCTTCTTCAAATTTCAAAAACTCAGATAAAATCACATTGAAACACCTAGCAGATATAACCGGCTTTCGCTGTGAAGATATTTTAATGACTTTAGAGCATATGAAACTTCTTGTAAAACACCCAGAGTCTGAGAACGTTGAATTGATGTTGGGTAATTTGGAAAACTTGATCAACGGGAACCCCCTTGAGGAAAGGTGTCTGTTGAACAAAGATTGTTTATTGATATGAGTTATGTTCTCTTACCTATTGTATACTAGCTGTAATATTCATTAATAAGTTTAATAAAATTTAATAACTGCAAAAAAATGAAGATGTCACACGTAAAAAAAAAAGCTAGCGGAAAAAAAAGAGCATCAATAAGACGCGATTAGCCTCTTGCTTGTCTAACTTTACTTGAGTTCATAGACACCTCTATAGCAAATGACTGTCGAGAAGCAGCGGTACTTCAAAATGGAGAACTCCAAGTTGCCATTTGAACCTGTGAAACGAAAACCGCTGGCGGAAGGAAATGATAAGGTCAAAGATGATTCACTTTTTGTGGTTGATGATGAGAGTGATGATGAACCACAAGTGATTGACAATCTGCAACATAATGCTGGTCCAAGAGCCGACTCTACATCCCCGGAGGCGCCTCCAGCTTCCGAACCTGAAACGTTACGTCTGGTAGACCAAGACGGATACGACTTATTCAAAAGTCAATTGCTTGCTGTTGTTGGAAACATGAATAGTCGATCTGTCTATTATTTGTATAGGAAATACTTTAACCAACCAAATTACCTTAATCTTGCGACAAATGAGTATTTCAATGGAATCAGCATCGATGACATGAGAAATTTGGAAGAAGAGGATTCTGATTTCAAGGCTAAGGTCGAAGCAGATGGTCAAATAGACGATGTTGTGGATAACTTGTTTGAAAGAATGAAAGATATATCCCAAACGGAAAAATTAGCACTTAGCCAGAAGCTGTGGAGTAAATACATAGGAACTATTACTACCTATGCAATGGCAACAAGACCTATTATGAGACCCTTACAGTATAGACAGAAACTCCAAATAAAAAGACTCGGATCTAAACCAAGTTCAAAAGACCTGGATAATACATTGATAAGAGTCTTCACCGACGAAGACCGACCTCGTGAGATTGGCCGGTTGGCCCAGGATGTGACTAATATGTTGGGCCCATGCTTCGACTTGAACATAGCTGATTTTGAATGCACGGTGATGGTGGAGACTAGTAAACGACTCTCCGTCGGTGATTCCTTTTATCTTTCCATAGATTGTTATTTAAAACATATGGCATTCATTAACTATAATGACGAAGGAATTTCTCATATTCAAGCAGAAGAGGCAATCAAGGACGTTAAAAGACAAAAAAAAGATGGGACTAGGGTTGGCTTCAATTTTGCTTCAGAAACCAGTGGTGAAAAAGTATTGAGATTAAAACAATATGCCTTATCCAGATTGTTCGATCGTCTTAACATGAAATCAATCGAGCAGCAAAAAGCTTCTGTTGAAATAGTTCCAGAATCACAACCTGTACTTGATAACGACATTGTATCTGCTGTTACTCAGACCCAAGACGAAGAAAATAACGAAGCAAAACTTGATTTGGACCAGTTACAAGAGTTTTATCTGGCTAATCAACAATCAGAATATTTGAAAAGTCTTCCCGAAACTACAGTTCCTCCAAAAGAGAATTTTCGTTTGGAGCTACGTGATTATCAAAAGCATGGTCTCTCCTGGATGTTGGTTCGTGAAAAAGAGTTTAAGGTATTAGAGGAGCTCTCCACCGACAAATCCTCCGGTGAAGGATTATCAACTCAAGCAAGATCTACAATCAAAGAAAATGAGAAAGGTATTATGAATCCTTTATGGAAGACATATACCTGGCCCGCAGATACTTCTTATAGGGCAGAGAAGCTAGGTTCAGAAGTGATAGATGGTATCTCATCAGAGTTAGATTCTCATTTCTATGCAAATTTACATAACGGAGAACTATGCTTAGAAAAACCTCTTTTGAAAACTTTGGTAAGAGGTGGAATATTACTGGATGCTATGGGTTTAGGTAAAACAGTAGCTGCCACCTCTTTGATTACCTCGGTACCATATGATTCAAATGAAGATGATGAAAATCCTACTCGTGGTTACGCTTCAAAGACAACTTTAGTTGTCGTTCCAATGTCTTTATTATCTCAGTGGAAAAGTGAATTTGATAAAGCGAATAATAATCCAGATCATCAGTGTCTCATTTACTATGGGGATCAGGTTCATTCAGATTTAGTCCCAATACTCTGTGGCAAGAAAAAGAAAACTCCTATAATGATGGTAACAACATATGGTACCATACAGCACGAATATCAAAGATTGAACAAACTAAGAGATATGTATGGGAATTTGCCCCAAATCGGAATATATTCAGTCAAGTTTTTCAGAATCATTATTGATGAGGGACATACCATTAGAAATAGAGCAACAAGAACTGCCAAAGCTATTCATGAATTACTGCTGAGCCGTAAGTGGATCTTAACTGGTACACCTGTTATAAACAGATTGGATGATCTTTATTCTTTGGTCAAGTTTTTGCAGCTAGAGCCTTGGTGTAATTTCTCCTATTGGAAAACATTTATTACGTTACCATTTGAGCAAAAAAAGTTTAGTCAGACTCTAGATGTGGTTAAGTCTGTCCTTGAGCCAATATTTCTTAGAAGAACTAAAGATATGAAGGGCAAGGATGGTAAGCCGTTGATCGAGTTGCCTCCTAAAGAGGTAACCATAGAAACAATTAAGTTTAGTACTCACGAAGAAAACCTTTACAATTATTTTAAATCAAGGGCCAATCAATCTTTCAAAGAAGGAATTGAATCTGGTAATTTACTTAAGAAATATACTCAAATTTTGACACATATTTTAAGACTTCGTCAAATATGCTGTCATCCGGACTTAGTTGGAAGTACTAGTGAATTAGAAGAAATAGAGTCTGCCGATAAACCGGATTTGGAATCAATAGAAGCAATGCATGGTGGTAGTCTAACTAGTGAAGAGGATATAAACAAATTCCCTTCACAAGTGGAAATGCGCAGAGTAATGTATTCGTTATATCCTAAAGTGAATTTGACGGATGCAGAGTGCATGATATGTACGCAATCTCCAATAAACCTCGGTGAGCTTATAATCACCGAATGTGGGCACGAGTTTTGCTTCAACTGTATACTAGAGCATATTGACTTTCAACAAAAGAATAAAAAGGATCCTTTTTGTCCAGCATGTCGAGGCCCGATTTCCAAATATAAATTATTCAAACTTAGAAATAAAGAAACCTCATCGAAGAAGATAAGATTTGTTACGAAAACTCAAAGTGAAGGGGATCCAAGTGAGTCGTATCCTTTTGCTCTTTACCTTTATGACCCTGATAAGTCATCATCAAAAATTGAAGCTTTGCTTCGCCATCTAAAATCCTTGCAAGTCCAAAATCCTGGAGAACAGGTTATTGTATTTTCACAGTTTTCGTCATATCTAGATTTAATTGAAAATGAATTAAGTTTATATGAAGATTTTATCGTCTATAAGTTCGATGGTCGATTGAATTTGAATGAACGAGAAAAGTTACTTGACAAATTCAAGAACCATTCGCAGGATTCGAAGAATGGCAAGGTCATTATTCTCTTATTATCCTTGAAAGCAGGAGGTGTTGGGTTAAACCTAACGACCGCCAACAGGGCTTTTATGATGGATCCATGGTGGTCTCCTAGCATTGAAGACCAAGCAATTGATAGAATCCATAGAATAGGTCAATCTCAAAGTGTCAAAGTCATAAGGTTTATTATTGAAAATACGATTGAAAATAAAATGCTAAAGATTCAAGAGCGTAAAAGAAAAATGGGTGAAGCGGTTGAAGTTGAAGAAGAAGAGAGAAGGAAAAGAAGAATCGAAGAAATTCAGTTACTATTCGAAGAATAAGAATGTTTATAAACTTGTATATAGCTTTGTAATATATTTTAAAGATTAAGGAACGTATATGAAATTTGCAGCCTTTTTTTATTGGTTGACATTTTCACAAAGTAGCTTCACGATAAAATTTTACACAATTTTAATAAATAAATAAATAAATAAATAAGAACTTAAGAAAATATATACTTTAATTCTTTGAGTTTCTTCTTTCCTTTATAGCATCGGCCAAGACTTGTAAAGTAGATTCGGTATCTTCAATACCAATACAGGCATCAGTGATTGAACAACCGTATTTCAAAGCATCTTTACCACCTTGATCAGCAGGAGGAACGTCTTGTCTTCCCTCTTCAATATTAGATTCAATCATTAATCCACAAATACTGTCTTCACCGTTACGGATTTGTCTAGCGACTTCTGCAGCCACCAAAGGTTGATTTTTATGATTTTTACTAGAATTACCGTGAGAACAATCAACCATGATTCTTGGTCCCAACTTATCTGCAAACATCACTTTATTCTTGATCAAGGTAGCTTTGGTTTCCTTCACTGATTTTTCATCGAAATTAGTACCATTTTTACCACCTCTCAAGATGACGAAACAATCCTTATTACCATCAGTACCAACAATTGCAACAATTCCTGGCTTTGTAACAGATAAGAAATGATGAGGATGAGAGGCAGCTCTTAGGGCATCGACGGCGACACCCAAAGTACCGTCAGTACCATTTTTGAAACCAACAGGGAAAGAAAGTCCGGAACTCAATTCACGGTGTAACTGAGATTCAGTGGTTCTAGCACCAATGGCACCAACACTGAATAAATCCGACAAAAACTGAGGAGAAATGGTATCTAACATTTCACCAGCAATTGGCAATTTTGTAGTTAAATCAACGAACAATTTTCTTGCAATTCTCAAACCTTTATTAATTTGGAATGAACCGTCAATTTCTGGGTCATTAATTAAACCTTTCCAACCAACAGTAGTTCTGGGTTTCTCCAAATAAGCCCTCATGACTATGTGTAGCTCACCTTTATGTTTTTCAGCAAGTATAGCTAATCTATTAGCATAATCTAAAGCAGCTTTAGGGTCATGTATGGAACAAGGTCCAATCACAATAATAAGACGATCGTCTTTACCATTCAAAATATCGCATGCTTCTTCTCTACCTTTTAAAATCACATCTTTATTCTTGTCCGCCAAAGGGTATTCGTGTTGCAAAAGATCAGGTGGAGTCAAAGGGTCGTAACCACGAACTAAAAGTCTCAGTTAGTATCTTTGCCAAACATGGGTTTTGTCCAATTTAGTCATGCCACACGGCTAAAAATGACAAAACCACTTGGTAAGTCAATTAATTGTCAAATACATACTTCTCCAGTCTTCCATACGGCTACGGTCACCAACGTGGGGATTGGTAATGAACATATTACTCATTATTATCAACTTTGAAGAAACTTTCTATTAGTTAGCAAGGTATTAGCAATTTCGTGCACAAATATAATCAGTATCAAAACCCAAATGAATAGCACTCAAGTGTATACCAAAGAATATTAATGATTAATCAAATAATGATATAAAAGTAAGAAGAAAAGAGAAAATAAAATCGAGAATGAAAATCTCGAAGAGATGGGGCAACTTTTATATACAAAATGTTGAAAATTTAACTTCTGACTCAACTTCAACTCTGGGTGAGAAATTTCTCAAAGTGCAACAAAACCCCAGACAAACGGATTTTTTCATCTCTCTTAATAAAACATCAAATTTAATAGGCTGCTAGTTCAACTCATCTGTGCATAACGAAATGGCCAGTTTTGGTACTGTTTTAACCGTGTAGCGTCACCATCGAATACTAATGATGGATATGGGGCACGTATGGAATCAGTAGGTGAAGGGTCCGCTCGGTTTTTCCTTGACTCATAATTGGAGCCGTTCCATACAAATTAGTCATTTAATTAAAAAAACCTACTTACATCTATACTAACCTATTACCTTATACTCGTTCGAATATGTAGATATATCCGTTGTTCTCGATGTCCTCGATGCATTTATCGTCACATTCGACAACTTTTTCGTCGTTGAATAAAACCCATTTTCTCTCACCATCTACAAGCTTCTTGATAAATGCAACATAGTGCCCGGTGTGTGGTGAAGTACCTTTATGACAGATAACCGATTTGATGGCATATCTTGTATTTGAAGGTTCTGGTTGGTTCAATAATTCTTCAGTAAGAGTCTCAGTTTCGGCTTGGATATTGACCACTGGTTTATCAGTACCCTCTTCTATGATCCCATCATCATCAGGGTTGTTGAATAGCCATTCAACAGCAACATTTACATCACCACCGTTGAGAATGAGAGCCTTTCTGGCAAGAGCGTGAGCAAATCCCATGGCCATAAGGTTTTCGATTAATTCTGCACTTGGCTCGTTACCTGCACCAGCATTGTTAGTGGAAGCGCTTGGATCGAATGGCTCATCGATATCAGCATCTTCCATGTGAGCGAAAATCCAATTCATTGCATCTTCAGCATTTGAATTCCCAGTGTTGCATAAAGCCTTGAGACAACGAGTTTCCGTGAATCCCATACTCAATAGAGTGGCCATTGCTTCTTCGTTAGCAGCAAAAGTTGTGGGTTCGTTGGTTTTAGAGTTGCCTTTCACTTCAACTTCACCATTGGAAAACTTGGGGACTTCATATTGTTTTAAATCAATCGAGTCTTCTAGTTTGATTGGAATATCAACTTTAACTGGGACCCAATTTTCTAATTTGATTCTTTTGGCATTAACAACAAGATATTTCGGATAAGTCTTGAATCCACTTGATTGTAAAGCCGTTGACTTGGCATTGCATTCATCACACTGATACCCTTCAATTTCCTGAGTAGAACAATAGTCACGGAAACAATCATTTAAGGAGATTTCTTCATATATTTTGGTGCCGTCTTCCTCAACTTTCAAAACTTCAGCATTAACGGGAACCGATAAGTTATCAACTAATTCGTGGTTCAATTTACCGTGATCACAATTAGAACAAATCACTTTATTACCCATTAAAAATTTTAAATTCTTGTTAAGAGCGAAACCATATTGATTATCAAGTTTATCCAATAAATACAACATGAATTCAAATGCATCTTGTTGTCTTTGAGTTTGAAATTCGGGATGGTTTTCCCCAATTAGTGTTTTGAAAGCAGATGGCTTAATACCCATTTGATACTGGTCACCTTTGCTTGTGAAGACATTCTTATTTGGTTTCAGATAATTACCTGATTTCAAACCCTTATATAATTTGATTAATTGACTTTCTAAATCAACTGCAGGATCCTTAACTTTTTCATCAAAATCTTTTGATTTGAAAAAATCATCATAATCTTGTAAACTGAATAATGATTGAACCACTGAATTCAAATAACAAGAATTCCCCAAATTTTGAAACCCAGTACAATCTTTCCCAAAAAGTGGTTTCAATTTTTCCCCGTTTGCACCATCTAATTTAAAATCCCAATTCAAATTTTGTTCCAAGTTCAATTCGATTAAATTTTTTTCAGTTTTGGTTCGAGAATTTATATCAATACCATATTTGAGTAATTTTTCTGATAACCCAGGTACTTTCACTTCATCATTACATTGATAGCAATACGCGTCACAACTATTAGCATCATCTGCAGATAAAGAACCCAATTTAATCGCAACTGGATGCTGAGAGACTTCGTAATGACTTAATGCATGAGAATTACCTGGCAATTCCGATCCAAATTGCTTACGACCACATCCCAATTTCCCACAATGCAAGCAAATCCACAAGTTTTCTTTCAAATCACATTGACCACACAGAGTCAAATCAATTTCATCGGAGTACGGAGTTTGCTGCAAATCTATCGAGTGTTCACATGGAAGAATCTCTTGTTCCCATGCTTTGATTTCATCATTTCTATTAGTTGAATTAGCAGCTAATATCTGATTGACCAAGCTTTGAACCTCTATGGGGGATTCTCCAATAGCATACTTGTGATCACATTTTAAACAGTAAATTGAATTGATAATATCATAGAAATCCGATTCCTTGCTCTCCTTGATCTCAAGTTTTGCTATCTTCTTCTCTCTTTCTTCATTTTCTTCAGCCTGGGGTTTTTGCATTTCTTCTTGAGCTTCCGGTTTCAAAGTCTTGACGATATTAAGAAATAGCTCATGGCTCTGCAATTGACCATGCTTCAAAGTATAGTTTATATCATGATCACTACGGGAAAAAGCCTGGAAACAACTTAAACAAACATCTAACCCATTTGAATTATTCTCAGCAGTATCGAAATTGTACATACAATCATCCTTGTATATCTTGGAATTGGATCCGATGCCTGGGGCGATGCCGCCACTAGTGGCGGCACCAGAGATATGTGCACATACAGCTGAACTCATCGTTTATAGATCTTGTTCTTGATGCTTCTGAGTTGTTGATATGAATTGCCATCCAATATTATAATCAGCGTGCAAAAAATCAATCCACGAAATTCAAAGAAAAAAAAGCTGCTTTTTCCTTTCAGTTTTGTAATTTTAGTTGCAAAGTTCTCGAGGCTCAGTTGTGAAGAGAACAAATTGAATGATCGTATAGTTGTTTTCCCAGCTACTGATTACTGCTTCTTCTTCTGTATGGTCATAGTGGTATAGTAAGATGTTTCATAAGTTGCAAAGCAAGATACATAACCATGTACAACATTCGCAAGCATCAAACCAGTTGAAATCAGGTATCTATTTCGCCAATTGGTCAGTATATGCCAGGAAGTATTTCGTTCAAGACTTACCAGCAGAACACCTTACCCATGTTTTCTATGCCTTTATTGGCATGGATACTAGTACTGGGAAAGTCAAGTTCACTGATGAGTGGTGTGACATTCAAATGCCTCTTGATTCAATCAATGGCAATGGAAAGGTTACTGGGAGTCTTCAACAGTTGTATCAGTTGAAGCAGAGAAATAGGAAATTGAAAGTTATTATGTCTATTGGTGGATGGGGAACTTCCGATAGTTTCACTGCTATTATGAGTGATGCCAGCAAAGCCAGGAATTTTGTTCTTAGTTCAATTGCCATGGTTAAAGAATATGGATTTGATGGAATTGATATTGACTGGGAATACCCTAGGAATAAAACCGAGGCTAGACAATTGGTTGAGTTGTTATATCAATTAAGAGTAGAGCTTCATTCCTTCAGTCCATGTATGGTGCTTACATTTGCTGCTCCCGGAGGTGATGATAATATTCAAATATTAGATTTGAAACAGATGGATCAGTATTTATCATTTTGGAATGTTATGTGTTATGACTTTAATGGATCTGGTTGGTCTTCCAAAACTGGTTACCATTCCAATTTGTTTGGTAGTAACGGAGATAATAACTTGAACTGTGCTGATATTATAGGTAAGTATACCAAATCTGGTATTCCTTCTAATAAATTAATGCTAGGAATGCCACTCTATGCGAGAACATTTGAATTATCCAACGCTTCCAATTCAGGTATTGGACAACCTTTCACAAGAGCTGGAGGTGAAGGAACGGCTGATTACAAAAAGTTAGCAACTGATATTGAAAAGTTTGATTCTAGAAAAGTGAGTGCCTATTCTTATAATCCTTCTAATGGAAAGTGGAGTGGGTACGATAATCCCCAAAGTGCCAGAATCAAAGCCCAGTGGTCAAAGCTGAGTAACCTTGCCGGGGGGTTTTGGTGGGACTCAGCTGGTGATGAAATTTCTAACGAAAGATCATTAGTTAAAAACTACGTAGATCAACTTGGTGGTATTCAAAGTTTAGATACATCCTTAAATCATTTGGATTATCCTAGCACTTTCTTAAAACCATTACAATAGATATAAATGACCTGGTATATATTACTTATATATATACATAAATATATGTTGAAGTAGTAAACAAAGAAAGGAAGAAAAAGTGCAAGCAAATTTATAATATTGTAGATGAATCAAAAAAAAAAAAATAAAATAAAAAAAATAGAAAGGAAAAGAAACTGTATAAAAATCAAAGACGTAGATAAAACTGGTGGGGAGAAAAGTTAAGGTGAGAATATGGAAACAGATACAAGTCTAAATAACCTCGATCATAAGGAATAGAAGGAAAAGCAAGTTAAAACAACACTAGTCGATATTGAAAAAAACACTCTATTTTTTGACTAGACTAACAGGAAAAGGACGGAAAATACATTAGAAGAGTAACAGGAGAATCATAAGATCGAATCCATTCTTGAAAAAACACTTAGAATGGCTGCGATTAATTCTAGTTGTAATTCACTAGCAGCACATTGTTCAACTTCATTATTAACTTCTTGGCCCAAATTTAATCCTAAACCAAGGGGACTTTGACTCTGTTTGAAATTAAAGGGAAAAACACTAAAGTCACTTAATAATTCATCAGCCCTAGCAAAAGCTTGATCTCTTTTATCATAATTTAAAGACATTAAGACGTTTTCCAAAACATTAGCAGCATAAGAACCACAAACCAAAGAAATTGTTCTTAAATATTTAAAAGAGGTATCTTTTGGGAACTGGTCATTACCAAGAGATTCCAAATCGACATTTCTATTGATCAATACATTTAAAAGACGATTTTTAATAAATTCTTTTGACATTTTATCAGCAACTGGATGAGTAGCCATATCGAATAAAAAGAAATTTTTTCTTTCAGTTCTTAAAATACCTTTATCGACTAAACCTTTTGCCAATCTTTCTCTAACTTGTTTTAATTGATAATTAATCTTCATTAAATTCCAAGTTTCACCAGATAATAAATCAATCCAGTTGGTAACTGATAAATTTGACTCATCACTCTTCATGATTTTCAAAGCTTCATCTAATAGCACTTCACCCGTAGGTTCTGCATCAATCACTTCAACCAAACGATCACTTAATTCAAAACGACGTCTTGCTGGATCATTTACTAAAGTAATTTTATTACGGAATGCAAGTTCTAACAAGATACAACCACGCAATGCATAAGAAATATTATCATTCCAAAAACTTAAATATCCTTCTTTATCTTTTAATCCCATTAACAAAACTTCTTCCATAAGCGTTAATAAAGGCAATTTCAATTCTGCTCGATCCACTATATCTCTAGAGTCAATCCCAATTTTATGATCAGAGTTATCGGCACTAGTGGTGAAATCATCGTCAAATGAGTTAGATGACCTTGGTTTGGCGGTGTTATTAGTAGTAGAACCCCCCGATGCTGCTGCTTTTGGACCTCCACGGCGTCTTTGTAAGCCTGATGATGACATGATTAGATATTCTTGTTAAAAGATTCAAACCTGGTATCTTTTCTTTCTATGCTCAACGATTTGCACTTGTTTAAATCCCTGTCCTACTATTATCAATAACCACTGTTAATAGAAACTATTTCAAAATCACAGGAAACTGGCCGTTAGAATCTCAGCAATAAGTTTAACCAGACTATTATACGGTCAATTGATAAGCTGCAATCTCACTTCAAATGACAAAACTATTCCAAACAATGTCCAATACCTGCTACTATATGCTAGTATTCTATACAAGTATGTCAACGTACTGTGAATCAAGAAGTTGGTTCAACAATATTTCAATTTTTTCGTTCTCTCCCCTGTGCTTTATTAGCGATTTTTTATTTTTTTTTTTTTTTCCAGCTGTTTTTATCTTTTTTTTTTTACTTTTGTTAGTGTGTGTTTCGCTGAATTTTGTCCTTTGTGAGAGTGGTCTTAGGCAATGCCTGAATCAATGGCTTATTTAGTGACTTGATAGCAGAATCACTTAATGACAGAGTGAATTAATGGCAGAGTTGATAGCTTTGTATTGACTACACCTTTGTAGAAGAATTGTGTACAGCTGTAGCCAGTTTAGCCTCCTGTAATCAGCTAGCAGTGTTTTTTTTTTGACAGTTGAAGAGTAACTGAGCCTCGTTGCCAGCTTTCGAGGAAGCAAATGTACCAGCAGCACCTATCCATGGCTTGACTAGTCGTCTCTGGTATCGTACTTGTACTCCGGTCCAGGTTAGCCTGGTTTCAGACTTCCTATCAATCTATCTATATATATATATATACATTTATGTATCCAAAACTTAAGACCCGTGCACCAGAAATTAAGTACGTCTTTTGATTTTTTTCCTTTCTGTAGTTTGTTTTTTATTAAATCAAGAAGCTTACCAGCGTTTAGGTGGTTTTCATCAATTGGCTGAAGATTTGAATAAGTTGAGTGTACAGCACTGGCATTATGAGCTCCCCTTCGGATCATGGTGTGGATGAAAGGTCCCACGAAGGTCATCTCCCAGAAAATGCTTACTCCGAGACTCAGCTGGAAGGGCTGCCAAATCAATCCATGTTGTTAGATTCGTCAATGTTCAAACAGCGGAAGCAGGACTCCTTGCATCATAGGAACTCTTCGCTTCACTCGAACAGATCTTCCTTGTATGACAATAGTAAACAATCGATACCTGCTCCAGATGATTTTGTTTCATTCCCCACAATACCCGACCCTGAAAACGATGATTCAAAAACTTTAACTAAGATATTCACTAAAACTTTACGAAAAGTCACTAATAATGCATCCAATTTGGTGCAGAGCTATTCGGGGGTAAAAAATTTACCCACTCCCCAAATGAATGATATGGAACATGAAGCGGTAGAAGACTCTTCTAACCCTGTCAACCAACCATTGATGGAAACAACAGCAGTTGTTCCTAAAGAACTTAATATCAACTCAAGAGTCTCTACAAACAATTCTTTTTCCAGTGCCCCACAAAAGCAACAGCCGGCGGGTTTAAATATCTCATCTGTATTAGATACTGGCCAAAACTCAATTCGAAGCTTTGAATCCCATGAAAAGTCTCTGTCAATTCACGCTTCAATTGATGCTCTGCATAGATCGACCCCTTCCAGACTCGATTCTGTTACTAATCAAAATCTTCCCAACACCAGTCTTGCTCTGTCATCAAATGAGATTAAGAGAAATCAACATCCTGTACAGTCTGAATCTCTTTTCAAAGATGCTGGCTCATCTGAAAAGCATTTCCAACCGGTGAATCCCGCTAGTGTTGATGATACTCCAAGAGTTACCTCCGATGGTAGCGGTCTTCGCTTGTCTGGTATGAAATTACCAAAACTTCAAACAAATTCTTTCAATGGGAATGCCACTAGTTCTGTCGTTAATGTCAACGCCCTTGCTAGCACCGATCGCACGAATATCCTGCTTTCGAATAAAGATAATCGAGAGATTTTAAATAAACCTTCATCCTTGCAGCAAGTTAATGATTCAAAAGAAAGAAGAAGTCTGCGTCCCCATCAACTACTGCAACTGTTTACTCCTGAAAAAGATATTGAGCAAACTGATTCCAAGGGTCAAACTTTACAAAGTAAAATTTCATCAATATTTAATAATTTACCTAATGATATTGAATTATCTGATGACTCGGCCTCTGATTTAGAAACTATCAATAATAGTAGCTCGCTTTCTTCTCCAACCCATCGAAATTTAAATAATAAACAAAGTGATGGAAGTATCCTGACAATAAATACTGATGATAGTGATAAACAAAATCATGCAAAAATGACTAGTTCAACTCATGCCGCCAATGCCATCTTTCAATCTACATATAGTGAACCAACGTCGATTCCCTCGCCTATAAAAGTTGAAAGGGGTCGAGGCTCAAATGATGCTACTCTCAATTCTTCTAATATGTCACCAACCTTGTCCACCTTCTATGCTCTTCGTAATAAAGAAGGTCAGTATAATTCAAATCTGATGAAGAAGAAACCTTCGAACTTATCAAGCGTTTTGTTCGATAACGCAAAATCGATTTTGCATAATAATATAACCGGAGCCGTCTCTTCTGCTTCCTCGATAGTCACCGCTAAAGGAAAACGTAAAAAGAAGAAGAAGCCAAAAAGACTTTCTGAGAATCCTTTGAAAAATGGTGGTATTCCTAGAAAATATTGGATGAATGATGCTTTCATTAGTGATTGTTTGAATTGTTTCAGACCTTTTTCAGCTTTTAGAAGGAAGCATCATTGCAGATTCTGTGGTCAAATCTATTGCTCCGATTGTACTTTGTTCATTTCTTACAATCAGCATAAACAAGAAAGAAAATTGAAAGTGAGCGATAAAACCAATGGAGAACGTAATAGCAATAGCTACAATGATAAATTAAGGGTTTGTAAACCATGTTATGATGATGTCATTGTTTATTTGAGTGATGATTCTTCGTCTTCATCGGAAAATGCTGACAGTGAAATCGATCTCGAAGAAGTTTTTGAAGATGATGGTGAAGACTATCAACCTGGCTTTAACAACAACCCAACTCCTTATTATGGAGAAATCCCAGACCACCCCCTTTCTCGCATAAGGTCACTTTCTATAAATTCACGCCGTGGTAGCTTGTTGAATGAGTCAGCATTAGCAGCTGCAAATAAAAGCTTTTTAGATAAAGATTCTAGCTTAACCCCTACATCACCTACTAACCAGGAATATCCACCTAACAGTTTTTCGACTCCCTCAAAGCACTTGCAACCTGGTGTTCCCTCCCATGTCAATAATTCTAGTATACTGCTTTCCGGCTATTCTTCCCTTAATAACTCTGAGGCTGCAAAGTCTTCCCCGAAGCATCCACCTCAAATGGCAATCCCCACCACCAGAAAAGGTGAAGCAGTTGAAATTCCAGTATCTAAAACTTCATCTAATAACGTCGCAAATAATAACAAGAATAACCTAACATTATTGGCAATCAATAATGCTAGCAATCACAATACAAGTCCTGGCTCTCTTCCAAATAATTCTGACCATATGGAATCTCCTTCATATCTAAGTAATAGTCTTTCAATACCATGGTTTAGGAGTTATAATCATGGTAAAACTAGCAATTCCGGACTAAAGATGGATCTACCAAGATCTAACAGCCTTGATAATTTTAGCAGTTTATACAATAATTTTATCGGGAAGAGAGCTCCAAGGTTTGGCCGCATTCATTCGAATTCAGATAAAGATTTTACTACTTTGAAAAGTAAAAGAAGCGACTTGATCCTTTCTCAAGATGATGTAGAAGATGGAAGTGAAACCGAAATAGAAGGAGGTGATGACTTGGAAAGTGAAAATGAGGATGACAAAGTTATGTCATTGTATACTTCTTTGAACAATCCCGACCCCAGACCAGCAACATTAACATCTACTTCTGCATCTGTTGTACCAACTTTGAATGAATTCCCCACCATTGGTGTTGAAAAAAGATTTCCTAAAAATCTCAATTTACCTAGAGCAGCTCCTGGTGTATCGTTTTTGGATGATCGACCTAAATCGGAGAGCAAGTCAAATGAACGTGCTCATGCCTCTTTGATGAGAATGCAGTCAAGAAGAAAGAGTAGATCGGTAAGAAATATTCTGATTTTATCCCATAATAATTATAAGTTACAAAATATTGATAATTCAAACACTTTGAACAGTCCATCTCCTGTTTCGACTCCCAGCTCTCCCACTCCTCATCAACCCATCCACTCAAATCTCACTAAAGGTTTGTCTAGCGATTCAGTGGGTAACAATGTCCCAAGCCTTCGAGCCAGCAGCTCATCTGGTCATATCGGTCATAGCACTGACGTATCTTTCGCAAATACCACTTCGCTGGGCGACCCCATGACACCCAAAATTTCGACCACTGATGTCGATCACGATATATCTCAGGATATTACTGGTCAATTAAATTCTCAAGATATCGATGAAATCGAAAGCCCACATAATCATGATACTCTATTTGGTGATGGGGCCGAAATATCTATTGAGCCTCAGCCAATTTCAACGGAGAAGAGATATGATGATCTCATTGACCAGATTCTCGTTCAATGTTTAGAAGATTGTGATATTGTGAATGACCAAGAAAGGTGGAAACAAAGTTTGAAAAAAGTGTTGTCAAACGTCAATATATTGAAAGTAACTGACACCCTAGATATCAAACAATATATAAAAATCAAAAAGATTTTGGGTGGAAAAATAGAAGACACTAGTATTATTGATGGTCTCTTCATGACTAAGAATATTGATTCCAAGCGAATGCTTTCTAAGGTTGAGAATCCTCGAATTGCCTTATTGATGTTCCCAATTGAATACTTGAAACTGAAGGAGCAATTTATAAGTTTAAGAATTGTTCATTCTCAACAGGACGTTTATATAACAAATTTGGTATCTCGTTTAATATCTTTAGAACCTGATGTGGTAGTAGTGGGGGATACTGTTTGTGGTTTGGCTGAGAAGTTGTTAGAGGACGCGAACATTACTGTCATTTCCAATGTTAAGCCTCAAGTCATCGAACGAATATCAAGATATACTCGAGCTGATATTTTTCAATCCATCAATGATCTTTTCTTTAAAAAGGGGGTTTTAGGCTCTTGCAAGTTGTTTGAAGTTAAGAAATATATTTTTCAAAATACTATAAAAACATATACCTTTTTCACGGGTAATGACATTGAAACTGGGTTCACCATCGGCTTAAGAGGTGGCGATCATGACTTGTTAGAAAGTATCAAATATGCAGTTGAAACCTTGATCTCAGCTCAGCTTAATGCAAAGCTTGAAAGAAGTTTACTTTATGACCATGGGGTCACTATAATGGAAAGCGATTTTAACCCTGTTCTAGCCTTATCAAACCACTTAGAAGAAATCAGGCTTGATCAGGAAAATGAAATAGATGATACATTGACTTCTTGCAACAATGCTCTTGACAATCATGAAATTGAAAACTATATAAAACTTTTCAATGAAAGGAAGTTGAGTACATCACCAGCAGTGAAATTTTCCTTACCTACCTCATTGTTGAATGTTGTTGATTTCTATGATAAGTTTTATCGGTTTTATAAAATTAATAAAAGAATTCAATCATCTCAAACCTGTGAAGGAATAGATACAGAGATATTTGATGAATTGAAGATCAATATTGATACAAATAAACTTCCTAACGGAGAACACGATTTGATTACAATGTTGAAATATGTAAGTGACTATAACTTACGATCTTTGGTACATGAATTTCAATCGAGAATTAGAATTTGGTCTAATTGTATGAAATTTACGTCTTATCAATTATACCCAATATTTCACAAAAAGATTCACTTCTTGCATTCTACTGTATCGATAAAACATGCTACTCCTTGTGCAGGCCCCAACATTATTGTCATTGATTATTATACAGAAAATGATAAATGTTTCGGCGTTTACCTTGATCAAATTTTCCACGAGTCTAGTAAGACATGTGATGAATGTGGAGAATCACTTATAAATCACTACAAAACTTATGTTCACGGTAACCGTAAGATTGACCTCATAATTGAGAAGTATGATGACTTGTCTTATGAACAGAATTTTAAGGGTAAAAACCAAAGAGTAATGTGGAGCAGTTGCAAACATTGCGATTTTTCTAGCTCTATAGTAACTATGAATGATAGTACATATTATTTATCAATCGGGAAGTTTTTTGAGATGTGCTTTTGGGGATCTGATGGTACTATTGAGAATAAAGCATGTCCACATGATTTCTTCAGAGATCACGTAAGATATTATGCCTTTAATGACTTGGTTATAAGAATTGAATTTTCATATATTGATAATTATGAGGTTGTTGTACCAAGGAAGAAGCTTGAGTTTGTTCCTGAAATAGACATAAAATTGAAGGTGGATGCATTCAATAATATTAAAAGCAAAAGCGAAAGCTTTTTCCAGAGTATTTCAAAACGACTTAACAGAGTGAAAGTGGATACTTTTGATAAAGCTGAGGATGGTATTAAAAAGGTTGAAGAATTAAAACTTAAGCTCGATGAACAAACACATTCTATCAGGGAGAAAACAATTAACATTTACAACTCTACTTCACCAATAATTTATTTATCATTAAACTCCATTTTAAGAGAATTACAAGAGTTGGGTGTTGAATGGGATAATGAATTTAGTGAATTTGAAAAGAATTTTTTACCTACCGAAAATGAAATTACAAGAATTACTCAATTCCATTTGAAGAATTTCCTATTGGATAAATATAATAGCGAAGGACAGACAAAGGAAGTTGAAATGAATGATATGTCAAAGCACAAAAAGAATTCAATACAGTCACAGGAAAGTGATTCGCAGGATGTTTCCACTATTGCATCGAAGACCACTCTTGAAAGTGAAAAGGAAAAGCCAATAAAATATGAATCTGAATTTCCAAGATCCTCTATAAAATCTCCCTCAGAAGCAGAAGAAACAAGTAAATTACTAGCCCCTGCTTCGACCCAGCCTACAAATGTTCTGGAAAAAGTACAGAAAATGGAGCAATTGATGGAAGAAGAAAAGACCAATAATGAACAAAGCAAAGATCGTAAGCTTGCTAAAACGCCAGTCAGACTGAAATCGAATTTGGCATCTAAAGGATCTGAAATTTCATTGAGTCCAATTAATAAAGATGTTTCTGATTCTCCATTGCAATCACAACCTCCAACACCTATCTCTAGAGTTCAGCACTCAAGAAATTTTTCTGAGCTGGATTTAGGAAGTAGACAAGCATCCAAGGTTTCTAATTTGACCAAATATTATAATGAAATGAATTTGAATAAGTTATCACAAGAATTCAAGGAGAGAAGAGAACGGGAATTGATTGAGAAGAAGAATAAAAACATTCGAGTGTTTCCTATTGTCGCCTCTAAACCAATTGTTGAGATTTATAATAAGATTGAAGATGTTGTTGACGTTAATGATGAATATCCTGATTTGAGAAGGTTGAAAAGAGCTGGACAGTCATCGTTCAGTAAAAACCCACCTAATATATCGAAACCGAAATCACAAGAACAGCAGGATCGTACTACATCGTGGCAACCACCATTGCCAAAATCGCAGCCTCTGACTGAACATCAACCAGAGACTATAATTCAACAAAGTAAGTCCCAGACCATGCCTGAAGTTCCGAAATTCAAAAAGGCGGAAAAGGAAAATCTTAATAAACAATTAGATAAGGAAGTTTCCAAAGAGAAACTAGATATTCCACAGCCGGAAAAAAATTCATTACTCAAGTCCTTAACCAATTTCTGGGCTGACAGATCCGCTACGTTATGGGATCCATTAGAATATCCATTAGAATCGAATGAACACACATTCGCCGACTCGGATGTTATCGTTCGAGAAGATGAGCCTAGTTCATTAGTTGCATTTTGTTTATCATCAAATGATTATAAGCAAAAGATTAAGACCATGGCTGAAAACAAGGAAATATCCGGGAACAATGCCAAAGAGGAAGCAAATGAAGGGAATCAAGACGGAGAAGGAGACCGCAATGATAATGAACAGGAAGACCCCGAGAACATTCATCCAAGTAGCAGTCAGGGTGGAGGTAATACAAACAGCAATGCAACTGGTAATCCACTGGTTAAAGAAGATAAAAACAATGAGAATATTGAAACCAATGAATTGAATAATAAGAAAAATAGTAATTTTCTTAAGATTGAAAAAAAATTCAAAAAGAAGATTGGGAATAATGATAATGTGATTAACGAATTAGAACAAATCATGACCAAGAGTAAATCAACTCATTTGAAGTATCAATACTTAGATGGAAATACTAATTTGTCATGCAAGATTTTTTATAGTGAACAGTTTGAAGCGTTTAGAAAAAGCTGTGGGGCCGATGAATTTTTCATTCAAAGTTTATCAAGATGTGTCAAATGGAATTCAAGTGGAGGTAAGAGTGGGTCTAATTTTTTGAAAACATTAGATAATCGATATATTGTTAAAGAACTACTGAAGCTGGAATTGGAATCATTTGTTTCAATTGCCCCCTTTTATTTCAAATACATTTCCCAATCAATGTTCAATACTTTAACCACTGCAATTGCCAAAATATTTGGTTTTTATCAAATTCATATTAAAAATACCATTAGCGGGAAAACTTTTAGAATGGATTTCCTCATTATGGAAAACCTATTCTATAATCACAAAACCACCAGGATCTTTGATTTGAAAGGCTCAATGAGAAACAGACATGTCCAACAAACTGGTAAAGAAAATGAAGTCTTATTAGATGAAAATATGATTGAATACATCTATGAAAGCCCTTTATTTGTTAAAGAATACCTGAAAAAACTCTTACGTGGTTCTCTTTTCAACGACACCGCCTTCCTAAGTGCCATGGACGTCATGGACTACTCTTTGGTCATCGGCATCGATGACAGCCTGAAAAAAATCTACATTGGTATCATTGACTGGCTAAGAACTTTCACCTGGGACAAAAAAGTCGAAAACTGGGTCAAAGGTAATAGCTTGGTTGGTGGCGGGAAAAAGGGTAAGGATCCTACAATTGTCACTCCGAAACAATACCGTATCAGATTCAGAGAGGCTATGGAACGCTACATCCTAGAAGTCCCCGATATCTGGTACGAGGGAAACCAATAGACGAAGCTTAGACGACTAGTTGGCAAAATGTCGTGCTCGACTATCCAGCATAATGTCGCTCGCGCGCCCAATGTCGCGCGGTGCTGTGTCGTGTCCCGAGATCAAATCAATTTCATCCCCTAAAAAAAAAAAAAAATAGTCTAAATTCAAAATAAATAAATCGCTTTGACAGCCGTGTCTGATTGCGGAACCAGTTTTTCACCCCTATCTTAGCATGTAATCTGATTAATTCATTTGATCTACTTGGTTTAAGCTCAGGTCAGTTTCGAGCTTAAAGCTAGACAGTGTAGTTGTCGGTGTAGAAGAGGGTTTTGTGCTGTTGGCGAGTTGTTACGAACGAAAATAAACAACCAGTAACAAAATAAACCGTGAAAGAATCACAATCTGCTAACAAAACAAAAAAAAGTGTGGAAAAAAATAGGAAAAAACCCACTTTACAGGCGGCTAATCAGAGAAAAAAAAAAGCCAGGATTTTTGGATTATCAACTAATAATTACTTGCTTCTTCTTTGCTTCTTTGACAATTGCAACCCTTTGCTATCGCTATTCGTGATCCGTAACTACTTTTCAGCTGGTCTGGATCCTGTACTATCCACGAAACTGTCTTTTGCTCGTTATCAGAGCTTGATTATTGGTGTTTTTGCTTTTTCTTTTTTACGTTGAAGAAATTTTCTATGAAATAAATCTTTGGTTTAACAAGTATATTCATTCGCTATGGGGTTTTCGTTACATTTAAATACGGTATCGTTCATTCTTATACTAGTTTCACTTGTCTTTTTGATATTTGGTTGTATTTCAACACCAACGGCGTCCGTTTTCAAGTTGGGTACTACTGATCGATATGATTTTGGGATTTTTGGTTATTGTAAGTCATCTGGTTCATGTTCAAGTGCAACTTATCCTTTGAAATTAAGTGACTTGCAGAAAGTGTCTAGTTGGCAGTTTGCCGCCGATACTAGAGATACTTTGGCTAAAATCTTTATTATTATTCCCATTGCTGCTTTTTTCAACTTAATTTCCTTGATTATTGTTGCTTTATCTCATTGCTTATCAAACACTTTGATTATCATCAGTCTTGTTACCACTTTTTTCGCTTTTGCTCTTTCTACTATTCTGTGTATTGTGGTTATTCTTGCCTATTACCCCAATGTTGGTTGGGCTGGTTGGATTCTTATTGGTTCTGCTGCTGCTGATTTAATTGCAATTCCTTTCCTTATTCTCGCTTTGAAATTGAAAAATGATGATTCGACCGATGATGATGATGAAGACTCTTCTTTAAGTAACGTTGCTCGTACTGGTACGGTTGATGATTTAACTAAATTTGATGATAAATTTGGTTATGTTTCTGCTCCCGCTTTTAATGGTCCTGGCTTACCTAGATCTTATAATAATGCTGACGAAACTAGTTCCATCTCAAAAGATTATGAATATAAAGTTAATAATAATAATTCAAATCCTTATATTCAACCTCAACCTCCTCATGCAACTAAAACTTATTCAAATTCAAGTGTTTATAATTCAAAACCTCAAGTCGCTCAAGATTTCACTAATCATCAAAAACCTTCAGCTATTTCTTTAGCTCAACAAACAAATGCTTCAAGTTATTATGAAGATGCTCAAGTTAATTTAGTTAATGGTCCAAATACTCCTATTTCTGCCAAACAACAAATGGCTCCTAATTTGGTTCCAAAAGTTGCTACTCCAACCTCAAATGATCCTCCTCCATTATCAAATCCTCCTCAATTGCCTTATCCAACTTCAAATCAAGGCTCTCCTTTAAACAGACCAGGCTATAATCCAACTAATTATGGGGTTTTTGAACACCATCCGGAAGTTGAAGGTCATAAACCTTTTACTGAATTGAATGATGATGACGATGACGTGGTTGCTGATGATTTTAACCAAAATAATCAAACTAACCGTAGATCAATTGATAATACTTCAGATAATGATTCAGATTTTACTAGTGTCTCTCAAAGAGCTGTTAATCCAAAATATAATCCAAATGGTCAATATTATCAAATGGCTCAACCTCCTCCTGTCCCTCAAAACTCTCAACATTATAATCAATACCCAAACGCTAGTCAATACTCTCCTCAATTTGCTCCAAATATGCAAATGCGTAACGTTCCTCAAGGTGGTTATCAACCATCTCCTAATCCTCAACAACAAGGCTATTTCCCAGCTCCTCAAAATTACCAACCCCAACAACAACCTTACTATAATCAAGCTGTTGTTCCTCCTCCTCAACAACAACAACAAGCAAGAGGTCCAACCATTTCTGATAACGTTTTGAATAATAATCCTGACTTTGCCCTCGGCTTGGGCGGAGGTGCCGCTAAACGTAAGGCTTATGGTGGGCCTGCTAGACCAATGGGACCAAGTGCTATGCCTGGTATGCCAGGTGGTTTACCAAATGCTTCCAGAATGGGTGCACCTTCTCAACTGAAAAGAGTTAACGGTTTGAGAGATGGCCCATATGGAATGCTTCGTTAGTTCATCTAAACTAAAATAAAAAAAAAAAATGGAGAAAAAACTCCATAAATTAAACTAAAATAAAAAATCTCACCATTCCAGGATCAGATTAATGTTCGCAGCTATTCTTTTCCCTTTTCCCTTTTGTTTTACTCCTTGATAGACTTATCTTTTTGCTTCGTTTTGTTCTTTTATCGCTAATTGTTTTGCTCAGTTTTTTTTTTTCATCTTGGGCAGGATCATTCAGCTATTATTATTATTTACTTTTCCATTTTTCTTTCCAGTATTAGTATTTTTATATTCTGTGTCTTCTTTTATACTAACTTCATTCCTTTTTTTTTTTATTGCTTTTTCATCCATTTTTATTTCCTGTTATATACGTTGGCTCAACATTCCTTGATACATTTGACTTTCCTTTTCTTTTCAGTGGATATTAATTATAGTTTGTATTTTTAAATCATTATCAGCTTTTTTTGTGTTTGTAATTTCTGATTAAGTTTTCTTCTATTCACTGTTTTTGTTATTACTTGTTTCCTTTCTTCTTGTTTATTATCGTTTAAAATTATTTACATTTCAATCTTACGTTAGTTTTTAATATACAAAAGTATTATGTGTTAAGAATTATTTATCATATGGGTTATCATATAAACTTAATTATTAGATTCTGCATTTTCGATCGATGGTCTCTCGGGAGCATGATCCAGTGAAGCACCCGAGTTTGTCTTGTCATTATCATTATGGTCACTTGATGGTTTTTCAATATATTTTGTAGTACCTTGAGGTTTAACTAAGAATAGCATGAATAAAACGAAAACAACTAAACTTAACAAAAAAATAATTTTACATCTGGTTGTTCTCTTTTGATATCCTTTTGCTTTCACCAATTCACGATCAGATGACTTCAATTCTTGTACTGTATTACTTAGATTAAAATCAATTCTATCTAAAACACTACCTTGATCGATAATCAAAGAGTCCATTTCTTTAAAAATTGTTGAAATTTCCAATATACCCATTGCAATTTTGGAAATTTCACGTTCTCGGCTTTCTAAGAATTGACTATTTGGATTTTGTTGTAATTGCAATTGACTTTGTCGTAAAACTTGTTTCGAATAATTTTCAATGTTCTTCAGCTCTTCTTCTTCTTGACTATAGTCATAAGAAGGAGGGGGCGTTGAAGTTGATTGTCTATTGGAAGGTAATAAAGAATCAGATTCATCTTCTTCGTCTCTCAAGAACTTGATATAATTATTTTGTAAATTCCTAAATATTAATGACTTTTCTTGAATTTTTAAAGCATAGTTTTTCTTGAAATTTTCAATTATTGATAATTCGTTTGTATTGTATTCAAGCTGTAATCTTTTATGATTTTTTTGTAAAAACTCAAATTTTTTAATTAATACATAGCAAGCTTCGAATTTCTTAGTTATCAAATAGTTTAAATCTTCTAACTTATTTTCTAACTTGGACTTTTCACTTTGAGTCGTTATCAATAATTTCTTATATAAGGTTCCTAATTCATTGGTTTTACTTTTGATTATATTCAAATGTTCATCTAATTCATTGGATATATCAAATATTGACGGTGCCATTGGTTTCATTTCTATCTCATTTGTTTGATCGTCATGGTAACCTCCTTTATTACTTCGCTGATTAGATTTTCGATGTCCAATCAATCCTTCCTCCTCCTCAACTAAAGCATCAAACCTTGCTCCACTGGTAATAGGATTGTTACGAGACGTCGTTCGACGATACGAAAGGAATAAGTTAGTTCTGTCTCTAAACATTGCAATTACTGACGTTAACTATAGTAAACAACAACTCAATTACCCTAATCAACCCTGTTGTCTTTTCTGGTGCTTTTTTGAAAGTCTTTTTTTTATTGGGTTTTTGCTTGCGTATGGAGTTATCTGTTGATATTGTGCGAAAGGCCCTTACTACTACTTTTTGGGGCTAAAACATGTTTTTTGGTCAATTTTGCAGTCTAACCAAACCTGTGCTCTCGCAGTAGCCTGAAGTGCTAGCTTCCGAGTACGGAGGTAAAGGATAAGACTGGATAGTAAATGCTTTCAAGAAGGATGTCAAAGCGATGTCATGGTTGGAGCTTTAAACAAACGAAATTGAAAGGTTTAGATTTTCTTCAGTTTTAGCTACATTACACGTTGTTGTTTCCATGGGAAAGAGTGTAGAAATACAAAAGCAGATTTTTTTATTAAGTATTATTGAATAGATGAAATTGAAAGCCTAGAGATAACTTTTTTTTTAATTTGGAATTTTCTATTTTTTGTCTCCCTTCTTCTTGTTTAAAAAATGAAGATTATGTAAATTCAAACTAGATGCAGACTTATTGGGCACAGGACTTTTGGGTCCCATTACAGCTGCACTTCTATCGTGTGCACTACTGGAAGGCTGTCTGATGGAGTTGTTGTGAAGTAAGTGAGCAGGAATGTCATGAGTCTTGAAAGCAGATCCAACGGGTGAGGATGATAAAGGTGCCGAAGTCGATCCTCCATGTCCACCACTTACTGTTATTGCGGGAGGGGTAGGAGTATTGACGTTGGTTCCACTACTGCCGCTGGTAGTATCGATCTCTCCTCTCTTTGATGATGATCTGGATAAGCTTGAAGGACTCAATGCAGACAAGTTAGTGAAGGAAACATTTCTGGAATTTGAAGGTGATGAATTATTTGAAGAATTCCTCGAAGCCATATTTCGCAAATTTGCAGAGCTCGATCCTCTAGATATAAAGGATCTATTTCTTTGGTGGTTATTCAATCCATTGGTAGGATAATGTCCCCCTCTGGTCTCTTCAAAATTTCTATTGGCTTGATCCATATTAATGTTGGATCCAGGTAAAGGGGGTTCATAAGCTGGTGATAAAACTTCATCATGATTATCGCTTCTAATTGCTTGAGAATAGGTAGGAACTTTTGAAAGTGTAGCTGGGTTAATGACGTTATTTTCAGAAGCAGCCCTTGATAAATGAACTGGGGGGGATTGAAATCCAGCACCAGGAGTTACTAATCCATTGTTAGCACTCGAACTAAGAGGAGAAGCAGTCATTTGTAAGCCTTCCGAAGAAGCTCTATGGTTTATAATGGGTCTACCTCTAGTGAAGTAATCACCTGAGGTAACTTCTGGGTTTTGATTTGAAGATTCACCATCCAAATTGAAAACCGGACGATCTCTTGGAGTATTTGAGCCTGAGTTAGGGGTATTTTCCATTGATTCTTGTAATTGTCTTTGTAAGCTCAATTGTCTTAAATTTTCATTTAATTGAACAGAGTCAAGAGGAGACATTTGGAATTGATTTTGAACATCATTTGATAAAGGTCTTGAAGAACTATAAAGATTATTTCTTGGAGTGGCAGCACCCGAACTTACTGGAGATTCAATTGGAGAAACGTCTGACCATAAACGATCATAAATATGTTTTTCATATAAAGGAGGAGCAATCATACCGGTGAAAGAAGTAAAAGAATTTGAGTTTGATCTTAAATCACCATTTGGAGAATTAGCACCTGAATCAATAGCCAATTGAGTTAAGCTAGTATGACTAGCGCTATGGGGATCACTTGTGAAAATTGCTTCTTCATCATCATCACCATCATTATCGTCGTCATTATTATCATTAGGACTAAGGTTATTTTTGGAAGATTGAGAAGTTGAACGATTTAAATCAGGAGCTGAATTACTAGCGCTATTTAGATTATCACCATCTTCATATTTAGCTTTAATTGTAACGAATGGAGAAATGAATAATTGAACTGGTAAAGAAGCTCTTAGTTCAGAAACATGACCATCAGGATTAATTAAACCAATAACGAATTTTAATTTATGACGAATCTTGATATGAGTTTGAATATCACAATCTTGCGAACCTTTAGATAAAGAAGGAGGGATTTTTAAGAAAGTATCAACTTCCCATTTATCCATTTGAAAATTAGGATCATCATCATTTGGTTTTGGAATGAATTTTTCACAAACAAGACGTTCACCATTATAAGGAGGAGGAATATAACCAACATAGGAATAGTATTCGTTTAAGCTTATTTTGATATCACCTAATTTCAAACCTTTTAATAGAGGCACCAACATAAAACTAATTGGAGTACCAGACCCAATAGCAATAGCTTTTGAAGGAACATTTAAAGAGTATTCAACTTTCTTCGGCCAAGTATTATCAACAGCAACAGTTTCTGATAATTCGATGGAATCAGTGGTTAAAGTACGAATAACTCTAACGTGTTTTTTAGTAACCATATTATTATGAAATTTTCCTCGATCAATAATTGCTTCTAATTTATAGGAAACATTACAGCCAGGTAAACCTTCCACTGATTCGGGCATATCCCCCGGTAATATAGCACTGAAGGGGATTTCATAATTCCCTTGAACCAAAGTGTGAGTTTTGGAATTCCCCGATAGGTTTGAAGAAGAAGAAGCGTGACTGAGATTTGCTAAATTTGAAGAACTTGAATTGGTTAACGAAGATAAATGAGATAAGTTATTTGAAGATTTTGATCTTAATGAATGGCCAAAGCTTTTCAAGGATGTGGTTGAATGGTTTCGACTTAAACTTCCAATCGAATTGGCATTATTATTTGAATTTTCATACAAGTTATTGAGATACTTATTAATTTCGGAAGAATCCCAATTATATTCATACACTTTTTTCTCAAATCGATTTGGCTTGGGGTAATTCCCCTTAGGCGTGGTCACAGTATCAGTCCAATTCAACCGAAGCGTCCCGTATAATCTTAAAGTCATTTTTTTAACCGTTAGTGGTTCATTAACTGATAATGCAATCCTACCTGATAATAGCGCAGAGGCTGCATCATGTTCACCTCCTTTAAGAACCAACACATCATGGTCATTCTTCAACCTGATATCGAAAAGAGAAGCTGCCGGCTTGTTGTTCAGTTGTTTTTTAACCATCGTGTTTCTATTCTCTAAACTATAAGATGATGACTATGAGCAGACTATTAAGAAATCAGTTTTTTTTTTTCTTAAGAACGCAATAAAAAGTCCGAATCACCTATTATACTGAGTAGACTGAATAAACGGAGTAGACTGAATAAACGGAGTAGACTAAGTAATCTGAATCTGAATCCTGAATACTCAGACGATAATGAAGTATAAAAAGCGATGAATGTCGAATGGTTAATTAGAAAACGGCCGGACTTATTTATCCATGGTTTCTTTTTTCCGTTTCTTTTTATAATCACATCGCTTTATTTTCTTACTGCTACATCCTGCTACATCTGCTTAGAGGTTGGTGAGGGAGCAGAGGAGCTGATTCGTGGAGGCCAGGGTTCCTCTAGCTTGCTGTAGTCAGCAGGGATTGTACCTCGTTCGGAGTTTCAGTCGTGTTCGGCATAGGTTCCTGTCAAGGGTAGGAGCATGGCTTAGATACGTACCTTTGGGCAGTCGGAAAAACCTTCGTGCACTATAATAGATACTTATGTATTCTAACAGTCTAATGTTGTGAGAGACTGTTCTAATAGTTTAAGTGTTGTAATAGTTGTTGTAAGAGACTGTTCTAATAGTTGTTGTAAGAGACTGTTCTAATAGTTGTTGTAAGAGACTGTTCTAATAGTTGTTGTAAGAGACTGTTCTAATAGTCCAAATGTAATAGTCCAAAGGTAATAGTCTAAATGTAATAGTCTAAATGTAATAGTCCAAAGGTAATAGTCCAAATGTAATAGTCTAAATGTAATAGTCTAAATGAATAGTATAAATGTTGTAATAGTTTAAATGTTCAATAGTCTAAACGTTGTAATAGTTTAAATGTTCTGATAGACTTATGTTCTGATAGACTAAACCTTCTAAAAGACTAATGTTCTAATAGATTGTTCTAATAGACTAATGTTTTAATAAACTAATGTTTCAATAGACTAATGTTTTAATAGACTAATGTTCTAATAGTCTAAATGTTTAATAGACTAATGTTCAATAGACTAATGTTTTAATAAACTAATGTTTCAATAAACTAATGTTATAAACTAATGTTTCAATAAACTAATGTTTTAATAGACTAATGTTCTGATAGACTATTCTAATAAACTGTCCAATAGTCTACATTTCCAATAATCTAAATATTCAATAGACTAATGTTCAATAGACTAATGTTCTGAGAGACTGTTCTAATAAACTGTCCAATAGTCTACATTTCCAATAGTCTAAATATTCAATAGTCTAAACCTATTCTTGTACCAGGAAGTCTAATACCTAGTCTCGCACGTATTCTCATAGGTTAATATTCTAATAGATATGCTAATAGAGGCAGTCCAGCATTCCATTTGCTAGGTACATTAGGTTTATACCTACTCGTCGTACTCAATAAAAATGCTAGAACAGCCAGTGTGCCTCATACTGCGATGGGCTACACAAATCGAATGATTTCGAGATGATCATTGATGATTGTAGAGGAATTCGTCATTACAACCCAGATCTACATTCTCAACGCAGTCCATCATCTTATCGCTAACAATAAATCAAATTCCTTGGAAATATTCTCTTCATATCTTATCTTAGCAAACCAGCTTTCCTCCTCCTACACCCCTGCTTCCCCTAACCTCACCCCTGCTTTACCTGTCACCTACTACACCTACAGAGCATGTCACCTGCTTCCCTGGAGTGGCTTGATGCTCAAGCTTGATCACCTCCCCTGAAATGCTTATTCACCAAATAAGAACAACCTTAAAAATATTTCAACTTCAATTGAATCTTACATATGAACAATTCCTTCCAATGTCTACCTCGAATAAAACCAGCAATAATAACCCTTTAAAACTGCTAGCTGTTTTACGAGGAACATCTAAAACAAAAGGAGTAGCTAAAAAAAGTATGCAACCAGCCATTCGCATCCAGCAAAAAAAAAAAAAAAAATCGAATCCATTGACCTCGCTTATGAGATTTCCTTGCACCAGGCTTGACAAACAATGCAATTCTTCTAGTTAAGGTTGGTTGTGCTTGTTGGATACTGCTTATATCCATTTTTGTTCTTTGCTTTGTTTTGTTTTGCTGTTGTGCTTGTGTTGGCTGTTCGAAGTATGTTGACTGTTTGCAGAGATCGGCTTGTTGTTTCGCAATCGACCAGCTATACTCAACAGCTAGCCCACGGCTTTCTCGCGTAGACTCACGTCCAGGTACGTTACAGGAAGATCAAGTGGTGAAATAAAGGAGTGGCTTCGTGGCTGGCCTGGGAAAAGATAGCGTTTTTGGTACCAAAAAGAGATAAGCATAACATATTCTTTGACATTCTTGATGTACCTAATATTACCCTGTCAATGATGTATTAATGCTTGTCGGCTTTACTTATTTGGGTTTTCTTTTTGTATTTTGGACCTTCTTGCAAAAATCTTTTAGGTTAGCTGGAGTATGCATGCTAGCCCCCTTCCTGGTACTCTTCAACTGGGTTGTTTTATGTAACGTTATATTTATAGCTTTGAACTTCCCCCCTTCCCCTTAATTTTGTCTTTTTAATTTACTTGTTGTCGACTCATCTTCTTCGTTCAACTTATCGAATATTAGTTGGTTGTTAATAAAAGATTGGCAGGATCTAAACACAACCTTTTACCTCTTTTTTTTTTTTTTTGTCCTTTTTCAACCCTTGAAGATCCCAGTTAGCAACATTCTTACTGCCCCTTCAGTCTCTCCTTTTCACCTGTCAACACAGTTCAGTTCATAAGTGTCCAAGATTATATATATCATCATTCGGTCACTCCCTTGTTGATATATTTTCTCATTCGACATTAAGTCATTTCACTCACCCTAGTCTATCTTTTCCAGAACACATATTTACTTCTTCAAACTAAAATTTCCATTTTTCTTTAGCATTAAGAGGTTATATTTATGTTAACCCCATTCAATATTGCATTTCCAGTTTATTCATCAGTATTACTTCAATTCTCCAGTTGTGTTTATAATCATTTTGTTTGTCATTATTAATTGTACCTATATTCTTTATTTTGCAGTCATTTTTTTTTTTTTTTTCGTTTTTCCCAACCAGCATGAAAATCTTTCCTATATCTGCAAATGAAACCAAGCCATTACCGTATGCTGAAGATGAGGATAACCACATCTATAAGTATGTTCCTACAGAAAGCAATGATGGCAAGAGAAGTAACTCCAAAAGATCCAAGGTGAATCCTAGTCCGGTTTATAATCCGTTTAATATCAGTCGCTGCAAAACCTTTGCCCAACGAAACAGAAGAAGAAATGTTTCCAGTTGTATTTCTAGAAAAGCATCCAGCAATTCGATTGAATCGTTAAGATTGGAATCGGAATTTTCATTCAACTATCCATCGAATAATAACAGTGACAGCAGCGATTTGGAATCATTACCTGATTTATCAAGTAGTGATGATACTACTCCACTATCTTCGCCGGTTAACCATTTAAGAACCAAGCACGTTTTCTTACCGGATGTCTTGGATAAACCCAAGAGTTTATTAAATGAGTTACAAGAAGTTAACAAGAAGCCTTCTATATTTGACATTCCCGAATTGGTATATAAGATTGTTTCATACGCTGAAGAAGAGAGGATTCCACAAGAAAACACCCCGGTTTATCGAAGACCATTGAGTTATAACCATGCCTTTTTAATTCATGGGGACCGTGAACAAGCCCAACGCATAATGGTGGAGGAAACCCAAGAGAATTCAGTCAATCAAAAACCAGGTTTATTGTATAATTTATTACAGGTGAATCAATTATTCAATCAAGTCAGTAAAGAACGACTTTATTCCAAGATCTACTTTGACGATGAGATTAAATTTATCAAGTTTATTAATCATTTGATTAGTAGTAAACCGGTTGTGAAAATCAAACCCAAACTATTTGTTCTTCATAAGCTTTATAGTGTCAAGCAAAAGACATTGGAAGTTTTGAAGAAGTATATTGATTTTTCTCATTGTGAGTGGATTGAAATATACATGTGTCCCAAGTTGTATCCACCAAAGGAAATGTTGACCAATTCCCAATTGAAAAAATTGGTGATCACTGGATCCAAAGTTATCGACGATGAGTTTTTAATTAGGGTGAGCCAAAATTGTTACCATTTAAACACCTTGGATATCCGAGCTTGTGAATTGGTTGGCGATGGAGGAATTTACCATATTGCAAGTAAATGTACCGAATTAACCAATGTGAATTTCGGAAGAAAGAATAAAGGAAACTTGATTACCGATAGCAGTATCAATAAGTTGATTAAAAACAATTGCCAATTGAACACCGTTGGCTTGGCTGGCTGCAACATCACTGACCGAACCATTTGGGATTTGGCCATTTACTGTAATGAATCATTGAATCGATTATCATTGAATAATTGTCAGCTTGTAACCAACCAGTCCATTCCGATTATATTATCGAGTCATTTCTACTGGAATAACCTTTCGGTCTTGGAATTAAGATTTGTACCACAACTCAGCCAGTTTCAATCGCTTATTGAGTTCAAAAGAAGACAAGAGTATAAAGGTATATCCATTTTGATTGAATTATGTGAAACCCTCATGATCAGATGGAGACAAGAAGAATTAGAAATGGATAAAATCATTAGTGAGCAGATTTTCCAGGATATTCTGACCTGGGTTAATGAAAGTGATGATGAAGATGGTTCATATCAAGCTCTACTACAATTAAGAAGTAATTAGATTATGTATTAATAAAAAAGTGCCGTTGTAACTGCAAACTTCTTCCAGGGTTTAGTATCGTGTAACATCGTTTAAACGGATATTGACGAAGAAGTACAAACGTATCTTTCTAAACATTACAATTCAACAAAAGAAGTAAACGTATAGAAATATGCTAAAAGCTTATTGACACAGTTGCAACGATTTAACCTGATACTTCTCTTATAAATACCGCTAATCTTTTACACGTACGCTATTTACCTCTATTTCATTTTTCACCATTATTCTGCTGTTTACTCTGTTATTTACGCTGTTATTTACTCTATTTACCTTTGTTGTTCATTATATATATATACCCTGCTAATTTCCCTGGCCCCCAGCGAGTTTTCTTTCTTTATTCAACTATTTTAGTGGGTTTTAATCTCTTTTTAGTCGGTTTCCTATTGTTCAATTCCGTGGTTACAGGTTAGACCCAAGCGGAGCTTTGCAGATTGTGTTTTGTGTTTTACAGATTGTATCCACGCTTTTTGCAGTTTATTCTTTTAGCAGGTTAGTCGTGTCCTTTTGCAGGTTGTGTGTTGGTCGTGTCCTCTCCCGGCAAAACTGCCAATTCTAGATCTTTTCAAAATTTCTTTTTCGTTCCCTTTCGGTGATTTTTTGTCCCATTTCCAAATCGGCAAATTTTTGTTTTTTACCAAAACGATTTTGCGATTTCAGCTTGTTAGGCTTTCACGGTTACTGTAAGGCTTTTTACGGTTAGGCTTTTGTTAGGCTTTTGTTAGGATCTGTTGGCTGTTAGCTATATTTGTATTTGTTAGTTTGTTAGCTGGTACTTTATTTGCTAGTTTGTTAGCTGGTACTTTATTTGTTAGTTTGTTAGCTGGTACTTTATTTGTTAGTTTGTTAGCTGGTGCTTTATTTGTTAGTTTGTTAGCTGGTACTTTATTTGTTAGTTTGTTAGCTTTTTTCATTTGTTAGTTTGTTAGCTTTTTTCATTTGTTAGTTTGTTAGCTTTTTTCATTTGTTAGTTTGTTAGCTTTTTTCATTTGTTAGTGGTTTTATTTGGTCCAATAATCATAGTATGAATGATTCACCTACCAGTCTAAGGTCTCCACCTTCATCGAGCACGACATCACCGACTAAGTTCCCGTTCAAATTGAATTCCAATAAAATACTATCCCCAGATTTTAAGTTTAACTTACAGCATCATCCGTCCAAATTGGACTTGATTGATGATACGACATTGACGTCCTTGCCATTACCACCCCCACCACCGTGTAAATTACAGAAGAGATTAAGTAATGCTAGCAGAACCAATAGTACTACTTCGATTCCTCAAAATAAAATTTTTGGCGGGGATGAAGGTGGTGAAACAGAAAGTAATTATACTACTGAAAATTCGATTCAAAATTCATCTTCAGAAGAAGACTTAAATACCATATTGGATCAACCCATTGATGAAGATACTTTTGAAGACAGTGAGGACCCGATTGTTTTAATTGAAGATTATATGAATAAAAACACTAATGATAAACCATTATTCGATGGATTATTACCAAATCAGTCAAGCTTACCTAATTTAACGAATGGATTCGATCGTAAGAAATCATTAGCTAATTTCAAACAAAGAATTTATAATAAGAACTTTAACTTCAGTGATTCAATAAGTATAAATTCAAAATTTTCAAATTCAAAATTTTCCTCATTTGATTCAAATTTAAATCGTCCAAATAATAAAAGAACCATTAGTAATGTGACTAATGATGTTACTCAACAACCTTCCAATTTAGAAAATTGGGAAGCTATATTTGGTAAAATCCCCGGCACTGATCAATTAAAATATTGTGACTTATGTGAAAAACCATTATACGAAATTAGTTCAATTATAAATAATGGATTAGATCACGATTCGGATGAAAAATTAAGAACAAACAGTATTCAAACCGATGAAACATTATCTCATTTGAATGATTTATATTCGGAATTCATTTGTTGGGAATGTATCGAGGTTTATGAAGAATTCTTAAATGAACTATATCAAAATGAGTTATCTTTTGATTCAGTTCCCTCCAATGAAAATATCCAATTTCAAAAAATTAATGCAATTTCTTCAAAATCTACTAATTCAAATTTAAATTCCCTACTGTCCCTTTTCAAATCAATTCAATCAAAATATGAAAATAACCATCATTCAAATTTGTCTCTAAAGAAAAAACTGTCTTTTTCTGATGATCTAATGAATAAATTATATAATTTGAATAATTCAGCTAAAAAAGCCGTGGTTGATAACCAATTGAATCAATTCAATAAAAAAAGAAGAATCGTCGATTCAGATTGGGTCAAGTCTCTTCAATATAAACTAAGATGGAGATGGAGGTTCAACGGCTTGATCCCAAATACTTTCAACTCAAATGATAACTCAGTGACATCTTGATTGCTTTAATTCGTGTATATATACTTTTTTTTATTCCCTTTTTCTCTGGCTTCTTTGGATACATTTTTTTCTTATTTATTTATGGCATATGGCATGAATCGTTCTTCTTCCCCTGGATCTGCCCCTCCACTTCATGGGTAGGGCTAAATTCCATCGTGGGAGTTCGGAATGATTGTTCTCTACTTTTTTTTTTTTTTTTTTTTTTGGCTTTTCCTTTTTTTAATTATCAGTTATTCGTCATCTTCCTATTTCTTTGTGGTAAAATTCGTGGTTTTCTCTACACGGGATTTTCTCTCTGATCTGACTAATACATATATACCCATTAACAGTCCTTGTAGTTGTCTTTTTGCAATCCATCATCATTGTCCTGTATATACCGAGCAGCCTAAAAAAAAAAAAAAAATACCTCTATTGACGGAAAGCTCTTAGTAATTCTTTCATCACCATGTTCACAGCACGTCTAATCCTGTTCTATAGGTGCCTCCATACCTCTTCGGCACTCCTGAAGAGCAAGAAGTCGAATAAACCGATATTGTCATTGGAAGAATTCTTATTCAGACAAAGACTATTGGGTATATACAGACAGTTATTAAGAATACTAGTTAAAACTCACGAAAGAGATGATTTGATTAAATTTGCACGAGAAGAATTTAAAATAAATAATAAAGAAACTGATTTAAACCATCGGAAATACTTGTTGAACCTTGGATTACAAAGGATCAATGACATGATGAGAGTTATGGGAATAAAAGGTCCAGAATTTTAAAAACAAAAATCTATTTAAAGTAAAACTATTTAGTGTTAGATCGATTATTGAATGGTGAAAATTGATTATTTAATGGTGATAATTGATTATTTAATGGTGAAAATTGATTTCTTCAAACAATTATCAAGGTCTTCAATGCGATCATTGATGAATTTGTCATCTTTGACAAATACTCTAATTGAATCTTTATCAATGATACTTTTGATTGATGTGAACTTTTCTAAGTTCAATAAATCTTTTAACAATTGATTTGCCAAGTTGCTCAAAGGTTTATTGAATTTCCTTGAATTTGAGTTATTAATCTTATTTGAAATTTTGATAAAATCATATAAATTAATCAAGATATGATTATAATTCCAATCAAAATGATTCAAATTATTGAAATATAATGACTTAATCTTATCTATCTTTAAGTTCTTTGATAAATAATTAATAAGAGTTGAAACTTCTTGCTCCTTTGTATCATCTAATTTGAAAATTTTGAAAAATGTAAGATATATTTTGAATAACCAATTTTCAAAATTGGTTAAATGGCTTTTAATTTTTGAGTCACTCAAAATCTTATTGAAACCTTTGAATAATTTACTAATTTGATCAGAATCATTTTCAATAATAATTAATTCTTTTAATAGATTCAATTTAATGTATTCTTCATTTTTAATCATATTTGGATATATTTGACCAATTTCTTCCTTTGTGAAATTTACAAGTCCGTTTGTGAATTTAATATCAGTGGTAGAGTCTCTATTGTCCGATAAATTGAAATCTTCAGCGAGAATGTTATTCTTCAATGATTTAATTAATTTGATAAAATATCCATAATAATCACTTGATGAAATTCTTGAAAATTTTAATATTTCTAAAACGATTAAATATTTTGATGCTGAATTTGATATTCTAGATCCAAAATTTAAAAAATCTTGTAACTTATTTAAAATTCCTTGTTCGAAAGCTTTATATAAGTTATCTTGAACCTCTAAATCTGCAGTAAGATAAAATTTGTAGAATTCTATTAAATGGTTCAACATTGAGGGATGTAATGAAGGCAAGATTTTATAACTTAAAGTATCATGTTGAATCATTTTGATTTTCAAGTTTTGATAATGGTATAATGAAAGAGATGAACAATTGATCAAAGAATACAAATTAATCAACCAAGATTCGATTTTATAATTTTGAGAATCTTTAGAATGTAAATATTCAAGTATAATAATCTTTTCAATAATTTTATTTGGCGTCGAAGTTGGAATTGAACCTATTTGATCCTCAAGAACCAAATCGAAAGTTTGGGGATCTTTAGGATTGTATACTGTTGACAAATCAGTGGTAGAATCTAATGAGTAGTATTTTTTCAATTTGTATACATTAACCATAACATCGACATTGGTTGTTTCGATATCCAATAAAGGAATGAGAACTTGTTTGTTAGATTCATTAATGTATTTTTGTAAGTCAATCAATAAACAAGGCTTTGACTTGAACTTATTATAGTACTGGGTGATTGAATCAGTTAAATCAACATTGTAAACCGTATCAAGATGAATTTTGGCAAGATATGAGTTTCTTGAATTTGTATCAAACTGAACATCTTTTTTAGGAACTGACAAGTTATTACAAGATTCAATATAATAGCACCAAGTGTCGAAATCGTTAAAGTTATCCACAAACAAGAGGTTACTTGATTTTTCTTTCAAAAGTGTCCAATTTTGTAAATTATATAAAGACTTGCAATAAATAATAGTCAAATCTAAATCAACTTCTGATTCAGGTAACCCATCGATCAACTCAACAATTTTTTCAAACTTCAGTTGCTGGGAGTAAACTTTGGTCATGACATAAGCAAGTTGGTTGTTCAAACCTTTGGAATCATCAATTAGTTTCAATGATAATGTTTGATATAATGTTTTTTCCTTGTCGGATAAGTTGGGCAAGTTTGTTAATAGAAAATAACCAAAGGAAGCCCAAGAGCTGTACAATTCATTCGACTTATTGAATTTAGAAAGTTGCAAAGATGATTTTTGTAAGTTTTTAATATCAAAGTTTTCTAAACTTTTTTTAAACCAATTTAATATGATTGATTGATTTGGGTACTTTTTAATAGCATTTTCAAAAATTTCATTAGCGTAATTGGCTTTGCCTAATTTAATGAATAAATCATATAAGACGTTAAGAGTATTTGGATCGCTAGGTACTTTAGACTTTAATTCGACAGATTTATTCAATGCTTCATCAAATTTTCCAGTACTAAACAAGTAGTAGTATTGAAGTGCCCAATAATATGATTTGGTAGGAAATTGTTTTAGTTTTTTGGTTAATTGCGACTGTGCATATTGATAAGATCCTTGATTAATAGCCTCTAGGATCTCATCAGAAGAGTCATTTAAACTGGACATCTTTGATGAACAGTAGCTGAAAGTTAGTGAAAATCTTTAGTCGGTATTTTTTTTTGTCTTGATGTCCCACCCGTACACCTTTAAATTTTCTAGTATACTTATTTGTTATTCCTTGCAATTGAACCATAAACTGCCAGTTTACCTAAAAAGCTCGACTATTCAAAAGTCTAAAAGCTAAAGTAGTATTAGCCTACCGTGATGTTGTTAGATCAGCCTTTGTGGTGTAAAATACTGTGTTTTTTTTTCTAACTTTGGAATTGTTACTGCAAACCGAATTTTTAATGTTTTGGTAGTTCACAAACAGTAGTGCTTGCTGAAAGCATGTAGTCCTTAATCAGCAGGCTTTCCTTGTATATTAGGTTAACAAGGTGTTGGCAAAATAGAGAAATATTGACTATCTTAGTTGATATCTTGGATCACCGTTGACGCTTCTCTAATATTTTTTGCAAATGACATATGTGTGATACATAGTCTGAATTATTTTGATCTTGTTAATGATTAGATTAAGATGCACAGTAGAAACCTAACACTATACTGACCAATCAGTATGGGTTTTCGTAAAATTTTGCAACCATTCTCAAAAAATTTGAGGCAATTCAGATACTTGAGTAAGAAGTACCTTATCAAAAACAAACGAAAATGAGTCCATTTTAATATATATATGGTAAGAAGACACCGAAAATGTCAAGGGAAATCATGAATAGCTTCTGCAACAGATATACAATACTTTCTTCCATACGCAGTTGGTTATATATCGTGGAAATTAAAGTTTGTACTGCAAAAACTTATCAAGCTTCTTTATTTGACAAAGCTAAAAGAGTTGTTGGTTACTTGGATTGTGGTAAGCCGAACCATCAAAAGCTCAATTCTGCCGATGTATTACTGCTTAAATAACTCACACTTTTAAGGAGCTTCCCTTGTGATTTGGTTCCCATTTCCTTACCCTTTTTACCGCATTTTCAATTTAACGAGAGTGAAAGTAGACAGTCATAAATTATAAGGGTAAAAAAGTAGACAAATAAGACGGATATTGAGTCAAGCTGCGAGACTAATATGAAGAAGTTGACCCAAGTTTAATGGAATAAAAACATAGAATTTTCCTTAGTTTTTCATAAAAACTTGGAAGAAAGCTTTTCCTTTTTGATAAGAAGCTTTAAAAAAGCTCTTATTCTATCATTTTACAACTTTGGCTTTAGAAGGTACTTTTAGAACACGTTACGAAAATTGTAAATATAACAGACCAAAAATTGAAGAAAATGTCTACGGCCATATCCAGCATAAAGCATGATTACCCGTCCGATCAATAATTATTAAGCTGCTGAGAGCGATGCTGAGTACGTTAGTGGGAGACCATAATGGAAACCATCGTGCTGTAGACTCTTCTTTTTTTGCAAATATTAATATTTTTGATGTTAGGCACAAATAATTCTTTTGGATAAGCATATCTACAATTTTGTACAATCTTTGAATCTATATTAAATTACATTATAAAATACACCTCTAACTTCTTATAATTCATCTTTTCCAACTTTTTTTTGCAACCCAACAACACGATACTCTATATACAAATCACCATATCTTTCTTCATCATCTTCATTGATTATTGGGGCACCTTTACCTTTTATAACTTCAACTTGTCCATCAATGACAACATCACCGGATTTTCTTGATATTTTAATATCATCTTCTCCGAAAAAGGCAATACTTCTTTTCCATCCCCCATTTGCTGCTTCACGTAACGATAAAACTTCAGTTCTATATAAATGTTCCTTGATTCTACGATACCCCCAACTCTTGGTCAAGTCTTCTTTTAATTTAACAATTAAATCACCGGGTATCCATTCAGGATTTTGATCTCCTTCTCCTTCCAAGACTATATCATCATTTCTCAGAGTTCCAGCTTTAACAAATACACTATAATTTCTCGATTTTTGCATAGTTCCAACTCCTCCACAATGTTTACAAACATGAGTAATATGATTACCTGAACCACCACATTCATCACATTGCATTTGCATTCTCTGTACCATTCCAGGTCCAAATTGTCTTTGAATCAATATTTGACCGCTACCTTGACATCTGTCACACGTATGTTTGGCACCATCTTCACTACCACTTCCTTTACATTCATCACATAAGTTAGTCATTTCAACAGTGAAATCAACCTCTTTACCACGATAAAAATCTGCAAGTGCAATATGTAAATTTACTTGAGTATTACTTCCCTTAGGCTTACCTCTTCTTCTTCTTCCTCCTCCGGGTCCACCACCACCACCACCAAAGAATTGGTTAAGTATATCACCAAAATCAAAATCACCACCACCAGGACCCCCTGCTCCTTCAGGATCACCGTATTTATCATAATTACTCTTTTTGGTTTCATCACTAAGAATCTCATATGCTTCCCCAATTTCAATAAACTTTTCATGTGCCTCCTCCAGAGGGTTCTTATCTGGATGATACTTCTTCAGGAGTCGACGATAGGCCGATTTAATCGTTTTTTCATCAGCATCTTTGCCAATCTCAAGAATTTGATATGGATCTCCATTAAGTGCCGCAATTAACGGGGCCAAAATGGAAAACAGAACCAGAAAAGCTAGTAATATAAACAACTTCATATTCTGGTAGCTTCAATTATATTTCCACCTTCTCTGAAGTATTATCTTGGTAGTTTTCAATGAATCAATCAAAGAAAAATGTACGTGTTCTGAATACGTCAATTTTCTGGAAAATTACAAAAGACGTAGACAAACTACTGTTGTACGGGTTTTTACGATGCAATCGAGAAGTCATCGGTATCAAATCACTTGAAAACTCGTAAAGACCAATTCAAGCTATCAGTGAAGAGTCATGAACGAGGTGATATCTATATCGGCATCTCATCATGCCAATCATGTCCTTGCCAGCTTGTACAACAACCAGGAATCGCATCTTCCATACTCGCCCAAAGCTCCAATAAACCATTGGAATCAAGTTTTCTTGAATGCTAACAAATTACCAAATGGGAGAACAAACTATTCTCCCAGAGTTATAATATATGAATTGACGGGTGGATTAGGGTCATATTCGCCATTCAAGTACTTTGAGAATGCTGCAGATATAAGTGGGCCCACGGTTATTGAAACTGGTATTAAAGTACCAAAGAATGATTATCAGAAACAATTAGATAATGGAAAACCAACAGACCCAACAACTTTGACAGATAAAACTGTGCATTATTGGTCTGATTACAATAAAATGATATACAAACCAACTTCTTTGGTAACTTTGTCAAATTGGAATCATGAGGTAAACGGGAAAGGTCATCATAGACTATTCCCTAATATCGAGTTTAACTATTTCCACCAGGGGGTTGAGGAATATAAGGAAGTACAAGATGATACTATTGAAGAGTTTAGGAAAAACTTAGAGAATTGCGACTTGGTGCAAGGTTGTAATTTTTTAAGTGATATTGATTCATCGTGGGGTGGGTTTACTAATTCTTTAATAACCGATATTAAAGATGAATTTTTCAATAATGGTATCAATAACAAGTACAACTTATGGGCATATACTTTTTCAGGAAAAACGCCAACTAAGTTACTCCCCACCCTTAATAAAATAAAATCTTTAGTTGAATTTTCCAAAAATTCGTCTTTGGTGTTACCATTATCACTTGATACTTCATCTCTGTTGTTGAATTCTGATTTCAATCCCGATAGTTTTTGGCATAGAGGTGCTATTGAATCGGTTTTCATCAATTCATTATGGGGATTGAATAACACCAACGATACAAACTATAATGTAAAAATGGCTACAATTGAAGATGAATTATTACGTGGTTATAATGATCGTAATATTGTTAATGAAATCAACATACATCAACTTCCAACCCAAGATGATCACATGTCATACACATTACAATCTGTCAATATAATGGACTATTATAATTCTGTCCCGTCGATTACTTCACCTCCCACCAAACCAGGTATAATTAATTTGGGATTGAATAAAAAAACTAATGAAAAATCAATAAGTAAATCTTTTATTGTACCAGATAATTCATCATTAGAATTGGAATCATCTTTAACAACACATGTATATACTAACCCTGCATTGAATGATATAACGAAAGTTGATACATTCCCTTCAATACTTGAGCTGAAACAAGTTTATATTGAAATGAATCAAAGTTCAGCATTGAAAAATGATTTTAAAGAATACAGAAAGATAATAAGTAGGGTTAGACCAGGGTCGGGAGACGTTGCCCAAGAGATTATCGAAGATAAACAAGAATTAATGGAAGATTTGAGTAATATAATTGAGGAATATATTATAGGATATGAAGATGAAAGTGACGAAGAGTTTGATTAATTTACAGATTTTATAGAAGTAGAATGTAATTTATTTATAAGTATATAAAAAATCTAAATAGTTTTTTCAACTAAATAGATACCATATTTATCTTTCAAAGTTTTCATTAAAGGATCATTAATTTCACTAGACATTGGGGCCAATAAACCTTTTTTACTTAAGGTACCATCCAAAATTTGTTGAACGGCAACGGCACAAGGAACACCGACTAATTTAGCCATAGAAGAATAACCATTAACATCACCGTAATCAACCAAGGTAGAAGTTCTAGTTTCTTCAGAACCATCTTTCCATTGAATACCAAATTTATGTTGTAAACAAACCATATCTCTTTCACCTTCTTCATATTGCATTAATTCTTCTAAAGTAGCACATAAAGTATCTAATGGGTTACCTCTTGGAGTGATTTGTTTATCAGAGAATAAACCTAACCATCTTAAACCATTAATGATACGGGTTTTATCAGCATCATCTTTGAAAGTAGCTAAAGATTCAACTTTAGCAATAATGGCGGCTTCTTCAGAAGATTCAGCACCAACCAATTTAGCAAAAGCGTCTTTCCAAGAAGAAGGATTAGAGAAAGCTTCAGAAGATTCGTCTTTTAAGAATCCAATATCAACTAAAACCTTAATAAATTCAGGGAAACCTTGGAATCTTAAAGTACCTCTGATAACAGTTTCAGCTTCAGGAATGTTATATAATTGTTTATAAGTGGTAGAATCTCTATTTGGATAAGCAACAAAGGCAAAACCTGGATAAATGAAATAAGGTTTAGCAGTAGCCATTAAATCTTCAGATTTAACATTTTCAACTTGACCATCTTTCCAATAACTAGCGGAATTTCTTAAAGCCAATAAAACCCCTCTTGAAGACCAAGAGAATTTATAACCCAAAGGATTGTCTGAGTTTTCTGGAGCTGGTAAACCACCACAATAAGAAAGGAATGATTTGATTTTACCACCTTGTTGGTGAACTTCTTCAATGGTTTTAACAGCGTATAAATGATCGATACCTGGATCCAAACCAATTTCGTTCATAACAGTGATACCAGCATCTTGGATTTGTTGTTCTAATTCTTTCAATTGAGGATTGATATAAGAAGTAGTAACAACGTGTTTTTTATTTTTAATAGCAGCTTTAACAACGTTAACATGATAAATATATGGAATTAATGAAATAACCAAATCGAATTTGGCAACTTCTGATTCTAATGCCGATTCATCAGTCACATCCAATGAAATGGCTTCAGCAACTGATCCAGCCAATTCTTTAGCCTTAGATAAAGTTCGGCAAGCAACAGTAACCTTAACATCTGGGGTTTGGGATAAAATATCAACAGTTGGTTTGGCAACAAAACCAGAACCCAATAAAAGAACTTGTTTAACCATTCTAGAATGAATATCTACGAATACTTGAAAAGAAACTATCAATTGATGGTTTTTCCTTTGAAAAATTTCAAAATCGTCGATTTATATAATTTTTCAGGCTGTCGGTAAAATTTCCTTTCTAATCTAAAGGTAGCAGACCTGCACATTACTTTTTTTTTTTTGACAGTGGTTTTTTTGCATTCAATGAGTCATCCTATGAGGCACTAGAGTTTTTTGCAACATTTATATTGGTGTATTGATGTATTGGTGTGATATAGATATTGGTGAGTTGGTGTATTGGTGGGTGTATTGGTGGGTGTATTGGTGGGTGTATTGGTGGGTGTATTGGTGGGTGTATTGGTGATGTTGGCACTTACAAGATCGAGGTTTAATATGTAGACTGACTACTATGAATTGAATAGAATAATAGTACATAATAGGTATTTAATGAAATGAAACCATGCAAAGAACTAAGTAGTTTTCCAAATTTTGGCAGAATAATGTTTAACGAAGGCCAAGGGGTCTTCGATTTTACCGTCTTTTGGAATTTCTAAATCTGATGCAAATGAACTAATTGGTAAAACAAGAATATCGCTGACTAATTTAGGGATTTTTAAATTGTGGAATTCTTTCCAAGTAATTTGTTGATAGATGGAAGATTTGATATAGTCGTTGAAATAGTTCATTATGACATCGGTCCAGATACCACCACCGGTCCATTTCAAGATTTCCAAAGATTTTTGATTTGAATTACCAAGAAGTACAAGACGTTCATTTTTTTCACTGGCTTCACGTTTTTTACTAAGAGTGGTTTCTACGATTTCAGCAATGATTTCTCTTAAGATGGGATGACCGGGTTTTGATTGTAAAACAAATTGACCAAATTGTAATCTTCTTACGGATTCCAGCTTCCAATTAGCCAGGTTTGAATCAGTTTCAATACTTATAATCATACCTAATTCATTTGGACTGACATTTTCTGGAATCCAATTTGGAATTGGTTGTAAAGGATAAGTATCGATATCAGCATAAACCCCTCCTCTTGCAAATAAAATTAAGTAACGGAAAAAATCCATTCTTAAAATAACTTCGGGTAATGATTCATAAGTTTCAATGACTTCCGGTATTTGATTATATAAATATTTAATCATAGTATGAGAAGTATCATCATTGAATAACTCATGAACAAATCCGGGATTTTTCCAAGCCCATTGCAGTTCCCCTTCTCGATATTTTTTATCAAATCTTTCATCATTTAATCCATGTTTCCAACTTTGCCAGATATACGCCGGGAATTTAACTGATGGATCGTAAGGGAAACAGTAAACTAACTTATCCCTTATTGATAAACTTGCTGATGGAACTTTCATTGTTTTCAATTCTTGTAATATTTGTAAATTTTGTTCTTGTAAACTTAATAAGAGTTCCTCTTGTTTGGATAACAATTTTTTATTTAATTTTTCCAATTTTTTCAAGAATTCATCTTGTTTTAATTCATTTTCATTTGATAAAAGCTTGGATATACCTAACAAATTTTCATTGGGAATATTTTGTAAGACTTCTTGGAAATTCTTGGTCGATCGGTATGAGCTGGTGAGCTTGGTAACAAAGATGATCACCACAATAAGCAACACCGAGATGAGAATCGGCTTCCTTTTCTTATTATAAAACGAGCTTGATGCCATCCTTCTTACCCTTGTTGTCTTAATGCTGAAGGAGGATTAGTTGTTGATATTTTTTTTTCGTCGGAGACGATTTGGGCATGGGCACGACTGCGATGGCCCATACTTAACATACTTGACATATTATTATTCTAAATATAAATTCCATACTATTCTTAAATATTACAATATGGAAGAATATCCACTTTATGGGGGAGCTATCACTACTGTACTTCCGCATGATGTTATTGACGTATCGAAAATCAGACAAATCCCCGATACTCAGGAAGTATTTTTGATACAAACCCCTAGTGAAGATGCTAATCTTGACATTTCAATAATAATTGATTTACTAGAAATGGTACCGGGATGGAAGGATGAAGCAATCGGAGAGCATTTAAAGGACTTGGTGGAACCACAAGATATTGAATGGGGGCCCAAATTAGTATTTGAACAAGAAAACCTTGTAAGTTATTTACTAAGTACCCATAAAGATACCCCCCAAGGTCAATATCAAATCTTAATGAGTGTTAATATATTAAGGTTCTCTAATATAGAAACAGATATCTTGATTACAAGTAATATCCCATTGAAAACCCCGGTCAAGGAAAACGAAAAGAATAGCTACGTAGAAGAACAATTACAATTAATCAAGCTGGTAAGTGAAAACATAAAAATTAAAGATTATGGATTATTCGGTATATAAACATCATTCGTAATTACGTAAAAATTATTAAAAATTATAATCTAATCAAGGTTAAGATTTTCTTAACATTAGACCCATCATTAATTGAATTATTTTTGGGGCTTTCATTATATTTAGTATAAAATTGGAATAGATTCTTCAGTATTAATAAACTGAGCATCACCTTAATACTAAGAGAGTGTCCGGTGATATAATATACAAATCTTTCAAAGCTGGCAATGGCAATTGGTGGTGTAATCACAATCAACCAATAAAAAGTAAATGTAACCAAGGCCAATACAAAACTATTGAATATGTATGTCTCAGTCTTAGACATCACCGGAATAGGTGACCAATAAACATAGCTTTGGTAAGCTCTATTCAATTTTTTGATAATCAGATTCATTGGTTATGATTCCCACTTATTGAATTCAAGAATTTGAGGATATTTAGCCGTTTATATGTCATTGCTAATAGCCAAATCTGTATGTTTATGGGTGTGTTCGGTAAAATCGGATTTCTCTCTGCTTATTATCCGGGGATTCTATTCGCTTCCAATTAGCAACAAATCAATACCTTTTCCATCCTTTCCACTATACACCAGCAATGTTGCCCGCCAGTGTATTAGTGCTGCCCACGAGTGTGTTCCGCCATTGTAATCCACCCTCAGGGTGGCCCATTGATAGCATTGTATGATATCTCACTCTTGGTACGGCTAAAGGAGGATGAGACAAAGCTTCCCAACGCGAACATTTGAGACAAAATGCACCCTCTTCCGTTATATAAGCAGAGGTACTAATACCCGAAAGGATTGGATGATTGAATAAGCAGTTTGAAATTAGCAAGACCGGGTTGTAATTTGCTGGAGTCAATGGGTAGGGAGGACTGGATGTCTAAGACAAGGTGGATATACCCGATCATATGATTAAGTTCCTCATTGTTTGTTCTAAAGTTAATTAATGGAATTAGTTTTACTAAATCAGTTTGTGCAATTGGATACTGTTTAACATAATTTACTAGATAACCAGATCCAAATAGTACAAATTTATTGGAGCATGGTTTACGGGAAGGAACCGTTGATATTTCATTGATGATGAGTTTAACGTAGTCTTGTTTGTAAGTAATTTCATCTAACTCGTAATTATTGGCAATTGTAATGATAAGCTGCAAGAAAACCGATTGTTTATTATTAATACCTTGCGAGAGGAAGGAGTCAAGAAGTTGCTGGTTAAGAATTGGCTTGCCATTGTCGAAATACTGTTGGAGAAGAGCTAGAACTTTATCAGAGTACTTTGCATGAATGGGTATTATTTTTTCAATTATTGACCAATTTAAACTCTGTATACTTAATAAATCAATTGCTAATTTATTAGTATCTTCCAAAACTAAGTTATGCAAATTGTTTTTCAAATTGTCATTCAAGTTTAATTCCTTTAACTCTATTTCTTTTTCAAACGTTAGTAGTCTATACGATATTTCGCTTTGCTTATCGATGGGCATCTTAAATAAACTTAAAACTTTTAATATTAATATTTCGATAACCAAATCTCCTGGCTGTTTTCCTAATTTTGTAAAGATCTTGAGTAATTTATCAACCACAACGTTTTCAATCGGTTTTAAATCATGTTTACTTGCTAGAATATCACATAATGTAATTATTAATATCTTATTATCGTTTTCAATAGTAGTTTTGATTCTATTGAATTTTAACCCCTCGATTAAGTATTGCATATCTTCTTTTAGATTGTTCATCCTGCCCAATTGCTTTAAGTCAACACTGGTCATAATCTCCTGGTTCTTATTGTAATCGTTTTCATTTCTTATCATCTCCTTATGTGCTTCTGCCTTGTCAACCTCTTCAAGTAGAAAACTTCGTTCGTTTCCATACGTTTTGCTTGACTCCTGTGTCTTGCGGCCTTTCAATGGTTTCGGCATCACCGATTCAAACTCTGGTGTTTCGTGAACATAATCAAACACAATCACTGGTTTCTCTTCTTCGTCTTCAGCCTCTTCCTCTTCGTCTTCGTCGTTCTCCTCCAACTTGAACTCCATGGTCTGTCCTTTGCTGGTGTCCACATCTTCTAGCAACTCGTCCCATATATCCTGTTTACCAGGAGATAAAGTTGACCTTCTGGGTGTTTCTTTGGATGGTCGAGCCGTTTGTTTAGGTGTTTGTTGAGCCGTTTGTTTAGGTGTTTGTTTAGGTACCTCCATCAACTGCTCAGTCAACGACCTCTTTGCCGGTTCAATCTTTGGCATATCAATCAGATCTAGCCACCTACTAAACTTCTTGGGCGACGTGGTTATATCCTCCTCAAACTCTTGCTCAACTACCTTCTTCTTCGGTGACCTCCTGGCTCTCTTGATCTCAGGGACTTGCAACTTCTCCATGGCCAGTGGTAAAAGCGTCTGTCTATCTCTAATAGGACCTTCCTCTTCTTCGTCCTCGCTCAGAAATACCACCCTATCCACATCTTTCGCAATAGGTCTGCTTCTCTTCCCATAAACAGCCATTATCGTGCAATACTATCAACATTTAAGTATCTTGCAATCATTTAGCGTAGCCACTTGAAAAAATCAAAACGCAGCGAAAAAAATCAACGAAAAAATCAAATCAGATTAGAAACACGTAGAGAAAAACAACAAATACCATTTCCAGTCCCTGAGTTTAATAGAAAATCGATCCAGAAGATGTCATTGGAGAAGAGAATAAGAAGCTTTTTGAAAGGTCCTAAGAAGGGGGAGACTTTTGAATTGAAAAATGGGCTTGTATCTCAATATAAACACGAACGTAAAGATGCAATTCAACGAGTTATTCAAGCAATGACCGTTGGTAAAGATGTTTCATCGTTATTCCCAGATGTATTGAAGAACATTGCTACTTATGATTTGGAACAGAAGAAATTGGTTTATCTTTATCTTATGAATTATGCTAAAACACATCCAGAATTATGTATATTGGCAGTTAATACATTTGTTCAAGATACAGAAGATCCAAATCCTTTAATCAGAGCTTTGGCAATAAGAACAATGGGATGTATCCGGGTTGCCAAAATGGTTGATTATATGGAAATACCATTATCCAGAACTTTGAAAGATGATAATCCATACGTACGTAAGACTGCTGCTATTTGTGTTGCTAAATTATTTGATTTGGATGCTGAGATGTGTATTGAATTTGGATTCTTAGATGAATTAAAGAAATTGATCTTTGATTCAAATCCTGCAGTGGTTGCTAATTCTTTAAATGCATTATATGAAATAAAAGACATGAATAAAGATGATAATTTAGAAGTTTTTGTCATTTCTTCTGACATCGTAAAAAATTTATTAATGTGTTTAAATGAATGCACTGAATGGGGGAGAATTACTATATTAACTACTTTAACTGATTATCAAGCAAGCGATAACGATGAAGCAATTCACATAATTGAAAGAGTTATTCCCCAATTACAGCATGCAAATGCTTCTGTTGTATTATCATCAATTAAAACAATTATACAACATTTGGATCAAGTCCATGTACCAGCACAAAAAAATGCTTTTTTAAAAAAATTATCTGCACCATTAGTTTCTTTAGTCAGTTCGTCAATTCCTGAAGCTCAGTTTGTTGGATTGAAAAACATTAGAATAATTTTAGAAAAATATCCCCAAATTTTATCAAAAGAATTAAGAGTTTTCTTCATTAAATATTCTGATCCTTTATATTTGAAATTGGAAAAACTCGAAATCATGATTAGATTGGCAAGTGATAATAATAGTTCTTTATTACTAGGTGAATTGAAAGAATACGCAATGGAATTTGAACCTTCATTGGTCTCGAAATCAATCAAATCAATCGGCGCAGTTGCAATTAAATTGGCTGGCTGTGTGATAAAATCAATCAATTTATTGATTAATTTGATAGATCAAAGAGGTGGTGAATTGATTATTAATGAATCGATAATTGTTTTAACTAATATCTTAAGACGTTATCCTGGTAAAAACGACTTAATCACTTTAATTGTTCCGGTAATCTCTCAACATATTGATGAATTAGATGATCAAAAAGCTTTATCAGGATATATTTGGTTGTTAGGTGAATATCCAAAATATTTCCAAAATTTGAAAAGTAAATTATCCGATATCTTAGAAAATTTCCTAGATTATGATTCAATTTTACAATTGAATATTTTAACAACAATTGTTAAGATTAATTTATCATTTTCTCAAAATAATGACTATTCAAATCTATTACAAACAGCTTTAGAAAAAGCTACTCAAGATTGTGAAAATGCAGACGTTAGGGATAAAGCTTATATCTATTGGAGATTATTATCTTCTTCAACTTCAGTTGAAACTCAACAAAAAATCATTTTAACTAAATTACCTCCTATCAAAACTATCATATCATCATTCAATCCAAATGTTTTAAATTGTTTAGTTAAAGAATTATCTACTTTGTCATCTGTTTATCATAAACCTGCTTTTACATTTATTGATCCAAACGCTTATTCCAATACAGAGATTAAATCAGTTAAATCTTCCAATGATCCAAATGATATCAAGGATTTAACTAATTTGGCTAAACAAGAAATAATCAATAATGTAAGAAATGAAAACTTATTAGATTTCGATGATGATGATTCTTCAACTCCAACTGAATCAAATGCTAATAATAATGGTATCTCTTTATTGGATGAGTTGAATGATTTGTTCACAGCACCTCAACAACCTTCAGCTGGCAACGGTTCCAATAACGCTCAATCATCGACAAATGACATCTTAAGTTTATTCAATACCATTCCTCCATCACAGCCATCACAACAACAACCACAACATATAACACAGGGAATAGACAACTTAAACCTTTCTAGCAATAGCCAGCAAAACAACAACAACAATAATAATAATAATAATAATAAGGTTAACCAAGACTTACTCGATCTTTTTTGATTCCTCTACATTCATTTCCAAGTCGTAATATACATTATTATATACATTTTATGTAGATTGATATAGTAACTTATCTAATAATTTTTTCTTCAATTCGGCTGAACTGGACTCATTGGATTCGTCAACGTCTTCATTAGTTCCTTTAACATTATTTGTTAATTTTTGAATTTTCTCAGTTATACTAGTACTCACCTTATCGATTTCATTAATTTCATTATTTTTCTTATCGATTTGTTTCTTCAACAACATTATTAAACTCTCACGTGTCTGATGAGGTCTATATGTATTCAAAATATGATTTATATTGATTAAAAGTAACTTTAAATCTTCGATCTTGTAATGGAATTTCGATGGATCAACCGACATCGAGCCAATCAACTCCAAAAAATTCAACAACAACGAGTCCATTAGCTTGTGCAACTCTTTAATCTTTGTCTGTGACGTTATTAACTCGTCCTCTTCCTTATATAACTGAGTCCATCCGGCTTCTTTCAAACTCGGTAACTTGTCTTCAAACGACCATAGATTCCCATATCCTCGGTAATGAGTTCCACTTGGCTGCTCAGGTGGTATGAGAAACTGTAACTCTCCTTCTGGTACTTTTCTTGGGTCCTCTGGGCTACTTTCTTCCTGATCTTGCTCCTTCTTCCAGCTGTTGACCTTATTCAAGTTCTCTTGCGTGAAAAACTTAAAATACGGTGGCGGAGGTGGGTACAATGACGATATTAGATCTTCAGACATTCCTGTTATATGTCGACTACCAGCACTTCTATATCCTTTCACAGACCCAATGGCTTCACTCTAATCTTTAGTTGTTTTCCAGTAATCGTGCTGTTTAGTAGTTCTTTGGTAGTGTTTTTTTTTTTTTTTTCTGACTTCATTTTTTGGTGGTTTCAATATTTTGTTAGTGCGAAAGCTTCAATTGAATCTTACAAATCCATTGAACACTGTCTTTTCATTGACTGAAGCATACAAGACTGGCATTGGTTATTATAGGAACGGGTCGGTCATGAGTGAGGAAACAGACAAGATGGATATCGATAGCCGTATGTTAAAAGAATTGGAATGAGATTAGCTAGTGACAACCAAAAGGGTTGCATTGGCAGTAGCAAATAGCATTTACTAACTTTAACTAGATCCACATCCACATCCACATGAGAATGAGGAAGAGCATGAAGTTGTTTCGAAAAACAAAGGAGAGAAACAACGTTTTGAAGTGAGAAAATGGACTGCTGTTGCATTTTGGTCTTGGGGTATGTATTAATTTGAAACTTTTTGAACGAATGATTGAAATACTAACTGTTTTAGACATTGTTGTTGAAACCTGTGCTATTTGCAGAAACCATTTGATGGAGCCATGTATTGAATGTCAACCAAATACTCTTAATAACTCTAGACAAGAGTGTATTGCAGCTTGGGGGGTATGTAATCATGCATTCCATATGCATTGTATTCAAAGATGGTTAAAATCAAGACCGGTTTGTCCCTTGGATAATAAAGACTGGACTTACCAAAGATTTGGTGATTAGCTTTATATAAAAGAGGCAAAAATTCATGTTGACGAATCCATTAATGAATTCTTTTTTTTTGAAAATTCAAGATATAGTTTTACTTTCATTTCATTTCTTTCTATGATCTTCTTTTTATTATTTAGGTTATTTACAATATATACATATATATTATTATATTAATGTACTTTAAGCCCCCCAGTATCTCCAAGATCTTTCAAATGACCCTAGAACCACTAAATCAACGCATTTTTTGGATAGACTGTCAATAGATTGTTTTATATTTAAATCATTATCCATGTCACCGATTAGCTCAATGAAGAAAACGTACTGCCATTGTTCACGGTGTGAAGGTCTTGAATTGATGGAAGTCATTTTGATTTGAAATTCTCTAAAAGAGTCTAAAGCTGAACATAACGCACCAGGGTCATCATGGTGTAAAGTAAACATTATTGACGTTATTGAGTGGTTTTTCACACTATCGGATGAAGAAGATGCTATTGGAGATAATGGGCTTAATGGTTTCTCATATCCCAAAACTAAGAATCTGGTTGTATTATTTGGATTATCTTCAACTTTTTCATATAATACCGGTAAATTATATAAATCAGAACTCATTTTAGAGCAAATACATGCACTTGTATTCGATTGATCATTATAAACGTTTTCTGCTGCTTTCGATGTTGAGCTAGTATCAAATTTTTTCAATTTAAGTTTGGAAATTTCCTCTTCACTTAAGAATTTAGACACTTGACCCCAGACTTGAGGGTGAGAGTATAAGGTTGTTATGTCTGCTAATGATTTGGCATTTGATAGAAAATAGTGGTGTATTGCAACGTATTGTTCGGCCACTATTTTGAACTTTGGATCATTATATTTGGCTGAACTATCCGATATAAACCAATCACGAAGGAGATCATAGGTGAAAACAACCTGTCCATTGGTGGAGTTTTCGAATGGCACTATAGCGTAGTCGACTTTTTTTGAATCAATTGCTTCGAAACATGACGAAATGGAACTTTGGGGGTAAATTTCAATGTCTCCAGAGTTACCAAACTGTTGAATTACAGCCTGTTAAACAGGTTAGTATTGGCACAACAAAACAAAGGAAAGTGTTTTAAAAACATACCTGGTGAGTGTAAGTACCTTCGGGACCCAAGAAGGCTACTTTAATGGTCATTTGGCGATATCAAGATAATGTGGACATTAGATCAGATTAACAGTGAAAAAAAAAAAAAAAAAATTCCAAAATCCAAAATCCAAAATCCAAAAATCGAAAACTTGCCAGAAGACAGAAAACCCAGTACCGTCTTCATCATTAGCTTTATCAATAACCCATTAGTATCCATGACTTCCGTTGAAAACATTACTGTTAATACAGTAACTACCGTAGTAACATTAATCTTCCACAAGGAAACTCATAAGCACAAAGGTTCGAAAGGGGCATAAAGGCTATTGCATGGGACAGGTTCATCAAAACACAATATATAATGTAGTGAACCTTTAATTCCTAAAAGCAGGAAAAATCGCTAGCAATAACCCGTAATCTCGCTACTACAATGGATCGTTGGTGGCTCTTTATTGATTTAAGCCTGTAACAAATCCATGGTGAGACACAGGGTTGACGAAATGAAAATATAAAACCAAAATTAACTATATAACCCTGAAAACTCATAAAAAACAAAAGGAAATGAAAATATAGACAAAAGAGAAATTGTATTAATACAAAAAAACACTTTTAGAGGGAAGGGGTGTAAATTATGAAAAACTAATTAATTTAATCAGTTTCAATAGTACCACGTTCAGAAACATAGATACCATCCAAGAATTTACGGATATCCTTGTTTCTAACACGACAGATTTGTTGGATATCAGCAGCATTTTGAGAAACAGCTTCTAAAGAGTTACCGGTGACGGTTAATTCATCTTTTTGGTTAGCAGATGGAGCAATGGTAACACCTTCGTGAACCTTAACTCTTCTAACTCTCTTTTCACCCAAGAAGTTTCTGATTTCAACGAAACTTTCACCTTGTTCTTCAACAATGTTGACGTTAATTGGGAAATGCGCATAGACATATCTTAATTTATATTTGTAACCTTTGGTAACACCGGTGATCAAGTTAGAGATCAAAGATTTGACAGTTCTTAAAGCAGCAACATGTTTTCTGTCACCATTGTGGACAATGATTTTAACAGCTTTGTTGTTGATTTTTTCAAAAGTAACATCAATGTGTTTCAAGTCCTTGGTTAAAGTACCTCTTGGACCAACAACGGTGATGTTTCTAGCTTTGATAGCGACGGTAACACCTTCTGGGACATCTAAGATTTGTTCAGTGTGGACGTATTTCATTTTTGACTAACGGTGATGATGATATGAAAAAGAAAAGGAAAACTCGTGAAAAACAGAAGAGTGAAAAATTATTTCAATTAAATACTTTGGGAAAGTGCCTTTGCATCGGAGGAAAAAACTGAAAAATTTTTTTGTGAGCGAAAAAAGTCGTGTGCGAGTGCGGTTTTTTGAAGAAAAATATAAGAAATTCTCCGTACTGTAACTTACCGCAAATCAGTGCTGATAATTACGCTGAGTAAATCTAGACTTCCTAAATAGGCAGTGTATGGATAAGTTAGTGAGTATAGTGATTGGTGGTTGGTGTACGGAGGGAAGTTTCTGATTTGCAGTAATTACCTGGGTCGATTGTGTACCTACTAATATTAGCTATTCTACAAGATAGTTAAATACAAAAACATACATTTAAATAGAAACAAACTGTTTAATCTTCTTGTTCATCTAAAGTTTTGAATTCGAAAGGTTTGACGTCTTTAGGATATTCGATACCTTTCTCGAGTAAAGCACTAAAAGCTTTTGAAAAATCTTTAAAGAATAAATCTTGATCTTCAGCATACATCTTAACGTATTTTAAGAATTTGGAATCTTCTTTCAAAGCGTAGTCGGTTGGTAACATCATGAAAGAGCTAGTTTCATCGTCTTCATATTGTTTTTTACCATCCCATTTTCTAACATGCCAGTTTTGTAATAATCTAACGTAAAAATCATTAGTAAACATATTGAATGAAGGACCCCATGGACCATCATAACCAGATCTATCAGTGTGACATTTGCCTAAACAATGAGCACCGATTAATGCAACGGTTTCACGCTCATCGAATCCCAATCTGGTGAAAACTTTTCTAACGTAGTCAGCATCTCTGGAGGCATCAGGTAAATTACCATTTTCTGGAACTTTCTTACGGTCTTCAAGATCTTTACGGCCCGGTCTCCAAGGAATCTTAGGACCTCCACATTCTTGGACGGCAACAACCCCTCCTAAAGTCCAAAGGTCTCCTCGACTCAACCAGGGGAAAAGATAATGGAATTCAACCAAAAAATCACGAGCAACTTCTAAACCTGCGTTTTCTCCATCGGTTGATTCTGGTGAATAAATCATTGAACCATTGTATGACCCTCCAGTATTGGTATTTTTGTCATAAGTACCACTGGAATGCCATGCTAATCTAGTTAAAAGACCGTATCTACCAGCACCATCATCAGCATCATCTTGGTCTCTCACTTTTTCTGCAATTGCATTATAAACTTGTTGATAGTCTTTGAAATTCTTTTCCTTATTTAAAACTGCAACTGCACCAGCATTAGAGGCTAAGATTTTCCCCAAATGGTTATTCTTATTAGGAGTGTTATTATTATTTGAATAGACATATATTGCAGTACCAGCAACTATACCCCCAGCAAGGGTAGCTAAAACTTTAGGAGTGCTCTTGTTATTCTTTAAAACCCGGTTGAACTTGCCAACAAACCCAATTGGTTTTCTTAAGGTTATAGAAGACATTGTTTATATGTATTTGATGAAATGAAATTGAAAGAAACAGAATCACTCTTAACAAAAGATTGTTGTTCGAGGGAATCTTGAGATAAATTTATATGGGCTGGAAAAATTCAGGAGGAGCAAGAGGGACTAAACAATATGGCATGACTGACAGAATCGGGGTATCCCCTTTCTTGAGGCACAAAGCTACTGAATGAGACCTAATATCGCACTTTAAGCTGCTGAAACTATCTGACTAATTCAATGATGACAATCTGGACCTTGGGGCTTGATAATACTCAATAGTCCAGACTTTAAAGGGTCTCAATAATCCCTTAGTAAGCATTAGCGTTCTGGTTTTGTATCACCAGTTGCCCATTCGAGCAAAACATCGATACAACGTCTGATCTACATGCAAATCTCGAGCCATGCTGCTCATTACTAAGTCAATGAGACGAGTTCATAAAAATAAATTAGATGTAATCTTGTCGAACGGTTGAGTTTTGCAGCTGTCGTATTTGCGATTGTTCGCTTGCAGTCCTAATTTTCTTGTGAGGATGCTTTGTAAGATTTTTTCACTTGGATCTCATTGGCTGGAACTGGGGTTAAGATGTATTGTGTATTTGAATACTATAGTACAGATTATATAGAATAACAGAGGAAGATTAGGTCTATACTAAAGGAAAAGTATAGTGGAATAAAACAGTAGAATTGAAATATTTATTAAGACTCATTTGATTATACATCAACGGTGTTAATGTATTCTTCAATAACATTAGCATCTTCATAAACCCATGATCCTTCTTCATTATAGGTCTTAGCATTAGATATCATGATTCTGAATTCATTTATAAATGATTCAAAAGACTCAACTTTATCTTGGTCCAATTGTTTTTTAATTTGATTAAGTGAAACTGGGTGCTTGATAACATGATAATAATCAGGATATAATTTTCTTGAAGGTAATTTAAGAAAAACATCGCTAGCTTTACGTTGACCATCTTTGGAATCCAATTGTAACACATTGTCAATGATGGTATTACAATTAGCAGTGAATTCATCAATTGGTTCCGGTGGTGGAACCTCGTCATCTTCAAGTGGAGTTTGACTAGCAGATCTTGAACCACGCAACTTTTTACGTGATCTACCCATTTCTTCTTCTTCTTCTTCTGCCTCATCCTCTTCTGCTGCCAAGGCATCGGTATCAATTTGGTCTTCCGGAATACCTTGTTTAATAGCCATAGTTCTCCTTCTCTTAGCGACACGAGCTTCCTTACGTTTAATGGCCTCTTCAACTGTGTCATTATCATCATCCATTGCATTTAACCATTGTTCTTCGGTTAATCCATCATCATATTTGACCTTTTTCTTTTCTCTCATACGGCCCAATTCTTCGGTTCTTGGTTCGAAATGATGAGCAATGTCTTCAGTAAAAACAGGAGGTAATTCATCTCGTTCCATTAATCTTGATTTGAAACCATTTTGTTGTTCATAAGCAAGCTTTTCAGAATCATTACGTTCCTTATCCATTTTGGTAAATAAGATTTTTTCGTCATCTGAACGCGATAAAATATCGTTAAGATCATCATCATCCAATTGGGCATTCTCTTCACTTCCATCTCTGTTAGATTCAGCTTCAAGTAATCTTTTCAAAAATGCTTCTTGTTCTTCTGCAGTAGATTTATTATCGAATTTACCCGCTTGAATAACCTTACCATCAATATCTAATTTTTGATGAGCTCTTTCCAATATAACTTCTTCAACTGAATCATTGGAAATCAATCTTAAAATTCTAACTTCATTCTTTTGACCAATTCTATGAGCTCTATCTTGAGCTTGTAAATCTTGATGAGGATTCCAATCAGTATCGAAAATGATAACTGTATCAGCAGTTTGTAAATTTAAACCCAAACCACCAGCTCTTGTAGATAACAAGAAACAAAAATATTCTGAATCAGGAGCATTGAAAAGTTTTAACATATCTTGTCTTTCATCGGCTTTTGTACTACCATCTAATCTCATATATTTCATACTTCTAAATCTTAAGAAGTCTTCCATAATATTCATAACCTGAGTCATTTGGAAAAAAATTAAAACACGATGTCCAGAAGCCTTAAATTTGGGTAAAATACGATCTAATAATTCAAATTTACCACTTGTTCTCCAGATTAAATCATTGGTGAGTCTTGAAGAGTCCAAAACATCTTCAACTTCTTCGAAAACAAAAGGATGATTACAAATTTTTCTTAATTGCATAATTTTATTATTCAAACCTTTAATTCCAGATTTTGCACTACCGACATCAGCACCAACGAATAAAGCATTGTGTTTTAACATTTGTTGATATAAGATATGTTGTAATCCTGATAAGTTACATTTCAATACTTTTTCAACTTTATCAGGTAAATCTTTTTCAACGTCTTTTTTCAATCTTCTTAAAAGGAAAGGTCTCAAAACTTTATGCAATCTTCTAATGACTAATAATGATTCTTCTTCGGTCAATTCAATTTTTTCTTGTGAACCAGTATTTGCAAAAGGAGTATTAAACCATTCATCAAAAGATTTGACTGAATTGAAAACTTTTGGCAAAACAAAATTTAATAAAGCCCATAATTCTGGTAAATTATTTTGTAAAGGAGTACCAGTTAAAATTAATCTATTTTTAGTTTTATAGAAAGTTTTCAAAGTCACTGCTAACTTAGAATTAGCATTTTTCAAACGATGACCTTCATCAATAATCATATGAGAATAATTAAATCTTGCTAAAACTGCACGTTCTCTAATAACATATTCATAAGTTGTTAAAATAACTTGGAAGCTACCACTTCTAACTTCATATTGTAAAGCACGACGTTGATCTTGAGAACCTTTATAAACAATTACTTTAACACTTGGAGCCCATTTTTCAAATTCTATAGTCCAATTAGTAATTGTTGATAAAGGTACAATAACCAAGAATTTATCTTCATGTTTCTTTTCAATTAAATAGGTGACTAAAGAAATTGACTGAATAGTTTTACCTAAACCCATTTCATCTGCTAAAATCCCATTTAATTTATTATTATATAAAGAAACCATCCATTGTAAACCTTTGATTTGATAATCTTTTAATTTACCTCCAATTAATAATGAAGATTGTTCAGTAACTTCCTCTTTTACACGATGAACAACTTGATAATAATCTAATTTTTCTCTTAATTCATCAGCATTATCTTGTTTTTCATTTTCATCATTTTCATTATCACCGGTAGTTTCAACAGGTATATCAGCACCCAGTTCAACTTGTTGAACCTTAACTGCTTGAGCCAAAGAATCCAAGAAACTATTGGTTTGTTTCAATAAATGGGTAATTCTATGATCTTTAGTTTGATCCAATAATTTAATATAAGCTTCTTCATCATTAGCTTTCAAAGCTTGTAAACGTTGTTTAGCAGTTCTTTCTAATTTCTTAGATTCTTCTTTTTCAGTACTATTATGGAAATTACCCACAGTTTTAATAAAGTGATTTTTTTTAGAAATTCTAGCTAATTTATTATCAATAAAATTTTTCAGAGATTCTAAGATTCTTTCCACTTTCAAAACATGTTTTTCATGTTCTTTACGTCTTAATTCTAATTTTTGTTTATCTTCTAATTGTAAAGCTAATAAATGAGGATTTGGTTGATCAATTTTTGGACGAAGATTAGCATTTCTTTTACCTTGAGCAACATAAAAATTAGCAACTAAAGAAGGAACATCATAATGAGCACTAAAAGTAGATTTACGTAAAAAACTGTTTTTCAATTGTCTTTGTTTTGATAGTATTTGTAAAGATTTTAATTCAATTAATGATTTAATTTTTAAATCATCAAGATTTGATTTATCATCATTGAAATTAAAAGTACCAATATTAGCCGGTAGACTTTCTAAATCTTTTATACGATTTGAAATTTTTTTAGAAATCAAACTTTCAGTTTCAAAATTAGCTAAAGGGCCATATAAAGGGCCCAATTCATTAACAAAAGGACGAGTTTTGATTCCAAAAGATTCAGCCAATTGTTGAAAATTAGAATTCTTAACTGAATTTAATTTTAAAACGTTATTAAATATATCATTAACAATTTTCTCATTGATATTTTTCAATATTGGTTTATCTTCTAAAACTGATTGTAAAGACTCAGGTAAATCTAAATCTTTTGATATCAATTGCAAACTAGCCAATTGTTTTTCAAAAAGTTCAACATCGATTTGATTTTCTGTGTCAGAATTTGAATCTAAGGATTTTTTCAAATCTTGATAAAATTTTACTTCTCTTTCGTTAAAATCTTTATATTTATCATCAATTTTCAATAATATTTTTTCAATTGATTTTTTTTCATCTGTAAAAGAATCTTTATATTCTGGAAATGAATAATCTTTTTCTTTGATTGATTGAGATTGTAACATCTCTTCATGTTGTTGGCGAGCCCGATCATAACGTTCTCTCTCGTTAATGCTTTTATTGGTCAATTCCTGGTAGTCCAAGATTAACTGAGTTACTTCTTCTTGACTTTTAGGAAATGTATAACGAATTTCATCTTGAATTTCTTCTTCTATATCATTACCATTATTCAATTTGGTATAATCAACGGCGGTCCCATTGGAAACACCATTAGAGCCATTGGAAGAGCCATTGGAAGAGCTTAAATTACCATTCATACTATCTCTGGAAAGTTATAATACAAAACACGCTCTTTTCAATTAACCGCCCAACTAAATTCAAATTTAAAAAAAAAAATAAAACACTTCTTTATAAACACTACCCAACACTAATCCAGCCGTGGAAATCAAATGACAGCAAACAACAATCCTATAATACAAGTGGGAGTGGTTGATGGATGGTGTAACAGTGAAAATGTGCACCAGAAGACGTGTATCAGTATTGATGGTTGGAAAAAAAGATCAATTTTAGTGTATTTGATGTTTTGGTTTTTTTTTTACCTCTGGCTTTTTTTTTTTTTTTTCGAAGGAGTAGAAATTGGTACGGCGCACGTCCCAGTTCTATCCACTTAGTCTACAAGAATTTAACTATAAACCAATTTCACTGCATAACTGGGGTAGCTGTCAATCGAGCAACTTCGGTAGTTATAGTGGTATATAGTTACAAGGGCAGCAGGCTGGAGCAGTCATCTGACGACAAAAAAGAGAGAGAGGAAGAAGAGGAACGGGCGTGTCCGAGACCAAACTTTTGAAGGAACGAAGGAAAACGAAAAAAAATCGATAACCAAATGATTTATCAGTTGATAATTTAAAAACTTAATAGATAGAAGAGTCAGAAGAGTAAGATGATGTTCCTCAGAAACATTGGGATTTTCAATAGAAGCTTGTTGCAAAGAAGCGTTCGTTTCAACTCAAACAGTACTTTCAAGATCAATTGGCCCGAATATTTCAGGTTGAAAAAAATCAATAACCGTCTTAATGTTGGTAGTGGGGCCGTCACCGGTACTATGGGGGTGCTAATGACCCTAGGAGGGTTGGCCAATGTTGAGATCGACCCTGAAAAACCAATTTTGGGTTTGGATCCAATGATTACCTTTGTTGGGTTATTACTGATTGGTGGGTTATTAGGGTACTTGGTGGGTCCAACTTTTGGTAATACTATTTTCAAATTATCTTATAAGAAACATTTACCCCAATATAATGCCATGGATAAGATTTTCTTACAAAAAGTTAAAGTCAATAGGGTAAATCCATCTTCACAATCTTTTTCAAACCCAGTTCCTGATTATTACGGTGAAAGAATCTACTCCTTAAAGGACTACAAGCAATGGTTAAGGGACTGCAATGCCTTTAGAAGAAAATCACAAGAGTTCCTTTAGTTTTGTATATAGTTTTAAATGGAATTAATGATTGGTATTCCATAGCATAGGTAGTAATAAAGGATTATTCAGTTGTAATAAAACCTCTGTACATCTAATGGTAACATCCGTACCTATACGTGCACCCGTGCACCAAAGGATGACTCGCTCGCTTGCGCATACCGTCACTGCTGAAACACAACTCCGAGAGACTCCGAGCGCGTTCGGATTTGATTGGCGGGCAGGGTAGGTTCCCTCCCGGAACTCGCGACATCCGGCCGCCGCTCGCTATCCAATAGGAACTAAGACAAAATGAGCCTGAGTAAGCGATTGTCTTCAATTTTCTCCTGGGGTAAACCAGAATGAGCAACTCTAGTGTAAGAGCCAATCATACCAGATCCTTTACCCTTTCAGTCATCCCGATCGTGTCTTTTATCCTGCTCTACCGGAAATGCCGTCAATGATGGATTGTGCCGATGAATGGGTGAAAACGACCGGGGTTCGTCGGAACCAGCTTGTGGTGAAGTGAGTCTCAGTCGCAGCTCCGGGTCATGGTAGTCATTTGATTTCCGGGGGCATGTTTTTTACCACTAACAAAAACCCTCATAGTAATGCCTTTTTTTTGTTTTTTTTTTTTTTGTTTTTGTAGTGTTTTTATAGCATCACCGACTTTTTCAAAAATACTTCATTAATTGAAGAGGGAAAAAAAAATTACTCCTTCTTCTTCTACTTCACTGTTCTTCCGATTAGATATTGCATCCCATCAATTACCAATTCCATTGATGAGTTCAATACTAAAACATCAACTTTAGTTTCAGTTTTCGATTTAATTTAAGTCATCAAAAGTCATTTTTAAATCCAGATATTCTTATAACGGTGAAATAAAACATGCTTCAAGCTTTTAAAAGTGCCGTTCCTCGCACTCAAATGTTGAGGAATCAATTCAAACCAAAGTACTTGTCATCCACAATTCGTAAGTATGCTTCATCTTCTGATAGTTTTTTACAAACCAATAATGCTACCTATGTTGATGAAATGTATGATGCTTGGAGAAAAGATCCTTCAAGTGTTCACGTTTCTTGGAATGCTTATTTTAAAAATATTGAAAATAATAATATTAGTCCTTCCAGCGCTTTCACCGCCCCACCAACTTTGGTTCCAACTCCTGCCGGTGGTGCTGGGGTTGGATTTGATCCAGATTCAACTCCAATTAATGAAGATGTTGTTACTCATTTAAAGGTTCAATTATTGGTTCGTGCTTATCAAGTTAGAGGTCATCAAAAGGCTAAAATTGATCCTTTGGGGATTTCTTATGGTGATAAATCTGATATTCCAAAAGAATTAAAATTAGAGCATTACGGTTTCACTGAAGCTGATTTAAATAAACAAATTACTTTAGGTCCAGGTATCTTACCTCGTTTTGCTGAATCCGGTAAAAAAACTTTAAGTTTAAGAGAAATTATCGATAGTTGTGAACGTTTATACTGTAACACTTACGGGGTTGAATATATTCATATTCCTTCTAAAGAACAATGTGATTGGTTAAGAGAAAGAATTGAAATTCCTCAACCTTTTAAATATTCTCCTGATCAAAAAAGACAAGTTTTAGATCGTTTGATTTGGTCTTGTTCTTTTGAAAGCTTCTTGGCCACCAAATTCCCAAATGATAAAAGATTTGGTTTGGAAGGGGCTGAATCAATTGTTCCTGGTTTAAAAGCTTTAATTGATACCTCAGTTGAATTTGGTGTTGAAGATGTTGTTATTGGTATGCCTCATAGAGGTCGTCTTAATATGTTATCTAACGTTGTTCGTAAACCAAATGAATCTATTTTTTCTGAATTCACTGGTTCTAGAGAATTCGATGAAGGTTCCGGTGATGTTAAATATCATTTAGGTATGAATTATGCTAGACCAACCACTTCAGGTAAACACGTTAATTTATCAATTGTTGCTAATCCTTCTCATTTAGAAGCTGAAGATGGGGTTGTTTTAGGTAAAACTAGAGCTATTCAACAATATAAAAATGATATTGGTGAATATCAACGTGCTATGTCCATTTTATTACATGGTGATGCTGCTTTCTCTGCTCAAGGGGTCGTTTACGAGACTATGGGTTTTGCTAATTTACCTGCTTACTCAACTGGTGGTACCATTCATATCATTGTTAATAACCAAATTGGTTTCACTACTGATCCAAGATTTGCTAGATCTACTTTATACCCTTCAGATATTGCTAAAGCCATCAATGCCCCAATCTTCCATGTTAATGCGGATGATGTCGAAGGTATTATCTTTGTCTTCAACTTGGCCGCTGAATGGAGAGCAACTTTCCATTCCGATGTCTTAATTGATGTTGTTGGTTACCGTAAATATGGTCACAACGAAACTGATCAACCAGCTTTTACTCAACCATTAATGTATCAAAAAATTGCTGAAAAGAAATCAGTTTTGGATTACTATACTAAACAATTAATTGAAGAAGGTACTTTCACTAAAGAAGATATTGATGAACATAAAAAATGGGTTTGGAATCTTTTAGATGAATCTTTTGATAAATCAAAAGAATATCAACCAACTTCAAGAGAATGGTTAACCACTCCTTGGGAAGATTTCAAATCTCCAAAAGAATTGGCTACTGAAGTTTTACCTCATTTACCAACTTCTGTTGATGCTGATACTTTGAAAAAAATTGGTACCACCATTTCTGAAGCTCCAGAAGGTTTTGAAATTCACCGTAACTTGAAACGTATTTTAAACAATAGAAAAAAGACTGTCGATAGTGGTGAAGGTATTGATTGGGCTACTGGTGAAGCTTTGGCTTTCGGTTCTTTAGCTTTAGAAGGTTATCATGTTAGAGTTTCTGGTCAAGATGTTGAAAGAGGTACTTTCTCTCAACGTCATGCTGTCTTACATGACCAAAGTTCAGAAGCTACTTATACTCCATTGAATCACTTAAGTGAAGATCAAGGTGCTTTTGTTATTTCTAATTCTTCATTATCAGAGTATGGTGTTATGGGTTTTGAATATGGTTATTCATTAACTAGTCCTGATGCTTTAGTTCAATGGGAAGCTCAATTTGGTGATTTTGCTAACACTGCTCAAGTTGTTGTTGATCAATTCATTGCTGCTGCTGAATCTAAATGGAAACAACGTTCTGGTTTAGTTTTATCTTTACCTCATGGTTATGACGGTCAAGGTCCAGAACATTCTTCTGGTAGAATTGAAAGATATTTACAATTATGTAATGAAGATCAACGTTATTTCCCAAGTCCAGAAAAATTAGAACGTCAACATCAAGATTGTAACATGCAAGTTGCTTATCCAACCACTCCTGCTAACTTATTCCATTTATTACGTCGTCAAATGCATAGACAATTTAGAAAACCTTTGGCTCTTTTCTTCTCTAAACAATTATTACGTCATCCATTAGCTAGATCTAGTTTAGAAGAATTCACTGGTGATTCTCATTTCCAATGGATTATAGAAGATGCTGAATTAGGTCAATCAATTGCTCCTAGAGAAGAAATCAAACGTGTTGTCCTCTGTACTGGTCAAGTTTTCACTGCTTTAAGTAAGAAACGTGCTTCAATCGAAGACAAATCAACTGCTTTCATTAAAGTTGAACAATTACATCCTTTCCCATACGCTCAATTACGTGAATCTTTAGATAGCTTCACTGCTCTTGAAGATTTGGTTTGGTGTCAAGAAGAACCTTTGAATATGGGTGGTTATTCATTTGCTGCTCCTCGTTTAGAAACCGTTTTGGCTGAAACTGAAAACCACAAAGACTTATCTTTACGTTATGCCGGTCGTGATCCTTCTGCTTCTATTGCTGCTGGTACTAAAGCTATGCACAATGCTGAAGAAGAAACTTTCTTGAATGAAGTTTTCCAAAACTAAATGCATTAAAGAGTCAACTCTATATATATATATATTTATTACTATTCTTGCTTCTACCTATTCTTTTTATTTGATTACTGTCTCTGTTTTGAGTCTATAGGTTTTCTTTTACACCCATAATACATATTTAGTTATTTATTCTAATCCTTGTAATTCTGTCAGTGTCCTTCTGTCAACTTTGTTAGAGAGCACAAGTTGTCAGACGAGCATGCGCGCGGTCGAAAACTGGACTCTTATCGAAGCATCGCTCCCCGTATATTTTTTTTTTTTTCATGCCGGAGGGGACGGCCATTTGAGAACTGACAGAAAACATCACAGTATAATCGAGTTGAACAAGTTTAAACAGCTTTTGAATAATCGAAATTACTTGTTTGAACAGTATTAGAATTAGCCATGTCCAATAATGGCCCGTTTCTTTGGTACCGGGATAAAGAAAGCTTGAAAATAGGAGGAGTAAGTCGGTATAGGATACGGTACAAAAACATTGACACCAAGAAAACCCATATTTATTTTAGACTTAAGAATATTGAAAAGACATCTATTAGAGCCATTCATTTGTTGAATGGACCGTTCATCTTATATTGTCATGTTGTGCCGTATAGTTACGACCATCGAAGACCATTTAAACCAACCGATGCTGGAATAAATAAAGAGGTTGTATTTGAAAATCAAATTAAACCGGGACAAACTTTCAATGTTAGGTTGGAGTTGAATGAAAATTCCTTTATTGAAAAGAATGTTGAAGATTATCCAGTTTACGGATGGAGTATTGATGTTGTGTCACAAATTGTTATAACCAGGAATACATCGATACTATATGATTTTATGATTGGAGATGATATTCATGAGATGAGAAATATTAATACGGGCGCTTTGCAGTATTCATTGAGTCTGATTAATCGGGATTTGAAAAGTGGGACTCTGATATTACCAGGAATGGGTAATAGTGTGCGTAATAGTGATGATAACCATGATAACAAATTAGGTAAATCGACTAATCCAAATTTAACGATTGATAAACAATTAGTTGAAGATTTATGGGCAACAAGGCCTAAAGATCCCCATAAACCCATTCATTTAGTTATCGTGACCCATGGGATTTTTTCCAATTTAACTGCAGATATGTTATATTTAAAGGATACTATTGAATCAAATGTTGAAGAAAATGTTGTTGTGAAAGGTTTCAAAGAAAACGCTGGTAAGACTGAAAGAGGAGTTAAGAAATTAGGCATTAACGTTAGTAATTATTTAAAGGATTTAATTAAAACCATGACTGAAGACCAAGATTATCAAATCGATAAAATTAGTTTTATTGGCCATTCGTTAGGAGGATTAGTCCAATTATATGCAATCAAGCATTTATTATTAACTGAAGGGGTTGATTATTTTGATAAGAGGAAAATTCAACCAACTAATTTAACTTTTATGGCATCTCCTTTATTAGGAGTTTTAAGTGAAATGAGTTTTTTAATATCTTGGTTTTTAGATATGGGGACATTGGGTAAAACCGGTAGGGATTTAACATTACTGAAGAGAATTCCCAATCCAAAACAACTCAAATTTAATCTATCTAATGATATGAAGAAAAGAGGTAATTTCAAACCATTATTAGAGGTTTTACCAGATGATCCATTACAAAACTTTATTGAGAAATTCGAAAGACTAACGTTATATGCAAATGCAATTAATGATGGTATAGTACCATTAAGAACGAGTGCATTATTATATTTAGATTATGAAGCATTGGGAGATGTCACTCAATTAAGAAAAGAACGAAGAACCACTAAACTTGATCACACTGGAGGTGAAGAAGTTGGAGAAGTTCCAGAAGAAAACGAAAGAAAACAAGAAGAGCAAAGTCTTGATGGAGAAGATGATAAAAAGGAAGGAACTAAAGATGGAATTGCCTCTAAATATTGGGATTTTTTCTGGCTTAATTTCACAAGTCCATTCGAACCAAAAACTCATAAGAATGGTGGTGTGAAGACAAATCTTCAAGATAAGAAGAAGAAATTAACTAAAAGAGAGAAAAAGTTTTTAAAGATCACGGCAAAAGGTAGTGATTATTATAAGATTTTTAATAAACATCAAGAACCTGAATCGAGTGATGAATCAAGAACTAATACAGAAACTTCTTTTGATAATGATAACAATAAAGACAGTGAAGATTATCAAGATGCTGATTTCGAAAATAAAACGTTGAACATTCCACCTAAAGCATCAGCAGTTGAAAGTGCCATAAATACTGTATTATGTCCAATACCTAAAACAAAATACATTTTAGAACCAGAATCAAGAGATGAAATCATTTTCCATGATAAATTTTATCATTTTGAAAACTTACCTTCTAGTATTAATGAGGATTCTAAAGGTAAGAAAGTTTATTTAAATTACCACGATTGGAAGATGAATAAACAAGTTAAAATTGCCAAAAAATATCATACTCCTAATATGAATTGGCGTAAAGTTTTGGTTAGCTTGCCTCCGGATGCTCATAATAACATTGTTGTTCGTCGAAGATTTGCCAATGGTTATGGATGGGGTGTTGTTGACCATTTATGTAATGAGCTATTCGACACCAGTGATGATTTAAGAGCTAAAATCTAATGTACCATACTGTATTTGATTATCTACATGTTATACTAATTCACTAATCTTATCTACTTGTACAATATTATACTTATGCTTATACAATACTATAATATGCTGTAATATAACATGCTATAATATGCTGTAATATAATACTACTATACTATGCTATAATATAATATAATATTATATACTATAATATGCTATACTATAATATAATATACTACTATACTGTACTGGTTGTGAAAAGGTACGGAGGTTCTGTGACCACGTGGATTTTTTGCAGCGAGATTTCTGATAAAACAATAAGCCCCCGCACTACCATACAAAACAAAAAAAATGGTGGAAAAAAACATCCTTCTCTGATAAGATAAGATTCAGTTTTTACAGCCCAATCTCAAACGCGGCCGTTTTAAGGGCTTTTCAGAGTGGTCAAGTATAAATAGTGCAGGTTTCCCACTTGATTTGAGTTGATTGAAAGGGGCTATTTGTTCTTTACTACAAAGTATAATGTACCCAGTTTCTTTTAATGCTTCTTCACCCGCTCAAGATGTAATCGATATTCCAAGTTTCAATTCTGATATCAATAAAGATAAAGTTCGATTTATAGTTATTGGTGCTGGATTAATTGGACCACGCCACGCAAATCATGTTCAACAACGTAATGACACTGAATTGGTTGCAATCATTGATCATTCATTAAAGGGACCTGCAGTTGCTAAATCATTAGGAGTTCGTCTTTTCAAAAATTTAGAGGAATTTTTCCACTATTGTGATTCCAATTATGTTAGTTATCCAGATGCTGCCATTGTAGCCACACCAAACCATACACATATTGATATGGGATTGAAGCTAGCCGCTAAGAAAATTAATATTTTGATGGAAAAACCATTGGCCCCAACTCCAAAAGACTGTAAAGTTATTATTGATTATTGCAATCAACAGAAGGTTAAATTATTAATTGGACATCATCGTCGATTCAACCCATATATAGTTGCTACTAAAGAGAATTTGGATCGATTAGGCAACTTGATTGCTATTCAAGGTACTTGGTCTTTGCGTAAACCACAACTGTATTTTGATGAAAAACCTTGGAGATCGTCAAAAGAATTAGGTGGTGGTACTTTATTAATTAATCTAATTCATGATTTAGATTTATTACAATACTTGATTGGCCCTATTGTTAAAGTTTATGCAGAATTACTTCCAAAACAAAGATCATCATCCAATTCATCGGAAGATTCAGATAAATTGGTTGATGAGGGTGCTAGTTTAACTTTACGTTTTGCTAATGGTTGTTGTGGGACTTTTATTTGTTCTGATAATGTTACTTCTCCGTTTTCTTTTGAAGTTGGTACTGGGGAAAACCCAACGATTCCTTTTAATGATTCAATCCAAGGTATTTATAGAATCTTTGGTAGTGAAGGTACCTTATCCTTACCTGATTTAAAATTATACCATCAACAAAATTTACCTCCAAGTCAACGTTCTTGGTTGAGCCCAATTTCTGAAGAACAAATTAAGATGTCTCACGAAAGTAAATCCAACTTTGCTGATGATGAATTAATGGATATTGTCGACAAGAATGGAATTACTACTTCTACAAATAAGCCTTCTAATAATGATGGATTTGATGATTTTGGTATGATTTCTCCTCCTTCTTCTTTGGATTCTCACCATAATCAAATTCCAATCATCGGTAATTACTCTTCATCTTCTTCTTATACCAAAGCGGAAGATTTAGAAAAACCAAAGCCTTTTGATTTGCAATTGGATCATTTTATCAAATTATTAAAGAATGAAGAAACTACTTGTAAATGTTCTGGTGAAGACGCTTTGAGTGCTCTTTTGGTCATTAACGCGGTTATTGAAAGTATTGACACTGGGTTACCTCAGTACGTACAAGCCGTTGATGATGTTTGAGCCTTTTTTTTTGCTTTTTCTTTTTTTTTTTTTTTTTTGCAATTTTGTTATGTCTACTATATGCCTTTATATCATATTTTATTTGAATATACAAAAATAATACTTACTCAATTTTGGTTTTGGAATATTTCTCTCTGATGGTTTGGAAGACATTGGTTAATAAAAATTTACGTATTAACCCCCATTCAAGCAAACCTCTTGGTAATATCGACACAAATCTAACTAATACCGTTTGACTTCCCCTATACACATTTGAAAATAATGTAAACCAACCAATTCTCTCAAAATCATCAACAACTTGTTTGGCGTACTTGTCGGCATCCATTGGTTTATTACGGACTGCCATCTGTTGTCTTTCCTTCATTGCTTCCTTCATTCCTTCCACGCTATAAATAGAACCTTCTGGTAATGGTCTAGTATCAGCGATATTGGTGCTAACCCCACCAGTAACTATATTAACCACTCTTACCCCAAAAGGTTTCATTTCGAGTGCCAAAGTAGAAGCATATTGATGAATGGCAGCTTTGGTAGATGAATAAACACTAGAAAATGGAAATGGTAACAATGCACTTAAGCTACCAGTAAATCCAATCACTCCCTTAGCATTAATTATCAATTTTCTAAATTCTCTGACCATTCTCATTGGTCCAAAAACATTCACTTCATAACATTGCTTAAATACTTCATCAGTCACATCCAATGATGGGAAAGTGCATGATTGACCAGCATTATTATATAAAACATCCAAATATCCTCCTGTTTCCTCATTAATCTTATCCCTGGCTTCAATAACACTCTTAATTGATGATACATCAAGTTGAATTGGCATTATTCCGTATTTTTTCAACAGCTCCATTGGCTCTAATCGACGAGCACCAGCGTAAACTTGGTACCCACGCTTGGATAATTCAATGGCAGTGGCATATCCTATTCCTGAAGATGCTCCGGTCACTAAAGCTGTCTTTTGGCGATTAATTGACATTCTTGTTGGTTGTTTTCCTAATCACACTAATCCTCCTTTGGCCATCTCTTTTTAGCGTCTCATTTTTTTTGCTCCCTACTTCCGACTAAACCTCGCTTTGCTACAACTTTCCCTTAGATAACAAGATTAAGAGAAGTATCATGTGATTGCACCCTTCAGACTTAGTCCCGATACCTTGGCCAGTACACCGTTCCCTTTATGTTTGTTCTGTACTCGTCTTTCACGGTTTGTATTGGCTTATTGACCTTTGAACTCTGGACTTTGGACTTGGAACTCTAGTCTTGGACCTTTGGACTTCGAACTTTGAACTCTGAACCCTATTTCTTAACTTTAAACCCTTTAATTGAACGTTCTTACCTCTTTTTGTAGGTATTTACTAAATGTCAGTGATGTAGAATGGCGGAAGTTGTGCGGTGACAGTTTAAAAAAAAAGTAATGTTACCTATCGCAATTGTTGCAAAACACCACTTTATCTTCCATATCCCTTCCATCATGAGCAGTTTCTTCAAGGATTTATCCCCCAATAAGCTGGTACATAAGATGATTGACGCTCAGTCCAATTTTGCTGAGCGAGAGGTCAATCCAGATACTTCTAGCTCGGAATCCAGTAAAGATTTGCATACACCTCCTAATGAGAAGACAAACTCTCCCGATACAACTACCAGTATCAAGAAAGAAAGCATTGGCCAGCCAGAAAGGATTCTCAGCTCTGCACCCAAGTTTGTCGCCCCCTTTGTCGCCTCCTCATCCCAGCTATCACGAGGTTTCCTTCTGAAGCATTCTCTCATTCACAGAAGTACAAGGCTCTTTGAAGGCAATTCTCGTTCTAATGGGGATTTGGGGGAAAGTCACCGGTATGGAGCAGAGGGCTTTAGAGTGGAAGGTGGTTTAGCGCCTTGTCATATTAGCCGCCAACCTCTGATTGAGACAGAGAAGGACGATTCTCAAAAGTGTGAAGAAGATGAGGCATTTGATGGTAGAATAGAACATCTGGAACTTGAGCCCAGCGACTTAGTAACCCCTGGTCATCCAGTGGAGGTAGGTGGGAGCTTTGGTTTGTATAATGAAAGAGATACCAGTATCACCAGCTGCTATACACAGCTTATCCAGACCTTGGAACAGAAGTGTAAACATCTTGAGAAGGAACTTCAAATTGTCACTAAAGAACTCGATGCTAAAGTTCTGGCTTTAACATCGGCTACATACATTTTAAAAAAAACATCCGAGAGATCAGAAAAGTTGATTAACATCACTGATGGTATGAAACAAAATCTTACGGATCTTCAAAATGAAAAGTCGCTTCTCAATGACAAACTTGAATCAGTTAAGGGTACGAATGAGTTTAATAAACAAAAAATAACCGAATTACAGAAAAAAGTTAAAGAAAGTATCTCAAAATTAACAACTTACCGGTTGGGATTTAGAAACTATAAGCTCAAACTTCAAAAAGAAGTCATGAAGTCTGAAAATCTAAAGTCACTAGTTGACGAGCTATCGGGTAAACTTTCTGAAGAGAAATTGAAAAGCAGTAATTCAGACAAGCAGGTTTTGGAAATGACAAAGAAATTCAACGAAACGGTCTCGGATTTTTCGAAAGGGGTTGAGGAAATTTTAAAAACGGTTCTAGATGGTTCAATCCGGTCTCTTGTTTTGACAAATATCGATGCTACTAAGGAACATTTGGTGAAATCACTCAAAGATTCTTCAACAGTTTTTCAAACACAATTGCAGAATTCGTTTGACTCTTTGAATAACAATCAGACAGAAACACGGAGCAGTATAGTTGATTATCATTCTCTCGTTAAGCTGAACGAAGCTTCAATTGAAAAATTCATCACTGAGTTTCAACCATGGAAAAATGAAGTACGTGAGATTTTAGAGGCTGTAACTGACTTGAAAATAACTGTTCTCACCCGAAATTTTGCAACCATACATGAAAAAAGTGCAAATTTTGAGAAATTACTACAAAAATCATCTACCAATTCAAAAGAAGTTATAGACTTGCTTAAAAATCTCCAATCAGAATATTTGACTAAGTCCGATTGCGTGAATAAGAAGTTCGACGAATTGATCCAACAAAAGGATCTTTTGCAAATTCAATTGAATGAATCCATAAATAATATTGATCCTTTGAATAGAAAAATAATCTCTCTTGAAGCTGAAAATGCTTATTTAAAAGAGCAGCTTGAAAAATCTCAAATCTCAATGAATAAAGTGAGGAGTGATTTTAACGATTTAAACGATTCACATAAGGTGGAAGTCAGAAATTTATATGATGATAAAGTAAAGTACACTTCGGAGATGGAATCTAAATTGATTTCGAACAAACATCTAGTTCAGGCAACTAACGAAGAGAGAGCAAAGCTTAAAAAAGAAAACCTGGCACTTCAAATAAAACTTAATAAAAGCAACTTCTCAAGTGAAGCTTTAGAAAAATTCAAGAAAGAGAAAAATGTCTTACAAATTGCTAACGAACAGCTTTCTCAGAAATTCGAAGATTTATCCAGAGAAATGGAAAGCTTGCAAAAAAGTAAAACGATTTTGGAGAAAGCAGTTTCTTCCTTGAAGTCAGAAATGAGTGGAAAAATTGACATAATACATAATCTAGAGGATACTGCTAAAGCCAACTCGAAGGAGCTACTTAAATATAAAAATGATCTTTCAGAAGCTAAAAATCTCATCAATCAAGAAAAGAATCAAGTTAACATGAGCAGAGATCTCATTAAACTGATAGAAGAAAAGCTTGAGTTGTACTCCAAGGATTTAGTAGTTCAAAAGTGTTTAAATCAAAATGAAAAGGAGGCCTTCGAAACTAAAATTCAAGACCTAAGGAATACAATAAAGGACAAAGAAGTCTGTATTAAAAATCTAGAAACGAAACTCAACCTCACTAAGGTCAATTCTGAAAAGCACAATGAAAATTATATACAAGAAGTTGCCTTGAATAAAGCCAAGGCGAATGAGGTTTATGAATTGAAAAGCCTGATGAAGCAAATCAAAATTGACTTGAAGCACTTAGAAGAACAGTTAGAGGAAGAAAAGAATAAAAATAAATCTTTAGAATTAAGATTAAAAGCTAAAGACGCCGATCCCAAGAAATCTCAAACTCAGGTTGCTAAAACAGAACCTTCACAACCACGAACAAAAGACAAAAATAAGTTCTCTTCTAATGAGGAAACAATATCGCAACTTTCAAAGAGTGTGAAATCTAAAAAGGAAAAGAGAAACCTTTCTCCAGAAGAGGACGATTTTTCATTCGAGAATCTTGATCTGCCGCCAAAGCCGGCTAAAAAATTTAAATATGGTCGTAGAAAGTGAAGGCCCAGCTGAATAGATCTTTGTTTAAAATATTTCTCTAGTTTCTTGAAATCATTCTTTATTAAACTCTTCCAATAATTTTTCATTGTAGAAGTAATGCATAAATTTGACCGGTTTTGTCTGATTTGATCTATCAACGTGCAAGACAGGCACATCGAAACAGTACGCATCAAAAGCTTCAGAGTTTTCTGGTTTCATAATGTCAACTATTTTCAAGTTAAGATCCTTATCTTTCATTGAATCGTCTTTCAAAGTGTCTAGTAAGACACCTCTAGCATTAGTACATAACATACATGTTGCTTTGGTGAAGAAAGTTAGTTCAAGTTTTTGAGATACGGGAGTGCCCGTCGAAAGCCTTCTAACCAAAAGAGGAGTTGATTTGACTAAAGGCTTAAAAGACGCTAACATGACAGTAATGCTTGTTGGATAGCTGTAGAATAAACGAATCAAATGCTTTTCAAAAAAAAAAATGAAAAAGGAAAATGAACTGATTCTCAGTTGCAAAGTTTTTGTAAAAACAAAAAAATCAAATGATTTTGCCCAGGATCGAACTGGGGACGTTCTGCGTGTTAAGCAGATGCCATAACCAACTAGACCACAAAACCTTTGATGAAGAAAAATGGGTCCTAGTTTAATATCCAAATATCTACTTGGATGTAAGTTAAAACACGTAACGATAAAAAGTTTTTAATTTAATAGTTTTTGGAACGATTTACAATACTATACTGGTCTAATTAGAATGGAAAAAAAGCCGTATAATTCTTGGCTCTAAAGGAAAACCCAAAATTGAAATATCGCTTAAAAAATATTTTCGACCGAACTCCCGTCTTTGTTTGTACAATTATTGAAATGTAGAGTGACGGTCGGTTTATAGATTTATCAGGTAATACAAAACACGATAAGGAAAGAATATTAAATTACACGCATTGTGGAGAAGTGGCTATAAAATCAATTTTCTAGCGTACGACACTTACATTTAACACCTTGAAAGAAGATATTCAAGAAAGCACATTGAATGTGGGATAGGAGAAAGTTCTACCAGACAAACGACTAAAATTAAGCTAGAGGATGCCTATTTTTTCGCAGCCGAATTGCAATGTCCAAAGTCCTGATCTTTCAAAAGAATCATGTGGGATCTATGTAAACCTTGGCTCCATGACGTATCTTATAGAAGTCAACAAAGAGTACATATTGAAAACAAAGATATAGCGATATAACCATCAATGGCTAAATTTGGATACTTTAGAGCATCAATGATTCGAAATGGGTTTATTGGAACTAGGACAAATGTCTTTTTTTGGGTTTGTATTATGTGGTATTGATAGATTAATTTAGTTTCGAAGATAAAAGATTTGATTCTAGATGTGCAATGCCAATTGGGTTGACGGGCACTTCAAGTAAAAGGTGACATACCAAGACTGAATAAATGTCGGTGCTGGTGGTCTCGTCCTTTCGATCTTTATGCTTGAATAACTCCCTTTCAAGCTTAGCGAAAACATCTTTCATCTGATTCATACGGGATCAGACCAGGAGTGTCGTTATACTGTGCTGATAATTGTAAAGGATAAGCCCATTGAAGGACCTTGATCTGAGTCATAGTTCAATAATTCGTACTAGTTTGTAGGTGCTTAGTGGGAAAATTATCAAGGTAAAATCGATATGAATAACGGAAGGGCTTGTGGATCGTTCATTCCTGGAATAATTACATGCTTGGACTGATTATACACCACGAACGAGTATTCACTCTTTGAATTCCTTGGGTGCCCGGGAAAGCACCGTAGAAATCAAATAGCAATGGAAGTAACGAGTTGTCAGCTCAAGAGTTTTCCATGCTTGTGTTCCAGATCAAGAAACAAGGTTGCAAATGAGTATTCTCTTAGACAGTACAACCCCACACCAAGGACCAGTAGTCACTATTGTCTGACAACTTCTTTCATGGACTGTACTGATTCAGAAGTGCTAATCATGCAGACTACAATCGTCCTTGGCTGAGGTGGAGAAACGACCCTCGACTCCGATATTCTCGTCTTGCTATTCCCATATTTCAATCTAAGTAGACTCCAGTAATCCACATCCAAAAGGTCAGCTTCCACGGAGTCTCGGTCGATTTCAGTCCAACCAATCAACCACTATAGCCTTAGATTCTTTCGATATCCATCTCGGCGAACAGTCGGATTAACTGCTGGCACAAACTCGGAGAGACAGAGAGACAGACCCATACACCACATACACTAAAAGCGTCGAAAACAAGCTTATATGACCGTTGCAACTGTATGCATTTTAGCAAAATTGCATATACGTTTAATCTGAAGATTGATCGAAGGTCAAACACCACCAACACGAAGTTGAAGATGAGGGTGAAGATGGGACAGATCAGGAATTGCACCGCAACAAGTGGAGTATGCAGATTGTGAAATGGGAATCTAAAATAATAAAACGAATAATGAAAATAATAAAAGCGAAGCACCATAAGAGTTTTCCAGCCAGTAAACAATCAGAATATTGTTTATGCCGTAAGGTTAGCAGCTACTCTCCTCTTTGAAATGTGGAGTGGGTAGTGTTATTTTGTAGTAGTAAGTGGCCCACTGAAGTCCAGCTTATGCAGTCGTTAACGTGCCATTGATTCTGCAGAGCAGGTATTCCTTTTTCCGAGTTTGGTAACACTAAGTAAAATTCTTCTTGGGTATTTATATCTGGAGGTATTTCCATGGATAATCGGAGTGGTTTAATGATAGTCCATCAGTCATGTCTCATTCCGAACAGTCAATAAACTCTAGTAAAGGTGATTTGAGTTCCTTTTCCGATTTACCAGTGGGTAAAGTTCATTTATCCGGAGACTCAAATGAATACGTGATTATTGGTAATAAGAAATACTGGAGAAATGAATTATCCCAGGCTTTTGGTGGGACTTTGAATCCTGGGTTAGCTGTTCCTTCGCCTTATGAATTTGGTAATCCTGCTCCTTTAGGGTTATCTTGTTTTGCTTTAACTACGTTTGTATTATCTCTTTATAACGCTGGTGCAATGGGAATCAGTACTCCTAATGTGGTGATTAGCTTGTCGGTTTTCTATGGTGGTGCCATTCAGTTCTTGTGTGGTTGTTGGGAATTATTAATTGGTAATACTTTTGGGGGTACTGCTTTAACCAGTTACGGTGCCTTTTGGTTATCTTATAGTTGCCTTTTCTTAAAAGCTTTTGGTATTTCCGAAGCTTATGAAGATGAGTTGATGATGAATAATGCAATCGGATTCTTTTTAATTGGTTGGGCCATCTTTACCTTTATTTTGGTTTTGGTAACCATGAAATCAACCGTGGCATTCTTTTCCTTATTTGTCTTTCTAGACTTGACTTTTATCTTATTAGCTGCCAGTGAGTTAAGTGGGAGCACCAACACCCATAAAGCCGGTGGTGTCTTTGGGGTTATAACTGCCTTGATTGCCTGGTATAATGCTTTCTCTGGGGTTGCCAATTCGAAAAACTCCTACTTTACAGCCCATTCAATTCCTCTTACCAAATCTAATTAGCCAATTCATTCATTTATTTCTTCGTTTCGTCACTTTTCCACTTTTTCACTATTTCACTTCATCCTTTCATCATTTTTTTCACCTTTCTAATTTTTTTCACTTCTTAGTTAATATACGTACTGTTGCAAAATGCGTAATATCAGCCAAAAACTCCTTTTGAAAAGGCTCTTTCGATTGAAATCAAACACCAGTCATCAAGCAAACTTCGTAACCGTCCAAATTTTAAGTACCGGCTCGAGTTTATATACTTTTCCAAAAAATTGGAGCATCTTTATACCCGGTGGACATCCGGGGATATTGGTGGTAAAGAAGTCCTGCACACAACCCGGAAAATCAAACTGATCAACAAATCGAAGTCTCTTTGAGCACTTCGTACCACCGAATCAATAGCGAAAACGGCAGTAAGAATGAAGCTCTACATACTAATCTTGCTTTTAATAGGCATTGCTAGTGCCGGGAATGTCGTGCAAGTCAACGATAAAAACTTCAAGCTGGAAGTAGTGGAGTCAGGAAAGTACTGTTTGGTGGAATTCTATGCCGATTGGTGTAGGCATTGTACTAAATTGTCACCAATCTACGAAGAGTTGGCCGATTTATACGCTGGGGTTGAAGAGGTATCGGTTATGAAGATCAATGGAGATAAGGATGGGAAACGAATGGTGAAGAAATATGATATTCCTGGCTTCCCAATGATACGAATGTTTCACGGAGAAGAAGTTATTGATTATGAAGGATCAAGAGATTTAGAAAGTTTGAGTAATTTCATCCAACAAGTGAGTGGAGTTAGATTAGAAACTAAACCTTATATCAGCAGTATTAAGAAATTACACGATTTGAATTTCCAAAGCGAAGTCCTTGATAATAAAGTACCAAGTTTTATTTATTTTACTAAAGAGAAAAATTGTGTTAAATGTACTAAAAGTGATTTAATATTTGAAAAATTATCAAATGTTTACGCTAATGATAATTCTAGTATTCAATTTGGGAAAGTTCTCGTTGATGAATCACCTAGTGAAAAATTGATTAAGCAATTTGGAATTTACAAGTATCCACAATTATTTATATTTGATTCTAATAGAATAGTTGATGGATATCGTAGACCTGAACTATATGAAGGGAATTTCGATATCGAAAGTATAATCGGATACTTGAATAAAAATTTTGCATTACATCGAGATAAAAAGGGCAGGTTATTACCAAGTGCCGGTAGAATTGAAATAATCGATGAATATCTTGAACGAAATTATAGCGGCAGTAGTAGTATTGATTTCTTACAAAATTTCAATAATATAATTGATAAAAGGGTTACCAATGATAAAATGATTATTTATTATAAAAAATTGATCAATAAGATAATGAACGGAGAAGAAATATATTTTGAAAAAGAATTAGAAAGATTACAAAGAATGCTTGGGAACAGTTCTAATTTAAAATCAACAAGCATTGACTCAATTGAAAAAAGAATTAACGTATTAAAATTTTTCACTAAACTTACCAACTAATAGAATTAAATTTTTGAATTATTCTTATTTTATCAGGCCAAACTTTACCACCATTTAATATACACTCATCAATTATTGGTTTAACATTATTTGGTTTACAATTTGCTAACCAAATATTTTTACCATTTTTTAAATATATAAGTACATTAGCAGCATATTTATGACCTCCAATATGATTAATAAAAGAAACTGAGACCCCACCAGGTCTCACATCATCAAAATCTCTATATTTGCCTAAATCCCTTAAATAAATATCCATTTCCTTCTTCATAATTGGAGCAGTTAAACCGCATCTTTTATCCCTAGTTTTATGAGAACATAAAAAGATATGAGAATCATTTTCGTCAATTTCAATTTTTATATTCGGGAATTCTTGATAATTTAAAATTGGCTTGATTGATTGTGCTCTTGCATCAATTAAATTTGCAATCACCAAATTTAAAACTTGTTCAACATCGTTCATATTCAAGTTCTTTATCCAAATGAAAAATGGCAATAATAAAACATCTCCTACAGTACCATTTATGTAATCTTCATTGGATTCAAATTGTTTTGAACTAATAGATCCAACAGTCACTTTAATTTTACTAGAATCAACACCAAAATTAAATTTTGTCTCATACTTAGATGCATATTTTGCTACCGAATGTGCTAAGGTCTTACTTACTCCAGTAGCATCGTGGGGCCAGTCGGTCTTCCCGGTGGCAACCACTATATGTAAACCGTAAGGATTAGTTGAGTTCCAGAGATTGGCTTCTTCTTCAACTTTAATTGATTTTGGGAATTTGCCAATACAGTCATCACATTGATCAGAACAGCTCGATATTTCAAAGCCTTTTGCTTGAATTTCTCGACTCTTACTTTCCTCCGAACTCCCAAACACTCTATTAAACAACCCCATTCTATACGACTCTATATCCTATCTTCTATAGGTAATATTCTATGACTTCAATTTAATGGATTGGCTGGCTGATATTTAAATGCTTGATCTGTCGGCATGCCGAAGCGATGGCTCTCGATCCGATAAAACCTAAATCCGATGACCCCCGTACACCGCCGCCCATTTTAGAAGGCTGCAAAACCCAAGGCTGAATCACCTTCTGATACCATACTGACGTACTATACTGACATACTGACATACTTTCCTACTATACTATATCTGTCACAGTATATCTGTCTGCAACAGTCTTACTGTTGTTTATAACAGTCATGCTATATCTTTTGTAACAGTCATACTATATCTTTTTGTAACTGTCATACTTATCTTTTTGCAACAGCCTATTCACTGACCTCTAGGCACAGATCTAATACTTCTGTTCATACTTCATCATACTATAACTACTATGAGCATACTACTAAAGCATATACCAATATATACTCTACCATGCAATACACCAGTCTACTACTATACTGTTCACCTAATTAAAGCCTACCATATGCTATTCATTAACGATTAAACTCTACTACCGCTCTACTCTAGACCGGTTTTCTATCTATATGCCTATGCTATACTCTGCTATTCTTAGTATTGAAATAAACCTTCCTTAACCGAAGTTTTGCAGGTTAAGCGAGAGATCCGAGGGTGTATCGACTAATTCTCGATTGGAAGGGGGTACTGCACACAGGACAACCTCAAACCATTTGTGTTTAGAAGGAAAGAAAAAAAACCACATACCATTTTAAAATCATCACCTCTTAAGCTGGCCATTTCAACTAATCCATCGCCATAGACCAAGGGCTCGTCATAAGTTTTGCATTACCAGTTGATCTAGTTGAAGTCGGTGATCCATTTGCTCAGTTTGTTTTAATTTGTTTTTAAATTTGCTTTCTTTTCTTTTCTTTCTTTAGTTGTTTTGGTTAACCGCCCAAATTATTATGAATTTTTAAAAATGGTGGATATAGCATATAAAGCATTACCAAAGGGACCACCGGAGGAATACATGTCAGCATTCAATAACCAGGAATTGAATTCTTCGCTTTATAAGTCATTAAATGAAGATGAAGATTCCAATAATATAACTGTTTCGGTAAATATTAATAATGTTGGAATAAATCATGATAAAGAACATACTAGTACTTACACTAATAATACTCCGTCTACACCTACATCAACCTCATTCAAAGTATCTAGATCAGATGCATCTGATTTAACTAATGATACCCTGCCTTCTTCAATTGAAGAGCGTAATAATATTCAACAACCAATAAATAATTCAACTAGTTCTACAATACCTTTGAACGAATCAATTAATGAAAATTCAACTCCAACAAATACTATTAAATCTTTCAAGAAAAAATTAATCAATGAAATTGACCCTCTTAACACCAATATAAATGACGATATAACTATTAAGGAAGAAGGTACCAAAAATAACGTACTCAATCGATTAATCGATGAAAATGAATCAAAAATATCTTCAAGGAGACATACTTCTCCCCATAATCAATCTTGTGATTTATCAAAGAATGATCATTCTTTTAAACCTCCAATTTCGAGATCAACCTTCCCTTCTTATAATAATCAACCAAAATTATCAAGTCATGATTCAACTAATTCTGAAATTTTAAGAATGAGAAATTCAATTCTCGTTAAAAGAAATATCAAAAAGAAACGTAAAGAATTTTTAGAAGATGAAAAAGTTTTAGTTGGTAATAAAATTAGTGAAGGTCATGAAAATTTTGTAATGGCTTATAATATGTTAACCGGTATTAGAGTTGCTGTAAGTCGTTGCTCCGGTATAATGAAAAAATTAAATGATGAAGATTTTAAATCAACTAAAAAATTATCTTTTAATATGGATGGGAGTGAATTAACTCCAAGTTCAAAATATGATTTTAAATTTAAAGATTACTGTCCCGAAGTTTTTAGAGAATTAAGAAATATGTTTGGTTTAGATCCTGCTGATTATCTTGTTTCAATCACTGGTAAATATATTTTATCCGAATTAGGTTCTCCTGGTAAAAGTGGATCATTTTTCTATTATTCAAGAGACTATCGTTTTATCATTAAAACTATTCATCATTCTGAACATAAACAGTTAAGGAGAATCTTAAAAGATTATTATAATCATGTTAAAGAAAATCCAAATACTCTTATATCTCAATTTTATGGCTTACATCGAGTTAAAATGCCATTTTTAACTGGTAGTAAAAAAATTCATTTTATTGTCATGAATAATTTATTTCCTCCTCATCGTGATATTCATTTAAAATATGATTTGAAAGGTTCTACCTGGGGTCGTACTACCAAAATTAATTCGAATAAGGAAGATTTATCTAGTTTAACTTTAAAAGATTTAAATTTTTTGGAAAGAAATGATTCAATTAAATTTGGTCCAAATAAAAAAAGTTTATTTTTCAAACAATTAGAATCCGATGTTAAATTATTAAAAAAAATTAATGTAATGGATTATTCTTTATTATTAGGTATTCATGACGTTAAAAAGGGTAACAATTCAAATTTTGAAAAATTATCTGTTTTTGATCCAAAATCTTCCGATAAATTTGAATTGATTAAAACTAATCCCAGAGATATTGATCGTGAAAATGATTTACCAACTAATGTTTATCCTGGTAGATCAAAATATGTTTTTTATGGTCATGATGGTGGTATAAGATCAACTAATGAGTTAAATGAACCTTTAAATGAAATTTATTATTTAGGTATTATAGATTGTTTAACTAATTATTCAACAAAGAAAAAATTAGAAACTTTTTGGAGATCTTTAGGCCATCAAAGATCAACCATTTCTGCATTACCAGCAAATGAATACGGTGATAGATTTTTAAAATTTATTAAAGATGGTACCTCCAAAGTCAAACAAAAAATTAATTAAAGTTAAAAAATTAATTAAAATTAAAAACTTAATTAAAATTCAACTAATTTTGCATATTCTTTTCTTCTCTTCTTCTCTTCGCTTTTCATTCTTTTCACTTCTTGCTTCAATCTTATGTGTGTGTTTTTTTTTTTTTTTTTAAGATTTTTTAATTCATTTCAATTCCTCTACTCTTCTTTTAAAAACAAAAAGCTAAAAGTTACATCTTGCATTTCTATTTATTCAGTCGCTTAGTTCATACGTTGTTAAGTCATTATAACTAGTGTATGCTCTACAATACATTTTTTATGAGTTATTTCTATTTGTAGTTTTAAAAAAAGCCCTATATAATTGAATACGAGGACAAATGCAAAAGAAAAAGTAAAACCACAACAAATAAATAAAAAAAGAACAAACCATGAGATACCAGCTATCTAGACGTTTCTGTTTAGCCAGTGGGATCCTCTATCGTCAGAGGTTTTTGCAACCTAGTCTGGAGTACCAGGTGTAAAAATTTGCCTGCAACTTAGACAAGCTGCACATTGAGAAAAGCATCTGAGGTAAATAAATTGAAAGGCCAAAACAGACAGCCCAAACCTCTCTTGAAAGGAGTATACTCAAATTAACATACTTGACAATTATTTTTTCTAATGTAATACCATCGATGTTCTTTATTTAGTAAGCTGGGTAAGACTTCTTTTTTAATAAAAGTCTTTCCATTTGAGAACAAGGCGCTTCTCAGTTTCAATTTGCAGCCAATTCTACCGTTCCTTCCTCCTTTTTAGCGAGTTAATTTGGCCTGCCTCTATGAAATAAGCCGGAGCTAGTAATTTCCTTATCTAAAGTGATTGTCTTTACAGAGCAGCTTTTAAATTAAAAACTCGAAGTTCTTAAAAACTCGTGGATTAAATCAGGAATCTATATCTCGCTACACCTCACATTTGGTTAAAGGAATCAGTCTAAACTTGATTTATCAGAAAATCGTAGACTTTTACTTCATGCCACATAACCATTCTCGCGTGTCCTTTTGAACTCACAATTTAAATTAAGCACAAGGTTAAAATTACTTATTTTTACTTTTCTTTTTCTTTTATATTACTCTACTGAACATAAACAAAAGTATATTAAATAAAAAGACAAAAGCTGCTGGAGGACAAATCAACGGCTAGTAAGAGCGTTTCCTCATAACTCGCTAGCATTAGCACTTTCGAATCATATCAAATTTAATCAAACTCCTCCCTGTAGGACTTTCAGAATTTCAAATGAGTTAGTTAATTAGGTCCAAATGAAAGACGGCCACCTTGGGATAGTTCCTTCAGAACAGTCTAGTATTAAAGAAATGGGATTCATCTAAAGCTTCATAGAAACTTTTAGCAATTGATTCATGATGATAATTATATTGAAAAGAATACATGAATCATCTCAGTGAACTTTCTGTCCCAAGCATGTTCTAACACTCAAATTGATACTTTGATCTGAAACTAGTTTAGTGAACATACTACACAACCAGTATGTAGAAAAATGCTTTGATTCAGTCGATATTGGTTTTTTCTTTAGTCTTTCGAAAAAATGTTTGAAACGTTCAAAAATGCTTCTAAGAAAAGCAAAGTAGGTTTTCAACTAGAATATATTAGAAAAATCGTTAGAAATACAAAGAAAGCTTAGATTTTTATTTTTTTTTTTTTTTTAACAGATTAAGTGTATATTAAGAGTTGTCTATAAATTAATCAACTTATAATAATAAAGCAACACCAGCAGCAGCGGCAGCACCGAATAAACCGGCACCAACAGCACCAGCACCAGAGTCAGAAGAAGAGCTGGAGGTACCGTTGGTACCATTGGTACCGTTGGAAGCGTTAGCAGCAGAGACGGCAGAGACGGCAGTTAAAGCGATAACAACAGATTTGAATTGCATTGTAGATTTTTTTAAAAATCTCTATTCAAACATGTTTAAAACTTAATGCCATTTGATATTAAGTTAAAAATCAATTTTGAGCGGAAATTAGCATTTGGCGTAGTTGGTTTTTCCACTTTCCCGAAGCTTGTGTTGCCGGTTCGAATCCGTGCAGTGCTCCTGTGGCGCAGAGGTTTAGCGCTTCGTGCTTATAGCCGTGTTACGACGATATTGGTTATACCATAAGTCACGGTCGTGTGAGGAACGCGACGGTCGTGGGTTCAATCCCCTCCAGGAGCATTTTTTTTGAAGATTGTTCATTGAAGTGATCTAATTCTCAATGGGAAAGCAATATATCAACATTTTTTTTTTAACATATGGTAGATTCACTCAAAAAAGTCCCCTATATTAAGACAAATAATGATCCTTACCCCCAATTAATGAGCTAAGCTTTGAAAACGGGATTTCATAACTGAAAATTTGATACTAGTTAGTGATACTAGTTAGTGATACTAGTTAGTTATTCACTATCGATGATCGGCGAATGTAATATACCAAATATAAAAAAAAAGGGATTAATATACAACTGAGATAGATCAAGTAACCAATAAGTTCCCTTGATGAAGAATTATTTTTGAGAAGAAACTTATCTCAATTACGCCTGGGTAGCTCAAGTATAGATAAAAGACAATCGATACCGTTGTGGTAATAGGTATACGAGCTTCGCTCTTATTATTTAGTTCAATAGAGCCGAACGTAAGATCAGTGTAGTATATGCACAAA